TCCAGGATATTCCATTCCATTTTCACTCCCCCTGGTTTTTGGATTTCCCCCTGCAACAGCACTCAGGTACAAAAGGCAGGGGTGCCGGTTCCTGGGGGTCCCAAACAGCTACGTCCCCAGGAACTGGCACCCTTGCCTCTTGTACCTGAGTGCTGTTGTTGTCACTACATAGATAAGTGTCGGCATTCTCCCTTGAAGATCATAAACAGAATATAACAGATAATTGTGTGGTAGCTGAGGTATGCTGGGGCTTTGCTTCCCAGGTAATTTCAGAATATGTAGTATTAAAATATCCCCCCTCCCCCGTTTATGACCTGAAGGGATTGTTACATGTGACTAACCCAGGCATTGTTACCGTATTTATGAGTAACCAGCCACATCTGGCATTTGAAGTGGTGTGGAGAATTGCAGCAACTGGAGCTTCTCCTTTGAAAGCAATTAGCTAATCATTTAAACAATGTAAAGGAAGTGTTTGTGTTTTCTTTCTCACTATTACTTCAGCCCTGTAAGCAAAATATTAAAGGCAAGTGAGTAATTAACACAGCTGAATTACTGAAACCAATTGCTCAATTGAATTAACCTGGAAAAAATGGTTTCAGGATGACTATTCCTTTGAAAAAGTTAGCAAATAGTATGAACATCAAGACAATTCCAGTAAACTGGCCATTAAATGACACATGGGTTTGGATCACGAAATGGAATTAGAGGTGAATAATGGAATATTGTGACTGCTGAGACTATTTTATTTTATTATTTTTTGCAAAAAGTGAAATTTGGTTCAAATTTTGAAGTTCCCTCAAAGCGGAATTGCGTTTCAAAAGAGTTGGCAGATGTCGCTCAATTACAAACGGTGAAGCTGAGTACATCTACCAACTGTTTTGAAATAGCCAATCAGAAAGACCTTTATTGATTTCAGTGTCAGTGCAACAAGCATTCTATAGCAAGGCCCTTCAGATGTTTTCTGACCCTGACGCATCTGAAAAGCCTCAGACTCCCCAAGTCCTATCATCTCATAAGATCTTTATTCCCACAATATTTCATATAAAATCATTTTTTGTAATCTAAACTGGCTCCCTTCTGATTGCCCTTTTATCAGCAGATGAAGATCAGTTGTTTAGTGTTGTACCAATTGTTTTCTCGAAATTTATTTTCTGTAGCATGAAAATAAAAACAGTATTATTTTTTTTTAAAAAAGATTTTTATTCTGACAGGCATTTGAGAGCTGATTGTTTAGGAAAGGGCTTTTAATAGTGCTGTACCATCATTCAGCCCAGACACTGAGGTCCAGCGCCAAGGGCCTTCTGGTGGTTCCCTCACTGCGAGAAGTGAGTTTACAAGGGAACCAGGCAGAGGGCCTTTTCAGTAGTGGCGCCTGCCCTGTGGAACACCCTCCCATAAGATGTCAAGGAAATAAACAACTATCAGACTTTTAGAAGACATCTGATGGCAGCTCTGTTGAGGGAAGTTTTTGATGTCTGAAGTTTTCTTCTGTTTGTAGTGCTCTGTTGGGAACTGCCCAGAGTGGCTGGGAAAACCCAGCCAGATGGGCATGGTATAAATAATAAAATTGTTGTTGTTGTTGTTGTTAACTATCTGTTTGTTAATAGGTTTTTTAAAATATGGTTTTAATTCTATCAGTGTTTAATTACTTCTTAACTTTTCTCTTTAATAGGTTTTAGCTTTTTGTATTTTATCTGTGTTGTTCTAATTCATGTAAGCCACCTTGAGGCTTCATCTGGGGAAAAAGTGGGATATAAATAAATATTATTTATTTTCTAATAAATACAAAATAAAGGCGATAATTGTAATCGCCTTTAACCCCACAATAACATTATGGGAAATAACGTTGTGTTTGCACCACTATAAAGAAACCCAATTGGTGAAACTATAAGCAAAATCTGGCCACATAGGCACACCTAATCATTTGTGTAGGTTTAAGAAGGCCAAATGCACATTCAAACACAATTTTTAAGAAATTCTATCACAAATGAAACCAACTGGGGGTATGTGAGACTGAGTGGGTCCTGTGGTCAGCACATCTTTATGGGAAGGAGTGATCCGAACTATAAGAGATAGGGTGGGAGTGTGTCCTACTTTACAGAGGACACTCCCCCATTTGAAAGGCTGGCAATGGAGAGCCCTTCCTTTGAAGGAGTCCTCTATTTGGCAGGCTAGTCTACCCAAGTCCTGTTTATAGATCAAGAACGTTAAGACGGGAGAGCAAGCACCACAAAGTTGTTGTTGTTGTTTAGTCGTTTAGTTGTGTCCGACTCTTCGTGACCCCATGGACCAGAGCACAGCCAGGCACTTCTGTCTTCCACTGCCTCCTGCAGTTTGGTCAAACTCATGCTGGTAGCTTCGAGAACACTGTCCAACCATCTCGTCCTCTGTCGTCCCCTTCTCCTTGTGCCCTCCATCTTTCCCAACATCAGGGTCTTTTCCAGGGAGTCTTCTCTTCTCATGAGGTGGCCAAAGTATTGGAGCCTCAGCTTCACAATCTGTCCTTCCAGTGAGCACTCAGGGCTGATTTCCTTAAGAATGGAGAGGTTTGATCTTCTTGCAGTCCATGAGATGTATTTTATTTCTATTCAAATTAGAGCAATTATTTCTACCTTTATCGCTATGCAGAAAAATTAGAAAATACAAATTTATGTTTACTCTTCCTAGGTAATGCATAAGTTATTGGGTTGTTTTGTTTTTATTATGTAGTTTGTGATTTTATGTTGTAACCGCCCTAAGACCTGTGGGTATATAGTGGAATAAAATTTAATTAACAACAACAACAACCAGACTTCGGGGGCCCTTAGCATGGTGCCACCAATGAATGCCATTCTTAAAATACTTATTCATGAGCAAAAACCAGTGACCTGCAATTGTGGAATCTATGGAACATGGGTTTCCCTTGTTCTAGGTCTGCTGACACCCCCCCCCCCACACACACACACCTTTCTTGCAACAGACTTGTGCACGGTGCAAGCTAAGTGGGTGGGGATTCTTTCTGCTTCTGAAATCCCAAAAGAGGTGGGGCTCTGACTCAGTGTTTCTAGCACCTGCTGTACAGCTTTTACCCATTCCGAGGTCTGTAAATATCTTTCACTGCTGCATACCAGAAGTACTCTTTAATAGCATGTGTCAGGAATCCAGTGGTTTCTACAATGGGATCGCCTGCTGTTTTCCCTCAGGTAGGCATAATAAAACCAAGTGGTTACTATAGGGGCTCTGAATGTGCTGCGCTTACATGTATGCATGCTATTTCCTTTTTTTCTTATCTGGATTGTTGATACAAAGCCGGTGCTTCTTCCATATCACACAAGCCTTTGCAAGGGGGCAGCCTTTCATTAATAGACTGGCTATTTCCACATTATTAGTAACTGTGGCCTGAGAGGTACAAAAAGGGCAGAGTGTAAAGGAGAGCTTTTGCAAATGCAAAACTCAAATGTAATACTGTGCTCTTTATACAGCGAGGTGAAACGAGTAAAACAAGCAGGGCACATATCTTCAGGGTCACCCTCTCAGAATGCCATTAGCATCTGAAATTAAGCAGGAGACAACAAGGTCAGGCTTTTTCATTACTAGTGTTTTGATTATTCAGTTTCCATCCCTTAGGAAGTTGATCTGGTACCTAACTTGTTGGCTTTTAAGGGACAGGTTAAGATTTTGTTGTTGTCTCATGCAAGTTAAGTGAAATTATTGTTTTCAGATCTGATGGGGAAAGAAGCCACATTTTAAACATTGTAATATAGAATGCAATCCTCATTGGGTTCAGTGAGACTTAACATCCAGATTACTGAATATACAACTGACGCATAACTGCAGAATTATTATTACTGTATTTTTTCCATGTATAAGACTAGGTTTTTTCCTTTAAAAATAATGTAAAAAATTAGGGGGCGTCTTATACATGGATGCATCTCTTACCCCCATTTTCTTGAATCTGAGTCCCCAAAAATAGGGGGCGTCTTATACACAGGGGTGTCTTATAGATGGAAAAATATGTTATTTTATTTCTTTGTCTCTGAAGAATCTTATAATGGCAGTTGGCTGAACCTTGTCAATAGGGTTCTTTAGGCATATGTCTGGCTGCTTGTTTTCTAATGGGGTCAAATGTTTTTCATGAGTCAACTGATGTGATCTTGGGAGAAGCAGTCACTTGTACTCTCCATCACAGAGACTTCTGTGATTCAGTAAACACAGGGTGGCAATTTGTCCTGCTTTACAGAGGACATTCCTCTATTTGAAGGGTGGCTGGGTCCAAGTCCATTTTAAAGATAAATAACCCTGAGAAGGTAGAGCAGGGGAGCTAAAGTTGCTCACTAACCACTAGTACATAGACAGTGTTGTATTTCTATTTAAATTATAGCCACAATTTCTAAAATTGCGTCAATATGTCTACATTTTATGCAACTCTGTGTCCTTTTTTGTTATCTATTTAGTGATGAATATGTAGCCACCCTAAGTATTTTTTTTAAAAAAATGCAAATGTAACAAAGAAAGAGAGAAGAATGGGAAGGGGGGAATCTATCAGCTCACCCTAAAAATACAGTGACCGCCAATACATTCACCTTAATTTAAACATATGAATTGATATAAGTCCTCCAAATGCCAGATAGGTATCCACACAAAGCTGACGTTTATAAGGAAGGTGTTCAAATGTAGCAGGCACAGCGGGGCCCTCACACCATTGCATAATAGATGGGTATTTGCAGTGCCTTTTTCCCTTAAAAAAAATGTTTCGGGGTGTTCTCCTTTTCCTACTCATATTGAAATACTGCCCCTCAATGATGCCAAACTTGGATTCACAAAATGTTTAGGCGTATGCGTACCCACCCCCCCCCGAAAAAAGCACTGGGTATTTGTAATAAACACCCTTCAAGAATGGGAATTATGAGAAACGGAGGAAAACTTTATCACCCCTCCCACCCAACATTGTTCTTTCTCTTCTTTTTGGACAGATTCTAAATAGCAAAACAAAAACCTCGGGAGCTGTAGCTGTTCAGTGGATGCACCAGAATACTGTCCAACAGGATGCTGAATGCAAGGTACTGTTGCATGGAGAAGAACACAAAAGAGTGTGACTTAATTGAGGGTTTGTTTTTATTTTGAGGTATTTGAGCACACTACTTGCAAGGCCTCTGCAGCTGGAAGTGTGGAGCAATTTTATTGGCCAAATTCCCTGAGCATTCACACCTTGATTATTTTCTTTTCTTTTTAAATGGTTTCATAATGCATCTGTTTGGAAACAGGTTTCATTTGCTTCCTGGAGTTTCTGGCTGCTTAAGATCGCAGCCTATACATCTTTCGTTGGAAATCAGTCCGGCTTATTTCCACAAATTAGTGATGTCAGCAATGTTTGTAATTCCTTGACTTGGAATATGAAGCTCAGTTACAAAATATCCACCTTCAATACTAGGATGCACATTACAGGAGAAGAAGTCTCCTGACCCTTCCACCTCCTTTGCCTGGTGACATCTGCTTTGGTGGCAGCAGAAGAGAGGGGGGAGGTTTCTTTCTTTTCCTACTCTGTTCCATCTCTGTCCCCATGGTGCTTGGAGTGCTGCAACTGTACTGGGGGTGTGTGACAATTCTGACCAAATATTGAACACTTAGGCAGAAAAACAACAAACCATCTCCAAATGTTTTTCACCACATTCTTCATTTTTGCTATCTATCGAGTCCAAGACATTTTGGCACCTGAGGCGAATCACAAAATGGTTCTTCCCCCTTGCCAGGGGAGAAAGGGGTGAGAGAGGATTTATATCAGGAACAAGGAGGGAATAACAATCTACATCAGGAACAAGGAACAATGAATTTTTTTCAGTTCATATAGCAATTTTAAGGTGACAATTGGCAGTTGGTCACAACAATCCATGACTGGGCCTTCTTGGTTGTGGCACTACCAATTTTGGAATGCTCTTCCTAGGGAAAGTCACTGAGTCTGATATCCTTTTGGCACCAAGTTAAGAATTTATTTTTATTTTCCCAGACCTTTTAGTGTCTTTCATTTTATCTGGCATTTAGATTTTCTACTGCTCTGTTATATGTTTATTCAATTATTCTTGTTTAGGAGCTATAGGAGGATTTGGGCCTGGAAAGTTGTACACATAGAATACTTATACAAATACTCATAAATTACAAATTGAACCTGCGGTTGTTGATTTTCAGCACATGCACTCTGTGATCCATTTGGAAATAGTTTTAAAAGGCTCTTAAGGTCTATTCAGTGTACTATTCGATGTGGTGACCAGAGTTGGGAGGGAGACCTTGCTTCTTCCCCTCTCTCCACAGACATTGTTGCCACTGCTGTTGATACCACTGTGAATAAGTATGGTTTAAACGGGAAAAGGAAGGGCAATGTGTATATGTCTGCTGGGTGCATGGATAGAAGGGTAAACTAGGAATTCTTCTCTAGTGTGGATTTTAATCTGAAATGGAGAGAAATTTGAAACCTCATAATGTTCACTTTCTTTGAGATGGGCATTGTATTGCCAGAAAGCTTATGAATCACAAGAAGTACATTCAACACTTGAAAGGTTCATTTGTATATTTTGTCTTGTTCTGCAGAGTACAGAATCACCATGCTATCTGCTCACAGTAAGAATCATACGAATGTGGAATGTCCGCCGAGAAGATTATTGTAAGTATTTTCATTCTTTTACTATGGCTTCTTGTTATTCCAAAATATTGAGCATGCTTGAGCAATAATGTTAACCAAAGTTTTATATAACTTTGCTAATGCCATTTTATTGGTGAAATTAGTATTTCTGAACTTTTATGTGGTTTTCTCAAAAAATAATCTATACAGTGGTACCTCCAGTTATGAATTTAATTCATCCCGGAGGTCTGTTCTCAAACGAAAACCGCTCGTAACATGAGGCACGCTTTCTCTAATGGTACCTCCTGCTGCTGCCACGCTACTGGCATGTGACTTCCACTCATATTCCAGGGCAAAGGTTGCAACCAGAAGCATCTACTTCCAGGTTAGCGGAGCTCGTAACCCGCAGCATTCACAAGGGGGATGGTATGTAACATGAGGTTCCACTGTATAGGCACTGGTGGAGGAAGAGGAGTGGGGGGGGGAGCGCCCCGCCCCTGGCAACACAATCCCAGCAGGGTGCCATCGTGGCTGCCCCCCTGCCCGCGCCCCACCCCCCAAGACGCGCGCCAGCCCTGGTTGTAAAGTTGGGACTCCACAGCACCATGTGGTATCACAGTCTTATATTGCATATACAACACATATAAAACACTTTTTCTTTACCAATCTAGCCGAGTCCTAGGTGGCCTTACAAGCCACTATCTCTCAACCTCAATTTCCAGTCTATATTATGGGGACAATAATGCCAGCTGAATCACAGGGTTGACTTCTTTGTTTGAGTAATATGTGGGAAATACCTTGATCATACTAAAGCACTATATTAATTCTAAGAATTGTTATGGCAAAAGTTAACTCAGGAATAATAGGTTCTTCAACTAACATTCACCTCACTGTTGTACACATGAAAAGGGAAAAGTGGATATATAACTTCAGGGAAACTTTTTATGAACTAGGGGTAAAAATGATGTTGTTTTTCTACTTAGAAGTGCATATGTGATGTGCAGATATACTATGTGGGAAGTAATTATGGTAAACTTGGACATGTGAACATAGCCTTTGAAAAACTACAAAGTAAGCTGTAGCTATCAGATGTAGCTATTAATTCAGTTTTCCCCTGTGGGAGTATTATTGCATCTGATCTTCCCAACAATCGAGACAAAGAATGTTTCTCATCCACGTTAATTACATCTCTAATAAAGGACAACATAGGGACATAGCTACAAAAGTGTCCCTAACTAAAGCTTTAGAAAGGCATTTATAATTCATGTGTGGTGGATGTACCCAAAGTAAATACTACTGTTTAGCATCCATTTTATCAGTAGCCTAAAGTTCTATCTTAACTAGTCAAGTAAGAACATCAAATTGTGGTTTGAGCTTCCTTAGACAGTCATGGCTTAAAACTACTTGCCTGCTTTCATATTCTGAGTGCTTGTTGAGGCAGTGTATTCTGTCTTGATATCTGTGGAGGAACATAGGAAATTGTCCTTTACCAAGTCAATTGGTCCTTCTAGCTGGCAGCTGGCTGAATGGCTGTGCAAAGTTACAAACAGGAGCCTTTCTAGTCCTACCTGAAAGTGTCAGGGGTTGATTCTAGGAACTTTTGCATGTAACAGAGATGTTTACTACTGAGCTATGGCCCCTTCTCTAGGAGGCAGAACAATGGCTGTAACTATGGTCTGTCAGTTCACATGTCATCCTGACAAACTATGATTGTCTCAAACAATAGTTTGCAAAACACTTTCAGACTTCAAACCCTAATTCTGATTTCTAATTCTGATTTCGTGGACAACTGCAATTTGCTAATTCAGACATTATACTGAACTATTGTAAACTTCACTGGCATGATGTTTGAACTGAGCCAACACTGGTTGCTTCTGAAAGGTACCAACATTGGTCTCCCTTCTGAAAGTACCAACTTAGAGACTTAAAAAATAAATAAATACAAGAACATAATAAAATAATATTTTTAAAATTTATATCCCATCCATCTGGCTGGGTTTCCTCAGCCACTCTGGGAGGCTTACAACATATATAAAAACACAACAAAACATCAAACATTAAAAAATGAAATATCCTATAAAAGCAACAAACAAACCCATAAATCAATACAGCGGTACCTTGGTTCTCGAATGGCTTAGTTGCCTAACAAATCGGCTCCCGAATGCCACAAACCCAGAAGTATATGTTCCGGTTTGTGAACATTTTTCGGAAGCCAACCGTACAACACAGCTTCCACTTGAGTGCTGGAAGCTCTTGCAGCCTTGGTTTTCGAATGGTTTCAGGACTCAAACAACTCCTGGAATGGATTAAGTTTGAGAACCAAGGTACCACTGTAGAAACCAATAATAACAATAACAATAATAAACAGTTTACAGTTACACTCAAATTAAAATAACTGACAACCCCAACCAAGCATTTAACCAACACCAACCTGACAAAAATAAACCAGAGGAACCAAAATTAGAACCATTTAAAAATATTTTTGCCCGTTGGCCAAACCCAAGAGTTGTTCCAACAATGTCCCAGCGGTCTCCCGGGAGCCTCTTTTAGCTGTTTAAGGTGAGTCTGGGCTCTGCCTCCTAGGCCAGGTGGAAATGGGCCTTATAGCAGGGAGCAGTCTTCCTTCCAGCACTCACAGCAGCAGAATTGTGACAACAGTGCATAATTTCAGTCTCCTCATAGAAGCAGTGATGGTCTTTTTATTTATTTATTTCATTTGTTTGTCACCCTTCATCAGAAGATCACAGGGTGGTTCACAACCTGAGAATACAAAATGAGATTACAGAATACAAAACGAAAACAAACCAATGCCTCCATTCCCACAAACACATTTAAAAGGCCATGGAATGCTAACCAACCAAATGCCTGGCTGAAGAGAAACATTTTCGCCTGGCACCTAGAGATATGTAATGAAGGCCTCCCTGGGAAGAGCATTCCAGAAATGGGGAGCCACCACAGAAAAGGCCCTTCTCATGTTGCCATCCTCTGGACCTTTCACGCAGGAGGCACACAAATAAAGGTCCTCAGAGCCCGGGTTGGTTCACAGGGAAAGAGGCAGTCCTTCAGCAGTTCAGGGACTATCTTGTAGTTCATTTGGAACAGTGTCTTTTCGATTGAGTGTCTGGGTTCAACCTTGCCTAGACCTCTGACCTGAGATCTCCTCAGTGGAGGAGCAGGAGGAGGACTCCCTGCCAAACAGAACTCTTGCACTTTAGTGATCCCTGCCACAGGACTGGAAGTTCCTATATGAGCTGCTAAGATTCCTGGCTGTTTCTCATGCCCTCCTTTATCCGCCACAGGGCCACAAGAGCAAGACAGTGAGCCAGGCAGAAGTTTCAGAGCCACTGCTAAAGTGCAAGGCTAGCTGCATGTGAGGAGGGGGAAGTGCACAGAAACACCTGCCTGGATCAGGGCCTGACTGAGAACTGGGGAGGGATGGAGTCTACGGCTTCTATATAAACTCCCAGTCTGAGCTACTTCATTGTGCAATAGTCCCAGCCTGGGTGAATAGATGTTGAGCCAAGTCAGATTAGGCTTTCTGAAACAATATGTAAATCGAAGCCCAGCCATCCTTCAGCATTTTCACTTTTCCAAATTCTGCACTGCAGTTTGCAAGCCAACTAATGTGTTAAAAAATGCTTACTGTGTGGCAAGGTATGCATAAAAATGTATAACAGTGAAAGTAGCATGCAGTAATATGTAAATTAGCAGGCAAATTTGCTTTGCCCAAATATTGAGAGAAATTTTTGCAAAAAGGCTGATGAATTGTCATGAGGGAAAGAAAGAAAGAAAGAAGAAAGAAAGAAAGAAAGAAAGAAAGAAAGAAAGAAAGAAAGAAAGAAAGAACAACCCAGAAACTGATGTGAAGTGTGGAGAATTGAACTTAAGAATGGAAAAAATGAGAGAATGAGAAAAGCCCAAAATGACAGATTCACCCTAGTACAGCTATCTGACAATATAAAGGAAGCAGTGCTTCTCTTATGACTAGATCAGCTGGATGCTATCAACTAGGGTAAAGAATTCTTGGTAGTTCAATCATTTAAGGCAAGACAAAATCTCTATAAAAGCGCCACTGCATTTACAGAGTATATTCTTGCGGTTTCATGGTTTTTTCCAGCTGGGTGAGGCAGCAAGTATTGCAAAATGTGCCCTCTTACTTAAAACTGTATGGGTTTTCAGATGCTTTAGATATTCCCATCTTGCACAACTGGATTTCCATATATGCAGGTAATAAAAACAACTGCCACCAAGCACATTTCTGCATCTCACATCTTCGTCTAAATCAGAACAAGGCTACTAGTTTAAGAGTGCAATCCTATGCATGTCACCTCAAAAGTGAGCCCCATTGAGTTAAATGGGACAGGATAGGATTGAAAAGTCTCAACAGTTCAAGTTATGTTGTAGAGCTTTGAAGCAAGACTACTCCAAGGTAAGTCCTGTTGAGTTCTGTGTGGCTTAATCTCAGGTAAACGGATATATGATACCAGGCTGCAATGAGTATATCCACTTACCTGAGAATAAGGTCCACTTAATTCAATGGGATTTATCTTTAGTAGACATGTATAGGATGCACTGCTCTTCTTTTTAGCATTAGATAATAAACACAAGCTCACCGCTGGCTAGTAAGGTTGTTACTGCATGCAGTGAGCCACCAAAACTGTAGTAATTTCAGTGGCCCTTTAGAAATGGCAGTGAAGAGATGATCTCTGGTTAGCAAGGACAACTTCAGTAGTGCGCAGAGAGTAAACCAGATTGGATTGGGTTCAAGACTGATTGGAAGAGAGAAAATCAAGACAGCAGGAGTGAATTAAGATGCAATGGGAAAGAAGCTCAGCTGGCAGTGAGATGGTGAGGATGGGTAAGGCTTTTGGGAAAAGGGGTGATGAAGAAACAGTGACAAAGATGAACAAGGTAAGGAAAGAGTCGGAGAAGAGAAACAGTTGGGTGATGTGGGTGGGTGATACTCTGGAAGAGGCAGCAGATAATAGGATAAAGATCGGGTGGCAGTTCAGGTGAGGACAGCAGAGTGATTCTCTCATCATGAGATACTGGGGTAAGAGGGGACGTGGGTGGAGCTGTGGTCTAAACAACTGAGCCTCTTGGGCTTGCCGATCGGAAGGTTGGCGGTTCGAATCCATGTGATGGTGGTTAGCTCCCATTGCTCCATCCCAGCTTCTACCAGCCTAGCAGTTCAAAAGCACACCAGCGCAAGTAGATAAATAGGTACCACTAAGGCAGGAAGGTAAATGGCATTTCCATGCACTCTGGCACTTGTCACAGTGTTCCGTTGCACCAGAAGTGGTGTAGTCATGCTGGCCACATGACCCGGAAATCTGTCTGGGGACTAATGCCAGCTCCCTTGGCCTGAAAAGCAAGATGAGTGATGCAACCCCATAGTCACCTTTGACTTCCAGGGTCATTTACCTTTACCTTTTTTACTGGGGGGATAGCAAAGAAGTTAGGGAGATGGATGAGGGTCATTGAATAGAGGGGTAGAAATATTGTGGAAGATGGTATCAGTTTTATAAGTGAAGGTGATGAGTTCCTGGCACAGGAGAGGCAGGTGTTACTGGAGCAGCAAAGATAAGGAAGAGGCTCCAGAGGATTGTTAGCAGGGGTGTGGATCAGGGTGGTGTAATGTTGTTTGGCCACATAAATGACAGAGGAGAAGGAAGTACAGCATGAATGTAAAGTGAGCCTTTTGATTTCCTTCATCCTCATTTAGCAGCCTGAGAGAATGAGTAGAAATTACAAAAGAAAGCAGCAAGCTGAAGTTAGACGCCAAGGGCACAAATTTATCATGCCTACAGATGCAAAGAGGTTGGGGGTTGGAAAATGTATTATTAAACACATCTGCATCCCTGAAGATGCTTTTTTGAAACAGGTTGGGCTCAGCAACATTATTTCAGTGCACCCAGAATCTTCTCTCTCTCTCTGTCTCTCTCTCCCACCTGAGGTCAACAAGTTAGAAAGAAAGAAGGCAAGCTGAGGTTTATAAGATACATAAGAAGGTGGAATGGAGGAATGGGGAACAACATCCCACAGCAACAGAGAGTAGAGGCCTAAATAATGGCTTTTGAAAGCTTCTGAAGCAATAACAGGGAACACATTCTCTCCCAACTGCCTGCCCTTATTGAAACATGGCCGCCCCTCCTCTGCTGCCCTGTCATTTGGAGGCCTCTCTTCATCCCACACACCCTGCTCCAGAGTGCCAGAAACGCAGACCTCTTGCCTAATCCCTGTTATTGCTTCAGAACTTCCAGAGGGATAGCCATGTTATTCTGTTGCAGCATAAAGAATATAGATTCTTTATGCCTCTTAAATGCAAATTTATTAGGACACAATCCAGCTTTCGTCAACCTGGTAACCTCCAGATGTTTTTGGACTACATTTCCCATCAGCTCCAGGCTATGCTGATGGGGCTGATGGGAGTTGTGGTCCAAAAATCTGGAGGGACCCAGAACTAGAGCCCACTTTTACCCGATGCATGGAGTGTTATGCTAAATTGGGAGGTATGTGTGTATGTGTGCGTACGATAGATGTTCTTTTGTGTATAGATGTGCGTGCATGCAAATACAAAACGTCTGCAAACTTATTATATTATATCTCAGGCTTTTTCTCTCCAAGGAACTCAAGGTGTTTTTCACACTTATCCCCCTGTCCATTGAGCCTCACAACAACCCTGTGAGGTAGGTTAGGCTGAGAGGCAGTCATTGACCCAAGTTCACCCTGTGGCCTTCATGGCTGAGTGGGGAATTTGACCCCTGGTTTCCCACCAAACCATACACTTCATGCATCTGATGAAGTAGACTATAGTCCACAAAAACCTATGCCATGATAAATGTGTTAGTCTTTAAGGTGCCACAAGACTCTTCTTTGTTACACATCAGAGTATAACTTTGTTAAACTCTAAACTGATTCTGATTTTCACCTAATAATGTGCTGGAAAGGAGCCAATCTGTGTGTTTAGTGCACAAACATAGAAAGAGGGAAGTCTCCCTAAACCCAGGGACGAAACTAGGCTTTATTTCACCTGGATCAAAGACCCAATTTGGCAATCCCTCTCTACACACATTTGCGTACACACACAGGCTGAGAGCCTCAATGGTGCCCCTCTGGAGGCTTCCCCTGGGGCAAAAATCCTGGCTAGACCCACCCTACATAGCTATGGCTCTGCATGGTCCCCAACTTCTTTTCACAAAGTCATAAATGGGCACCAAATAGGTCATTCATTCAGAAGCTTCTTTGGCTAGGAAGGCACTAAGGAGGTCAAAAGAGTGACCACAGCAAAGTTGCAGCCGGATCTTGATAAGATGCAGATGAGGCACAAAACAGAGCACATTTCCTGGTTGGCAATGTCTGACAATGCCAAATGTGCAACCACAAGCCTTTGCTCAGTAGGATGGTTGCAAATAGGCAGGAAAAGTGCCTAATTGAACCTGCTGCTTCTTAACCCACACAGGAATTTAAAAAGAGCAACAGCTGTTTCTTTAGTTAGCCAAGAGATAATCTCATCGCCTATATTTCCAGTGGGGTAACTGTTTTTGTCTCTTGTGGCAAAAATAGTGCCTGGCTTACTCAGCATGTTACGTTCTACTCAAGATGCGAACAGGGCTCCAGAAGAGATCCCGTTCGCATCCAGAGGTACCACTGTAATGACCTCTTGAATGAGATTTGCAGAAGTAAACATTGCTCCCCGCCCAGCCTTTCTCTCTTTTAAAAATGATTTGCCATACATTTTCAAGAATTAAAATGTGTCTGCATAGTTTTCAGAGCTTGCTTCTCATGCTCATGATTGGGAAACAGCAAAGCAAGAGCAACTAGGCATTGTAATCAAGAGCAACTAGAGTTAGTCCTGGATTTACAGAAGCCATCCCAGTTTCTGTTTTGGTCCCGGAATGTCCCACTTTTCCTTAGGACAGCCCTACTTTCATCAGAGAAATGTTGAAGGGTATGGAGTTATGCAATCCCCAAGCCAAGGAAATAAGTAACTATACAACCTTTAGAAGACATATAAAGGCCTTTAGAAGACATCTAAAGTATAGGGAAGTTCTGAAATGTTTAATGTTTTATTATGTTTTTGTATAAGTGGCTGGGACAACCCAGTCAGATGGGTGGGTTATAAACAGTAAAATTACTATTATTATTATTATTATTATCATTATGGAATAGGACATCCCTATTTTCATTGCAGAAATGTTAGAGGCTATGTTGTAAGTCATTAACCATGATTTACGAACTGGGCCACTGCTCCCAAAGATCAAGCTCTCCTCTTGCAATAGTTAAGGGACACGTGGTACACCTTGAAAACATTGAATCTGCTACCCCCACAAGATTGAACTAAATCTTCAGTCTAATCCAGTATGCTAATCTCATTTTGGCCATAATTAAAACTATGAATTACTCCATATTCTCCCCTACAGTAAGTGAAACAGATTGTTATGTGACTTTGTGGCTGCCTACGGCTTCATGTGAGAAAGTTCGGACCAAAACAGTGGCAAATTGCAAAGATCCAGTATGGAATGAAACATTCTACTTCAGGATCCAGAGCCAAGTTAAGGTAGGATAAAAGATGGTATATGCATAGGTTCCTCTAGGAGAAGCATCTCCATGTTGCCCTAGTTATTGCTCTTCTGCATCGGTGATTACTTCTTTGTGTCACTGACTTTAAACTATGTACTAAAGAGTCCCTTCTAAATAAACCTAGGCTAGGATCTTGGCTTCTCCTTTATCGCAGCTTCCTTTCTTTTGCTGCCACCATTTTGAAAAGTATCTGCTATTCACGTATACACGTGCTGTACGGTCATTATATAATGCAATGCAATACAGATCTCCACATTATTAGTTGTTCTACACAGGAGTCAGACCAGTGGCCTATCTAACACAATATCACCTACAGTGTCCGGCAGCAAGTAACTCTCTAGGGGTCTTTTCAGTTTTACTACCTGAGATTTTTATTATTATTATTATTTTAACTAGAGATGCCCTATGATTCAATTTGGGGCCCTTTCTCATGTAAGCGAGTACTCCTGTTTGATAGAGCCTTCCCACAGGTATACGTAGCACACTTCTGTTTCTCCTTTGTAGCCCACGGTTGGACTAAAATAGCCTTCTCTCTCTCTCTCTCTCTCTCTCTCTCTCTCTCTCTCTCTCTCTCTCCCTCCCTCCTTCTCAGCTTTGTGTTTCCATTATTCATTCATAATACTTTTTAATTTCTGATTCCAGAATGTTTTAGAATTGACCGTATGGGATGAAGATGTTATTCGAGATGATGACTACCGTGTCATTTTATTTGACATAGCTAAAGTCCCCTTTGGAGAATCAGTTTTTATGAAATTTGAATTGAATCCCCAGGTGAGCATGCATAGAGATCAATCCTTAACTGAGCTTTCTTTGCATTTCTCACATATTGTCCTGCCAGGTACAGGTAGGTTTAGAACACTACAACACACACGTAACTGGCTGTAAAGTAACATAACATTATATGTAATAAAACTGTAATTTAATCGTCATATCAAAAAATTGCAAAGCACAGTTCCTGATGGCAATAACATATCATATTACTATTAACCTTCTATATGTATTATTGTCGTAAAGTCCAAAGATTGTCAAGTCCAACAATTACAACGTACAGTTCCTGTTGGCAATGCCATTTCATACTGATATCTTCCTTCTGCATCATCCTATGTCTTAAAAGTGTAACAAACAAAACTTCCTTCTGCATTGTCCTATGTCTTGAGAGTGTAACAAATGGAACTACTTAGTGACAACAAGGCAGCTGAGAATAGACCAATTCTTAGGATACACCCTTGTTTTGCCCATCGGGCTTCTTCAGTGACAAGGTTTCCGGGAAATTTTTCATTAGGTTTTTTCAGCCGAAAGTAGTCCACAGGAACGCAGAAGTTGCTAGTCAGAGACGCTCTGGTACCTAGAATCACAGAATCATAGAATCATAGAGTTGGAAGAGACCACAAGGGCCATCGAGTCCAACCCCCTGCCAAGCAGGAAACACCATCAGAGCACTCCTGACATATGGTTGTCAAGCCTCTGTAACCTCAGGCTACAGATGCTCCAGGTTACAGACACTTCAGGTTACAGACTCCGCTAACCCAGAAATAGTACCTCGGGTTAAGAACTTTGCTTCAGGATGAGAATAGAAATCGTGTGGCGGCGGTGGGGCGGTGGGAGGCCCCATTAGCTAAAGCGGTACCTCAGGTTAAGAACCGTTTCAGGTTAAGAACGGACCTCCAGAACAAATTAAGTTCTTAACCCGAGGTACCACTGTACAGGTGGTAGCCGTGTTGGTCTGACATAGTCAAAATAAAAAAATAAAAAAATTGTCCAGTAGCATCTTAGAGACCAACTAAGTTTGTTCTGGGTATAAGCTTTCGTGTGCATTCACACTTCTTCAGATACTTCTAGACCAAGGATGAGGAACCTATATTCCCAGAACTGCTCTCTTCTCCAAACCATCTTTGCCATGCAACCTAACACCCTCATATGTGATTAGCCTCCCTCGTGAAATTGGCACCCTCTAACAATTAGAGCTTCCTACTCATTAGATACAAAACCCAACAAGAGATACCAAGGTATCGCAATATGTGGGACATGTCTGCTCAATGGCCATTCAGCCTACTAAGTCTGCTGATAGGGCTGAAGAGGGTCAGTGGCAGAGGAAGGGGGGTGCAGTAGGTGCGGGCCACCACGGATGTCACCACTGAGGGGGGTGACAAAATGCCGGGCGGCACTCACCGCAAGGCTGCAGAGATGCAGTGGCTTGGGCGTGTGCAGGCTCCACGATACCCAAACGGTCCGCCTGCTGCCTCCACCCCAGCTGTAGGGCAGCTGAGTGGGAGGAGGCAGGCAGACTTCGGAGGCCCCGTGGTGCGCCCTGCCCCTATGGGCGGCTCACCCCGCCCCTGGGCACGCCGCCCCAGGCACCTGAGCGGCTTCCTCTGCCACTGAGAGTGGTACTACATATCAAGGTGAGATTACCACATGGATCCATCCGGATCCTTAAATCCAAACACTTTATTTGAAAAGGCCATCTTTTAAAAAAGGAAAGAAAATGTGCACACTGTGAAAAAAAATTACATAAACCAGAGGCGGGTTACCTGTGGACCACCAGATACTACTGAACTACAACTCCCATCATCCCTTGCCTGCACGGTCAATGGCCAGGGGTGATGGGAGTTGTAGTTCAGCAACATATGGAGGACCACAGGTTAGCTGCTCTGAGTGTGAAGAATTTGGGATATTCACTGTTTCTGATGACCTAGACAGCAAACAAATATGAAAAGAGGAATCCGTAAAGCTAATATATAGGACTCATAGTTTAACAGCAGCAACAAACCTGACCTTATTGTGCACATCTGAACATACAAACATGGGATGTTAAACCTCTGTATTTAAACAAACATGGGATTGTTAAGCCTTGCAAATTGCGATTGGGCATCATATTCAAAAGGGTGAAAACAGACCTGAAAGCAGCAGTTCTGCATGTTTTTTCAACTGCCCTATGGTGTGGTGCAATGGGTCAGTGCATCCAGCTATTAACCAGAAGGTTGGTGGTTTGAGCCCACCCAGGGAGGCTGGGGGCAGGATTCCTGCACTGCAAGGGCTTGACTAGATGACCCTTGGGTGCCTTCCAATTCTACAGTTCTGTGATTCTATGAAAGGAAAAAAGGGTGTGAGAGAGAGGAGTGCTTTTCAACAAGTTCATTTTCTTTTTCAAGTTCAATTTTCAACTTTCAGTTTTAATTTCTGCAATAAGATCGGGGGGGGGGGGGGTGTTGATCTTTGATATGTCACATTCCATGCCAGGAAAGACAAATTCTCAATGTCTATGGAACAACTATTTGCAAAATTTGTGCCATTTATGCTGCATTCTAATTTTCAGACACATGAACAATTGGAGGTTGAATTCGCACTGGAGAATATGTAAGTAACCCAAGTACTGTAGAAACCAATTGCTATAGAAGCCTGTCTGCTGCAATGAATTGTATTCTCTTGTTTTTATTTTATTTTATTTTATTAAGAATAAGGTATCTTGTGTTACTCGGTGTATTAATGTTCGCTTGGTATTTCATCGGCAATAATTTGTAGCCCAGCGTGGGATCATCTTGTATGTTGGAGAGTGGGACAGAAATGTTTTAAATCTAAAAGTTACCATCAGCAGCTAATGGCCATAGAATGAGCCCAATTGTATAAACTTGCTATTTATAAAAATTCAAGGCGATGCAATTCAAATTAGCTATCCATCTCCCTTCCCTGGTATAAGTGAGGAACTTGTTAATGGGGGGATGTTTTCCTTTCTTTCAACACATGTGCCTACGTAGCAAATAAAACGCACCTTAGCGTGCCTTCAGATGTCAACTTTGCCTGTCATGATTTCCATAAACTGGAGAGCAAAAGACGACTTCCTCATAAGAACTCTGATTTACATAATGCTTCCTCTTCTCCTTGCACTAATCCTTCCTGTGCATCTGGATTAGCAGAGGCCAGAATTTCTTCATCAGTACTGATTCCCTCAGATGTCTAGTTTGCATGTGCCTGGCATACAAATACAATAATGTATTGCTTTAGCTCAAAAGCACTATGATAAAATTGACATCAGGGATTTGTACCATTTCATCAGAGTCTTCCCCTTGGGTTACTATTGGGTTACTACTAAGAAGAGTATTCAAGCTGCCATACTCAACCTAACAGTAAGTCTCATTGAATTCAGTGGTGATTACATCTGAGTAGGCATGCATAGGATTGTACTGGAAACAATTTAAAAAAAAATAGAGCAGTATTATTTTGAAATAATTGCCTGGTGTCTCCTACAAGAACTAAGCTGTCGATGCAAGGCAGAAGTTAGGGATGGGTCATATTGCTACAAGGTTCTGAATTTCCTTGTCCTGGGAATTTTGCAAGAATAAGTAGTGTGTCATGCTAGAGTCACGGGCAAAGAAACGTGGTGATGACAAAACGGACTAGATTGCGGTGATGTGGCAGTAAGATGATCTGAAGGATCTACGAATTAGAACACTGACCTGATTAACCCAGTCACTTGGCTTTTGTATTTTGAAATCCTCATCAGTAGAGCATGCCTAAAATCTGCTTAATATGATGATTGCCATCGTTGCTGCCATTCACAAGCACAGCCTTGCCCTCTGGCTGAAACCAAACCTTTCCTGCTAAGCAGTCAGAATTTAGGAACTCTTTTCCCGGAGTGACCAGGGACTCAGCTATACAGCTGCAAATGAAACATTTTAAGTGTGTTTGTAAAGTGCATTATACAGATGTGACACTAGATGGCGATGGCGAGCTATGGCAAATTCAATTTATTTTTCAAAACGTTTTTTAAAAAAGCATTTTCACAACTTTTTTTTTTTTTAATGTGTGTGTAGATTCCACCTAGGGGTGATGCCACACCACCAGTCTCCTGATAGTGTTGTTGATGTTACTTACCAAAACTAGGGAGGAGCAGGGCAGCGGAGGGGGTCAGGACTGGAAGAGCCAATCCCACCTGCACTCACATGCATCTTGACCTCACTGCTCTCCCAGCCCCACACCATTCTGGTGATCAAAAGCAATGTCTCTGTTGGGAAAGCAGCAGGGCTGGCTAGTGCTGGGGGTGGTAAACAGCAAAAGGAAAAGGGCAAAGTTAAATTCTAAGACATAAGTTGACTGTTCAGCTCTAAGTTATGTTGAACAATTGTGCCTTAAATCATTCAAGTTGTAACATCATCTATATATATGTATATTTATTTCCTAGATGTGGTCCAGCTGAAACCATCATTACAAATGGAACAATAGTGGTAATTTCCATTTCTTCATGTATTTACTGTGCAATATCTCTGGGTTGCAGGAACTCTGTAAGCTACCTCTACTTAATGTTGACTGAACAAGATCCTGAGTGAAAGTGTGAAAGAGAAATATTAGATATGGGTATGGTGGAATATTGAATACTGAAATGCAAGCATCACACAGTGTATGGGAGAAACTGCAGCTTTCTCTCCTCCCCCCCCCCTTTTTCATTCACACTCTTATGATATGCATACCATGGGAGCCAAATCAGATGTTACCAAATCAGAAAAATAAGTTTTGGGTGGTCAGAACTCAACTTGGCTACAGTAATATTTGAATTGGCTTCCCATGTGAGTTGACTCAATCATGTGATAAGTGCTCACAACAGGTTATATACCAGAAATGGAATGTATGCATTGGCCCATACAGATAAATGCCCAAACTGTGTCAAAAGAACCTTGATGTATGGAATAGTGAAATGAATGAATCTCAGTATTAGGACACCATGAGACAGCAAAACCAAGCAGCTGCAATGGACTAAAATCTTCAAGACATGATGAACAATTCATTGCAAATGTCGCCCATCATCTTTTCCTTTCAATGCCATCACTAGGTTTCAAAGAGGTACAGACAGAGAGAGAGAGAGTGCACATCCAGGTTTTTTTTTAGAGCTACCCTATTTTTAAAAGTGTCATTTCTAAACACCGGAAGTACTCTTTGAGCTCTCACTTTGAAAAGCAGTCAGTGACTAGGCACAAGAACTCTGGGATCTGTCTGTGTACATTTGTTAACTCTTCTTTATATAGTAAGTTATGGAGAGGTAATTAACATGGGACCCTCTAGGTGTTAGACAACAATTCCCATCATATGTCTGAAAATTAGCCATGCTAGCTGGACCGGATGAGAGCTGAGTTCAATAACATCTGGACGGTATCACATTATACTATCTAGTAATAAAATTGCCTTCAGGTTTTGGGCAATATTTGTAGTGGCTGCATCCCAAAAAAGCCCACTTATAATTAGGTAATTGTGAAAGTGGGCCTTCACACATCTGAGAATTTAGTTTAGGAAAAAGCCATGTCTTTCTCCTCACAAAGCAGGCCTTGCATCATGCAACTACTGCTGTCAAGTAATATCTGCTTGGGGGTGGGGTGTGGTTCACATTTTCTAGAACAGTTGCTAAGTCATTTATTAACTTGATGAATCTCCAGAGCTCATAAGTTTAATCCAATCAATTAAAAGCATCGTGTGAGAACATGAATATATAGTGCTTTCTTTCTGGGGGGACGCAGGGGTACACATACCCCTAAACATTTTGTGAATCTTTGTACTTTTGTCCATTTACTGTATTTATTTTCCCTGGTTTAAACTAAAAAATGGTGATTTTCTTGAGTCAAAATGAGAGTACCCCTAATCATTTTTTTTTCATTTTGTTAAGAAAAAAAGCACTGAATATATGGCATTTGGCCAAATAAATTAAGTTTGTGGTTGCATAACATTCATGGCGCAAACTGTGAGATGAAAAATGTTATTCACTGCTTTGTGGGTTGCTTCTGTTGCAGTGTCGTGAACTTTGCTGTTTAGAGGTTCAGGCGGATCGAAGGAAACGGAAGAAAAAAAAGAATACGTATTTTAAACGTGAGGGTTATTCCTTCATTAAATGCTTTTCCACACTACCACCCATTAGACCGGATGATAGAGGCCTCAGGTTTGGAGTTCAGGTGCTAGGTCCAGTCTGGAATGGGTAAAATTGCTAGCAAACACACTCAGGCATTTTGCTGACGTGGCTTCTACCTTAGATGGTACTATAGTATACTCTGAAATGTCAACAGCCCAGACTGAAAGAGTCAAGTTTAATGTCTTCAACCTCTGTCCTGGTGAGCACACCACATTACACCATGGTGTAAAACAAACTATGGTTTAATGTGAGGAAGCAGCTTCCATGGCACACCTATGAAACAAATCTGAGCCTGAGCCTGTGGTGTGTTTCTCTCTCAAAAACCAAGGTTTGTTCTTGACTTGCCACCAGAGGGTTGTATGGGGAAAGCGGTTGAGGTGGCAGGGCAGGTGGGGAGCCCATGGCGGTGGTGCCTCAGGAACTTCCTTAATGGCTGAGCCAGCTCTGGTACCATTTCTCTATAAAATCCCTGTTGTCTCTCCTTCCTGTTAAGGCTTTAATTTCCTGGATCAATTTTTCTGAAAGTGCTATAGTCCGAACTTTTTGGACTATAGCAGCATTTGTAAGAGTCTGTCACATTTATTAAACTCCAGAGTGCCCCCCCCCCCCGTTCTTGAAATGCCCATTTCCCCAGATTGGGACAAGGCAGATTTTGATGTAGAGATGAACTGTTAGGCTCCATGAAATGGTTTTTAAGGTTATGTTTCTAAGCATACTTACAGTGCGATCTCATGTGTCTTCTCAAAAGTAATCCCCACTGAGTTAAATGGACCTTAACCATAGGCAAGTGTGCATAAGATTAAAGTCTTAGCTGTAGATACATTCCATGTACTTTTCTGGGATCAGGATGTAGAACAAAATGCTAAACAGAGTTAATTGGAGCTAAGACCCACTGAACACAGTGCAGCTTACTTGTAAGTAAATATGTATAGGCTTGCACTGTCATTTATTCATAAACCTCTGTAACATTTTTCACTATAATGAACAAAACAGCATAAAAAACTTTCATGAAATGCATGTCTCAATCCACATGAAGAGATCTCAGTGGCATGGAGGTTGATATTATTTCTGATATGGTTGCAAGTGGTGCTGTGGTCTCAACCACTGAGCCTCTTGGGCTTGCTGATTGGAAGGTCGGCAGTTCGAATACCTGCAATGGAGTGAGCTCCTGTTGTTTTGTCCCAGCTCCTGCCAACTTTGCAGTTCGAAAGCACACCAAATGGCATTTCTGTGCGCTCTGGCTTCTGTCACTGTGTCCCATTGCACCAGCAGTGGTTTAGTCCTGCTGGCCACATCATCATCATCATCATCATCATCATCATCATCATCATCATAAATTTTATTTATATCCCGCCCTCCCCAGCCGAGGCCGGGCTCAGGGCGGCTAACAACAATAAAACAATACAGTGGTGCCCCGCAAGACGAATGCCTCGCAAGACGGAAAAACCGCTAGACGAAAGGGTTTTCCGTTTTGAAGTTGCTTCGCAGGACGAATTCCCCTATGGGCTTGCTTCGCAAGACGAAAATACCTTGCGAGTCTTGAGATTTTTTTCCGCTTCCCCCTTTATCTAATCTGCTAAGCCTTTAATAGCCTTTAATAGCCTTTTAGCAGCTAATCCCCTAAGCCTTTAAGCCTTTAATAGCCGCTAAACCGCTAATAGCGCTAATAGCGCTAATCCGTCAATGGGCTTGCTTCGCAAGACGAAAAAACCGCTAGACGAAGACTCTCGCGGAACGGATTAATTTCGTCTTGCGAGGCACCACTGTACAAAAGTACAGTATAAACAACACTCTAAAATCATTCATTATAAAATTAATTAATTCAAGCCACTGGCAACCATTGGGCCAGAGCTCCGCGAAGATTGCCGAGGGAGGGAGTCAGGCTGTGCCCTGGCCAAAGGCCTGGTGGAACAGCTCTGTCTTGCAGGCCCTGCAGAAAGATGTCAAGTCCCGCAGGGCCCTGGTCTCTTGTGACAGAGTGTTCCACCAGATCGGAGCCACAGCTGAAAAAGCCCTGGCTCTAGTTGAGGCCAGCCTAACTTCTCTGTGGCCTGGGATCTTCAAGATGTTTTTATTTGAAGACCGTAAGTTTCTCTGTGGGGCATACCAGGAGAGGCGGTCCCGTAGGTACGAGGGTCCCAGACCCAGAAAGCTGTCTGTGGACAAACGCCGGCTCCCTTGGCCTGAAAGCCAGATGAGCGCCGCAAGCCCATAGTCGCCTTTGATTGGACTTAAACGTCCAGGGGTCCTTTACCTTACCTTTTATTATTTCTGATGTTTGGGTTTTTTGTTTGCTTTTTTAAACTGCTCTGCTTTCTTTTTTCAATAATGTCCTCTTTTTCTTTTCTTTTTTTAGAACAAGATGTCAGATGTACATTGAAAGGATCCTTTGAAGGAACTCAAAACATTTCATTAGGCTGTGTCTCCAACTTGCATTTCACTGATCCTTCCCTTTTCCACTATGCCAGGTTTAAGCAAGCAGAACTGGATGTTCTACTCCCAAAGAAGAGGTCACTTCCCACCTTTGTATGTCATAGCTGAGCATGGTAGTAACCTGGATAATTTTAGTTAGTCGCGCCTTTTATTGGGAGAGGTGTTTTTAAAAAGCAATTCTGTTTTTAAAGAGGCAATCTCTTTATTTTCAGTGTTGTTGTTGCAACTCATGTGGAGCTAACGCTTACAAAAACAGGAACCTGACTCTGCCTCTGAATGCACTTCCCACTGATCAAGATATAATCAAAGAAGTAAGTACTCCTTCTCAGCCCCTCTGTACTTACGCTGCAGTGTTCAACGGGGGTCTATTCTTTCTCCCATGCTTTTGGACATCTATAGGAAGCCGCTGAGAGCCATCATCCAATTATTTGAAGTCAGGTGTTCATCAGTGTGTGAATGGCACCCAGCTCTGTCTCCATTCCATCTGAGTAACCAAACAAACCCCTGTGTTGCAAAGAGAACGTCAGCAACGTCTAGGCAACACGATGACACGTGTACATACGCAATAGACAATCTTTATTCCTTCAAACCATAACAAGTACAAAATGAAATCTTTAGTCTCAAAGTCTCAGAAAATCTTTAAATGAAGCGAGGTACCAGACTTTGTATGATGAAAGACAAGCTGTGAAGCTTTGCGTATTCAGCAAATATGATGTCCAGCACTGAACAGTGATTCCGGATATTGACTACTGTTTCGTAGAATTCTTCATCAGCGTGGTGGGCGGATGTAGAATTGCTTCATAAACCCATCTTATTTCGAATGAATGTATGTAAATGAAAATATCAAATGCTGAGGAACAGTGCTCATGTAATAATGTAGTCACTGGGTTTATGAAGCAATTCTATATCCTCCCACCATGCTGACGAAGAATTCTACGAAACAGTAGTCAATATCCGGAATCACTGTTCAGTGTTGGACATCATATTTGCTGAACAAAGCTTCACAGCTTGTCTTTCATCTTACAAAGTCTGGTACCTCGCTTCATTTAAAGATTTTCAGAGACTTTGAGACTAAAGATTTCATTTTGTACTTGTTATGGTTTGAAGGAATTCTATCAAGATTGTCTATTGCGTATGTCCATTCCATCCATCTGAAGCAGGAGCGTCTGTGTGGATGCTGGACTGTGTCTAGAGGTAGTAGCAGGCTGGATGAGGACCAATAAACTGAGACTGAAACCTGATAAGATGGGGGCTTTTCCTGGATCCAGGAGCTGTGCAGAGGGCCTGTTCCAGACAGAATTGCATTCTTCCTGATAGAACAGGTGCATAGCTTGAAGGTGCACCTTTAGCCATCATTGTCGCTGGAGACCCAGCTGGCCTCAGTGGCTATGAGAGGCTATTCCTAGTCCAGCTATGGCCCTTCTTGGTCCACCATAGCCAGACTATAGAGGTACATGCTCAAATAGCATTACATTTAGACTAGGAATGGGAAACCTTTCCCTTCTGAACATATTTTTGAGAGCCACATGCCAGTGGTGAGTAGGGGGGACCAGAGGCGAAGATTGACAGATCAATGAATATAAGCTTAACCTTTGTGCAGCAGGCAGGCAGGCACACACACACACACACACACACACACTCCACACCTCTGTCCTCCATCTAAGCAAAACATACAAAAGAACTGAAGCAACCACAGACAGTTTAAACAACATATTATATATTATATATTATATATTATATATATTATATATTATATATTATATATTATATATTATATATTATATATTATATATTATATATTATATATTATATATATTATAATGCTATATATTATAAAATACAGTTACATGTAAAAATACTGCATTAATATGAAGTTACTAATATCTACAAATCAATATCCATTCATTTTCCTTCTGTCACACCCTCCCTCTCCTCACCCAGGGTCCAAACAAACTCTCAGCATACCAGATGGGCTGGTGGAGTGTGTGGTCTGGGAAGATGGGGTGTGGTTGAGGAGGTGTAGCCTTGGGAGATCTGACCTCTGGGCCTGAGGTTCCCACCCCCAGTTTAAACTATTGCAGTGTGATCTATGCTGGTACAGAATGTGACTACCATGTTATTAGCCAGCAGTACTAAATGTTCACAGATCCTCAAGGAGTTACATGGGCTGCCTATTCACTCCTAGTCCCAGTTTGTATTCCAGAGTTAACACTTAAAAGTTTTATATGCCCTGGGATACAAATATTTGAAGGAATGCCTTTCACACTACCTGCTGATCCATTCCTTAAGGTTATTTAGGGAGGCACTGCCTGTTGTTCCCTCAGTGGGTACAGTTTGTTGTATGACAGCACAGAGCAGGGCCTTCTCTCTTGTGGCAACCCACATTTAGAACTTGCTTCTGTTAGAGATCTGGTTGTCCCTCACATTCATCGCTTCTAGGCATCAACTTAAGGTGTAGCTTTTTATTCAGGCCAACAGAAATAGCTGATTTAAGGATTGCTTCCTTTGCTGTGGCATTACCACCTTGCTGTGTTTATTGTTTTAAGATGCTGATGTTATTTACTGGCTTTATGGTTTTTATGTTAAGTGCTATATTGTATTTGAATGAATTGCTATATATCACGCTGGACAAATATTCTTTCAAATACTTGGGTCCCAGGCCAGTGTTGTGATGTCATCGCATTACGTTTCCCCCAAGTGAAGCAAGCATTGAAAAGTACCATAAGGGTACCATAATGGGTGGAATCCAATACAGTCGTACCTTGGTTTTCGAACAGCTTAGTTCTCAAATGTTTTGGCTCCTGAACTCCGCAAACCCAGAAGTGACAGTTCCGATCTCCTGCAGCCAGTCAGAAACCGCACCTTGGTTTTTGAACGTTTTCGGAAGTCGAACAGACTTCCAGAACGGATTCCGTTCGAGAACCAAGGTACGACTGTTTAGCTTTTTTTCCCCCCTGTCAGAGCAAGGATTTATTATTGCACCACAGAATTTTCTCCTTCTCTTTTCCCCCACAACCCATGTGCCCCATAAATCTGTTCTAGGGGTTCCCCCAAAGCTCTGGAGCAGATTTGGGGAGAAGCATGGTGCATGCAGGAGGAGAAGTGTTGCACAAACAGTTGGGTTTCACAAACGTTGGGTTAATGCAGTGTAGTAGTTGAATACTGCCCAATGGGAACAGGAGGAAAGCTTGACATGGGGCTGCTGTCTTCATTGGCTGCATGAAAGTAAACCACTATAGTGTGTGGGACTAGTTAGAGAAATGGATGATCCTGTGGAATAACTGCAACCTTAAATACATGGGAGATGCCCTGCCCTTCCTAAATATTATCACAATATATAAACTGCAGTCGCATTTTCCAGAATATGTTGAGGTCACTTTATAAGTCAGTAAAGGTACTAGAATCACCGACTGCAGAATGAAACCAAAATTATGTACATGATGTTGTGAATTCCAAATTTTAGAGATTGTCAACAATCATTAGAAAGAGTATAAAAACAACACACAGAAACCATCTCTGATTTTTGACATTCACAACAGCATATGCAAACCTGGCACAGAACAGGAAATATATTTTGTCTATTTTTGGAAGTTGGGAAGGCTTTTATGATATGACATAACTGATTGTATTTAAATTCTTAACTTTTAGGACAAAGAAGTTAATTTACACTTCAAAGCAAAGACCTGGTAAGATTCAGTCGAAATAAAATAATGTGGTTTTTGGCTCTTCCGCTTTATCCATTTTTAAAAGATGTGACCAATTCCCCCCGCATATCTACTTCACAGAACAACTTAGCTTTGTGAAGCTTAGATTCAATGAACCAAATTTTGGGCCTTCAATTTCAAGTTGAGAAATCTCCTCTCAAATATTTGTATATAGTTTTGACTTGAAAACTGGAAAATCTTAACATATGCCAAAAGTAAATTTAGGATCATAATGAATATGTTTATCACTAACACTATGACTTTGAAATTGTACTTCTCAAACCCCTTTACTACTGTTTGAGAGTCATTACATTCAGAATTATAGTCCTCTTCCAATAAAGCGTGTCCTCCCTAAAAGAGGGCACGTGTTGCGGTGAGACCTGGAGACTGACCTCCTGGTTGTGGGTGGATATATTGGATAGCCACAACCCCCAATTGGTAGGTCCCTTGTTGCTGGGCTTAATCTGGCCATGGGGTGCAGTCTAAACAGATCAAGGGACCTATATATACCTATGCACGTGACCCAGAGCTTCCTCTTTCGGCTTGTGCATCGGAACATCCACCCACCTCTCCCTACTTTTAGGGCATTTTCGCAATTGGCCTTCCTATGCTGTCGTGTGCCGTCTGTCGTTGGGACAGGGGCACGGCAGGAATTTTCCCCACTTGGCTGATTGGCTGTTGCCATTTGGGTTTCGCCTGACACGTAGCAAATCGTCACAACTTGTATGGTTACGGATAGGCTCTGATTCATGTGATAGGGATGGGAGAACGGTCTCGCCATCCCTATGTGAAGGGTATTCCATTAAAGGAATCCAGGGACTCAACTTGGTTTGGTCAACCCCTCAGAGGGGGTTGCGCCCATGCCTGAGTCCAGGGGAGCATCTGGGGAGTGAACATAGTCTGTTCCTGAGCTTTTCACCTACCTCAGGTGTTCACCCTTGGCTGACCTATTCTGGTGCCCTGCGTCAGCGCTGCCTGCAAGGGTGCAGGGAGCTAGTCAAACCAGAGCCTATGCAACCACTCTTCTGTAATCAATAAAGTTGTGGCCTAAATTCTGCCAAAAACCAAAACTAAAATTTGAGTCAAATGTGTGTTTATTTAGGGGGGAGGTCTCTGGGTCTGAACACGCAATGTGCTCTGCTCACCATTATAGAAGTGGAGGAAGAGTTTTTTTGCAACTAAAAAATTTCTGCACTATCGTGAGTTGGATTTGAGGTTTTCTGGTTGGAGTTAAATTAACATAGCATCACTATCAGTTTGGCCACAGCCCAGCATCACACATTATGCAAAGTGCTTTACATTTTTGAGGATCAATGAACTGGATGCAGACCTGCCCGTTTTCAGTACTGCTTTGCACAAGTATCTGGTTGGCCACTGAGAGAGCAAAATGCCCTGGACCAGTTGGACCTTTGGTCTGATCTATCAGGGCTCTTCTTGTGTATTCTGAAAGTTCTGTTGTATGATACATTTTCACCTGTGTTACAGCACATCGGGCTTAGATGTTCGCTTGGGGTTTGATCTCTGTCCAGAGGAACTGGAATTCCTGCAGAAAAGGAAAAAAGTTGCTGCTGATGCCTTTAAAAGGGCACTACAGCTTGAGGAGGATCTGTGTGAAGATGAGGTAGGGGGGACGCACATTTTACATTTGATTTGATCTACTTCTGCAAGCAGATTAGCTGGCAAACAAACAGGTGTAGCAGTTTTGCACACACATACCTACCTGTGTGCTCTAAAAATCTGGACTCATCCCATGACCTACTTTGATTCTTTGGAGGAAAAAAGGTCATCAATCTTTTTCTAACAAAGTTTACAATTTATGCCAGCAGTGAATATTACCTCAATGTGTACTCTCATATCCCATCTTTCCCCTGAGGTCACTGCTGGGCAAAAAAGCTGGGCTAGTGCTGTTCCCCCAAGTCAGCTAAATTCCTTGTGACCTGGATTCCAGGAACAAGACCTGGAAGGCTTTTACGTTTGCATTTCTTTCTGCTGCTCCCATTGACACGCTGTTTGAAGCTCCACAAATCTACTCTATACCTGCCCTACTGGCTTGCCTGCATGTAAGGGCTCTGCCAAGAACCTGGGAATGGCTCCAGGGAGCAGTGACTTGCACAGAGTTCTTTTTGAAATGTTATGGCTGTAGCTCTCCAGATATTGAAGTACCAGCTGTATCTATATTTTGTAGCAGCTTCTATCCTTGATATAATTATAAGACCCCTTCCCTTTATAAACCATCCTAATGAATGTTCTGCTTTTTTCTATATCAAAACAGGTGCCAGTGGTGGCAATTATGACGACAGGAGGGGGGATGAGAGCACTTACAGCATTATATTCCCACCTGTTGACTCTCCAAAAGTATGATCTTTTGGACTGTGTTTCATATTTGACTGGCTTATCTGGCACAACATGGTAAGGAAATGTGAGCTAAAGAGTTAAGTAACCCATATTTATGTCCACGATGCAATGAAATGAATTAATATAACAAGATGTTCCTTATGCTGCAGCGAGACTCCTTACGGGGTCCTCGCTGCGAGATCACATTCACCCGGTGCTATACCAGCTGCACTGGCTCCCGGTGGAGTACAGGATCAGGTTTAAGGTGCTGGTTTTAACCTTTAAAGCCCTATACGGCCTAGGACCCTCATACCTACGGGACCGCCTCTCCTGGTATGTCCCACAGAGAAACTTACAGTCTTCAAATAAAAACATCTTGAAGGTCCCAGGCCACAGAGAGGTTAGGCTGGCCTCAACTAGAGCCAGGGCTTTTTCGGCTGTAGCTCCGGTCTGGTGGAACACTCTGTCACAAGAGACCAGGGCCCTGCGGGACTTGACATATTTCCGCAGGGCCTGCAAGACAGAGCTGTTCCACCAGGCCTTTGGCCAGGGCACAGCCTGACTCCCTCCCTCGGCAAGCTTCGCGGAGCTCTGGCCCAATGGTTGCCAGTGGTTTAATTTGAATTAATTTTATAAGGAATGATTTTAGAGTGTTGTGTTGTTGTGTTGTGTTGTGTTGTGTTGTGTTGTGTTGTACTGTTTTATTGTTGTTAGCCGCCCTGAGCCCGGCTTCGGCTGGGGAGGGCGGGATACAAATAAAATTATTTATTATTATTATTATTATTATTATCAACCTTTGCATGATGGGGAAGTGGTAGCTACAGTCAACTTTCAGTAAATATTGGTTCCTTTGGAGAAACTTGTTTGTTTTTGAAACTAATACCCTGTCTTTCCGTAGTATAATCAAGTCTAGAGAAATAAAACACAGTATTAAAAACAATAACAATTTAAACCCATTCAATACAATGGATTAAAAGCAGCTTGAAAGACAGTGGCAACATAAAAAAAATTGAGAGCAAATTCTGCAAAATCTCACTGATTTGTTTTTTTAAAACAAAAACAAAAACGTTATTGCTGCTCATTTAAAAGAATGCCAGAATGGGATTAAGTGGATGCCTCTAAGGAGGGTTTTTCCAAATCTTGGTCACAACTGAAAAAAGTACTTGTGAGTATTCACTGGCATAGCTCTGAAGGCAGGAGGAAAAAGCAGGTGCCAATGCTTATGATATTCTGGTTACAAACAATTTTAGGGCAGAGATGGAGAACCAGAGGCCCTCTAGATGTTGAAGGACTGTAATTTCCACCATCCCCATCCATTTACTAAGCTAGCTGGTGCTGGTGGAAAGGGCTCCAATAACATCTGGAAGGCCACAGGTTTACCACACCATATATAGGCTTTTAAAGGTCAAAACTAGCAGCTGGAATTGAGCTTTTGAACAAATTGGCAATCAGTATACCTGGTACAAGATCGCTGTAATGTTATCTAATTAATTTGGTTCTAGCCAAAACCAGCTGAAACATCTGGGCTATCTTCAGGCACAGCTCCAGGTAGAGTGAATTACAGCAGTCTAGGTGGATGGATTTTGATTCTTTTCCAAAACTGATTGATCACCAAGTTTGGGATCAGAAATGCACTTCCTTCCTTCCTACTGTAGAATGGTCAATGTTGCTTGAATCATCTCATGCTATTAATTCTGTAGCTTTTTTGATGTAGTTTTGGTTACCCATCCCACTTTTTAAAATGGAAGTGCTGGGCTTTTAACAACTGCATAAGAAGCAGAAATCATTAGGTAAAGCTTTGTCTATTATTCCATATCCAAATCTTGATTGTGGTCATTAGTGAAGAAGAGTTTGGATTTGATATCCCGCTTTATCACTACCCGAAGGAGTCTCAAAGCGGCTAACATTCTCCTTTCCCTTCCTCCCCCACAACAAACACTCTGTGAGGTGAGTGGGGCTGAGAGACTTCAGAGAAGCGTGACTAGCCCAAGGTCACCCAGCAGCTGCATGTGGAGGAGAAGGGAATCGAACCCGGTTCACCAGATTACGAGTCCACCATTCTTAACCACTACACCACACTGGCTCTCAAAGTAGTGAAAGCTGAGTTATCATCTTTGGCTAGCACAAATGGCCAATCTTTTACTGGGAATGCTCCAATAATTGCTGCTCTCAATACAGTTCACATGGATCCCCCAAACCTAGAACTCAAGTAAAGACATAGCCACAAAGTGTCAAACACCTACATTTCATGTCTCTCCTCTTCTGAACCCAAATCTGTATTTACTGTGTTTCTTTCCAGGACAATGGCAAATTTGTATGATGATCCTAATTGGTCACATAAAAATTTAGAAGAGCCACTCGTTGAAGTCCAAAAACAAATGAAAAAAAACAAGTTCCTTGCCAGTTTTTCCCCAGAACGTCTAGCATACTATTCAAAGGAGCTGTGGCAGCGTTATCAAGAAGGGCATCATATCTCTTTTACAGATCTTTGGGGACTTATCATTGAAGCCATGCTACACGATACGGTATTATATACTTTACTCTAAAAACACTAGCTAATGCCTAGTTTTGATTAGCATTTCAAGTTCCATCATACTCAGAGTAGACCCACTGAAATCAATGAACTTAAATTAGTTGTGACAAGCTTAATAGTTTCAACAGCTTTACTCTGATTAAGTCAAATACATCCCAACAGTGTTCAAAATTCTCATTGTTCTAGGCACATTTTTGTGACAGGCAATTTCATTAGCATGAGCAATTTCTGAGCCCTGGGCTCAGTACTGCGCCTAAGATTTCAGACTAAAAGATTTGCAGAGTGGAAGGAAAAGAGGACCCTTTTCTGCCTTCCCACTTCCAGCTACTGCCTGAAGACTGGAGAAGAGACCCTCTTAAGAATATTAGTGAGGGGTGGGGGGTGGGCAGGGGAAGGACTAGACCATGTTAAAAATGAACATAATATTTTAGCTGTAGTTCATTCGTTTTCAGCTTTGTAATCTTGTTATAAAAAAGCATGCCTAGACATTCTGTTGTTGTGCCCACAACCAAGGTTTAAGGTGCCATTTAGCTGCTAGCTTTCATATCTCAGTTTCTAACACTGCATCCCAGTAAGATGAAGTGAGGCATCTGGGCAGGATAATTTTTTTTAGTTACAAAATAGTAGCGTATATCACAGAAGTGCTTGATTCCATAAGAATAAATTACCCAAAGACAGCAATCCTAAATTACTAGTAAAATCCATTTTGTTTTTTCTCCACACAGAAAAGCGCTCGGTAATGGATGGTATTCAATTAAATAATCGCAGAAGTGCAAGAATTACTGGTAGTGGAATAGGACTTCCCTCCATCCCCTAATCTGCTCTAGAGATTGTGGGAACACACACACACACACACACACACACACACACACACGAACAGATTTAGGGAGTGGGCAGACAGAGGAGAGGAGGGAACATTACGTTTTGCAAGGATTGTGATGATCATTGTGCTGATGGAATGAGCTGCTTAGTGCTTCATTGAACACAATCCCAACCATGCTTCTTAACATACCAAAATATAATTTCAGATAGGAGTGTCAGCTTGGCCCTGGGGCTGTGGGTGCCATCCAGCATGCATGGCCCTGGCACCAAAATTTGTGGGTGCCCAGCCCCTTCATGGGGAATTTTGTGGGTGCTTGGGCCCCCAGGGCCCCAGGGAGTTGGCACCTACCGGTAGGTGCTGAGGTGGGAGCACTGTAAATTCTGCCTGAGCGCCATATTGTGGAGGTGTTGATGGAACATCTATATCAATCCTCATTGTACACTGTGATGTTTGGTGTCTGAAGTCAGAAAAGGATATACGTGCACTGCAAATAGTTGGGTGTTTATCATACATTCGATGCATATAGGAATCCCTCAGCTTTCACGTGTTATCCCACAAGAAGAAACTCCATATGGTGCAAGCAGTGGCGTAGCGTGGGGGGTGCAGGGGGGGCCGGCCGCACCGGGCGCGACATCTGGGGGTTAGGGTTAGGGGGCGCAAATTACTTGCCTTGCCCCGGGTGCTGACAACCCACACTACGCCACTGGGTGCAAGGGTCATGGGGCCACACTGCTCCCAATCACAAGTCTAACCAGTTCACACTTTAAATGTACAGAGGCCAAGGATGGAACTGGACCAGGCACAACTTCAGGAATAAGGATTGTGGGACAGCCATGCTACCCTTTAATTATGTGGAGTCCCTTTGCATGGAATGAAGTGTGAATGGGGGCTTATGAGCCTCCTCTAATCACTCCCATCAAATGATATTGGCGGAAGGGATATCGCTCAGTGGTAACAGCATCTCCGGGGGGGGGGGGGATTCCTGGCATCTCCAGGTAGAAAACCCTGCCTGAAACCCTGGACAGTCACTGCCACTCAATGTAATCAGTACTGAGCTAAATGGACCAGTTGTCTGGCTCATTATAAGGTAGGGTGGCCATATTGCAAGAAGTAAAAAGCACACAAACACACACTTCCTGGTTCTGTTCTGGCAAAAACCCTGACATTTTGTCAATTTTTTGAAATTCCCATTTGGATCCCGAACGTATGGCAACCCTGTTATAAGGCAGCTTCCTAGGGAGGCTTCTCAAAGAAACATTTGCTTGTACAGAAAATTTTAGCAATATGCTCTTCACAACCGTGTCCATTGTTTGAGTATCTGTACCTTTCATTAAGAAAAGAGTTTTCAATGCAGGAAGCCTCAAGCTCTTTCAAAAACCTTTCATTAATGTTCATTTTGAATGGGGTTGGGCAGAATTTAATTGCACGTATCCCTTTTTGTTTAGAAAGAACAGCTGAATCAAAGTAGGCTAACACACTAACTTAGCACAATAGTTTGGGCTTCGGTTTAGAGTAAGATGCCATCACTAGAGTATAAATTCTAGAACAGCCTCTTACACCCTTTTCAGCTACATTAACTGCTTCTTTCTGCCTTTCACAAACAGGTAGATCAGAATAAACTCACAGATCAGCAGCGGGCGTTGACTAATGGCCAGAACCCTCTGCCTGTGTATCTTTGTCTCAATGTAAAGGAAAAACTAAGTAATCGGGGATTTAGAGGTAATTGCAAATATTTTATAAATATATGCTTGCATTTAATTCTCAAACAGTAGAACTGAGGACTAGAAAGGCTGATTCATGTAATTTAGGAATACTAAAAGATACTCTTCTGTGGCTTCCTTTTCAGAATGGTTGGAGTTCACCCCATATGAAGTGGGATTTCAAAAATATGGAGCCTACATTCGTGCTGAACATTTTGGCAGTGAATTCTTTATGGGTCATTTGATGAAGAAAATCCCAGAATCACGGATCTGCTTCTTGGAAGGTAATTAATAGGGCAGTCCTATATACACCTATTCAGGAGTAAGTCCCATTGAGTTAAGAACATAAGAAGATCTGGCTGAATCAGACCAATGGCCCATCTAGTTCAGATTAATTGGCACAGGATTGTAGCCAATAATAGTAAAATATTTTTATTTTTAGGAGTATTTGCGTCTTTAGCACAGAGCTCTAGCAGATTATAAATAGTTCTGTGTACAGTAAGGCTCTTTTGATAAACAATCTATTTGCCACTGCTATGAGCACATAAAACCTACTCTATTTAGAATTTTCCTATGTTGACATAAAACACTGAAAGACTAAACATATTTGGGACATATCTATCTTATTATAAAGCACATTTAAATTAAGTGTGTGCTTAATTATCATCTACTGTGACCAATATGTATTAGAAGAGCATGCACAAAACATTTCCTATATCTTGTTGCTGGCAAATAGGCACTTCCACATCCTATATGCAATTAGCAAGAGGGTGGGAATGCATTTGATGATTGCACCAAAGACGCAAAATAAATTATGATAGTTCCATAATTGCAGCGTTTGGAGTGTTGCTACTAATGAGCTACTTACTTAGATGTTCTTGATAACCAATAATTTCAAATCCCATCATGTGCTCTGTTCTAATTTACCAGTAGGTGGCTCTGTGTGCTTATACTAAGAAACTATAAATTATAATGACGTAGCAATCTTAAAACATTTTATGTGTTCATAACTAGAACAGAGCAAAAACAACTTCCCGGATTTTTTCACCCTATTCATAGGCAGCAGAAATGGGTACCATTTTGTCAATTATTCTCTGGAGGGATAAGAAATTATCCAGTTTCTAGGAAGTGTGCCTCACCATTAGGTGTGGCATCAACATTGCTTCTTCTCTCTCTCCCCTTCCAGCATTTATATCCTTTTTTTTTTTTTGCTTACGGTGGCAACTGTGTTGGCAGCCTGGCCAATGTCCCCAGCCTAGCTTTGTTCCTTAGCACTCTTGGGTGATCTTCTGAGAAGTTTTGGCTCAATTCTTGTCCAAAGTCTCTTATATACATTATCTCAGTATACCCTATCAGTCTTGTAATGTGTACCAGTATTAATATATTAGCATAAACAGAAGGCTGAGTAGAGGCTCTTCCTAAAGGTTCATGACTGAGGTGAGATTTGAACCAAGAAATAGACTCACAGCTCACCCACTTTTAGGCACTATGTAACATGGGCATCTCAAACATGAAAACTACAAAAATTATTCCCAATTTCTTCCCTATCACAGGAATCTGGAGTAGTGTATTTTCTGTAAACTTGATGGATGCCTGGTTTCTGAGTGTTAGTACGGAAGATTTTTGGCAGATGTGGACACGAAATAGAATAACTGAGCTTGGTAAGTTACTGTTCCATTTTGTTTCTGCTCTGTTTATTTATGGGGACAGAACATTTATGTACTTTCCTTCTGTAGTCCTATTTATGTGCTATTTGTGTGTATGTTATAGCTCTGTTTACTTGGGAGTAGTGCTTTTAGCCTTGCCTCTCTCTTTTCAGTAACCATCACAGTTGCCCATAAAGCAGCTCTTAACACACAGGCTTCTGCCTGTACAGGTGTTCAGATCATGCACACAAGCAGGAGCTTGTTTTTTGGGGTGACCTCACAGACAACTGTAGGCAACCTGTGGTTATCAGAAGAGAGAGACCTGATGTCAGGGCAGGGCAAAAAGTACGAACATGACTATGCCCTACATGTGCACAACACATCACTGGGCCTTTTGTATTTCAGTGATGTATTTTACAATTCTTTAAGGCAATGCTACAAAACACACCAGTAATTATTAGTGCCATATACAAAATAATCACAAGCTTACTTTGGCCTGGTTTTGGCCCTGGGACTGACTTTGTTGCCCTGCTAGGTGACCTTTACTGGAAAAGAAACAGGATGGTGTGTGCCTGTTTGTTCTGCTGTCCTTCTGGGAATTTTCCAGTATCATTGACCACAGGATCTCTCTGGATTGGCTAGCTAGGCTGGGGCTGAGATGGCACTGTATTGTGATGATTCCAGCCCTATCTGGAGCCTGATTCCAGAAAGTGCCTCTGAGGGACTCCATCTTGTCATGGGTCCATCTTGTTATCCTTGTGCCGTTCATCACCTACATTAACCCAATGGGAGCAGCCATCCAGAGTTTTGGAGTACTTACTGTCCCCCATAACTCCATCTCTTAGTTCTAGCAGATTCCAGAGAAGTAATGGGGATTCTAAACCAGTGTTTAGGATCTATACTGGACTGGATTTGGACAAAGAAACTGAGGCTAAATCCAGATAAAATGGAGATACAAATGACCAGAAGAGAGCTAGCCTACGATTGGTGATACACAGAGTTTCTGATGGGATAGCACTGTGTCTGAACAATCAGGTGCATTGCATGGAGATGCTACTGGACCACCCATGCTCTTAGAGGAGCAATGGATGTCTGTGGCCAGGAACTTCAGTGCATAGCTTCAGCTGGAGTGCTAGTTACACATTTTCTAGAAAAGACAGATCTGGCCAGTTTCACTTCCCTGGGCACATTTTGGTTATCAACTACTGTAATGCAAAGCTCTCTACAGTAGGTTGCTTTTGAAAACTATGGAAATGGAAGCTGGTGCAGAATGCTGCTGCCAGAGTCTTGCTATTCAAAGCATATAACCATTGCTGTTTGATCTGCAGTGGCTCCTGGTGTGTTTCCGGACCACTGGTTCAGACCACTGGTCCTCACCTTTAAAAGTTCAAGTGCTTCAGGTCCAGAATCCCAGAATTCTGCTTTTGATTTAAGATCTGTTGTGAAACATTTGTTCTGTGTGCCACCAGCATCTGAGATATGCAGGCCATGGGCTTCCTCAAAAGGCTCATCTGGCTCTCTCCTTTTTAGCTTTTTGTGTGCATTCTGCTTATGATTCAGTTTGATTTAGATTAATACTCTGTTCCTTGGGATCACAGCTTTTTGTTGCATCATGTATCGCTGCTGCTTGTTGTTACAATAGCATTTTAAATATTTTTGTGGTGTTATTCTGTTTTTATTGCGGTGGTTCCAAAACACAAGTTTGCAACAAAGTGTAAACCCTATATGGTGCCTGTGTTAGCAAAGACATGTTTTTTTAATCAGGTACACTTTAAACAAAATAGTTTTTCTTTTTTAAAATAAAGTATGACAGTGGTAACAGGGACATATTGGTAAAGTATGACTTTGATTTTCTAAGTAAAAGGAACTAAGGACTCAAAACCTCATTTAAAAACAGTTTACCCTATTGCTACTCAACACTGACAATTAGCACAAGGGTGGGGGCACAAGTGAGTATCATACTGACTGGATGAGCTTAGAGTGGAATACTACCAACAAAGGTGTTTCCCAATGTTTGCTTCCTGCAGCAGTGATAACACTTTTGAGCTTAACTCCTGCAAATCAGATAGGCTTTGGGCTGGATCTCATGGCTATCGCTGCTAGTCCAAATGGCTAGTAAATGCTGGCCCTACACAGCAGTGCAGGTTATATCAACAATAGATGACACCTATGACATATGTTGGTGCAGAACAGAGCTGGTGTAACAGCTGTCTACCTACATGATGCAGGCAGATGAAATGTTGCACATAATCACATTAAGAAACCATATATGAAGCAGACCATATATAAGCAGACCAGCTTTGGAACAGTATTTTGGAGTTTTAGGTAGATTTGAGACAAAACCAAACTTGTAGAAAGCCAAGATGGTATGGGGAAATGAAGCACTGTTAATTCCAAGGATCTCATAGCATGGTTACTATTTTCTAACATAGAAAAAAAAATGCATTTCATATGTTGTTCCTTCTACAGAGGAGTGTCCTTGGTATCCGTCAACAGATAAACTCCCTACCCGTATGCAGTATCCTCCGGACAGCCTTGCCAGTGCTTTTCAAAATGTCATTATGTGGCGACCAGCAGTTTCGGTGGTCCCTAATTTTCTGAGAGGCTGCCCGATGCACAACGAATACCTAGAGAGCAAATTTTCAAAGTGGAAAGGTATAGCAAGAGCTCTTTTTTAAATGAAAGTTCCCTTGGGTTAGCTTGCTTGGCCAATACCTTCATATGGTAAGCAAGGAGTCCTTAAGGACTGACCATTTCCTCTTCTTCCAGAGGGGAAGGACTTCCTGGGTAGGCAACAGAAACTGTGTGCTCTACCCAGTTACTGAAAGACAGAAGTTCAGAGACTGGAAATGGACAGTCTCTTGAAATGTCATGAGTGGGGAGAACTATATTTTGAGTGCATTTTCTGTTTCTTTATGTTCCCCGTAGGAGCAGCACTGCCAGTTTCTGATCACAAATTCATTTCTTTCAGACTGCGATCTTGATACCTTTCCGAACCAGCTGACAGGAGCTGAAGATTACCTGTATCTGGTAGATAATGCATTTGCCTTTGATAGCAGCTACCCACCACTCATGAGGCAGGGAAGAAATGTGGATCTCATAATACACTTAAATTACAGCTCAGGATCACAAATAATGGTAAGTAATCTTGAGCACAGCTTCCCCCCCCCCCAACACAAATAATGAGTGTGCATAACTTATTTGCTTTTGACAGTCGGTTACTCATTTCTGTCCCTATCATACAAAGAGGAAGTTGATGGTCTGTGCTTTCTCTTCTGTTGAAATCATCTTCTTGCAGCTGTTTCCTCCTCTGCCATCAGCAATACCAGGGCTGTGAGAAGGGGAAACTGACAAATGCTGTCTTTCACACGTCTTCCCTGTCAGATGGAAGAGAGATAAGATAAATATTCTGCTAGCTTTATTCACATTGCACCACGGCTTCTGTGAAAGCAGTTAGGTCCACCAAATCAGTTTTTTTCTCTTCTAGACAAGTTCTGCTGCTTTTTGTTTGCATGTACACAAGACATCTATTTGGAGGTCAGTTCTGAATACACAAATAAGGAGGTGACTTTTGTGTGAGAGCTGTTAAAAGCCTATGCACAGGATGTATAACCTAGCAAGGTTATGCTTAAAATTCTACAAGGAAGACTCAAGCAGTATGTGGACCGAGAACTCCCAGAAGTGCAAGCTGGATTTAGAAGAGGCAGAGGAACCAGAGACCAAATTGCAAACATGCGCTGGATTATGGAGAAAGCTAGAGAGTTCCAGAAAGACATCTACTTCTGCTTCATTGACTATGCAAAAGCCTTTGACTGTGTCGACCACAGCAAACTATGGCAAGTTCTTAAAGAAATGGGAGTGCCTGATCACCTCATCTGTCTCCTGAGAAATCTCTGTGTGGGACAAGAAGCTACAGTTAGAACTGGATATGGAACAACTGATTGGTTCAAAATTGGGAAAGGAGTACGACAAGGCTGTATATTGTCTCCCTGCTTATTTAACTTATATGCAGAATTCATCATGCGAAAGGCTGGGCTGGATGAATCCCTAGCCGGAATTAAGATTGCTGGAAGAAATATCAACAACCTCAGATATGCAGATGACACAACCTTGATGGCAGAAAGTGAGGAGGAATTAAAGAACCTTTTATTGAGGGTGAAAGAGGAGAGTGCAAAATATGGTCTGAAGCTCAACATCAAAAAAAACGAAGATCATGGCCACTGGTCCCATCACCTCCTGGCAAATAGAAGGAGAAGAAATGGAGGCAGTGAGAGATTTTACTTTCTTGGGCTCCATGATCACTGCAGATGGTGACAGCAGCCACGAAATTAAGAGACGCCTGCTTCTTGGAAGGAAAGCAATGACCAACCTAGACAGCATCTTAAAAAGTAGAGACATCACCTTGCCAACAAAGGTCCGTATAGTAAAAGCTATGGTTTTCCCAGTAGTCATGTATGGAAGTGAGAGCTGGACCATAAAGAAGGCTGATCACCGAAGAATTGATGCTTTTGAATTATGGTGCTGGAGGAGACTCTTGAGAGTCCCATGGATTGCAAGAAGATCAAACCTCTCCATTCTGAAGGAAATCAGCCCTGAGTGCTCACTGGAAGGACAGATCGTGAAGCTGAGGCTCCAATACTTTGGCCACCTCATGAGAAGAGAAGACTCTCTGGAAAAGACCCTGATGTTGGGAAAGATGGAGGGCACAAGGAGAAGGGGACGACAGAGGACGAGATGGTTGGATAGTGTCTTCGAAGCTACAAACATGAGTCTGACCAAACTGCGGGAGGCAGTGGAAGACAGAAGTGCCTGGCGTGCTCTGGTCCATGGGGTCACAAAGAGTCGGACACGACTAAATGACTAAACAACAACACAGGATGTATGTTCTCAGTCCTGTTTGCAAGAACAGTGCCAGCCAAGTTTCCAGACCACACTGAGAAAAACTTCTTTCCCATCCTTTCTTTCAGTTGCAAAGAAAAGGCCTTTTGCTTTGATACTGCTGCTACCACTGGGACAACTGTGGATTGATTTATTTTATGAGATTTTTATAGTACTTTTTACCAAATGAAAGGTCCCAAAGCAATTAATCCCCTTGAAGACTTACTTTCTCAAGGGCTTTGGGGGGGGTTTCTTGTCTTGCCCTCAGCACTCCTTTCTCCAACTCTTCCTCTTATTTACTCAGAACAGAGATGGAAGTTCTGGGAGTTGAGCAAGGTTGAACAAAATTGATATTAATGGGTGGGGTTCTTTAAGGTTTCCAATCACCCTACAAGCTGTTCACATAGTTAAGTTTGGGCAACTAAGGGCACCCTTCTCCCCAAAAAGAGATGGTTAACAATATAATTAGTTCGTTCTGCAGCATAATTTGCCTTCCACACAGCTGAGATAGAATCTCAAAGCCCTTTAATGGGGAATTTAAGATGACCTTCTGGTCACAGGTGAAGTGCAAACTCTGCAGTGTTCCATGTTGCTGGGATTGGGGAAACCAGAGATTATTTTTTTAAAAAGTCTACGAATTAGGCGTGTGCGAATGCACTTCCAGTCTATCAAGTAATGGCTCCACTATTAAAATCATGCTTGGATTTTATCCCCCTTACATAGCCTCTGGAAAAAGCCGCAGAGTATTTCTCAGAACAAGGAGTCCCATTCCCTCAAATTATACCAAAGGAAGATGGTGATCTGAAGGAATGCTACTTGGTGGGAGATCAAGAGGGCCCTGAAATTCCAATAGTGCTTCTTTTCCCCTTAGTGTGTGACACATTCAAAGAGTATAAAGCGCCTGGTAAGTCTGTACAAGTCTGATAATTTTTGCTTTTCATTACATTATGATCAATTCTGCTCTTTGACTAAGTTGGAAATCTAAGAGAGTTGTTTCAAAAGGAAAATGAAGAAGCAGGGGTAAGACATGCTTACTACTAAACAGAAGCAGTACACAATTCAGGATACCCCCCCTTTCCCCACCAGTCATATTCTTTGCAACATCGGAGGTGACACTGGCCTGTGCATGTCCCAGATTACATGTGGCTTCATGTGCTCTTCTAAAAATACTGCCACCCCAAAAAGCTATCGAGTTTTTTTCTGCAGTTGTACTTGGGAGATGGGAGATGTCATAGGTCTTCTATGCCAGCATTTGGACCAAAGCATTGATTTTTGAGATAGCACAGTCAGCTGGATGAAGTATTGCACTCAGACCTAAAGACCCAGTTTTAATTGAGTCCGGTCTCAGCCACACATTCCGAAAGAAGATTCGGGCATACTGCTTCTGTACTGAGGAGAAACTGAAATAAAGGGAAGAGTAATTACACTCCAACAGAATGGTTTTCCAAAAGAGACGCTTTAAAGTCTGTAATGCATTTTGCTGTACAAATTATTGAAGACAATAATAAGCCTTCCCTATTTTCCTCACCAAGATGATATCTTTATTTCTTTCCGGGTTATTCCCCATGTACATATACCTCATGCATGAGAATTAACAATTTATATATCTGAAGAAGTGGACTCCTGCCCACAAAAGTTTATGCTGAATTAAATCTGTTAGTCTTTACGATACCACAAGACTCTCTGTGGTGTTTGCTGCAACAAAAACCAGGCTATCCCTCTGAAATAAAACTACCTACTTATATATTGTTTTTAAATCTTAGGTGTGAAACGAAGCCCTGAGGAGATGGAAGATGGTGAAATTGGTGGTCTTACCAGCTCCTTTGGCCCATATGATGTATATACTTTGCGGTATTCAGAAAAGGACTTCCAAAAGCTAGTAAAACTTTGTGAGTACAACATCCAAAATAACATAGATTTGATTTTCAAAACTTTGCGTATAGCTGTGGAACGGAAGAAGCAGCAGAAGAAGAGTTAACAATTTCAAAATCCATGGCGAGCCTTTTAGCGGAAAGAGAGCCTCAAACCTCTGACATTGTTCAGTACTAGGGAGTAATCGGCATTTCATTCCAGAAGGAAAAACAAAGAACTCAATCAAACAAGTATTAAAGTCGCTGTTCAACCCCTTCAGGAGGAAATACTGGATATTAGAAATTATTAATGAATACTGTAAGTCATTCTACTTTTGTTCTTCATAGACAGTTCTGTGGCCGTACATTACATTATCATCTTGGAAGCTACTTTTAAGTGCTCTGAACAAATTATTGTAGAAATACACTGTAAAACTTCTTTCTTACAGTGCTATTTATGCTCTACATATCACTCCCTTTGCCAATGCATTTGAGGTGTTTTATGTATTGTTTCATGGTTTCTGTACAAATTATGTAAGAACAAGTGTTTTGCATAAAATTGTTTTGCTGAAATATGAGTAGTGCTAAATGATTTTTATTAAAACAAATAAAACCAGTTTCTGGTACCTATGCAACAGTATCACTCTGGAAAAGTCTCCATGTGCAGGAATAGGCAGTACTCATACTGTTCTATGTAAGAATCTTCATTGGATGAATCTGATTGGTCCTATGATTTGATAGGGAAGGAGGGAAAGCTGTTCAAAACTGTCGAAGAACATGGTGCTGATCATCTTTTGATGCTGGGGTGGTGGTGGTGAATCCTTACACATCAGTGTTTACACAACAGGATGATGGGGCAAAGATTCCTGGCTACTGGAATAAGGGTGATTTCTTCATATAAAGGTAAAGTTAAAGGACCCCTGGATGGTTAAGTCCAGTCAAAGGAGACTATGGGGTTACAGCGCTCGTCTGGCTTTCAGGCCGAGGGAGCCAGCGTTTGTAAGCAGACAGCTTTCCGGGTCATGTGGCCAGCATGACTAAACCGCTTCTGGTGCAACAGGACACCATGATGGAAATCAGAGCACATGGAAACACCATTTACCTTCCCGCCACAGCGATACCTATTTATCTACTTGCACTGGTGTGCTTTTGAACTGCTAGCTTGGCAGGTACTGGGACAGAGCAACTGGAGCTCACTCCATCACGGGGATTTGAACTGCCAACCTTCTGATCAGCAAGCCCAAGAGTCTCAGTGGTTTAGACCACAGTGCCACCTGCATCCCTATCCCATCCTCATTCTTTATATAGCACCCAGCGCAACAGACAACCCCCACAAAAAATTCTGTATCTACACACAGAGACTGAGAAAAAAGAAAGATGAATGATTTTTATTTAAGAGAACTAGTCCCGGGTTTAATGCAGAGATTGCATGGCTAAAATTTATAACATAAAGGGTTTCGTTTTGCGCCTTCAGGAAATCATTTTCTGCATGTACAAAAGCTGCAAGCACATTTCATTAACTGAAGATCTTACCAGCTGGTGCACTAGTAGTTTTCAGAATGCACAAGATTTCAAATAAAAGAAAAGTAGATTTAATTCTACATGGGATGCCTTGTGCCCATCTTCAGAAACAGACTGAATCACTTTTCAGAGAGCCAGTGTGGTGTAGTGGTTAAGAGTGGTAGTCTCGTAATCTGGGGAATCGGGTTCACGTCTCTGCTCCTCCACATGCAGCTGCTGGGTGACCTTGGGCCAGTCACATTTCTTTGAAGTCTCTCAGCCCCACTCACCTCACAGAGTGTTTGTTGTGGGGGAGGAAGGGAAAGGAGAATGTTAGCCGCTTTGAGACTCCTTAAAGGGCGTGAAAGGCGGGATATCAAATCCAAACTCTTCTTCTTCTACTACTATTATTCAGCATTCATATTGCCAGTCCATACTGGATAGGGATGGGAATTGTACTGTACCAACAACAAACTTTTATGGTTTTTGTTGCAGGAAGATACATCAGCTCTTCCATTGTGGGAAGATGTCTGGGTTCTCGCAAGTAAGATAGATAGGATGGCAGGGCATAAAAATCTTAGGTAACAAGGATCTATTTTACACTATCAAATTATTAAGCATTAATATTAACATTTTTAGATTCAGTACCAGAGCAAGATGCCTAACATTTCACCTGCCAAATCAATAATTTTGGGGATATGCTGCAGTGTTACATTTATGAGATGTAAGGAACTGGTATTCAAAATGAATACAGATTCTGAGATGCCACCATAATTGCAAGCTGTTGTGGGAAACTTTCATATTCAGTGCTAATGCATCTAGCTACAAGCCTTGCAAGAACCCTACAATGCAGGGAAGGGGAACATAGTGGCCTTCCAGCTGTTATTGGACTACAACAACCAGCCAGCATAATTAATCAATGGTCAGGGATAATGGAAATTACAGTCCAGCATCTCAACAACTACAGTTGCCCCTGCTGTAAGGTCAATTATTATTGTTATCCCACATTGTAGGTGTGTAGCTTGGGTACTTCATTAGAGACCCATGCTCTTTGAGGCTAGGAGTGCCTTTTACCAGCTTTGTCTGGTTTACCAGCTACAGATGTTCTTTTCCAGTGTAGTCCATGCACTGGAAACCTTGAGGCTGGATTACTGCAAGGTGCTCAGTGTGGGGCTGCAGAAGGCACCTGACATGTGACACCATTATTTAAAACATCCTTTAGCACCATCAGCTGTGTCTTGTGGAACCCTTTGCCAACAGGGATTCAGCAGGGGCCCTCTATTTCAACTTTGCTGAAAACTTTTCTATTCTGTCAGGCTTATGCAGGCAATTAACAACACATCTTTCCATAATAATCAGATCTGATTTTAAATTTTTCATATGGTTTTCTTTATAACTGTTTTAAATCACCCTGATGGGGTTTTTTTATGAATAGTGGTATATAAAAATATTTTAATAACATGAATAAATAAGGGGGGAGGTTTAAGTTTGAGATTGACTTGAAAAGGCCACCTAGTTAATTCAGGGTAGAGGGAAGATTTAAACTAGGAACATCCTTGTGTGTAGCTCAGTCTCTTAGTCACCAATTCCTATCACTGAATGGTTGCAGTTGGTGAATGTACTATGACAAGCTGAGGACTTAACAGGAATTGCAGGGAAGGGCATGATTCAAGTTGCCCATTGTGCAATAGTATGAGATTTTGCTACGTTCTAGGGTCTAGATAGGACCAAACACCAAACCTGAGAATCTCAGCATTGCAATCCAATTACTGTAAAGCACTGACTGCAGAGATTTGGGGTAAACTGAGCAGGAAGCTTTGGTGTGCATCCCCAAACTTACCGTAAGTTCACCAAGCCTTCCAGGATAATTCAAGAAGCTACTAGGGAACCCTTGGAGGAGTTATAAATTAAACAACTAGGAAGTGCTTTTCTTCCAATGCCAATTAAATTTCTCTCACCCAGAATTCTTTTTTACTTCAATGTGGCCAATGCCTATTTTGAACTAAGAGAAGGGGTGAAAGCCTTATGGTATACATTTGCTAACCTAATACCCTTTTCCAGGGCACGATAAATGGTCACTCACTTGATCAGGCTGATTATGTTCCAGCCCATGCTGTTTTTCCCTCTCCCTCCACTCCCCATCTCCCTGAACCCTCAACACTCCAGAAAACTCAGTCCTCAGGAGGTTGTTTTGTTTTAAATTAAAAACAAATATTTTTCTGGATACCTGGGGCATCTCCAGACTGGTGGGGTTCCCCCGCCCAGGTGTATTCTGCAACATGTTACTGATGCAATAATAAGCCATTAGCAGATTTATAGTTGACCATCCACACATCTTTCTGCTTTACTAAGTTATGTGATGCTTCCCAAATGACGACACACCATTGCTACCCAGAAGGTCACTCTTCCTCTATGGCACAACAAAGTCTGGGAAAACAAAACCGGCAGCATTTGTGGTATGAAAAGTTACAGGACTTCAGCAAAAAGCTGCTCCAGAATGAAGCAGTAGGTCTGCGCCAAAATCTTTGCAGGTGCAAACAGTATTGAGAGCGGGATCAAGGATAACCACTCTGTTCTACCATCTTGGTTGGTGACAGATAGAGAAACAATGAATGCACAAGAAAAAGGAGCACAAGAAAAAGGCTTCTGGATTGGGACTAGTAAACCTGTCCCAAAAAACGGGCAAAAACAGAGGAGGCAGCAATGGCTCCTTATCGAAAGTAGCCCTATGTGTTTACTTTTCTCTCTTGGTGGCTCAGTCGAGATAATTATTTATTGTTCATTCCTGTATTCCTCTCTTCCCTCCACAGGGCCCCAGGATGGCTAACCACTACAAAATACAAACACAATAAAAACAATAGTTATGCTATCAGTAAAATATATTATGAATAATTAAAACGTTACACAATGAAAAATCAAACAGTTAGGCTCCTGTCCAATTTGTCCTATCCTGGTAAAACAAATTACATTTTTAATTACGTCCATGTGGGAGAACCACCAATTTCGACCACAGAGTATGTTCCACAGATGTAGCCACCAAGAAGGCCCTGCTCCTTAATGGGACTGTAAACAGACTTCTCCCCACCCCCTGATTTTCATAGCCTAGAGGGAGCACACAGGCAGGGCCAGATTTAAGTTTGATGAGGCCATAAGCTACTGAAGTTAATGTGGCCCTTTATATGTCCAGCTGTCCTTTGTCAACAACAAATTGTCACTGTTTTTTGTGTTGAATATATGCTATATAGTAATTTATGGACCTAATAGGTATCTAAACACATGCAACCGGTCCATGCAGAATGTAGGCACCCTATATATAGAAATGAGCAAACCAGTGATATTTTAGGGAGCAGGCTAGCAGGCAGGGCCCATTACTTACATCACAGGAGCCTACACAACACAATACACTGTTGCTGTATGTAGGTTTTGTTTTATTTGCTTTTTATCTTATATTTTGGAAATGTACATCTTTTTTCCCCTTTAATTTTTTGGGGGCCCCCCAAGAGAGTGGGGCCCTAAGCTATAGCTTGTTTAGCTTATACGTAAATCCGGCACTGCACACAGGCATCCAGGTGGGCAAAGACAGCTGCTCATGCAAACTACAGCTGCTGCCGCCTCTCACTCACCTGTGCACTTCCCCTTTGGGTGGCATAATGGTGGGAGCTGAGCGTAGGGAGCCCAATTGTCCCCTCCACCTTGAGAAGCAGACAGTGAGGAAGTAGGATAGCGCAGGAAAGTACTGTACAGAGAAGACAGGCAAGCAGTAGTAGTTGCCCCTTGTCACCATCACTGAGAATTGCCAGGACCAAGGTTCAAATCCCTAGTCAATCATGAAGCTCACTGGTTGACCTTGGGGGCCAGTCACTGCCTCTCAGCTTAACCTACCTCGCAGGGTTGTTGTGGAGATTAAATAAGGAGGGGGGAGAGCCATGCACAGAACCTTGATCCCCTCCCCGATTGCTATGCCATCCAGAAAGCGAGCGCCGGAGGAGCCTGCTCCCTGTAGCAGCAGCAACAATTATTATTATTAAATATTTATACCCTGCCCATCTGGCACAGTTTCCCCAGCCACTCTGGGCGGCTTCCAACACAATATTAAAATACAATAACCTATGAAACATTAAAAGCTTCCCTAAACAGGGCTGCCTTCAGATGTCTTCTAAAAGTCTGGTAGTTGTTCTTCTCTTTGACATCTGGTGGGAGGGCGTTCCACAGGGCGGGTGCCACTACCGAGAAGGCCCTCTGCCTGGTTCCCTGTAACCTCACTTTTTGCAGAGAGGGAACTGCCAGAAGGCCCTCGGAGCTGGACCTCAGTGTCCGGGTAGAACGATGGGGGTGGAGACGCTCCTTCAGGTATACTGGACCGAGGCCGTTTAGGGCTTTAAAGGTCAGCACCAACACTTTGAATTGTGCTCGGAGCCCCTTGGCTTGCTCGCCTCTCCTTTCCAGTCAGCACCAGGGGGAACTGGGCTCATGGAGAAGAGCAAGATCCCTATAGTAACCTCACCATAACGTGAAGCCAAGCCCCGCCCCTCGAAAGCAGCTCTGTTGGGTGACCGAGAGAAAACTGAGTCTGAGGTGCTTCCAGCCTCCGCCCCGCCGACCGAGAGAGGCCGGCGCAGAGCGAGGGCGGAAGGCACGGAAGCGGGGAGGAAGGGCGGGGCTCGCCGTCTGCCGGCTCGGCCTTCCAGTGCGGGCAGCGGCGAGGCGAGCGAGGTGGGTGGACGGCGGCTGCGTCCTATTACTATTACTACTGCTGCGAGAGGCGGTCGAGATGTTCAGCTGGCTGAAACAAGGCGGGCGCCACCGGCCCGGGGAAGGCGAGGACGTGGTGGAGACGGTGACGGGCGGCCTGAAGGAGCTTTACGCGAAGAAGCTGCTGCCGCTGGAGGAGCACTACCACTTCCACGAGTTCCACTCGCCCGCGCTGGAGCCCGCCGACTTCGAGAACAAGCCCATGGTGCTCCTCGTGGGCCAGTACAGCACCGGCAAGACCACTTTCATCCGGTAGGTCCGGCGCGCGCGCTCGCCGCCTGGGGGAGACGCCTCCCGGCCTCGCCAGGCGGCGAAGGGCGCGTCACCTCAGGCACGCACGTCTCCCTTCTGGCCCAAACTGGCCCATCTCTCCCTTTGTGAAGCCCCAGGCGCCGCCTCCTGCTGCTGCTGCTGCTGCTGCTGCTGCTGCTCCTCCTCCTCCTTCTTGTTATTAGTCTAAAGGTGATATATATATATGTACATGGAGGTCTTCTTATAAGGTCCGCCACATGCCTTGGCTGGGCTCCTGTGCCTGCAACCACAAGGGGGAAATCTTTCAGCTGCTCAGTGTCTCCTTGACCTGCCTTTGGAAGTGCAGGAGGGGTGAGGCAACCCTCTTGTCATTTCTGAGCAAGTAACTCAAATATGACTAACTTCCAGGTCATTGCCCCACAGTCGTTTGAAAAAGTGACACCTGCCAAAGTTTGTTATATTGTCCTTTATATTTATAGCCTCTCTTTCCTCCAAAGAGCTTAAGGTGGCCTTCGCCATCTGTCCTCACAACAACCCTGTAAAGTAGGTTATGGCGAAAGGAGGTGACTCGCCCAAGGAAACTCGAGAGGATTTCGTGGTCAAGTGGGAATTTAAACCTGGGCCTAGTTGAACCATTGCACCTTGCCTATTAGTTCCAAAAATGATTAGCAAGTTTGGGTTGTAGGGATTTTTTGTTCTTTTGCTGTGGGTCCACTTGATTACTGTTATCCATCCCTGTCATAAAAGTGGGGAGAAATAAAGTCAGCACCCTGTGAATGGTGCTTGTATGTATATTGCCACATTTTGGAAATGTTTAGATACATTTTTGTTTTATAGCGGTATTTTTAATCTCTTCAGTGGTTGCTCAGCTCCTTTGGAAGGAAGGGCAGGATGAAAACTCAGTAAACAATGATAACATCCTTGGATCAGTCATGATTTGGAAGGCATGGGGTTATAAATGTATGTATGCTGTTGAGGGACGCAGGTGGCGCTGTGGGTTAAACCACAGAGCCTAGGATTTGCCGATCAGAAGGTCGGCGGTTCGAATCCCCGCGATGGGGTGAGCTCCCGCTGCTCGGTCCCTGCTCCTGCCAACCTAGCAGTTTGAAAGCACATCAAAGTGCAAGTAGATAAATAGGTACCGCTCCGGTGGGAAGGTAAACAGCGTTTCCATGTGCTGCTCTGGTTTGCCAGAAGAGGCTTAGTCATGCTGGCCACATGACCCGGAAACTGTACGCTGGCTCCCTCGGCCAATAAAGCGAGATGAGCGCCGCAACCCCAGAGTCGGTCACGACTGGACCTAATGTTCAGGGGTCCCTTTACCTTTACCTTTTATGTATGCTGTTAACTATGATAGCAAATACGTGAACTTGCCATAAGATGTGGAGGTTTGGTGAATTTCAAAAGAAGGGTCTGTAGTAGCGAATGGTGATGGGTTCTCTTGTTTCTCCCAGCCAGCCTAACTAACACATGGGTGAACTTGAGAGGCATTCCGCTCCCGTCATCACTGCCTTGTTGTGAATGTGTTGACGATTGTATCTGTGTGGATATGCCTCCCTTTTTTGGGCGGTGTGTTGAACGAGGATAAGCTTCAGTGTTCTGTCTGTTCTATTGTTAGGGTCTTGCTGCGTAACTACCATATTCTGTCTGTCTGAGTGAACAGCACAGGCCAGCCCACTAATATTTTTAATGCTTTGTAATCCAAGTATAATTCGTCTTTCCAAATAACCTGTAAAATAATGTTCCCATTCTGCAGACTAAGAGTTCAGGTTGAGAGTATATGGGCTGTACTAGCTCTTATTGTCATAGTTCAACGACATATTCTAGCCAGGTAAATACACTCAAGAAAGGTGTGAAATAGGGTCAGTGAGGGAGAATCTCAGAGGCTAGAGAAAGAGACCTGGAAGGTCACATTTGGTTCCCATGCTTGAGGCTTCTCATCCCTTGGTTGGTATGTCGGAGTGTAGCCCTTTCAGCATTTTACCTTTCTGACATCTCATTGTCCAGTTATCCTGAGCTTTAATATTTACCTTCACAAAGTCAGTGCTACACCCCATAGGTAAATATCCCAGGAAGTTTTTCTTAATAGGCCTTAACTTGCAAAAAAAAAATTCCACTTGCAAATGTCTTCTAGAGGAGAAGATGTGTTAGTATTTTGTCTTGTGACAATAGCACATCCATTACTAACAAATGATGTGGACTTTAGTCATGCCATTATAAATTAGTTAGGCTTTAAGGTACCACAAAACTTTCCAATTTTGCTTTCAACACCTAAGGGCAATTAGATGTAAAGATGTTGAAGGAAAGGGAGGTGGTTAAGGAAAATAGTGACCTTGAGGTTGTAGGTGCTGTTGTGATGGATACAATAAGGAATGCCTACTGCTGTGCAGGAGTGTACAATATTGATGACTGAAATTATGTAACACAGGATTTTTTATAAGTGTCCTTTAAACCACATCTTTGAATTTCTTTACATTCCAAAGCTGTACAGTACACTTGCAGTAACAGCTTTCCTGACTTCAGACCACATCTTTGATTCTGCCATTGTGTTTTTCTACTATAGCTGTGTTTTCTTCTTTAGTGTTTGCCTAGACAGCTTCGAAACGAATATCTAATTTTAATTCAAAACCCTAATAACTAGGTTATTTTACAGACAGAACTTAAAATTCATGTAGAACAAATAATTGTATTTCTGGGAAATTCCCTTCCTTCCTTTTTACTTTTCCTTGTACAGGAAAAACACAACTGAACGATTTGTATATGTTACACATTACATTGTATATGCATTATACTATACATTACTTAGTTGCATTCTTCTTTCGTTTATCAACACACTGCTCAGACTTGTAACTTGTCTGAAATGTTCACTTTAAATTATTGCAAAGGTAACTGTAGGCATTAATGGAATAAGATTTCGACCAATTACTTTTAATAACAATTTTCTTATGAGACATTTTTTAATTACATAGAATTCCAGTTTGCCTTACTAGTTTGCAAACAAGTAGACATTTCTTTCATAAAGTGTTTTCTTTTTGACAGATATTCACATCAAACAAAAGTGCAATGTAATTTGTCTTTATTGTAAAGCTATACAAGTAACAGTTGTTCAGCTATCTAGTGCCACAGGATATATGTGAATATCTGGAAAATCTAGACACTCCACTCTATTCTCTTCTAAAAATGCTTTTTGGGTATTTTGACCATTCTTATTTGTTAACTTTTTCATGGTCAGCTCAGGGGAATGATACACAGAGCATGTAGCATCTGTTGTTTCTGAAAATGACTTAATGGTTTGTATGTAGGTGGGGCATTGAACAACCAGTCAGCCTTCAAAACAAAACAAAAAAGCATTGTTCAGAAGCAGCAAACTCTTTAATGGCCAATTAGAAGCCTGGAGAAACAAAATTGTTCTAACCTGGCACCTGAAGGTCATTGGGTTATGCACCAGGTAACTGAGATTAAGAATCTGATATGCCAGCACCAGAAATACCATATCCCTTGTAGTTGTTCACCTCTTCTCTCCTCACTCCCTGATTGTACAGAGAAAGGTTAGTTTGTGAACCAGACAGTACATGTGTGGGTTGATTGTGGCTATGCTTCTACCAGAAGGCATAATCACATAAATATTTTCTGGTTTGTTGCATGCACTTTCCAGTTTATGGTATTTTTCCTCTGTGATTTCATGTATGTAAAATGTGGAGAAATGAGTATGAAACAGTTTTCTCTCTTTGACCTTTTTAGTCTGATTGTGAGGCAGAACAGAGAGTGCCCACATTTCGCTGTACTGCTGAGATTTCATGCGCTCCTTAACCTCCTCACTTTCTATTCCTCCTTACTGGTTTCAAATGCCATGCGTTTTATTTCAAACAGGATTTCTACTCTTCAGCAAATCTAGTACCACAGGATTTGCTTTTTCTTTTTTTTCTTTTTTGCTTGTAAGTAAAAAATAGTTTTTAGCCTGGTAATTCAGGGTGGAGTGATCATAACAGAGGAAAGAGATCAGCTCTGTTGCTCTGCACTGCCCATCAGAACAATTTATGGATTCAACTCACCTCATCCTAGAAGCCCAGTGGTGCAAGTGAAGCATTTCCATATTGCTGAAGCAAGTATGCTTCAGACTGGTTGTTTTCAAATAGTTTCCCTTCAGGATAACCTTTCCATAGTGGGCTGCGAACCTCTGCCTGCCTGCCTGTCTGTAATGGAACCTCTGTGTATTAGAAATGTTTTCATTGTGCAGCTTTTAATTATGAATAGGAAGATGACTGGTTAGCAACCTCTCTAGAGTGTAATGGATATGAGCAATATTTCTTACAGCTTAGAAGTGTTAGCCCAAACAATAATTTAACAAGTAGAATAAACCAAAGTACAAATGAAGTTAGCCTCAAGCCATTTTATTACATTAAGTTGTTTCTAACTAGCCATAAGAAGTTCATATCAGTCTATTGGCTCTCTTGCCCATGTTGACCACATTCAAACAAGCTTATGACACAAAATATGATAGCTTGAATCAGCTCTTCCTCTGCTTCCTGATGCCTTTTCAGCTGTCTTTCTTTTTTATTCCTAAGGTTCTGTCTTCAGTTTCTCTTTCCCCTCCTAATTGTCACCAAGTTACCCCCCATCCCCACATCTTTCCCCCACCCCCTTCCCTCCCTTCCTCTTTTACAGCAGTCTATTTGCTTCCTTTCACTTGCCCTTTCATGACTTCCTAGGAGTAGGCATTCCATGGTTGACTTATGTGGAGCACTGGTTGGGCTTAACTGGGCCTCATCATTGTCCTGTGTGAACTAACATTCCACCTGGGACACACCATACCCTCTGCTGCCACAGAGCAAGTGCAGGAAGGCTTGTCTGGCAGTACAGATTCTTCCCACTGTGGATTCCCTGATGAACTTACCCCAACATTCCCCGGAGTGGAGTTTGAAAAGTACTTCTGTGATTACCACAGCAGGGACTCAAGGATAACTCTTAGCACTGCTCTAGTTTGAAGCTCAAATTGAACTGGGCTTCAGGAAAAATTGACTCCATTGAGCTGAAAGAGGATGGGGGTGGGAATGAAATGTGAGCAGAAGACAAAGAATCAATCTTCAGATATCCTCAGGATGTCTGTTGTGTGAACTACTCTACATTTTGCAGACTATCTTAAAATAGCCTTCCTGTATATCACTCTATGCCTTTGAACTTTTGCTCCCCTGATACCTACTGGCCACATAAATCCTTGCTTTTCCTGTGTTAATAATATAACGGAGTGGAGTGGGGAAAATTCACTTTTGTCCGCTTTTATTGTACTCTGCCTCTATTTTTTATGAGCAATTTGCAAGTTGAGAAGGAAGATGGTAATGTGTGTGTGTGTGTGTGTGTGTGTGTGTCTACTTCTTAAGGCACTAGGTTCGCAAACCTCTGACATGGAGCAATTTAGTTCAAGTTAGTCCTGTTCATATTTACTTGGAAGTAAGTCCTGCTGAGTTAAATGCTATTGAATGTGTTTAGGATTGCAGCCTGAAATGCTGTATCAGAGCACAGGTCTATCTTGTCTAGCATTCTCTCTCCAACATTGGTTAGCCATATACCTTGGGAAGTACACAGGTGGCAGTCCATGATGTTTTTGTTCAGTATCCCTTGGTTTATCCTAAAACTTTTAATAAAAAGCAATGGGGGGGGGCTAATGTTTATCATGCCATATGGTGGTTAATTAATCCCATAAAGTACTTACATGAGGTGTAATGAAGGAAATGTTTCATATTCTGTATCCATTCCAAATATATCATTCCTAACCATGTACATATTTATCTATATTTATATATTTTTCTAAATGAAAAAAGACCTGTCTTGCTCGGTCTTCTTCCACAGGGAAGATTATTTATTTATTATTATTATTATGTATTTACTATATCCCACCTTTCTTCCAAGGACCTCAAAATGGCATAAATAGTTCTCCCTCCCACCCCATGTTATTCTCACAGCAAACCTGTGAGGTAGGCTAAGAGACAGCGACTGACCCAAGGTCACCCAGTGACGTTCATGGCTGAATGAGGATTTGAACCCTGGTCTCCCAGGCCCTACCTAGCCTGACATATTGTAGAATAGAACACTGAGCACTACACAACACAGGCTCCAACCCCTAAATCATTTTAGTTGCCTTTTTCTGTACCATGTCTCTTAGAAATTTGTTGATCAGAACTCTTCACAGTGTTTTAAATATGGCTGCACTACGATGCGCCATGATACATGAAATTAAATATTCATTCCCTTTCCCAATATTTGAATTTGGCTTGTTGCTATAGCACCCAGAGCTGATGTCTTAGTGAATTGCCTATTAGCACAGATAGCATGTGAAACTGGTTGCAGTATGGTTGCCTAAATGTAGCAGGGAGGGTGGACTGCCATTTAAAAACAAGAACAAAGTTAATAGAGCACAATTACAAGGAGCTGAAGCTTTTCTTTTATTGACAGTGTGCAACAGAAATACAGAATTTCTGTCCTGCAACAATAAAGAATTCCTCGTATCTTCTATCCTGCCTTTATTTCCCCCCTGTGTAAAGCAGGAAATGGATAGCCCAATAAAATGTTGCTAGGTAATTGTTTATGGATGTGGGTAGTGGAAAAATAATTGTCACATGGTTTATTTGAGAGCAGATTGGAAATAATGCTACTTGGCATGCCAGCTATAATTGAATTCATCTAGCTTTTATTGTGGCTGTCAAAGTCTGTTAATTTTTCATTTATGTTACTAAAATAAGTGAATTATATCATTCAGGGAAACACTGAACAAACATAGTGATTTTTACATGTTTTCTCTTTAGGACTGGCAACCTAGGCAACTGACTAGTCCAATATTGCTATTTGTCTGCCTATTAGTTGGCCATGATCAAATGCTCCATAAGGCAAAAATGTTGCTATGTGGGTGACAGCCGAACTTGTTTCTGTAATCAGTCTAACTTTCAAATCTGATTGATTAAAGGGTTGTTGGCTCTTTTGTTCTTATACATAACCATTCTTTTACAAAAATTTGATCAACCAGCTAACTAACCAAATCTCTTTCATCTAGCCGTAGGGCCTAACCTTTTTTTTACTTCTGTACACTCCCATAGATTTTATTTGCAGATAATGGTGAACTTACAAGCCTGCAGCAGACAGAAGTGGAAATATAGTGGGTGACTCAGTGATGGTGACAGTTGTAGAAATCCCCATTCAGGGAGAGTTGGCTACTGATCTCCCTACTTACTGTTAGAAGGGTTGCCCTTCATGTTTTGTGTCTCAGTTTGTTGATTGTTTCAATTTTAGTATTCTTATTTCCCATTCCACAGGTATCTGTTGGAGCAGGATTTTCCAGGAATGAGGATTGGTCCAGAACCAACTACAGATTCCTTCATTGCTGTCATGTATGGAGACACCGAAGGGAGTGTTCCAGGGAATGCTCTTGTAGTAGACCCTAAAAAGCCGTTTCGCAAACTCAGCCGTTTTGGAAATGCATTCTTGAATAGGTAAGTAATGGTGGGTGGGAGAACAATTCTTGATGCTGTGTGCAGACTTGTTTTGTTCTTGGGGTTGAATTGCACTCAATGAATACTCCCAAGATGGAATGCTAGAGTACTGTAAGTATTCATTGTATGAGTTGCTTGTTGGCTGCAGCTATGAAGCTTTCTCCTCCCTCAAAGTATTGAATTCAATGTTTTTAAAAACAAGAAAATCCAGAAATTATAAATTATTGGGCATGATCTTAAATATGTGCCCAGCCCTCTTCCATTGATCAGATTGTCCCTGCTGTTTGCTATCTTGGGAGTAGAATATGTCTACATTCCTTAGTTTTGATTAAAATAATGGCAGGTGTGTGTCAGTGGTGGAGAGGCGGCTGCATATTGCATATTTATTTATTCCTTCACCATTTTTCTTTTCATTTGTCTCCTACTCCCATGAGAAATGTAGAAAAATAAGTGATCAAAACAGTTGTGTGTTTTTAAAAAGGAAAACTTCTTTCTGTTAGACTAAATTACATTATTAGAATTGCTGTGATGCACATCTAATATTAATGCTTTTAAAGCAAAAGCTCACAAAATGAATGTCCTTGTAGAGCAGGGTTGGAGAATTAGATCCATATGACAGCCTGAATCCCTAATGCCTTCCTGCCCACCTATGGGCCAGCTTTCGACAGGTGAGTGGGACCAGCATATGATGTCAGGGGTGGGGCAGGCAGACATAGCTATGGCAAAAGGCTTCACAAGGCCAGATTGGGACCCATCTCAGACCTGATTAGGCCTGCTGGCTGTGGGTTCTCCAGCACTGCCTTAGAGCACTGAGTAAAGACCAACACAAAGTTTGGGTGCATGCTGAAAGTAATGTGTGGGTTTTTCAGAAAACAATGAGACTTCTAAGTGTAAATAAGAATTGCAGTTTTATCTAGCCCCATGTAGTACTTTCAAGGACAATATTTAAGGGGGACCAAATGCAAACTATATTAGTGCTTAGGTTTCTTTAATGGGCACTCCTCGGATGTAACTGGGGCAAGACTGCTCCACATTGTATCTGTACCGTATTAGTAGTTGTCATTCTGTTGTTACTCTGCTGTATTCTCAGTACCCCTTGTAAGTTCTGAATGCACCCATTTAAGTGGTTGAAACACCTTCTGACTAGTGATTTCTGGAAGAGTTTGGAAGACCTTCAAGGATGATGACTCAAAACTTTCCCAATAGTAAATGAAAACCTTTGAAAAATGAATAAATGAGCCAAGAAGAATATTATTTGGGGGTGGGAGCCATAAACTACTTCTCTCTTGGCTGTGGGTGAGCCTCACACTATGGTAAGGGCCGTGAAAATATTAGACCAACTCCCATAGCAATGACTCAGGCTTTGCATGGTTTATAGGTATTTGCTTTCTAGCTTGCCAAATACCAGAGCTGCTCCAGATAAGACACCCTGGAAGTTTGAATGTCTAAATACATAAATTTAAGCTCTGTATCTCACTTTGTCCATGGAGTTTTCTTGGCAGGGATACTGGAGTGGCTTGCCAGTTTCTGCTCCAGGTGGATCACGTTTGGTCAAAGCTCTCCACTATGACCTGTCCATCTTGGGTGCCCTGCACGGCATAGTTCATAGCTTCTCTGAGTTATTCAAGCCCCTTCGCCACGGCAAGGCAGTGACCAAACTGCGGGAGGCAGTGGAAGACAGGAGTGCCTGGCGTGCTCTGGTCCATGGGGTCACGAAGAGTCGGACACGACTAAATGACTAAACAACAACAATCTCACTTTACTGCCATTAATCTGCTAAACGTTGGCTGCTCTCTGTGGGCATTGGTGTTTTGACTGATAAGCTACATTGGTGTTTTGACTAATAAGCTACTGCACGGCATAGTTCATAGCTTCTCTGTGGGCACTGGTGTTTTGACTGATAAGCTACATTGGTGTTTTGACTGATAAGCTACTGCACGGCATAGTTCATAGCTTCTCTGAGTTATTCAAGCCCCTTCGCCACGGCAAGGCAGTGACCAAACTGCGGGAGGCAGTGGAAGACAGGAGTGCCTGGCGTGCTCTGGTCCATGGGGTCACGAAGAGTCGGACACGACTAAATGACTAAACAACAACAATCTCACTTTACTGCCATTAATCTGCTAAACGTTGGCTGCTCTCTGTGGGCATTGGTGTTTTGACTGATAAGCTACATTTTTAGTACCATGTTACTCTGTTTTGCCTGTAGTTATCAGCAGGTACAGCATGCCAATGAGTTCATAATGTTCTTCAGGTTTCCACCACCACCCATTGATCAAGGAGAGCCCTAAAGGGTTCATTGGTCACCATTGTGTGTGTTTGTTTCTGGCAGCATAAGTAAGAGACTGAGAGAGCTTTATGATGAAGTATTACTGTGAGGCAGATGTTTTCCATACCTCTCTCACTCTTGACGTGGAAACAGAGTTAGAGCTACAAGCTCCAATTCTGCTACCCTGGCAGGAGCAAAACAATGCTGCTAAGTTTTGTTAGCTTCGCTGCACCCCCTCCCCAGGCCCACGCCATTGCACCCCCACCCCCAATATGTGGAACCAGTTTCTAAACTCTGGTTCTGCTTTTGTGGCATGAGCAATGGGAAAGGGAAGACAAGGGTGGGGTGCATCCTGTTCTTCAAGTGTACTCACACCCCTCTTCGGCTTTGGTTGTTTTCAGTCATTCTCTGTGGGGTTTCTTCCGCTCTCCCAACGCACATAGAAACAAACTTGCCTAGCTCTTTCTAATCAGATAGATGCTGTTAAACATATTGTTACACAGGGCTGCTTCTCACTTGTAAAAGGTTTGTAGAATGCTAATTTTACTAAGTCTATATTAAAACTTCAGACACCTTGCATTTATACTGCTGTATAATGTCTTTCCCACTTTTTACTTTTTTGCTGCCCTTATCCCCTTTCCTATAAATAGCTTAGCTGTATTGCACAGTGCTATCTCCTTATATCACTGCAGTTCTTGTTTTTCTTGTAAAACTTGCTCCTACTTCTTCATTGCTTGGCTTCCGGAAAATTTTAAACATTGTGTCATTGTTTAGCTGGAATAAAAGAGCTCAGTCTTCTCCTAATACTGGCTTCTTTAGCTTCTAGTAATACTCAGCTGAAGTCAAAAGGATTTTGCAGAAAATATGATAGCGCAGGAGGAAAATCACATTCTCTAGAATACATTGTAAAACATTTTTTTCCCCAGTTCAATCTTAAATCTGGTTTTAAAGCTCTTTTTTATACAATCTGGTTTTTAAAAATCTGCAGCCCACACCATACAAAACATCAGTGATTGCATCCAACTTTAGATGCAGTGCTCTCACTAACAGTGCATGCTAACAGGAGGGTGAGAGATTTTTGCCATGTCTTCCTCCTCCTGCAGCCTGGAGCATGCTGCAAAATCTGTTCTTAAGGGTCAGCCAATCCCCCAGAACAGATTTGTGGGGTGAGTATCATTGAGAGCTGCAAGGAGGAGAAGGATTTGCAAAAACTGCTGCTGCTTCTCTTCTCTTCTGTTAGCAAATATTTCTGTTTGAGCAACAGCACAAGGACAACCAATAGGATTGCACCCTAGGAATTATTTTTTAAAAATGGGGGAAGCAGTATTAAAAGTGGATGAAACTAAGCAGCATACGTTACTCCACCTGGTATGTTTTGCTTGCTGTGTTTTCTTAACTTGTGCACCAGTGTGAAAAGACTCTCTTAACTAGGATATGGGTTAGAATTTGTCAATAGCCATGTGTGTTTTATAGTTTTTGGTCACTTTTTCCCCTTTCAAGAATGAGGAAGAAATCTTACTCTTGCTTCTCCTTCACTACTTGCTGTGGTTGGTATGTGAGAAATTAGGGTCCAGATACCCACTCCATCATGAACTGATCTGTTATTTCTCCCCCCCCCCCCTTTCCCTTAGCCCATCCCATATTTATTGTAACATTAATTCAGCACATCCAAGTCACAACTGTAACCAATGGTTATTCTCTATGTGGCATGGCTCTTCCTAAAACTACATAAGTTTTGTTTTTGTACAAGGATGCTTTGATAGGAAATCCTGTATGTATTGAGATAATGTTCTCAGGAAAGAACCAAGTCCGTCTTGACAACTGATCATTTGTACTGACATTACTTGATCACAGAGAAGAGAATATAATACAGCAAGGCTTTTCTTCTTTTTGTATGGCAGGAAGGGAGTTTAGAATAACACCCCTCACATATTGCAAGGTAGTGGGATGGTAAGAAGGGTTACACCCTGCCATGCAGTCAATGAGCATGAGAAGTGCCCCCTGCATTCCCCAATGTTGGCATAGTAGAGTATTTCCATGTGAGGGGGGGATCTCGGGATATTCGCTCTTGGAATTTTACTTTTAGAAATATGGCAACCCTACATGAAAGAGCCCTTTCTCACATGTATGGCTGAAGGGGAGGTGCTAGTCCACATAAATCCACAACCCCCTCTTGCATTTCTTTAACTTTCAGAGTGGTTTCTTTCTCTGCATATATCCATAAACATATATAACTTCTTGTTATTTAGTCGTGTCCAACTCTTTGTTACCGCATGGACCAGAGCACACCAGGCACTCCTGTCTTCCACTGCCTCCCGCAGTTTGGTCAAACTCATGCTGGTAGCTTCAAGAACACTGTCCAACCATCTCATCCTCTGTCATCCCCTTCTCCTTGTGCCCTCAATCTTTCCCAACATCAGGGTCTTTTCCAGGGAGTCTTTTCTTCCCATGAGGTGGCCAAAATATTGGAGCCTCAGCTTCAGGATCTGTCCTTCCAGTGAGCACTCAGGGCTGATTTCCTTAAGAATGGATACGTCTGATCTTCTTGCAGTCCATGGGACTCTCAAGAGTCTCCTCCAGCACCATAATTCAAAAGCATCAATTCTTCGGCGCTCAATCTTCTTTATGGTCCAGCTCTCACTTCCCCTACATCACTACTGGGAAAACCATAGCTTTAACTATATGGACCTTTGTCAGCAAGATGATGTCTCTGCTTTTTAAGATGCTGTCTAGGTTTGTCACTGCTTTTCTCCCAAGAAACAGGCATATATATATATATATATATATATATATATATATATATATAACTTAATCTAACAGAAATGTTATCTGATATACTTAGGGGGTCCCTCATTTGTTGTTCAGATACAGAAAAGGATTTTCTTGCTTTTCCTAGAGGTCTGAAAACTAATATTAAAATAACTGGGCCCTTTTGTTTTTCTCTGCAGGTTCATGTGTGCTCAGTTGCCCAATCAGGTTCTGAAGAGCATTAGCATCATAGACAGCCCCGGCATTCTTTCAGGAGAGAAACAGCGAATACGCAGAGGTGAGCTTGTTGCTTTGTTTTATCTATAGTAAAATGTATGTCCCACCCTTTCCCCATCCCAGAGCGCTTATAACAAACAAAACAACATCAGGTTCTTAATTAAATAAGTAGTGCAGAAAAATAATTGCAGGGACTAGTGACCTGTTTTGCTGTACAGGCTAATCCAGCTAATCTCTTGAGTGCTTGCTCTATCAGTTTGGCAACAGCATGGTCCAGTAACATTCCTGGAAGTCTCTGGTGCCTTGTTTTGAACTAATGCCTGCTGAATGGATAGGGACCAGGTTTTATTAAATCCATGTTTTGCGTTCTGTTGTGCATGGGTTGGTATTGCTTTCTATAAGGTGAAAACTCACAGCCCTCATCTTTATACAACTAGAGTTCATTTTTTCAAAGAGACAACAGAATATATACTGGTAGCAGGATAAAGGTCTGTTTCAATGCTTGACCTCCCAGTTATCATAGTTCCTCCTCATGGAGGCTTATTCAATGATCCAGTTCACACGTCACATTAAACCACAGTTCAAAACAAGCTGTGGTTTAATGTGCAGTGCTACTCTTCCCCAACTCCTACAGCTGCTGGGAATCAAGCTCTGGCTTGTTGTGATGTCTGAATGTGAGTTCATGGTTTATTTTTATCATCCTGACCCAACAAACCAAGCCCATGGTTTATTCTGTTTTGGAGAAGCACAAGATAAAACTTGAAGTTTCTGTTCCCCTTGCATTTTTGTCCAATGTCAGGCTGGAGGATAATATTAATTTCAAAACTGAAGCAGAATCTGTTGGATTGTTAAATGCAAGGGAGCTCTTAGATGTCAACTCTGTGTGAAAGTTCACTATTTTACTTGTTGGATCAGTCTCTCTCTCTCTCTCTCTCTCTCTCTCACACACACACACACACACACACAGAGAGAGAGAGAGAGAGAGAGAGAGAGAAGCCTCATTTTGCTTTCCAAAATGAAAATGTTTATTTTAAAGACCACCCAGCTGCTTTCGTTGAGCACTTACATAGTTATCTTCTTCCTACCATTTCCTCTTCTTGGCTGATATCTGATTTGCCAGTGATCTCATATAACATCTCCATCTGTCAGGAAATCTCCTAATCTAGGGTTCTTTCTCTCTCTCTCTCTCTCTCTCTCTGTGTGTGTGTGTGTGTGTGTGTTTTAGAAGGTCTGTTTCTTAATTGACTTAAAAACAGTGACTACGTTGGAAGTGATCCAGCCAAAATTAATGGCAATTTTTAAAACAAAATTCAATAGGAGAACTAGGTGCATAATTAAATATTACTTTGAAATTCTGTAATAACTGATGACAGAATTTCTGTCAGATAAAAGTTCTACATTTTGTGATTTAAAATACCCTTTGCATCATCAAAGCTAGCATGAACCTGCAAGAAGTCTCACTGAATGTATCTAAGGTATCTTGAGTTTGCCCCAATGCAACATCTGAACTCGCTGTTTTCCCAAGCATTGTAAAATTATGTCCAGACTCTTCTCAAAGTACCTATGTTAGAAAATTAAAATTACTTCTAAATAATTCTAAGCAACGTCAGATTTTATACCCTCCCCTCTCTTTCCCCCCTTTCTCTTTCAGGCTATGACTTCTGTCAGGTTCTGCAGTGGTTTGCTGAGCGTGTTGATCGTATCATCCTCTTATTTGATGCCCACAAACTTGATATTTCTGACGAGTTCTCAGAAGCAATCAAAGCGTTCCGGGGTCAGGATGACAAGATCCGGGTTGTGTTGAATAAGGCTGACCAAGTAGACACCCAGCAGTTAATGAGAGTCTATGGAGCACTCATGTGGTCTTTGGGGAAAGTGATTAACACTCCAGAGGTGTTGCGTGTCTACATTGGCTCTTTTTGGTCTCAGCCCCTGCAAAACTCAGAGAACCGAAAGCTGTTTGAGGTGGAAGCACAAGATCTGTTCCAGGACATCCAGAACCTACCACAAAAGGCTACAGTGAGAAAACTGAATGACCTTATCAAGAGATCACGACTTGCAAAGGTAAAATTGTGGGATAAAGCTTGGCTTTCCTTGAGCACTTCTTGGTGAAGTGCCTTTTTTGTTATCTTCTCCGCTTTCTGTGCAGCAGTGGACAGTCTCTGTAAAGTGAGTTGAGCTGACAGTATTAAATCAAGGTGATTATTGTTTTACTTTTATGGGAGGAAAGGAAACAGGGACCTGTGGTCCTATACTTGTTCATAAATGACTTGGAGTTAGGTATGGACAGAAAAAGATTGCTGATGACAACAATTTTTTCAGGTTGGAACTAAAAAAGGGATTGCAGGGAACTCCAAAAGATCTCTCCAAATTGGGTGAATGAACATTAAAATGGCAAATGCCGTTTCAGTGTAAGCAGCTATAAAGTTATGCACATTGGGGCAAAAAATCCTAACCATATGTGGAGTCTGAACTGGTAGTGGTTTAGCACTAAAAAGATCTTGAAGATTCTAGTGGACACCCAGTGAAACTTCTGACCTAGTGTGCAACAGCTGTGAAAGAAAAGGACAGTTTCTCAACCCATCTTCCTTCCTCCAATCATCATCAGCCCCTCAAAAGCTCATCCAGAGAGTCTGGGGCCCTCCTGAACTATCTGGGATGGGGTGGTGGTGAGGGCATGGGAAACATTCCTTTTATAAACATCCTTATCTTAGGATCAAAGTCCAATTTTGGACAGTGCTCCCTACCCCACCCAGTCTCGTGGGGCTTGAGGGGGTGTTGTAGCTGACTGCAAGGGTGCGTGGATGAGAGGTGAAACTTTGCTTCCTTGAACTTCCTTAGCTTAACATAGAATCTAAGCCAAACTGTTAATTGTCTAAGTGGCAAACAGAGTTGAAAAGGAAGTTTGAAATGACTTTAAATGGATTCCAGTCAATACAGCAGTTCTTTTAGAGCACCACATTCTTTCTTTCTTTTTGTGGGTGTTTGTTTTCTTTTATAGAAAAGCAAAAGCATTATGTAGGTTCTCATTTTGATGTTGCCTTCGCCTCCTAAGCATACTCTTGAAATTCCTATCATGTTAGAATAATTGAGTAAGTCAGTTGTCAGCTCCCTATCAACTTCAGGGTCTTATCAGCCGCTCTGGTATTCCTTGTGCGCAGTGTGATAAGTCATATTTAAATGCTTTGAAGGCTGAAAACCTCATCTGCAAAAGCACAATGGGGGCTTTGAAGAAATGTAATTGGTTAAATGAGACAGGGGGAAATACTATTGAAGACATTCAGCATTTGACTTCCCATACTCCATGCATCAAAATCTTGTCATTCTATCATGGATCACATTCAGTAAGAATGTAGAAACCTGGTGGATCAGTGTCATAATTTGCATAAAAATAATATACAGACACCATGTTTTAAGCGCATTTGCACATACTTGATCAATACATCCTAACTGGATCCTCACCTTCATTCTGTTACAGTAGCTCGCTCACATCTTGCTTGCTTTCTCTGATCTTTGCTTGGTTCTTCTCTATGTTCCTTATGTCTGTATTTGTCTGTCTATGTAGTTAAGTGCTTGATGTTTCTGCTTCACATTGTATTAGATGGGTGATTAAGTGATGGATAGGAAGAAGGGTTGTAGGGTTTGTTCTTGCTAAAGTGACTATTCAATAAACTTTTAAAGTGATTCATTTCAATCAGTTTACTGTTCATACAGTTTACTGTATGATACATAAATAGTAGCTTAATTTTTCATAGACAGGAACTGCTCTGCTTTCCTCATGGCATCTCTTTGTGGTTGTCTTTAAATACAGAGGCAGCAAATATATAACACACACTTCTATTTTGGTTTCATTTAATCGATATCATTGGCCTTGCTCACATGCCACTTTAAACCATAGTTAAACTTAAGTAAGCTATGGTCTGGCTTAGCAATACCTGGGCAATACCTGAACCTGGGCAAACAAACCATAAGCAGAAAGCTAAGAACAAACCTTGGTTACAGCTTGTGGTTTGTTTGGAGAAAGACAAATCACAAGCCCAGCTTTGGGTGTAACACTAAACCTGACCATGGCTAGTTTCCTGGCTGTCTAGCAGCAGCAGGGAAGGAGTGAAAGGCGTGTGGCTTTAGCCCCATGCACAACTAAGTTTAACTATGGTTTAAAACTGATGTCAAAACCAGACATTTTAACTGATAGATTTGTAATTTTTTGGAGGGGGATGACAATGACCACATAGGTTAAATTCATAAAAGTTTATGAGCAAATAATATGCTTTCCGTTAAGGAGGCCCTAGCTTTCTTTAACGTAGTCATTATCTGCCATCTCAGCCACCTGTATTTGCACTAAGCTGCAAAGCGACATCTCAGTAGTTTTCCTGGCTACCACTTTTTTCTCTCTTTCTTCAAGAGACAGAATGTTATAATCCCTTTTTTTCTTCTTTTGGAGTTTTTGCAAAGCTAAAATGAGTGTGTCAGTTATATGGAATATTTAGTATTTGTGCATTTTTTACAATACAACAAACATTAAACTGGTGTCTCTTGAGGGTTTTTCTTGTTCACATCTGTTGTAAGGTAGGAGGCATGGAAATCACTGCTAACTTGAATCGCCTGCTGTTCTGTTTTAGGTACATGCTTATATCATTAGTCACCTGAAGAAGGAAATGCCTTCAGTATTTGGAAAAGAAAATAAGAAGAAAGAACTAATCAACAAGCTACCTGAGATTTATATTCAGTTGCAGCAACAGTACCAGATCTCTCCAGGGGACTTCCCTGATGTCAAGAAAATGCAGGTACAGTACCTCAACATATGGATAGTTTGTTTATCTCTAATTATTTCAATCACAGCTTTATCATAAAAAGTCTACCAAAAAAACAACAGCTTTATCTATTGTATAAGGAAATCAGACACTTAATTTGTTTATTCAGTACATTTATTTCCTGCCTTTCAAGGTGTCATGCATAGTTATCCCCTACTCCTTTTTTTAATCCTCACAGATAATAGGTAACCTCGTAGTTGAATCTGGCTCGAAATTAGAACCATGTAGAAGGCACATCAGTGGGATTACTAATAAGGCATTGCTCAAAAATGGCTGTTTCAGGTTTCATAAGCCTGGACTACACATGAGCCAAGCTACACATGATCCTGAGTTGCATATAGTTTTTTGCCTTGAAGTGGGATTTTTTACTTTACAAATCTATCTTGTGGTGGTGGTGTCTTTATGTGAAACCGAAGTTCTGTGCAGAGGGAGGAGGGGGAAGGCTTTAAAAGCTCCCATCTCCAGTGTTTTTTCCCCTGGGATCTCAAGAGGTAGTGGGGGAAATCAAAACCCTGTAGGTGCAGATACCAGTACCCCCTCCCTGGGGGACTTTGGGGGAGAGAGTTACTGAAAGAGTAAGGGGTCAAAAGCCCCATTCCCCATACTGGTCTTCTACTTGATATTGTAGCCTCTGCAGCTGCATTTGGTGGTGTTGGGGCTTATGGCAGAACTTCCAAGTTTGGCGTTGAAAGGTATGTAGATTATGAGAATGTCACCAGAAAGTTAGTCATATCTCTGTTTCTCTTCAAGTTGCTCAATACCCTTCTGAAACAGAGAACAGCTGAGACAATTGAGAAATGAGTTGCTAACTGAAACTGTCACTCCATGAACAAACACAAAAAGGTGTATCTTTAAGAATATCATCCAGTAATTAAGGCTGACTACACAGCCATTGTTGTGGCTGTATTGTGGTAAGCTGAATTTTTTGCAGGCTATCCCAGAGTGGCAAGATTCTCTTTGGATTCACATGCAGGCACCTCTTCAGATCATAATTTGGCCACAAACTGGAAGCCATTTGAAATGTGTGTTATGACAAGCTGTGACTTACACTAGATGATTCCACTGTGCCAGAACTGCCTGGAAACATCAATTTAGGGTGATTTTGTTATGCAAGAACAACCCAGTCAGACCCTAAGAGAGCCTCTTTTGTAAAGTAAATAGATAAGTAGGGGTGCAATATAAGAACAGCCCTGCTAGATCAGACCAAAGGTCCATCTAGCCCCAACTCCCTGTGCTCACAGTGATCAAGCAACTGCCTATGGGAAGCCTACAAGGAAGGCATGAGTATAATAGCACTATCTGCTTATGATCCCCAGGACAATATTTAAAGGCATCTTGTCTTGGTTCTGGGAGTAGTCCATGGATGGCCATCATGACTAGTAGCCATTGATAACCTGAGCCTTTGTGAATTTATCTAGTCCCCTTTTAAAGCTTCCCAAGTTTGTTGCCATCTCCACATCTTGCACAAGCAAATTCCATAGTTTAAATGTGCACTATGTGAAGAAGTATTATATCTGTGTCTTTGCTGGTACAGGGTAAAGGTTTGTAAGTACACAGTCTTACTGTCAACACTCCGTTGTTTCTCTTCAAGTACCTTGGCTTCCTTCTATCTAAAGCATTTCACAGAACTATATTTTTGTGTTGTTTTTCTATGGTGCAGCCTGGGTAACTATAAACATGAACACGGCTTCCTAAATTGAAGGCTTCTTTCATGCAACATTCATTCTGGAATCATCCATATTCACACTTGACAGATGCCAAGAATTTTATCAAGGAATTGTTGAACAGTGTTCTTACTTGCAATCATTTCTTTTTCCATTTCACAGGAGCAGTTGGAGAAATACGACTTCACCAAATTCCATTCTCTGAAGCCAAAGCTGATTGAAGCTGTAGATAATATGCTGGCAAACAAAGTTGCCTACCTCATGACTCTGGTGAGCCAGGAAGAGCGTAACACGCCTGCGCAGAAGGTTCAAGGTGGGGCGTTTGATGGCACCACAGTAGGACCATTTGACCAGGGCTATGGGGAAGGTGCCAAGGAAGGAGCCGACGAGGAGGAGTGGATTGTTGCCAAAGATAAACCTATATATGATGAAATCTTTTACACTCTCTCGCCAGTCAATGGTAGAGTCTCTGGGGCCAATGCAAAGAAGGAAATGTTGACCTCCAAACTGCCCAACAGTGTCCTGGGAAAAATCTGGAAGCTTGCTGACTGTGATAACGATGGCATGTTGGATGAGGAGGAATTTGCATTAGCAAAGCATCTTATCAAGATAAAACTGGAGGGATATGAACTCCCCAGTAGCTTGCCTGTCCATCTGGTACCTCCATCGCATAGAAAACCTTTGCGTGGGGCACAGTGATAAACGCATTCTAAAAATGTTAAAAGTTCAGTACCTGTTACAGTTAAAGATTGTATAACACACTTGAAGGTAGGGTTCTTGTCAAGCATTTTAGGGCCACTTCAAACATTGAATCTGTCCTGTATGGATACCACTTGCACACGATAAAGCACAGAAGCTGTCTTGTACCTCATGCACTGGGGAGCGATGCTTAGTGGCAGTTCTCTCATATGTGCATTTGTCCAACATGTATATCTTGTAAAATAAACACATGTATAGTCATGGCATGTGTCATGACAGGCTCCATATGCTTTCTGGCATTTGAAGTGGCCCTCAGTTAGATGCTGCATTCTGTGCACATTACAGGAACTGGCAACATAGCACAGGGATAAACCTATGTTAATAGATCTGAAGGCCCCTCAGTAAAAGGACAGCAGGGGGAGTGTTTCCTACAAGTGCCTTTGAAAATTACCTTCTGGTTTTTGTGGGTAAGGTTTTTGACATTTTTTTCCACTGTGTTTACAATCAAAATACTAAACTGGGATTGAGCAGATGTAAAAATAGTTGCAACTATATACTAAACAATACTTTGATAACACAATGCAAAACTACCTTTATTCTTCAAAAGGAAATCTAACATTTTACACTTCCAAGGAGGCAGGAATTTGTTCACTAATGATACTTGAAAAGAAAATCCACCTTCTGCAATTCCATTTAGAGATTGTAAGAATGCGCTTCAGTTCAGTTTTTTTTTTTGTTTTAGCCAAAAATTAAAGGCCTGTCTTGGACTAGGCTTCTTTACAAAGTCGTATTTGTTTGGGGAAGGAGAAAAGGGGAACGTATGCATGGAAAGAGCTTTCATAAGAATATGTAATTGTATTTAGAAAATCAACAAATTACTATATTTGAAAGTTATATATATTTAAATTGACATTTTAAAAATCTTACTGCTCTTTAGCTACTGTTGAGGTTATCACTGTTGTCTCTGTATAAGTAGAATATATATGAAGAGCCCTGCTGGATCAGGCCAAGGGTCCAACAGTGGAACCCAGTGTCAGGACATGAAGGCAATAGTCTCCGCATTGTTTACCTTCACATCTGCTAGTTGGAGGTGTGCTGTTCCTAAACATGGAGATTCTTTTTTAGCATCATGCCTGCTAGATAGAACTAGTCTCTATTTATCTTAGGCATTTTTCAAGCTATCAAATACAGAGGCCTTTGCCACATCTTGTGGAAATGAATTCCATAAGTTAATTTTTGTTGTAATACTGTGAAGCCCCTGGTAGTTGGTTGGTTGTTTTTTTTAAGAAAAAGAATAATGTGCATTATATACAAATATTGACACCTCTGTTCACTGCAATGATGATTTGCAAAAGTCCATTTGGAGGGCTTAATCCCAAAGTACGACTTGGCTGAAAACACACCTACATACGTGACAGAGCTACTTTGCAGAATATATATATATATATATATATATATATATATATGCACTTGTGTCAGTAGAGGGTGAGGTGACAAATTAGTTGATTATAGTTTGCACAGGTTAAAGCAGTTTGATCTACTAATTCTAAGGCTTTATTTTTAACATCCACAGGAAACCTTCCAGTATATAACCTACAAAGCTAGATTATGACTGCCTTGTGGCATGAAACCTGTACAGTGAATGCATCAAGGGAGGGCTACAGCAGTCTAGCCAAAAGGCCTGTAGGTGTCCTTTCATGAAAGACAGAGCAAATGAGTCAGTTTCTCCTGTTGCATCAGCAAAGTACTATTGATTGACTTAATCACTTATGCTATCACCTGTGGACTCAGTCGGAGCAACAAATGATGTCACCCAGAAATCTTTACACTTTATATGAAACTGCCTTATACATATTACTGGTCCATCTGTCTTAGTATTATCTACTGTTATCTATTCTGGCACTCCAGGGTCTGGGGCAGGGTCTTTCCCAAACTAGTAACTTCAGATCTTTCTAAACTGAGTTGTCAGGGATTAAACTTTGGACCTGCTTAAAAAACAGAAGGCCCCTCCATGTGTTATGTGGAGATCAGCCTATCCCTATACAGTAGCTCAGAAACTTAAGACTGATGCAGTCATTATCTTAGTGCATCCTTTTAATGCTATAGTTCAGTGAGAAATCAATTAACAAACTAACAGCTCTATTCCTACTGTTACTAGGTTTGTGTGTATTTGTTTACAGGCACAGACATCACTCCGGATAAGTAGCATAGGCTAACTTAGTGTTGTTCTTGCTTTCTGGGGCTTATGGTTTTCAAAATAGTTGATTTTTTTTTTGGCCAGGATTGTGTTTGGATAGGGGAAAGAATGGGGAGGGTTATGGGGGAGGGGGGGAAGGAAGGAAAGAAGACAAATGAGTCAAGAGGCCAGACTTCAGGAAGAAGTTTGTTTATGTTCTTGTTGCACCTTGAGTCTTTACCTGCTCCTTTGTGTTTATTTCTTTGACAATGCTTTATTACCTTTTCAAAAGAAAACTGAAGTCACTGGATGCTAGAAGATAAGATACTGCAAGATCAGATTTTATCTGTTGCATCACATGTAGGCAGAATATATTTTTTCTGTTGCAGCTCAGAAATCCAATTTCACTCGTATTTAATTGACCTCACGTTCTGGAGAAAAGTGTCTCTCTCTTGCTGCACTGTCTTTCTCTAGAACAGTTGTTAGTATTTATCTAAGCATCTGCTTTTCTTGTGCAATTTCCTCAGATCTTTGTTTCTCCCCACCATGAAATCATTTTTCCTGTTATTTATTATCCTGCAGTGATTTTAGAGGTTTTGTAACTGAAATGTGCTGCAATTTCAGCCGGCTAAGTCGAAACAACCATCTTTTTGTCAGCTACAGTGTCAGAATTTTTGAATGACTTTTAAACGTGGTAGAGTTGCGGTTTTAAGTAAAGGCACACAAATAATGAAACTTGTTTGCTTGTTTTGGCTATGATCCTTATTATTTCAAGAACCCAAAGTTTTGATCCATGAGCCTCTTCATGCGGCTTCATACTTGGTGTAAGAATCAGTGGAATATGAAACATGACTGATCTGGACATCTTTTTTCATGCTTCTAGAGTCTTTTGTGAGTTGCCCTTATGCAAATCTCCCTTGTGGCGAGCTGCATCCTACATTTATAACACACACTGCAATGTAATGCAGCCTAATCCTTAGTTTCCAAAGCTAGGCTAGTTGGGCAGCACAGCATGGCCATTAACAGAACCCCTTATGGGTGAGTGTGTTTTTCTGAACTAAAGGATTGCTAAATTGGCTATTGGATCCATAGAGGCCACAGCCCAAAAGGGAGAGCGCTTCTACTTACACTAGAAGGAATACAATAATTGTTGGAGGGGGCCTTGTATGCCATGTAGTGCTGGATGCAGGACATCCAGATGTGGAACATCTGCAACTGATGGTGGACCAGCCACTGCACCCAGCAAGGGAGAGCTGATCCCTAGAAAAATGGTTCTGTGAAATCCCATCCAGCAGAACTCCGCCTTTCTGAAAATAAATGATGACATGCATTTGGGGTTTTTCTTTCTGCTGGGGTATTTCAGAAACATAAAACTTGATACTGAATTGGAAACTAGCTACTCACAAATGACATGTTTCCGCATGTTTCCAGGATATATGTGGCCTAGAAGTTTTGAAAAGATGTAAAATCTGGATTTAGAAAAGAATCGTTCTTTCTTCAACTCCTTTTCATTATCACTCAAATATTGTCATCTTCATTATACCTGTTTGTAATTAGTTTTATTTCCATAGTCTAATAGTTATAAACATCCTCAAGGATATGAACCACTTTATTTAATCAGAGTCTCTATACCATTATTGTTACATATTTATAGATCCAAGATCAGGTCACTTAAAAAATAAATAACAATGATTGACCAATCCTTATATTACTGTGAAATATTTCAAGTGTCATCAAGAGAATATATATTATTGCTTTTTGTTTGCTAAGGTTCAAATAACAAAACTCTTGGTAGAAATATTGATTTTTCTCCCCAAGAGCTTAAATTCATTGGTGTTGCACTTTGATTATCTGCATGAATCATTACAGACGCTGTAATATATTTTTGTATATGTTTATAAGATTTCTCCTTTTTGTGTGTAACGATTCTGGGAAATAAAATTCGCTGTTTAATTAAAGTTACTTGCATGCTTGTGGTTGGTTTATTCATTTGTCTATTCCTGTGGAGGGCTGCTCTCCAGTGGTTAGAAGGTAGTATTGCAGGAGCCAGACTTCCTATATAAAAGTTCTAGAGCTGATACAAATTCAGTACTGAACTTGGTAATTTTGTATTATTGCATTGTACCTTTTCTGGATTTAAGTTTCAAAAATATTATTGCCAAATTATAGACAGGAAATTTGAAGATTTCAAAATTTTACGCCATAAACATAACATTTTCAAACCTTAAAAAAGTGGTTCTTTCAAACCTTGAGACCTCCTCCTCTCCCCTCCATGGGTTCCAATTCTATTTTTCTTCCCTACATATTTTCCTGTAATCTATTATATAATCATAAGTATCCAAAATCCATGTTACATTACAAGTGTCATTGTATTCCTGCCAATGATTTCAACTGTTTACAGTGGTCTCTCAGATATGTTAGGAAATTATTCCAGTCTTTTAAGAATACTTGGTCTTCCTGCTTTCTGATCTTTCCCATCAGTCTAGCCATTTCTGCATATTCCATCAGCTTGGTCTGCCACTCCTCTCTGGTCGGTATTTCTTCTTTCCATCGCTGGGCAAGAAGCATCCTTGCTGCTGTCGTTGCATACATAAACAGTCTTTTGTTTTCTTTTGGTAGTTCCACACCTGTAATGCCTAACAAAAAATGCCTCTGGTTTTTAAACAAAAGCTATATTAAACATTTTTTTACAGCTCATTATATATCATTTCTCAGAAAGCTTTTACCACCCCACATATGATACAATATACCCTCCTTCCTTTTACATTTCCAGCACACATTTGAACTGGTTCTAAACATTTTCGCAATTTTACTAGGTGTCAAATACCAATGGTACATCATTTTCATATGGGTATGGATCTGCTTCTGTCCACTTACTCCCAGCTGCATAATCAACATGCAGTGGTACTGCACAACCTCAACAGTTGGGACTGGTAGCAGCCACAAACATCAACCTCACACTCAAGGTGGCCCTGAAGGGCACCATAAGCTCAAAATGCTAGACTCCTCCACCAGCAACTGCCATCTCATGCTCCATTTCCATTGGCCAGCATTTCGTGCTCAGGCCGCTTGCCCTTGAGTGAGAGCAGCAGGACAAGAACCCTTTTGCAGTGACTCCCCATCCTTCTGGAGCCCTCAGCAAACCACCCATCTGCACTGTCCCAGCTCAACCAGCCCAGGATAGTTACTTCTCGTTGAGGAACCAGAGGGTTACCTAGCTTTGCATACAGTTTGCAAAGCTATGCCTCAAAAGGAAAGCTCATTTATTCCTAGCATCCAGCGGTGGAGGAAGCCTCTTGGGCACCTGGGGTGGTGTGCCCAGGGGCAGGGTGAACTGCCCATAGGGGCAGGGCAGGGCGCGTGGCACCCACAGGGATAGGGCATGCCGTAAGGCCTCAGCCGCCCTACAGCTGGGGGGGAGGCAACAGGTAGACAGCATGGAGCCTGTGGGCGCCTGAGACACGTGATTTGGGTGCACTGCAGGCCCTGCGGTGAGTGCTGCCCACCATTTTGTCACCCCCCTCAGTGGGGACACCCCCCTTGCTACGCCCTTGCTAGCATCATCACATTTTGCTTGTGGCTGCATGCAAGAAGAAACAGAAAGGAAGTGAAATACTATCTCTTCCCAGTGAGGCCCGCTGCCATTCACTTATTGTACAATCTCTGTGGGGGTGGAGAAGTATACTCTCTGGCTTTTAAGAGCAGAAAGGAGCTAATGAGACAATCAGTTATGTGAACAAGCCATTTAGAAAATGATTAAATCAGATGTATTATGGAAACTATAACACATGGCTGCCTGATTCACAATGCAAGGTTACCAACTGGTATTTCACAGGAGGCAATAAACGTGTCAAATCTTGAGGCTTTTGCCTGAAGTAAAGGTAAAGGGACCCCTGACCCTTAGGTCCAGTCGTGACCGACTCTGGGATCGCGGTGCTCATCTCGCTTTATTGGCCGAGGGAGCCGGCGTTTGTCCGCAGACAGTTCTTCCGGGTCATGTGGCCAGCATGACTAAGCTGCTTCTGGCGAACCAGAGCAGCGCACGGAAACACCATTTACCTTCCCGCCGGAGCGGTACCTATTTATCTACTTGCACTTTGATGTGCTTTCGAACTGCTAGGTTAGCAGGAGCAGGGACCGAGCAACGGGAGCTCACTTTGTCACAGGGATTCGAACTGCCAACCTTCTGATCGGCAAGTCCTAGGCTCTGCGGTTTAACCCACAGCGCCACCCGCGTCCCTTTGCCTGAAGTACTGAGTCAAAATTATTGCTTTAATTATGGAACTGTAAACAGATTTCCTAACATAGTTCAGGTACAAAAGAGCAGAACATCACTCCGCTTATTGGAAACAGGAAGGGCAGCTATTTCTTTGAAGAATGTAAGCCTGTTGCACAAGTAGTGAAAATTAGGGGTCCCCAGGATTATTTGGGTAGCTTGTTTTCTTTTGATCATTACTCTCAGGTCCTGCTGTGCTCCATTAACTACTGAAAATCAGCTGCCTTAGCACAAAGTTTGATGAACCTGAAGGAATGCTCAAATTTCTTTGGTTCTTTTTATACGATTTATTTTTATGTGTTTTTATATAGAAAAACAATTCTTATATTTATCTGTAAGCTGCCTTGAGTCTTTGTCAGGGAAAAAGCAGGGTGTGTGTGTGTGTGTGTATAATGTCTTATTTTATTCACATCAGCCCAAAGGGTCATATTACATGGAATAAACCTTTGGCAGGCTAGCTGCAGCCAATGGCCCAATATTGTAAATTAATTTATGAAATGAAGGCTTTCTAATTCCAACACTTGGCATTTATTTTTATACTTATATTGGAATTACCTTTGTCATTTACAGCCTTGTACTATGGGCCAGGTAGTGACTGGGATCATCTACTCCAACTTGGCGTGGGAGGTACATATTTTCTTTATCATGAGCACTCGCGGGCATCGGAGCCCAACTTCCTGTTCTAGTACATTATGTCAGCATTTGAACTGCTGCAGATATATCATAACCCTTCTGCTGAGAACCTTTACCCCCAATATTCTAATGACCTTTTCCCTCTCCAGCCAGGTGTAGAGTTTTCATATAGATTATAAATACTTTCTCACTGTCACAGTATTCAAAGGTCACTTTGTATGCCAGAATAAACCAGCAGTTCTGGAGTAAAAGTGTTTATTGAATGGTGTCTTGCTGGCTTTCAAAGGGACATCTTGACAAGGCTGGGTAAGTTTAGACTTCAAGGAATTCCTTGGCTTTCTGTGGATGGGGCAAATGAGGGTATAGGCGTTTGAGTAATCTCAGAATTGCTTGAAGACAAATGTTATCCTTGCGAGAAGGTATGTTCTTACAAGTGACAGACGGGATGTTCTAAAAAGAACTGACAGTCCTATTGTATGGTACTGCATGTGCAAAAAAAAAGTAAGTGAAGAAATGACAACTGAACAGAAAGCTGATTTTGGCTGACAAATGATCCAGCCATTTTGCTGGGACCAGAGGTTAAGCAAGAGAAAGGCAAGGAGGATAATGTATCTTCTTCAGGAAGAAAAAAAGTACTGAGGACTTCCCGAAATGTACGGGAGCTGGTGAATTGTGGGCAAAAATCCCTCCTTCTGGTAGTTGCCTTGAAGGGTGAAAGGGCTGCTTCAGAAAATTAGATTTCTGTAGCTTTTTGAAAACAGTTAATTCTCCCATTGTGCGGGAGGACCCTTGAACTTGTTGTGGAGTCCTGTGTATGAACTGAAAAGTAGGGTCCCAACATTTTGTCTTCCCAGAAGTACATGTCACTGGGATATATTTCACCAGCAAATAGGGACCGTCATCATTTAAACAATATTTGAGCACACTTCATAAACAGTGAATCAGGTCTGAGGAGGCTTTGGTTGTGGGTCATCTACCACATCCCCTAAGACCAGATCTGACCACAAAGATCTTTCAAGCACCACTATTCAGTTACTGCACCATAAAAGCTGGTTGTGGGAAGCCCAAGTACATTTTTGGGTGAAGAAATTGTGTCCTGTGTGTTGGATTTGTTAAGTAAGAAATGATGGCATCACACACGAATGCTAATTTTTCTGAAGTTTTGATGAAGCTAATCATCAAAGAAATTATTTTTTATATAGCAAATAGTAACTAACCTAACCAAGTTCATATTACAAATGGGGGGAAATAAGGAAAATGACTTTAAAACAAGGAGCATCTCCTTGGTGTACAAATTAGCCAGGCAGAATGTTGGTGTCTTTCTTCAGAAAGCACAATTACTTAGAAACTAGTGCAAGTGGAACCAGAAAAGCAGGCTGTCATGAAGAGCAAACTGAGTTAATATATGATGTTTACCAAGGAGTCCAACACTCTTGCGTATGCAAAATATACCTCTCCTCAAGTAGGGGCCCATCAACAGGAGGCAGCTACTTGTTTGGGGAGCCCTTGCCCCCAACTCAATCTCTGGAACTGCTTCCAAGATCTCTTTGTTAGTAACAGGAAGCTTATACTGAGCCAGACATTTGGTCCATCTAGCTCAGTATTGTCTATTTCAAGGGTTCCCAAAGTATGGTTTGTGAACCACATTCAGGTGGTCCCTGGCATGTCTGTAAAAATAAAATTATAAACCATGCAGCTTCTAGTACAGCCTGCTACATACAACAAGCAGGCAAATCATTAAGTGTTCAACCAAGACCCTCAGAAATATTCAAGTGGTCCATGGGGGCAGGGGGAGCTTGGAAACCTCTGGTCTAGACTGGCTGGCAGCATCTCTTCAGGGTTTCAGGTAAGTAGTCTTTCTCATTCCTACCAGGAGACGTCAGGGATTGAAACTGGGACTTTCTGCATGCAAAGCACACTACCATTGAGATTGGTCACTCCCCAAAATTGCTAACACTGCATTCTTTGGGTGCAATCTGAAGTTCTTTGTCTTTCAATAAAACCAGGAAAGAGAATAGAAGAAAGGCATGACCACCCCCACTATTTCTTTTATTTAAATGTTGAAACGCCAAAACTAGTATTACAGTTTTGTTAACACTTTAATCTGAAACCTTTCCAAAATGTATTCAGCTTAATAGAGATCTTCCTTGGTTGTTCTCAGCTTATTAGTTGATGGGTAGCAGCACCCACTTCCTTTTGGCAAGAAATGCATTGCAGGAGGTATGAAAATGGCTCTGACCACAGAGGAAGTGAAACGGAAGAACGTGGGCTCTCAGATTTGGCTGGTAGTTTTCTGTTGAATGCATAATCTGGTGCACATTCCTTGGCTTCAAGGAGAACAAGAAAGCTCAAGAATGCAAGAGAATTGGCAGCAAGCTGGGGTGGGTGATGCATGGTTATTTTTGGAGGAGTCATGTTGGAATGTTTCTGTGTTTAGGGCACCATGGAGGAAGAATATGTACAAGGACAGTTCAAAAAGCTGCAGGAGCAGCGTATGACCATGCAGAAGAAAACATTCACCAACTGGATCAACAATGTGTTCTACAAACATGGTGTAGGTACTTTCCTCAAGCTCCTTCAGATGTGATCAGATTAAAAACTTCCTTGGTGGAGTGACAAACAACTCATGGAAAGCTCCTGACAAACTTTATCCATACAATATCATTAACTGCGAGCTTAAACAGTGTAAACAATGCATTTTGAACTTCCATTGACATCTAAAGTTACCACATTCAAGATGGCTGCAAAACAAACACCAGCCTGGGCAAAGCATTAGTACAGCACCTGGAACCATTGTGCCTTAGCACAATATGCTATTACTTAAACATTTCAGTGACTTGACAACTGCAATTTCCTGGTACAGGTAGAATTTCCACAGCTTCTCAAACTCTGTAGGGTTTCAGTCAAGGCCTTTTACCCATTCAGCTGTGAGTCACCAGGTTGTACTTCTCAAGATGTATGTGTCATCCTTAATGCTTTAGTTTACACCAATTACAAGCTAATATAATATTTATGACTAGGCAGTTAATGTTTTAACATCAACCCAGAAGGTATTTCAGCTGTCAGAGCTGGACCAAGACATTTTAATCATTCATTCATTTACAGTAATTCCATTTATTAATTGCTCCCTCAGAAACATCTCAAAGTGATTAACAGTGACCGCACCAATAATGAAAGCAGTAAAAGCAATTCCATGTATTAAAAAAAAAACAATTCAAATCCAGTACAGATAAAGACTGCAGTGACAATAAAATCTCCACTTAAAAGGCTTTGACGTGCACCAAAAAGATGCTAGAGGTGGCACCTGTCTGATATGTGTGAGAGAGGTTCACAGTTGGTGCCTCCACACTAAAGGCCTGATTCCTAGTCGTAGGGAACAGACCTCTGGATGAGATGGTATCTGCAGGATTCCCTCTCCAGTAAAAGCACAGTGATTGGTTGGGAATTATAAGGGGCGAGATCAGATATCCAGGTACCAAGCCTGGTATCAAGGTTTTGCATACATGTGCTACCTGCTTGAACTTAGCCTGGTAGCGAATCAGCAACCAGAGCTGCTGCTTTTTGTTGCAGCTTCTGGAACAAAGATGGACCTTTTAAAGTTGCAGTCAGAAGCTCCAAACTGTTGCTAAAAATGTGTTTTAAATGAAGATTCTGGCAGCGTATCAGCCAATGGATTGAAGGCTGCAAATATTCCAGTCACCCTTTTAGCTGACTAGAATAGGGGATATTTGTCAAGACTCCATGAAGGACACTGTAGGTAAAGGAGTATAGAGAAGTTGTTCAGACCTACCCATAGTTTCTTTCCATGTGAAGTCCTGTTCAGAATATTAAATGATGTGAATTCAATTGGCTCAGAAGCAAATAATTTCTCTCTTCTCTTCTCTTCTCTTCTCTTCTCTTCTCTTCTCTTCTCTTCTCTTCTCTTCATGCCAGTCAAACAGCAATTACAGCACTTGCTTGCCATTATCTATGCTTGTGTGACATCTGTCCATGTCACTGGCTGTGAAATTTTGGCTGAATTCTTTGATGCTTCATTTTGCAGGTGGACATTAGGATTCATGATCTCTATACTGAACTGAAAGATGGCATTTATCTCCTGCAGCTGTTAGAGCTGCTGTCTGCTGAGCAACTGCCCAGAGCAAACAAGGGTAAAATGAGGGTTCATTTTCTGGAGAACAACAGCAAAGCTATCCAATTCCTCAAAACCAAGGTGAGAACATAAAGGTACAATGCAGACTTGTCAAGTTGCAGGACAGTGTGAGGTTGCATATTTATAAATTTATGTTTAATCTATAGTCCGTCAGGTGTCATTGGTACACAAATTTAAAGAAATTCTCTTTAAGAGTAATGTTAATTAACAGTAATGGAACAGTTTTAAACCATAGTTTCATAGAAAGATTAAAGTCTTCCCCCTATTTCTTTTATAATGTTGGAGATAGTTGATATATTTTGATAATTGCGTGTGTTCTGTGTGAATCAGGTGCTTTTCCTCAGCCACTCTTGGCAGCTTATAGCATATCTAAAAACATAAAACATCAAGCATTAAAAAACCTCCTGATACAGGGCTGCCTTCAGATGTCTTCTAAAAGATGTATAATTCTTTATTTATCTCCCTGACATCTGGTGGGAGGGCATTCCACAGGGAGAACGCCACTGCCAAGAAGGCCCTCTGCCGAGTTCCCTGTAACTTCACTTCTCGCAGTGAGGGAACGACCAGAAGGCCCTCGGCGCTGGACCTCAGTGTCCAGGCTGAATGATGAGGGTGGAGATGCTCCTTTAGGTATCCTGGGTCGAGGCCATTTAGGGCTTTAAAGGTCAGCACCAACACTTTGAATTGTGCTCGGAAATGTACTGGGAGCCAGTGAATTTCCTGGTGGCCACTCCCGGTCACCAGTCTAGCTGCCACATTCTGGATTAGTTGTAGTTTCCGAGTCAACCTCAAAGGTAGCCCCACGTAGAGCGCATTGCAGTCCAAGCGGGAGATAACTAGAGCATGCACCACTCTGGCGAGACAGTCCACGGGCAGGTAGGGTCTCAGCCTGCGTACCAGATGGAGCTGGTAGACAGCTGCCCTGGATAGAGAATTGACCTGCACCTCCATGGACAGCTGTGAGTCCAAAATGACTCCCAGGCTGCTCACCTGGTCCTTCAGGGGCACAGTTACCCCATTCAGGACCAGGGAGTCCTCCACACCTGCCCGGCTCCTGTCCCCTCAAAACAGTACTTCTGTCTTATCAGGATTCAACCTCAATTTGTTAGCCACCATCCATCCTTCAACCGCAGATTGGCAAAGTTGACTGGAACTGATGGGAGTTGCAGTTGAACAACATCTGAAGGGCCATAGGCTGACCACTTCTGCTTTATCCATCCATCCCTCCATCTGTTCATTCTTTAAAAAGTTCCCCATGAGTTTCCAGGGCAGGCTACAACAATGTAAAAATACAACATTGAAACTAGTTAAAACAAGTTTAAAGCCTCAAGTTGTAGAAAGTTGTGTTTTTACATTGTTGTAACCTGCCCTGGAACCTCATGGGGTTTATAGAAACAAACTGACAATGGTAATAATTGCTGAAAAGCTACATTTGTGCATTTGACAGGTACAGGTGAAAGTAATTGGACCTGAGAACATTGTAGATGGGGACCGAACTCTCATTCTGGGTTTAATGTGGATAATTATCCTCAGATTTCAAATTGCATCCATCAGACTTGATAAGGTAAAACTGTTCTTTAATAGCCTTTGTGCTCTTTGCTTTGTGAGAATGATCAGCTCTTCTGTTGTTCCAAAATGTCCTTGATCCCCAGCAAACTGAAATTTGACTCTTGGGTTTCTAATTAGATTGAAAGTCTAGTCTAAGTAAAGGATTCAAGTGTTTACATGTGAATAGGGGAAGTGGCAGAGAGAGAGCCTCTTTAAAAAGGTAAAGGGACCCCTGACCATTAGGTCCAGTTGTGACAGACTCTGGGGTTGCGGCGCTCATCTTGCTTTATTGGCTGAGGTAGCCGGTGTACAGCTTCCGGGTCATGTGGCCAGCATGACTAAGCCGCTTCTGGCAAACCAGAGCAGCACACGGAAACGCTGTTTACCTTCCCGTGGTACCTATTTATCTACTTGCACTTTGACATGCTTTTGAACTGCTAGGTTGGCAGGAGCAGGGACCGAGCAACGGGAGCTCACCCCGTTGCAGGGATTCGAACCGCCAACCTTCTGATCGGCAAGTCCTAGGCTCTGTGGTTTAACCCACAGCGCCACCCGCATCCCTAGAGCCTCTTTACTTGAGGGTAATTTAACTTTAACTAGCACAGTAACTCCCACCACCACCACCAACTGTAACATGCATCTAATAATAAGTGGTTAATAAACTGTAGATAGAAAATGCCTCACTAAATTTATAATTATAAATCCTTACATTTCAGTTTGTGTAAAAAAAGGGGGTTTCATCCTAGAGCAAACTTGTGAGAAGTTTTCAAATCTGGATATGTTGTTGCATGGCAGATTTTCAGTTATATATGCAATTGTCCTTTGAGTTTTTCTCCTTGGTGTGTTTCTAGGAAGAGTTTGGAGCTAAAGCCAATGTCCTTTCTGCCAATGATGCCCTGCTGGTCTGGTGCCAGTATAAGACTGCCAGCTACCCCAATGTCAATGTGAAAGACTTCTCCAAAAGCTGGAGTGACGGGTTAGCCTTCAATGCACTCATTCATGCTCACAGGTAAAGGAGAACTAGGAGATCCTGCAGCAGTAGCTCAGACTTTCCTGTAATTCTTTAATGGAGAAGGTGATCAAATCTGACAAGCTGAATAATTTTTTGCGGACAATATCATGTTAGACAAATGGAAATTATTTATTAATGAGCTCAGAAAAGTTACTAGAGATAAAAAGGTGCTTTTCAAAAAATGTAAATTGGATTCCACAAGGATTAGGATGGGTTGGGATAAAGAATAGGGAATTTCCACAACCTTTGGTGCAGGACTTCTGAGCTCCCAAAAATAGGTTTCTCTCTCACCTAGCCCTTAACATCAGAAGCCAAGTTCATGCCCTGACACCAAAACCCACCTTCCATGATGCAATAAGCTGTTAGGGGCTTGAACTGGGCAATAGGGCTTGTTTCTAAAGTTCAGGTTTCAGTTTCTCTTCCACCTCCCATGGTGTCCTTTGTGCTTCCTCTCTCTTGCCACCACTTCCCAGGCAGCAAGAAGGGAACAGATGGAACCCTTATGCTTTCTTTTCTCTCAAAACAAAAGAGAAAGAAAAGGGGCCCATTTATTCCCTTGCTAATGCCTGATCAGATTTCCTGATCAGCCTCAGTTGCCCAGAGCAGTGAAGGTGGTGAAGGAGATTGTCTGGAGTTCTGCTCCACGACAGCACCCCGTGTTAAAGAATAAAGTCCTTTTTTACAGGAAGGATGTTGTGATGACTGTCATTGAAATGGTGTCATTGTAGGCTCACCTCCTCACCTACTGGGAGGAGCTGGTCCCTAGACCTGCTTGCCGTAGTCTCGCCCCAGCAGCACCCCCAACAATGTGGTCTGACCCAAGACACACCAGGAGCTTCCTAGCTAACTGGAGATTGAACTCAAGTCTTCTAAATCTGGTTGTGGCTGCTCTATGCTCCTCCCAACCTCACTTGCCTCATTTAACTATGTGTACTGGAAATTCCATCAGCTGAACCAGAGGGAGAGATTAGAAATGGCCAACCAACACCATTCTTTGGGCTCTGCTGAGAGACCAGCTTCAATGGAGTCTTCCTCTTTCTGAACCGCTTCCATTTCAGATGACCATCTGAGAACAGATGCCTGAATCTGCTTGTTTTCCCTTTTCCACCCATTCCGTTTTCCTTATGTGCCATGTCTTTCAGATAGCAAACCCATGGACCAGGGCTGCCTTGTTTTCATTTGATCTGATGTGAGCCCTTTTGACTGAAAAGCGAAGCAAAAGAATTGCTTGAATAAATAAAGGGTAGTGAATGGAAGATTGAAATGCAGTTTAGGTAGTATTTCTCAGGCACACTCGACTTTACATGCAAGTCTTGGTGTGCACCTCATTTCATTTTTGAAACATAACCTTCCTTGTATGTTTCCCCATCACCCCTTCTTTCATCTCCCCAGGCCTGATCTCATCCAGTACAGCTCCCTGAGGCATGACCAGCCCATCAGTAACCTAAATAATGCCTTCACTGTGGCAGAGAAGCAGCTGGGAATCACAAAGCTGCTGGACGCTGAGGATGTGGCCGTGCCATTTCCAGATGAGAGATCCATCATGACTTATGTGTCATTCTACTACCATTACTTTTCCAGGCTGAAGCAGGACCAGACTGTCCAGAAAAGGCTCACCAAAGTCAGTGCACTGCGGTCACATAAATTAGCATGCCCTGTCTCTCAAGTAAATTCTCTCCACAGGCTAAATCAGATGGTGGATCAGTTCTAATGTACGTATGTAATCTGTGGATAATGCCAAGGGCTTTTCACAGGAAGAATAAAAGTCAATATACTCCTCTACATTCAGCTTAAGGAAAAGCCCTCCATGGTCAAAAGGCAAATGCTTATGCAGTAGGAAAATTCATTGCAGTTTGTTTCCTTTGCGTAGGGCAAATCTCAGTAGGTTTTCACCTTTTTTGGCTCACCTTCATAAAAAAAATAATTCAAGGGCACCATGGACAAGCAGGCAAGTCCAATACGATAGGTTCTGGCTGAAGAACTAGGTATATCTTTGCCAGTGCCAAAGGGGACAGCCAGAAGCTTTATTAAAGAGGAATCCCAAAATCTGGGATCTCCTTCAAAATGATACCAAAGTAATGTAATTGTTTTGTTCCATTCTGTGGGGCCAAAGCTAGCTTGGGTATTGTACAGACACAGATACAGTGACTATGCAAAGGGACAGAAACACACACACACACACACACACACACACACACACACACTTAGTACACATGCTCTTCTACATATCCCCATTTATCCCTACATTGCAGATGGTTGGACCTTTGTGTCGCTTCCAACTCTACAATTCTATGCTTCCATGATATTCCCGTTGCAAGTTTTAGAAGAACCTAAGACTAGCTCTGCTGGATTGAACCACTTGCCCATGCAGTCTGACCTCCTGTTCTCACAGTGGCCAACCAGGTGCCTATTGGAAGACTTCTAGCAAGACCTGAGTGCAACTGCAATTCAGAAGCATACTGCCTCTGACAGTGGCCGTGTCAGAGTTCTGCTCTTCGTGTGCTTCTCGCTTTAATGGTTTTCCTTCCCACTCGGATTCTCTCTCTCGGGGTTCTTTCATGCAGAGCCCTTCTCCTTCTTCTTCTCCTCCCTCCCTTCCTTCCTAAACAAACACAGAGAGACATGATAATCTCTCGCTGACCTCAGTCACCCTCAATAAGGCAGCTCTGAGTTCCCTAATAGGATTGTGGCAGGGAAGCCTCCCTTGTGTCAAAGCAGCCTCAGTATGCGCTAAGACTAGTGGGTGACCAGGGAGTGCAGAGGGAATCCATGCGGTGAGGTAAATCTCCCTTCCCCCACCCCTCTCCAGTGACCATGCATTTGTTAGGATCCTTCAGCGAGAACTGGGTGCGATGGCAGAACATACAGAACGGAGCCCTAATGCCCCAGGCAGCTTTTCCTGCACTCAAGGTTGGTGCTGCTGTTTTGCTCCTTCTCCTGCCCGTAGCTGGGCTTGCTTTGTTATTTGTGCGCTCTGAAATGGATGCAAGCAGATTAGCACTTCCAGCTCATTGGTTTTTTTATTCGGTTTCAGCATCTTCCTCATTAACACAAGGAAACAACTGGGGGCCAGCTGAGGCCTCCTCGAGGGTGACATGGAGCATTGTCCTGCGTTGTTTGTTGTAGTTTGCTGTAGTTTGGGGCATTTCGCTTTGAGCTCTTTCGAAGCTAGGATTAAGAAGTGGAAACCAAAAATAGCAAATGAAAGGGGAGGGCAATGTGAGAAAGATGGTTACTTTTTGCACTCTGGCGATGCTTCCATAGGGTTTGTTTCTGGTGCTGAATGAACATGACTGTCTATCAGTCCACACAGGGAAGGTGCAGGTATTTTATGCTTAATGCTGATAGTTCAAATTGACTAACAGAATCAAGGCTTTCTCTGGTAACGCCAAACCTTGTGCTGGATGGTACCATGTTACAGAGTCCCCTCTCATCATATTCTGATGGGTGCTTCTGATATTAGTCACGGGAAGCAACTATTTGCAGGCCACTATCAGAGAGTCTTGGCAACAAATGCTCTACTGTAAAACTGGATCCGCTCACATCAAAGAAGTGTTGCAATTAAACGCGTTACAAACTTTGTATGAGAAATCAGGTTAGCAAAGACGGAACTCCACAGCGCCATCTGGTGTCACAGTGTTAGAATGCACAAACAACGCATATAAAGAGTTTTTTTTCTTTGCCAGTGTAGCTGGGGCTCGTGTTTAAATTGAAATGAATGAATCCAAGAGTCTTCAGTAAGGTTGTGGATTCCTAAACTATAGTCAAAAACAGAAAATTGCAGACTGGTGGAGGGGGTGTATTTCCAGATATTTGTTTAAATAGTAGCAGTCGTAGTAACAACAAGGCTCAGCAGTTGAACTGCAGAGGGTGATTATCAGAGTTTGGTTATTTATGGTAAAACATGTGGTGATAACTTTGAACCCTGCACCTTAAAATACCAGCAGCACTATTTAGTGAAGTACTTGCCTCTTTCTCTGGTATTAAAATGTGTCGTGAGTCCCATGGAAGTGTTGTGGAGGGAGTGAGTAGATCCAGAAAAGACATGGAAGGTGCTCTGAGAGTGGGTGCTGGAATATCCTAAGTAATGTTCCAGTTAGCAGCAGGTCTTCAATTCTAGGCTTCAAGAGGGGCCTGATCCTAGCAGCAGTTTGGGGGAATGATCCCCCAGCAGTCTGAGGAAAGGAGATCTGGGCCCCAGGGAGGGCTGTGGTAGTGATGAAAGAGCAGGCCAGTGTGGCGTAGTGGTTAAGAGCGGTAGACTCGTAATCTGGTGAACCGGGTTTGTGTCTCCGCTCCTCCACATGCAGCTGCTGGGTGACCTTGGGCTAGTCACACTTCTCTGAAGTCTCTCAGCCTCACTCACGTTACAGTGTTTGTTGCGGGGGAGGAAGGGAAAGGAGAATGTTAGCCACTTTGAGACTCCTTCAGGTAGTGATAAAGTGGGGAAGAAGAAGAAGAAGAAGAAGAAGAAGAAGAAGAAGAAGAAGAAGAGAGTTTGGATTTGATATCCCGCCTTTCACTCCCCTTCAGGAGTCTCAAAGCGGCTAACATTCTCCTTTCCCTTCCTCCCCCACAACAAACACTCTGTGAGGTGAGTGGGGCTGAGAGACTTCAGAGAAGTGTGACTGGCCCAAGGTCACCTAGCAGCTGCATGTGGAGGAGCGGAGACACGAACCTGGTTCCCCAGATTACGAGACTACCGCTCTTAACCACTACACCACACTGGCTCCAAACTCTTCTTCTTCTAGGCCTCCCCTAGTTGTGCCATGGCCTTGAAGCAACGTAGGAGGCTTCTAGGACTGCTTTTGTTTTCCAGATGTATTCGTTTCAAATATTTATATACTTCTATACTTCTGTTCTTTAGAAAATATTCTCAGGTTATTGGGGGGGGGGGAAATAACACAGTATATAAAACAACAGACAAAACACTGAACTCCACAAAATAAGATTCCACTCACTCAACACCCACACAAATTCCACACCCACTAATGGCTGCTACCTCAGTCTACATGACACCTACACTTGCACACAGACTTACAGGCAAACACACACACACACACACACACCTTCACTCTTAACCCTCACTGGTCTCAATAATCTTCTGGGTATATACAGAAAAAGACTGTACTACCACACTTGGCAGCCTTTAACACCAGATCTAACCTCTACCCACCCCAATAAACACCTCATTCCACCCATACAAACACAAACACAAATTCAGATTTAGATGTGGTTATTATCTGTGGCTAAGGAACAAATCTGTCATCCTAGTCTCACCGAAAGCCTGGATTGACTGGAGTCAGTCATAAAACTATGCTAGGTTATATGATTAAGTATTTTATTTTGCTTTTCCCCCCCTGCAGATTGTGTTCTTCCTGAAGGAGACGGATGACTTGAAGTTCCAGTATGAGCAAATGGTCTCAGAGCTCTTGAAATGGATAAAGCTCAAAGTGGTGGAACTGGATGATCGCTTCTTTCCCAACTCCCTCAAGGAGATGCGTCTTCTCATGGGCAGCTTTAAGACCTTCCGCATTGTGGAGAAGCCTCCCAAGTACCGGGAGAAGGGAATCATTGAAGCCAATTTCTTCCACATCAGAACCAAACAGCGAGCCCACAACCAACGTGCCTACCTGCCTCCTGAAGGAAAGACACTGAGAGATTTGGAGAAGGAGTGGGTTGTTTTGGAAAAGGCAGAGCACAACCGAGGAAAAGCAATCCAGGAGGAGCTCTTGAGGCTGGAGAGAGTTGAGCAACTGGTCCAGAGATTTCTGAAGAAAGCAGCTGTTCGTGAGGCCTACTTGGAGGACATGAGAGGGATAATAACGAAGCAGAACGATTGGCAGCCTGAGAGTGTGGAGGCACATCAGGCAGCCACAAGAAAGCTTGAAGCCATTGAGGCAGATATGCTTTCCCGAGACCTACGCTTCAAAGCACTATCTAAGATGGCTTCAGAAATCAAGCAGGAGAACTACCATGGCAAGATCCAGATTGAAAAGAAGTGAGCTGAAAAGTGGCGGTGTGTGGTTTTGGGAGGTGGGAGAAACAGGAATAGCTTTAAGGAGAATTAGAAGGACACATAGAAAATAGTTGTGTTGATAGCATGAATAATGTAGTTCCCCTTTTCAGAAAGGCAGCAACGATAGAGATTAACAATGGCGATGGATTTCACCACCATGCTTCACATTCGTGCTTTTGAATAGACAGTGGACTGATTTTTTTTAAAAAAGAGAAACATTCTGTTGTTTTTTTTCAAATAAGAAGATTTTTCAAATAAAATCTTGGGAGAAAACCCTTCTCCATGTTTCAGCACTGGGTGAGGCTTGTTATGGGTGACACAAGGGCCTTCTGTACAGTGTCTTCCCATTGGCAGAATACAATCCTCTTAGAATTGTGGTTAAAGCCAGTGCTTTTTTCTGGGGGTGATCAAGGGTACACAGCACCGGCTCCTTTTCTTCTAGATGAAAAGCACTGGTTAGATCCAACACTTCTATCATTTCAGTGCCAAGCTAAGAAAGACCTTTCTGTTTCCCCAGACATTTTCAGTGGTTTAGTTAAATAAACTAGCCACATGGGAATCATGAGCCTCCATTTTAATTGTTTTCCATGCATCCCTTGAAATACGTAGTTCTGTTCAGAATCTTTTGATATACCATGTTGTTGTTTTCCCTCCCATCCAGGCAAAATGACATTGCACATCAATGGCAAGACCTTATGACCCAGCTCCAGAGACAAAAACACTCCTTGCAGGCAATGCAGGAAGGCCTGGTCCTTTTGAGGGACATCGATACCATTACAGAAGAACTAAGAGGGCTGAAGGTATCTCGTGTTATACATTTTGCATGTTAATAAGCACATTGTTTTAGTGACAACTAAAGACTGCAATTGATGTCATGTTGTGAAAGAACATCGTGTTTTCAGGTCTGAAAATAGGCACATAGTCATTGACATCCCAGGCTTGCTTATTTATTCAAATAATAATAATAATAATAATAATAATAATAATAATAATAATACTGGAAATAAATAAATAAATAAGTCGTAGGCATACGATTGTCAATACAAACTTAATTTTCCAGGGACAACTAAATGAAAAATATTCCACTTGCCAGAATAATAGAATATGGACTTGAGGCTAAGAACTATAGATTATCGGCATGCACACAAATCTGTTCATTTTCTTTTACATTAGGTTAAAAGGCCTGTTTCTTGCAGTGAAAGCCAGTTACATATACATTATAAAACTGAATTCGTACAGAGGCAGTGGATACAGGCTTAATTTGAGCTTAAGTAGCATGGGTTTCAAAGCCAGGAGTACCTATGACCATATAACTGCCTTCCTTTATCGTAACCTATTTGGTCCCACACTTCTGGGATTAGGAGAATTCAGGTCAAAGGGCATGACTTCTAGGCAGTCTAGCAACCAGGCACAGTACATGTTGGAAACTAAGCACTGTGCTTATTATCGCTATACCCGTTTGTAATATGTACTGTATGTGGATGGAATTTGCATCTTTTCTTTGATATTAGTGGGCCTTGGATACCATCTGATGATTGCTAGCTGACATTGGGTGATAATTTACCATTGCATGAATGTAACAACTTGATAAACTGGGCATCAGTAATATCCTGCCAATAGTGTAGACTCCTGCACTTTAGTGCAAGTCACCATTCCCTTATTCTTCTGATTGTAAAAACTCCTCTCAGAAGTTGAAAGGATTATTAGTTTTATAAGTGGCTACATGCACATTATGGTAAATTTATCATCTGATAAATAGTCATCTATAACTTAGCCATTTTCTTCACGCAAGTTCTTGAGGACAATAAACATCATTTCTATTTCATTTAATTTCCAGAGTCTAGTGAGTGCCCAGCATTGTGGTAAACAGCTCCTGGAAGCCGTAGATTTACTGCAGAAGCATAAACTGGTTGCCTCTCAGATCTCTTCCCTTGGGGAGAGGGTCAGGCATATCACTGAAAGAACAGAAGTGATTGTCAAAAGTAAATCGTTCAAGCCAGATGTGCTTCAATCTAAACATCGGATGCTCCAGCAGCTGCATCAAAACCTTGTGGATCTCTGCAAAACACGGTAAATTTCTTTTTTTGTGACTCAGTTCTTCCTGAGGAGGCTGGCCAGTTCTTTTATTTAAGAAATTCAGGAATAGAATATCCTAATTGTGGGATGCCGGGGTGTTTGTATGAACCCCCGAAATGAACATATAACAACAACAATTTATTTATACCCCACCCATTTGGTTGGGTTTCCCCAGTCACTCTGTGCGGCTTCCAACCAAATATTAAAAACAATACAGCATCAGACATTAAAAACTTCCCTAAACAAGGCCGCCTTCAGTTGTCTTTTAAAAGTAAAATAGTTGTTTATTGCCTTGACATCTGCTGGGAGGGCATTCCACAGGGCAGGTGCCACTACCGAGAAGGCCCTCTGCCTGGTTCCCTGTAACCTCACTTCTCACAGTGAGGGAACCACCAGAAGGCCCTCAGAGCTGGACCTCAGTGTCTGGGCTGCATGATGGGGGTGGAGACGCTCCTTCAGGTATACTGTGAAGTGGACAGCTGGTCATGCCCCTCTCGTGCCAGCATGGATACTGTCCCAATTCCCACAGCTGTGAACACTTGGTGTTAGTGAGAAGGGGTCCCCGCACACCCACTGACATTCAGCATTACTCCCCAACTGAGAACCCTGAGCTCACACACTGGGGTTTCTCTGCCTTCTGTTTGGATTGGCTTTGGATTCTTATCTTAAAGTTACAAAGGAATTAATTCACTGCTTCCTTTGTGTTGTTCAAATTCATTAGGTAAAGATAGTTGCTTTGAAGCAGAATTGAAAGCTACTTCCTTAAAACCAAGTACAGTGGTACCTCAGGTTAAGTACTTAATTCGTTCCGGAGGTCCGTTCTTAACCTGAAACTGTTCTTAACCTGAAGCACCACTTTAGCTAATGGGGCCTCCTGCTGCCGCCGCGCCGCTAAAGCACGATTTCTGTTCTCATCCTGAAGCAAAGTTCTTAACCTGAGGTACTATTTCTGGGTTAGCGGAGTCTGTAACCTGAAGCGTATGTAACCTGAGGTACCACTGTATGGATTTTACCTGAAACCAAGGAGAATGCAGAGAAGTGTCCAGGGCACAACTTAAGTATAAATAAATATTTCAAATGTGGCCTACATTGGTGGCTGGTCCAGCTTAGGGAAAGGAAGCCTGAGTAATCCAGATTCCAGTATGCAGGAAGTACTAGAAAAAACATGATGTGGTTTTATAAACATTACCAAATGCATCTCTCCCCCCCCCCCCTTTTGGAATAGACAATATCAGCTGGAAAGTGCTTTAAAGCTTTTTGAGTTTTTCCATGAGTGCAAAGAAGAGGAGCTTTGGCTGTCTGACAAATTGAAGCTGGTGATGGCGGGACACTTAGGGCGCGATCTCAGTCACATTGCAGCCTCTCTTCAAAGCCATAAGGTTAGTGATGTGTAAATTCTTGATTGCTTGTGCAGGTTTTAGAGGGCTTTCAGAATTTTCTAGCTGAAATATACTTGGAGTCACGTAGTGATTTCATGCTCTTTATTGCAGCTCGTAAAACAGTGAATGAATTTTCCCCCAGACCTCAGGCTTTATATACATTATTTACACAATGGGTTCCGTCTGACTGGCTGATTCTGCTTCCCTCCTGGGGTCTGATTGGTTTGCTCCTGCAGGTCAATCAGGTTGTTGCATTCTAGGATCCTACCTGCCTATTGTTCTAGGATCCAAGCTCAGTACATAACACTAGCGTTTCTGTTTCTAGTAGCATAGATACTAACGTACACATCCAAAAGATTTATAACAGTTCTAAAAAGGGGTGGGGTGGGAACTGGTGGTGAACTGATGTAAGAGCTTAATATTATAAAACTCTTCACCGATGAAATGGAAAACTGTTAGAGATATGAGGTCAAAGTAACTTACAAATTTACCAATATTGCTTGAAATGTGCAGACATAATCAGCCCAGAGCCAGGGAAATTGACTGATTATATTGTGGTTTTTCAATAGGTCTAGGCAGACAATGGTACCACCCTATTTGCCTCTTGATTGGTTTAGCTAGTTTGATGTGACAAGAACAAAGAAGCCTTGAGTTAACAATAAAATTCCAAAAGGGACTGCTTTCTGCTTTTCTCTTTCTGAAATGTTATTTTATTTGTTTGCCTCCTTAAGGGTTGCGAGGGTTGGATTTGTTAGAAACACTGTTTAATTTGCTTATGTGGAACAGTATATCCCTGTTGTTGCATTTGTGATATGCAAATTGGTTAAAAAAACCCCCAGGCCATAGCCAATTTGCCTGATAGCCAAATTCCTACCCAGCCCCGCTAATACAGCAACCACCACAGCCATAGCAAGGTCAAATCAATAAGTAAAATGCAAAATTAATGGAGTGGGTGGGTGCGTTGTGTTAGCAATTTCACACCTCCGAGGCTACACTTTGTGATTAGTGGAAATCACGCGGTCTGTCTGAGAGGAAGCATGAGAACCGGATACAGTCCTATCTGTATGTATTACGTGATGTACTTTTACTTTTGCCTGTTCTCTCTCGGAGCTGGATGAGAGAGAGCACCATGATTCCTTGTCTGTGTGATATAGTGTAAATAAATACAGTGATACCTCAGGTTAAGTACTTAATTCGTTCCGGAGGTCCATACTTAACCTGAAACTGTTCTTAACCTGAAGCACCACTTTAGCTAATGGGGCCTCCTGCTGCTGCCGCGCCACCAGAGCACAATTTCTGTTCTCAACCTGAAGCAAAGTTCTTAACCTGAAGCACTATTTCTGGGTTAGCAGAGTATGTAACCTGAAGCGTATGTAACCTGAGGTACCACTGTAGTAGTTCAGAACTACGATGCCTCTTTCTTTTACTGTGTCAAGAGAGGCAGCTAGTGTGCATAAATCAAGTTGGTTTATGTCACTAGAGCACTCTGGAGAAGAACGGGGTGCCTTTTCCAGAGCTATGCTCACCGGAGGACACTCAGAGATTGGGGAGGGGTGCTGCTGATAGCCCAGAGAGTTTTCCCAATATGGTAGCAGAACTGATGAAAAAGAGCGGGTGTCGGGGGCCAGTGCAAACTGTTTAAATCCCCCCTGGGAGCTGACCTGAAGGAAGCCTGATTTTTCCCTCAGGCCTGCCTCCGAAGAGCCCTGCCCTCCGCACCAGCCGGCCATTGGCCAATTTAGCAGGCTGGCATGGAGCCAGATTTCAAGCTGGGAGAGTGCGGATTCCCAGCATCCCAGCTCTGCATCGGGGGGGGGGCAGGTACTGGCTGCCCTGCAAGGCCGCCGCACCCTAAAAGTGGTTAAGCGGACTTGCTGATGTTACATTAGGGATTAGTGTCATAGCTCCATCGTTTATCTTCTTATTTTCTGCGACAGTTGCTTTGCCAGTTATGACGACCCAGTCATAAGCCAGCTATTGCGACATAGTTAATTCCTCCTGCTGCCTCCAATCAAAGTATTGCATGGCTGAAAGCAATGATGCTCAGCTATATTTGATTGCACAGTCAATGTTGGTGGTAGGTATAATACAATTTGCATAAATGATTTCACCAGAGAAGATCACTTGACTCATGCGAGTGGAATGGTGAGATATGTTATTCCTTATAGTTATCACTCCTGAAATAATAAAGTGGATAAAAGAAGTGAAAACAGCATTCAAACTAGCATGACTGGGTTTGGCTTCATGGTGACATCCAGTAATTATGACCCTCCGACTTCCACCTGGCAGGCTTTGCAAGCTGAGTGTGACTCCCACCAACTGATTTGTTCTAAGATCATATGCAAGGGCCGGGAGCTAGGTCAGAAAAACCCTTCAAATCAGAGGAGCATCCAGAAGGAAACTGACAATATCCAGAAATTGTGGCAGCAGCTCCAAGATGAGGTGGCCAGACGTAAAACCAGTTTGGAGGCAGCTTCCCTCGTCAAACAGGTACGTTGGTCTGCAGCTCTGTTCAGATTGAACTGAATTGATTATTATTAAGAAGTCTAAACAAGATCTTAGCCTGTCCATTAAGCTTGGAAGGTCTTGTTATGTTAAAACAGCAACAACAATAGCACAGCCTTGCATCTAAGCACTTGTCTAATTGCCACTGGGGACAAGGAATTGCACACAGGTGAGTGAGCAGGCTAAGAAAAGAGAGGTGGAATTCTTGGTCTCTCATTTGCACCTGGCATAAAAACCAGGAAGGCCACCACCAGCAAGTCATTGATGGAGGTAGGGATCTCTCTGCCCCTCTTCTTTCACCTCCCAGAAGCCTAGCTGAATTTTTCTCAGGCAAGTCACTTATTTACAAGGTTGCAATAACAGTAATGCTCAAAAAGAACCAGTCTTTCTTCCCTTTGAGTCTTGAAGAAATTGTTGCTTTCGTTCAGATTTGTTACTCTCCTAATGTGATATTGCTAGTATGTCACAAGCAGGCAAGATATAACAACACAATTGCCCTATTTCCACCCTCAGTACTTTGCTGATATTGATGAGGTGGAGTCTTGGATGCAGGAGCAACAAACCCTGCTAGCTAGCAAAGATTACGGGAAGGATGAATCCAGTGCAGAAGCTTTGTTGCATCGCCACTTTCGTTTGGAGAAAGAGATAGCTGCGTATTCTTCCGAAATAAGCCACTTGGATGAGCAGGCTCATTCTGTAGCAAAGCAGGCTGCATCAGTGGTAGGTAGCCCTTATCCTATCTTTTTATCGCATTTCTATTAAGTTACATATCAGTTTGGCCCAAATATGGTTGTTATTGCTGATGAACCCAAATAAAACCAAAGCAGACGCAGACACAATTTGGTCTGTTAGACTGAATTAAACAATTCCTTTCATCTTCAGTTCCTGTGTTGTGATATTTCCCTCAAAACACCATTTTTTCTTTCTGTAGAATTGTGCCTTCAATCTTCTTATTTTTATGTTTACTCAATGTCCTAGAATTGTATGCTAATCAGCCTACTGTTGTCCCATAATATCTCATACTGACTTTGTAGAACGTGAAGTATTTGTATTTTAAACCACCTGAAAGCCCTATCCTCATAGAAGTAACTCAGATGAGGTAAAGTCGTTTTGAATATTTTGTGAAAACTGTCCTCACCAGCCAGCCTGGAAGTGCTGGAAAATTTCTTTGGGTGAAAATGATAGGAGCCATGGCCCAGTTTGGGGAGCTAATTGGAAGATGTAAAGTTCAGATTTAAATTTTTAACTCTGATAATGCGACTATTTGCTCTAAAACCATGATAGCAATTTTGTAACATTCTCCGCTATTGTTCTCACATCTGCTGCTGTTTGAAAAATATTCTTTCAAATGCACACACAAAAGTGGCCTTGTCACATCTTAACTGCAGCCATTTTAGAGAATAGCCATTGTATTTCTACTGCAACATCTGGTGGTGAATTCATTTTTAAAACTCAGAAACACTTTTAATTTGTTTGTTCACAGGCTATTTAGAGATTCTGGGAATAGCAAAGTAAGATACAACATTCCTATAGTTGTAAAAGGTCTTTGCTATCTTCAGACCTTGCTATCCTAGATGCAACTTAGGCTATGTTCCCATTACCATTTACTGTGGCTCCACTGCACTCCTACTGTTGATGCTTGAAGCCAAGAACACATGACATTGGCCACAATCCATATGTTAACCTGTAGTTTGATGTGTTTCCCTTCAAACCAGCTTCCATCTGATTTGAAAACATGAGCTGAGGTATGTACATTTGAGACAGCCATCATGTAAACACACATGAGAGCTTCATGAATAGGAGTTCAGGGGTGGTGGTGGTGCAAACAGGTCATGCACACTGGGGAGAGAAATCCCCACCCCCTCTCTGGTGCACACAGCAGTGTGCAAATGTCTAATGTGTACATGGACAGAAATCAGCATCTTAAACTAAGGCTACGTATTGAAATAAAACTGAAAGTAAATTTAATTTGAACTTGTGAGCAATGCCAGTCCCAAAAACACAGAATTCAGTTTTTTTGTATATTTCTTTTGACAGATGGTATCGGTGCCAACAGCAAACACAAAGATCCATGGCAGCACAGTCCAGAGGGTAACGAAAGCGCCAGCAAGTCTTTCTGTGTCGTGCATGTCTGCCCAAACTACGCCAACAAGTCCATTTGGCTCTGATCCTCATTTTGTTACAGAAAACATCTGGAAAGCTCAGAATAAGATTAATTTATTATATGAAAAACTGCAGACCATGGCTGAGGTATCAAGTTTTTCTCATAATATTTTGAGTTCTCCCTCTCTTTTTTAAAGACATAGAGTAATTGTTTATAGAGTTGCATTGCAGCCTTTGGTTTCTGTTTTTTTGCTATCCTGGCTCCAGATATGAAAACTTAATGTAGCTTTTAGAGTTTACTCTGCAGAGAAAATACCAAGAATCCTGAAATGTGTTGCTGAAGACTGGTTTTTATATAACTGAATGTGCTAATTGCCCTATTGCAAAACCTCCAGGTGGGCAATATGTGAGAAACCTGACAAATTCCAAAAAACAGCATCCCTGCCAGTTTCCTCCAGTCATGAAGAAAACCAGCTCAAATGGAAAAGGCTGACTTTTTTTAAAAAAAATGCTCAGACTTATAGCAGGGAAATGTTTTAGGGCAACCACCAAGAATAGCTCTCTACAACAAATGGTGCTATTAACAAAGCGTTTCATGTCATTCTTAAATTCATCCATGAGTGAAGACAAATGTTTGGGTATGCTGGCCCAAGCCATTATATCCTGAGACTCCCTTCTCAGTTTCTCCTGAGAGAAGAATTTAATCTGAAATCTATGGACAGTAGCAGAATTTCAAGTATATCATGACTCCCACCTTCCACATGTTTCACATTTGACAGTACTAATGCACAAATCATGGCATAGGACTACACAAATAGCTAACTTTTGGTGATTGGTTGGTGCCTCAGCTCTGAATTTGTTTTTAATCTGTTACCCTCATATACTGCCTTTGTGTTAATATATTTGTATCAGAACATATTTATTCTCATACAGTGTTTGGATACTTATTCCTACAGCACAGGAGAAAAGAGTTAGAAGAAAGGATCCGACTCTACCAGTTCTACAGCTCCTGTGAAGAATTTCGGTCTTGGATGGATGACAAAGAGAAAATTGTTCAGACTATTCAGCCAACAGCAGATAATGTGGAGACTATGCAGTATAAATACCAGGTGCTGCTTCCACCTACATTTTCCCTGGCATTCTTACTCAGAGTCATAATTTACTTCAGTCTGTCAGTCAGGGTTGAATTTAGAGGAACCATTTCTGATTTTAGTAAAAAGCGACAGAGATATGTTGTGGGGGGGGGGACTCCCAGCAACTGTCAAAAGCCTGCAAGGTTAAATGGGGGGGGGGAGAGACCAACCCTATTTATTTCAAATTCACTTTGTTGCAGTTCTAATACCTCATAAACAAGGCAGTATTAGGAGCACAGGCTAAACAATTAGCCCTAGAAATGGAGTTGTGCCTTTTACTTGCAAACCTACATAGTACATAGGTCCGTTTTATTGTTGATAACAATAGTTGCTCGGTAGCCAATTGCTATAAATATAGGCACTTTGGAAAATAATCACATGTGGGCCAAAATCCCAGGAGGGTGGTATTATGCTGCTACCCCTGACCCATGCTGAAGACACTTGGATGGAGCAGAAGTTGAAGTGCGTTAAAACAGTATCAATAAACTCTGAGAAGATAAAGAGGTCTTGAATTGTTTCCGAACCGGGCTGAACTTCTCATTTTTCCAATCTTAAATCCAGTTCTCCACATTTCTGCATAAATGAATTTTTTTCAGTGTTTTTGTGTGGATTTCTCTTAATAGACACATTTTTGAATCACTCTGAAATTTCCTGTTGTTTGTCAAAGTGTGGATTTTCAAAGGAAACATTATTTCACATCACTTGCTCACTAAAAAAAGAATGTGGACTATCCACTTGTTTGCTTCTCAGTGTTAACAGGAACAACTAGGTAAAAGTGAAGCATCACACCACTGAAGTTAACGTGGGAAGTAAATTAAATCTGTTTGGGAAAGTAACCTGAAGATAATAACCTTGAGAGAACTTCCAGAAATGTCTCAGTCTGTAGCAGCAAAAACAGGAGTTGTGGCTTCTGAAAGACGAGGAAATTTATTATAGCATGGGCTTCAATTCACTTCATCATACACTCAGCTGGCAGGGATGTGGGTGTGTGGGTGCCAGGGGTGCTGGGTATAGGGGGCAGAGGGGGCTTCCCCCCCCCCCCGGATATTGAGGGGGCTGCCAGGAGCCAGGCAGCAGCTGGGACAATAAAGATCTTTGCTTTTGTCCTCTGCGCATCCTGCCCCCACCCGGCACATGCCGGGTGGTGTCATGTGACGCGTCATATGGCTACGTCCCCTCAAAGGGGGTGGGCAAGTCAGCGCCCCTGGTGGGTGCTTACACACAAATGTTGTAATCAGTGCATCAAACAGCAGTGAAATATAAAAAAAAGTCTGTGACCATTCTTTGTAAACCATTACATAAGCAAAGTGACCATTCACAAAAGCAGCAGTTGGTGATCTCAGTTCATGCCTGATTCCTGAGAAGTAAACACCCTATTCAGTTCTAATTCAGCAGTTTCATGCTAGAATTTCAAGGGGAAAAACTCTAGATACTGATGTGTAAAGCAGGTAACCAAAGATTCTTTTTGTTAGTTAAATTCTATAACGTCAAAGAGCTAAACAATAAATTACTACTGCTGTCTTTGTTGACTTCTGTTGTTCAGAGTTTTCTAACGGAATTGGCTACTGGGAAGAGACAACTGGATGAGATCAGTTGCTTAGCAGATATGTTTTCAAAGAGCAGTCCTGGAAAACAGAATGAGATTCATGTCCATCAGAAAGAGATAAATGCGAGGTAAATGGTGGTTCATATATAGAGTTAGCCCCGTGATGTCTGAGGGATGAGCTTTACTTTAAATGTAACTTCTGGTTTAGACATAGTGTTTTCTAGAAGGTGGTTGTTTTATTGATGAATTGTTAATTATTTTATATAATTTAAGTTGCAATTGTGTTGTTCTTTTTGAGGTGCCTGTTTGCTTGCACAGACGAGAGCAGGCTACAAACTGAAACCACCATCGTGTTCTTCATAAGAATATGATACAAATGTTGAGACACATTAACTTTAGAGTAAAATGTCCCTCAGCATGTGCAGAGTTCATTTCTCTCATCATAGTCCAACAGGATAGTCGCCACTGCAGCAGCCTTCTTTACTTTTCTGCTCTTAGGTGGGAGCGCTTGGAAGCACTGAAAGACGAGAAGGGCTCAATGCTGATTGGCGTGGCTGACGTGAAGACGTTCCTTCAGGATTGCCAGGATACTCAAGGGCTGCTACAAGACAAGATGACCCGCCTTGAGGACTTAGGACATGGGAACATGCCTACTGTTCTGTCGGCTGAGGCGCGCAAGCTGACAAACTTTGAGCGAGAGGTCTTAGTGCTGGAGAGAAAAATTGAATACCTGAAGAGTGTCGCCAAATCGTAAGAAACCAGCCCTTTGGTGCATTGTAGTCGGTCCTGGGGGCCCTGATTTCAGGGGGATTTAAAGTAAGAATAGGGAGATCTGGTGACTACTTTGGTAGGCGTGCATTCTGTTCTTGCTGGGTAGCAGCAAGAATTGCTGTCTCTGGGTGCAGTAATGGCTTCCTTCTCTTTTTCAAACAGGTCTTCTACCTTATTGAATTATTAGGAACTTGGATCTAGTTTGGTTGTGGAGAATGAATAATCCACAGCGCTTGCGGTCATTGATAGGATTTAGGACGTATCATACAATTCAGCAACCCATAGGCATCCCCCAAAACACACACATGGGAATTTGTAGAGAATCATGGTACATTTTAGGGAAGTTTTTAATGTCTGATGTTTTATTGTATTTTTAATATTTTGTTGGAAGCCACCCAAAGTGTGGCTGGGGAAACCCAGCCAGATGGGCAGAGTATAAATTTAGTATTATTATTATTATTATTATTATTATTATTATTATTATTTATTTTATTGCTGCCCACATTCAAAGCCCCATAGCATGCAGAATAGGGTTCCCTCCTTTTCCTCTTGATGATGATAAACATTATTCTGTCCCACCTTTCATCCAAGGAGCTGAGCTCAAGAGAAGGAAATGTTTTTGCTTTTCTCCAGCACATCCAACCAAATCTCCCAGCTGACATTCCTTGATGGATACCGGTGGAATACAGTTCAGGTCATAATGAACTCGATCTGAGCCCTAACACTAATTCAAAAACGTGTCTTGGCTTCATTATGCAGGATCAAGGATACCAATCCCGCAGAGAGCAGGGCCATAACAGAACAGGTTGAAGATATGGAGGAGCTCCTGTTACTGCTAAAGTCAAAGGCAGATGAGAAGGGGAAGGCTTTGCAAGTAGCACAGGACCAACAGGCCTTCCTGCAAGACAGCCGTCGACTTCTTTGGTGGGCAGATGCCATGAGAGAGAAAATGGCCAGCGAGGAAATGGGGGTAGATGTGGCCTCTGCAGAGCTGCTGCTAAAGGAACACCAGGATTTGCTGAAAGAGATACACAGTCAAAACCACAGGTAAAGACCTTCTTCAAAGGTGTATGAGTGTGTACCAATTCCATATTTTGCAAGAGAGGCATAAAAGAAGTCTGCAAAGGAGAAGACCCTGAACTAGGGTAGCCTATATGGTGTCCTTCATACATTGTTGGACTACAATTCCCCTTTACAATTGGTAAAAGGGAAAAATACTAGATATGGGTATAATGAAAAAAGAGAATTCCCTGGATGCCTAGATCCAGGTTTAGGGCAAGTACTCCTTGGTGAAAGAGCCTCAGCAGAGATTTAAAATCACAGAACGTGCAGCAAAGTAAAGTGTGGAAATATAGTCTGTTAGACCTTTTAAAAAACCCCTTCAAAGTTGCTTTCAAAGTCCCCCCCCCCACTTCCCTTAGAATAGAAAGAGACCACACACTGCATAAGTTAAAAATGGTTTACTTCAAAGGTCAGATTTGTGTGCTTTTCTATACAGCAGCAAGAAAAGACAGGCAGAATAATTTAGGTTATATGAGGCTGATTTATCCCACAGCCTCACCAATTGCTCACCATGCTGGCTGCGACAGATGGAAGTTTTAGTCCAACAATATATGGAGGGCACCATGTTAATTAACCTTTGTCCCAGAACATGTTTAGCACTCTTACATGGTACCAAATACTGTTCTACTTGAGAGGGAAGAGCATGAGATACCTATGATGGCTGTCCTTACTAAACTTCTGGTACTGTATGTGTACTAAACTTCTGGTACTGTATGCTATGTGCATGTTTGAATTGAATGATATTTCAAGAGTTCATTGTATGAAAAGAAGTTAGACTCATCAGCAAAATGACATTGAATATCATAACCAAATGCATACTTTATTTACATCATCAGTGCAAGCATTGTATTTAATTCAAATTTCAGGAACTTTAAAAACAAAGTTGTTTCCAACTAAGCTAAACTCAGAGCAGATGCACTGAAATTAATGGACCAGACTAACTTTAGTCCACTTATTTTAATGGGTCTACTCTGAGTATGACTTAATTGGATACCACCCATGGTCTTTCCTCAGAAAACATCTTTTTATTGCTTTGTCCTTAATATAGCTATTTATAGATCACATTTCTGCAAGTTTCCAAAAAGGAAAATTGAAGAAAGACTGAAAAAGTGACAGGTTTTCATGAATAAAGTACTGGTCATTAAAATAGTTTATTCTTAAGGAAATATGCATTTTCTTGATGAAGATGTGGTTTTCACTTATGACAATAATACATGCCATTTTCATGGAACTTTCACAGGTTTAAGCAGCTGCAAGAGTTGGGTCAGAAGATAATGGATGGCCCATTCAACACCAAGGCTTTGGAAATCTGTGAGTCTGTGCAAAAGCTTGCTCAGCAAAGGAATGAGCTAGATGAATTGTGGGTAAAGCGGCAGAAGAAGCTCCAGGAAGATGTTGAACTTCAGAAATTCAACAGAGAAATCAATGGCATCCATGCTGCTCTCTCGAGCCATGAGGCCTTTCTGCGAACTGATAATATTGAGGTAAATACTTATGGCTACAAAGCTGATCATATTCAAATTCAGAGTAGAAGTTAGTAATTTGTATCTGAGGTAATAAATTCTTGGTGTAAAAATATTTTTAAAAACCTCCTCCATGCTACGTTGGATCTCATCCAATATTTATAAAGTTAGGATGAGATATAAAAATACCACAACAAATACAAAACACACTTGGTTTTTTGCAGTTTAATCTTGCATATATCTGAGAATGGGGGTTATTAAGCCATGCTATTAAGCCTCCCCCACTAAAAAAAAATCTTAATGTTCTTCTCTGCAGAAAATTAATATATGTATTTTTATATACGTCTGTTATACACGTATGAGTTGTATGAGTAGAGAAAATTCCTTGGTTTCATGGATGACGTGTTCTGATATCATGGAAAACCTTGTAGCTGTGTTTGAACATCATGTAAGCAATGGTTTATTGTGGTGAGAATTAACTTAGCTCAGCACTGGGCCTGTATACCCCTCTTCCCCTTCCCTTTCCTGACACAACTGAAAGTAGGAGATCAGAAACTTTTTCTTCTGTTTTTGATTCACCACAGTTTGTCATGTGCTCTAAACCCAACAAAATGTAGTTAACCTTAATTATGGTTTATTTGAAACTTTAAACCATGGTTTATGAAGCTACCTTGTTTCAATTAACTAAGGTTTACATTAACCACAGTTTAGGCTTTTAATATAATGCTGAACTTAGGTTAATCAGAAAGAAAATGAAATATTCTAGTCTCCTGATTACGGCTGCGCCAGAGGAAGAGGGGGGTCTATGGAGGGCCTCAGCCCTAGACTTGCCTTGGTTCATTGCCATCAAAATAAGCTGTAGTATATTATGACTTAAAACATATCTGATGCCGTCTCCGAAACTGCTGTAAGAATAATGAAGTTGTGAATTTTAATCTGTTTTAGTAATTTAACTTCTGGTAAACTGTTTTGAGGTTTTTTACATGATCAAACAGTGTATAAATATTATGAAATAGATAAAATGATAAATGAAGGAATAAATATGCTTGCACCGTGATGTGGGATTAGGGCTAATTTGAACATCCATACCCCACCTCCTGGACTTCTCAGTGTTTGGTTGGATTCTAGGGAGGTTGGAAATCTACCCAAAGATCAGGAGAATGCAATGGACATGCAGTGCAGGAGAACTAGAAAGTGAAAATTCAGAATGAGAGGATGTTTACTATTTGAAGAGAAGGCTGAGGACAATCTTTCAATTCCCCCTGTCTCCTTAACATTAAGGGAAGGCAAACTGCTGCATTCAACAACCTGCTGCCAACCGAATGGTGCTGGGAATGTTGTGATGTTGGAGCATAATTCCTGGGAACATCGTACGTGGGACAAGATGACCATCTCCACGGACAGTCTTGCATCCTCACATATCAACGTTCTCAGCACCATTTGCAAACTGACTGCTGAATGCTAAGTCACCTGACCACCTCATCCATCTGTAAATACTCCACCCACTCAAAAGTGCTTTGATTTTTGTGGGAATCTGCCAAGTTCACAGAAGTTCTCATCACACCTTCATTTGAAGGTTGAAGGTCCAGTGAATGTGGGAGGTAGGGTCGTGCTCAGCCATCGTGGGGTGTGGTCATGCTTGTTTTCCATATCTTCAGGACCACGTTGGTTCTATTCAGAGCCTCCTGAAGCGGCATGAGGATTTTGAACGAGTGCTACTGGTGCTGAAAAAGCGAATAAATGCAGTCAATGAGCATGGATATCAGCTGGTGGAAAGGGGCCATTTTGCTTCTGACACGTACGTATTTGATTTTCATTTTTCATTTATTTAGATCTGGAAGACAGGAAAGACCAAGGCCTATTCATGCATGATATTAAGAAACACATTAGAATGCCCTTTACATTTTTTGTGCCATGTATTAATGCTATTAGATTTTATTCCTTTGTAAAAGGAATTTATACAGCATTAGCCTGCCTTCCTTTAGCCAGAAAAATCCAAATGTCTTATACTGAATAGCAGAGTAAACTGTGGATTAATTTGAGTTAGATATTCAGCTATCCTAAACTGCCACAACACCCTGTAGATCAGTCTACTAAGGTACAAAGAGATGAAATGTTTTACCAACTTTGCAAATTATTTCTGATAGAGCTCCTTGCCCACAACCCATGTAATACCTTTTGGAGAAGTTGAATCTCCTCTTATTTCATTTACAGGATTGAGGAGAGAATGGCTGCCATACGAGAAAGATGGAAATTGCTAATTAATAATAATGAACAGAGGAAGAAGAGGCTACTAGCTTCTCTTCTATTACAGGTTAGAGGGCAGTGTATCATAAACCATATGTAGAGAGATTGGAAGGGGTTTGCTTGTTTGCTTTGTTTGTTTGCTTGCTTGCTTGCTTACCTAGGTTGGGTATTCTCCAGTTCAGGAGTACCTAACATGGTGGCTTCCTTTTGTTTTGGACTACAACTCCTATGATCTCCAGCTGTCATGGCCAAGGTCAGGGGTGATGGCAGCTGTAGTTCATGACATCAGATTATACAGTGGTTTGCAACCAGTGTGTTGTGGCACCCTGGGGTGCCTTGAATGATGGTCAGTTAGTGCTGCGGGCAACACAGGCCTTTGTCCCTCTTTCCTTCCCTCCCTCCTGTTGCAGCAGCCCTGGCTACAAGCTCCCCAGGTGAATGGTGCTTCTGGGCCTGGCCCTGTGGGGCAGGGTGAGGAGGCACCTCTCTTTGGGGCAGGGGGAGTAGTTCAAAGACCAGGTGCAGCAACAGCAGCTGCCCGGAGGGCTCCCAACGAGAGGGGAGAGGCAAGGAGGCTGAGGGAACACTCCACAAGGGAGGGTGTTCAAAAAGCTCTGTAGGCAAGGGGTGACATTACTGGGCTCCCGAGCCCCACATGGGTGCCGCAGAAAGAATGTAGCTGGTCAAGGGAGCCATGGACTCAAAAAGGTTGAAAAACCTCTGGATTCAGAAAGAGCATATAGTTTATCCTAGAATGTGGATGGAATAACACATGTTTAAAAGCTTCCCCCCACAAAAAATGACCTGCATGTAGACACTACCATATCAGGGAGAAGGTTAGGCCTGGATACTGTTCTTTGATATGTTTGCTTTCCACAGCAGATCATTCTTTGATGCAGGGAAATATTAGGTATTGTGACCTTTCACTGGTGTTCTAAAGTGTAACCTGAAGAGTTCACCTGGGGCCTGTTTTAAAGGATGGGTATGTTGTTCTTAAGCTTTCTTTGCAGGGAGTGTGCCACTTTTGTATTCTGCATTGGCATGAAATAAATGCTGGTGATGTTTATAGCAGGGATAAGAGGCATGTTTATATAAGGGATAAGAGGCATTGTGGGTCAGCAGGGACATATTACCACACCAAGTTCTTGAGGGATTGGCCCAAGTTTGCCTTTAATGCCTACTGCATCATATATTCCAACTTTCTGATAAGAAAGGGCTCACCTAACCTGCTCTAAAAAGAGTATTTTGACCAGTATGCAGCTGTAGGAGAAATTTCAAAATAAGAATCAACCACAATGTTTTTCTGTGCTGTAACTGCGAAGGGTCAGGTTCACAGGAATATCCCATAATGTGACATTAAATGTTGTAATTGAATACGCACTATGTTTAATGTATGTATGTTTTTATTGTCTTATCTGTAAATATATGTTCCAATGTATCAAAATGTACATGGGGGAAAAAAGAGATTTAATGCAATTGTAGGAGTTCACTCATGACACTGCTGAGCTCTTGATGTGGATGGAGGAGAAATACAAGATAGCATCAGATGAGTCCTACCGTGAGCCAACAAACATACTACGGAAGCTCAAAAAGCATGAAGCTGCAGAACAAGAAATGATGGCCAATAAGAAGCATTATGTGGAGCTGATGGTGGTAAGGCTGGTCTCATGGAGATATATTGATGACTGGCAGAATAGCCAACAATTCCTTGTTTGATTAGAACATTTCAAATTTAAGGACAAGAGTTCCATGCATATTTCTGGATTCTAATAGCAAACAACTCACATGCACAGCACACAGCACTGGATCCGAAATTCTGTGTTTCTGAAAAGCTAGTATTAATTTTTTGTTTTTAAATTATATTTCTAATATTAAAACTTAAAATGTGTTGGTGCTTTCTGCAGAAGCCTAAAACTAGGCTTTCAGGGGAAGCAAAGTACATAGCCTCAAAGAACTGTGCCTATCAAGTATATTGCTTACTTTGCTGCTTGTAATATCACTTAGGATGCCTGCATATAACACTAAAAAGCAGAAATTGAATTTTAAGAATAAAAGAGTCTAGTAGCACAACAGTTACAGCAATGTATTAGGAAGAACATTCTAAGCAAGTGTTTGTTTGCATGTATGCATGCATGCACTTTCCCATCATATGGTGTTAAGAGATGTCAAAGTTCATGCAAAAGACTGATGGGAAGCAGAGTTTTCCTACAGCAAAACAGATGAAAACAACACACTGCCCCTAAGTTCAGCTTGAATTCAGCCTTCTGAAATCAGGGCCACCAATGTACAGCAATGTTGGTTTGTTCAGTGACTGGTTGGTGAGCATCGCTTTGCAGTTTTTAGGATACTGGCTTCTTCTGCATACAATGACTTTGACATAAACAGAGGCAGATAGGAGTAACCAGAGCTACAGGAGTTTTCTCTTGACCAAATGCACTGTCTCTCTCCAGGCTGGAAAACAGCTGGTTCAGGATGACCACTATGCTGCAGATTCCATTCAAGATAAAATGTCAGAGCTGAAGAAGAAATGGGAGAAGCTGTACAGCAAGATGATAGAGCGAGGAGACAAACTGAGGCAGGCCGGACAGCAAGAACAACTTATGGAACTTCTTGAGGTCAGGGGCAAATGCCTTTCTGCCAGGAAGGCTAGGGCTAAACTGAGTGCCATTGCCACTGTTCATAAATTTTAAAAGATCGTTGGCCATGTTGGTTGGGGCTGATGGGAGTTGAAACCCAACATCTGGAGGGCTACAGTTTCCTCTTCCTGTTTTAAAGTATTTAACCAGTGAATAGTTTTAGGTTCTCAAACTAGTAAAGAAAATGTAAAGTAGCGGAATACTTGAGCATCTGCTTTGCATGCAGAAGGTTCAAGTTTCAGTCCCCAGGCAGGGCTGGGATTGTCCCTTGTCTGAAACTCTGAAGAGCCTCTTCCAGTCAGTGTCAACAGTCATGAGCTAAATGGATCAATGATCTGACTCTATATAATGTAGTTTCCTATGTTCCTCCTATGACAGCAGAAAATGAGCATTCGCAGTGCTCATAGCAGATTCTGCACCAAGGAATAAAAACCAAGGTGCAGAGCTTGCTGAATGGTTGCACCATTCCATCAGCGCCACAGAGAATTTATGCCAGAGGAAAGAGAGCAAAGCGGGGAATCATCCACATGTCAATATTTCCCCTTTAGGATGCTGAAGAGAAGATAGAGAAGGTTGAGAAGAGTCTTCGAGATGCAGAGATGGGCCATGACATGCGTTCTAGTCGCAATTTGCTCAAGGAACACAGTCAGCTGGAAAATGAGATGCAGGGATTGGCTGAGAAAATGAGCTCGATTGTGTTGCATGCCAAGAAAATGGCTACAAATCATTTTGACAGTGAAAGGATTCTGGATGAGACACAGAAGTATTTGGAATGGTGGGTTGCTCTTTCTGTAAACATAGTGCATTGTACAAGGCTTCATTATTCTCCTGTCCATAAGGATTTACTTTTATATCTCAGCCAAGCACAGTCTGATACTGCTTGTTCCACAGAACTCAGAAGACTACTTTAAGGGAACCGGGTTCGTGTCTCCGCTCCTCCACATGCAGCTGCTGGGTGACCTTGGGCCAGTCACACTTCTCTGAAGTCTCTCAGCCCCACTCACCTCACAGAGTGTTTGTTTGTTGTGGGGGAGGAAGGGAAAGGAGAATGTTAGCCGCTTTGAGACTCCTTCGGGTAGTGATAAAGCGGGATATCAAATCCAAACTCTTCTTCTCTTCTTTAACAATAGAATAAAGCATGAACTTTTTTTCAGCCGGAATTTGCCAGAACTCAGTTTGGGCACCTCTCAGGTGGGCGCCATTGCCATTCTAAGAGAATGAGAGAGGTATTCATAGTGAGTTTTGGCACCTCTTTTTCTAGAAATATAACACTGGAATAAAGCCTAACATAACATAAGCAGGTAATGCAGAGAGAGCTAGTATGGTGCAATGAAAAGAGTACTGGGCTTGGATGTGGTGGAAAACTTAAGAGTCAAATCCCCACTTTACTATGAAGGGATGACCAAATCATTATCTCAGCCTAAAGTATCTCACAGGCTTTATTGCAACGGTAAAATGCTGATCAGCTTCCCTGGTATTCTTAGCTTGCCACTATTCTTTCTTGCTTCCTTCACCAGATTATTAGCAGGACTCAAACACATAAAAATCATTTGCATCGAAGTATGATTGGAGAAGTGACTCTGCTGGCTTCTATAATTCATAACATTCCCAACATGCAATTTTACACTGGTTCTTCTAATTAGTTTTGGCAATGTGGGTGTAGAAAGCAAGCTGGGTGCACAAGATTAAAATCAACATTTCAGAATTATACATTACTGTAGAGGGGAAGATATTTCACTGACAGCTGGATCACTGACCTTTTCTTTGTGACTCATCAATTATGTTGACTAATAAGAATGTTTGCTTATTGAGGGGATCCTGCATTTTCTTGGGCTGAGTGTGTGAACTTCATTGTTTTAACATCTGGTTCACAGGTTTGCCTCTCTCCAGGAACCTCTTGCTGAGAGAGGCCAGCTGCTTCAGGCCAGAGTGGAATTGTTCCAGTTCTACCATTACCATGACATGGAAATGAAGTGGATTAGTGAGCGGATGTCAGTGGCCAGTTCCACAAACCGAGGCCAGTCCTTGAATGTGGCTCAAAGCTTTCTACAGAAGCACAAGGTAACTCCTGAGTTCTGATAGCCGTTGTCACAAGTTTACAGCATGTTTTCTATTTCAGGATGAGATTAATAGCTGATTCTCCAACCAGCTGGAAGATGTTTCAGGAGAGTTTGCTTCTTTCCCTAGCTGTAGGGTTGAGATCTGTAATGGTAAACAAGTGGCAGCTTCCTAATGCCATGGCAACATGCTTGCTTGATTGTTCTGTACTTTAGCAGTATGTATGTGACCTCCAAAAGCATAGTGAAGCTGGAGACCACTGGGCAACTCTAGATGCAGAGAGCCTGGTGCTTAGCAGAGAGAGGAACAAGGTATCTTCCAACCTTCCAACATATGGCTTTAATGAATTATTTTAGCTGCCCGTCACATTCCAAAAGAGGGATATCCTCGAGCTTATCTGATAGCATATAGGAACTACTCCATAATTGTATCACCTCATATATATTTTTTACATAAGTGAAGTGGTGTTTAGAAAGGCTGTTGCTTTTTTGTTAACTTTTCCTCTGCCTTGAATAATCAAAACTATTAATAGTGAAAAAAGAGAGTGCCACCCTGAATATAACAGCTGTGCACTGGAATATAAAATGGCTGTTTCCCTATGTTTCTGGAATTCCCTTTTCCTGCAGACTCAACAAAATATGAGCCATAAGTTCTTACAGAAGCGCTACGGTATGCATGTTTAGTATTGTTTTTAATCGTTTGGTTTTCAGTAACTGGAGGGAGTAATGGGATATTATTACATTAATTGGTATTTTATGCATTTGTTGCAAGTTACTGCTCTTGAAAGCATAATAAATTTTGTGTGCAGATGAATGCCTTTGAAAGGAGCTTACATTTGGGTTTTGGACTGGACGACTGTGTTCCCACAGCAGGGTTTTGTAAACACAGATGAACAGCAAATGTACTATGCCAACGCATAGAATCATCTGAGGATTTACTTCCTCACAGCAGGATCTCTTGGCAAATCAGCCCAGCCACTGAAAGAGAGAGAGAAGAATTAGGGAGCCTGTGGCGTCCCAGATGTTGCTGGATTACAACTTTCATCACCAGTGACATTTGGTTATGTGGCCTGGAGCTGATGGAGTCCAACAAAATCTCAAGGGCTACAGGCATTTATACCCCTGCTATAGACACTCATTTTAAATGGCTCCAGGGGATGGAGAAAATATTGCAAATATGTGCTTAGTGAAAAGTTGGATCATTTACTAGTTGCACTGCACAGAGATTAGCGAGCATAGAATTTGCAGTGGAAATGGAGAAAAAAGAAACCAAATTTCCTTAGGGTAGGTTTGTTGACTTTATCTATTACTTTCCACAACAAAAACTTCAGAAACAATTTACAACAGGAACAAAATGCAGTAATGAAAATATGTAGTATTTTAAAAGCATAGAATAAAAACATCCAAACATTTGGTGCTTCCAAAATGCCCAAGAAATCTAACTTAAATCTTGTGATGTGGGTGGAGGGTAAATAAGAATCTGTAGGAGTGGGTGTCAATTTGCGAAAGCCGTAGCAGGGAAGGAAGGAAGTCTGAGCGTGACAAAGCGCAGTGTAAATAAGAAAACACTAAGATGCTGGATGTAAGAGTTTATGTTTAATTGGACTTTGTTTTTGGAAATTTGGCTTATGTTCTTATTTGATTTTGCTTTTGAAAATTTAATAAAAAGTATTTTTTTAAAAAAATGCCCAAGAAATCTAAAATGCCTGGCACCTAAATGATGATAAAGTTATTCCTCTCTAAGACTAGAATTCATGGACATTCTGTGAAGATGGATGTTGGCCATATAAAATAGAGTTCTTCTTCATTCAGTGAATCATTAAACTATGGAACTCGCTTCCCTAGGAGCCACTGATGGCCACCCACTTGGATGGCTTTAAAAGAGGATTGGATGAATCGATGGAGGATAAGGCTATCAGTTGGTACCAGCCATGATGGCTAACTCAGCCTCCCAAGTCAGAGGCACTAATGCTTCTGAATACCGCAGAAGAAGAGAGTGCTGTTGCATCGGGTCCTGCTTCTGGGCTTCCCACAAGCATCTTGTTGGCCACTGTGAGCACAGAATGCTGAACTAGATGGACCATTGGCCTGATACATCAGGCTCTTGCTCTGTTCTTATGTTCGCACATGGAAGGCCTTCTTGGAGACAACGTTCCATATAGAAAAGGCCTCAATCACCACACTCTGGATCTGGCATGTAGGGAAGGGCCTCACATGACAACCTCAGGATCCAGGCAGCTTCAAATGGGGGAAAGGTGGCCCTTCAGGTATAGGGGTCCAAGCTGAGGACATTACTCAGTTTCCCAAGAATTCTTCCATATTGATGTAATAAAGAATGAAATAATGGCTATTTTCCCCTTCCTACTTGGCTGGGTGATCTTGCATTGCCAACATATTTTAGAAGTTACGTGAATAATCTGTTTTTACTTTCTTCTCTCGAAAATTAGTGTCAGAATGAAACACCTCAGCTTGACAATATTCAGAACATAAGACACATGTTTAAACTTAGCTCTGGTGTTACGAGTGACAGGAAGTTTTTTAAAAAGTTTATGCTTCAACATGACAGCAATTAAAAAACCCACATATGGTTGAAAAAGGCAATGCAGGATGGCAATCCCTCTAAAATTTCAGAAACCAAAAGACATATTTCCTGATTTTATTTTTGCTGGATAAAGGCCATATTTAGCACCCTGTGCTAAAGCCAATGTGTAACAAATAGAAAACCACTGATTCTTTGTTAGGAATTAAGAAATAGGGTAGTAACTTTAATCCATCAAGCATTCAGCTTTCCAGAATAATTTATCCTACTAAATGTTGCCTGTCTGTTTCTAGCTATCAGTAGCTACTAGTCAGAAAGCTGATCAGAGACAATATGTTCTCAATTGCTAGTTGCTGGGGATCAAGAGAAAGGAAGTGCTATTGCTCTCATACCCCAATTGGCCAATGCAGGAAACAGGATATTCGAGTAGATAGGGCTTCGGTCTGATCCACCGGAGTTTTTCTTATGTTCTTATTTTACATGGCAAATGATTTTCACTCCTCTTTCCCACACATGCTGAAAAGATCTTTCTGTTTACAAATTTATTTCACTTCTGCACTCCCATAACATTTAGACCCCTCAGAACTCCAGCCCCACAAAATGTGTGTTTTTCCTACCATATATCTCCCTACAATAAGTTCCTTTTCCAAAATTAATTTGCAAGGAGATTCGCCTTCCAAAAATGAATTTCCAGGCATTTGGATGATCAACACCTACATTATTATTTTTTAAATAGTATTTGACCTTTTAGACTTTTGGGGGTTTTACTCCAGAAATAACCCAGTGGCTCTGAAAAATGGAAAGCACCTTCTAAGTTGTTATAAATGCCTCTTTTTACTACTTTTAACCCTTACCTCTCACCTTTTCATGGCATTTCTGCATGTTTTTCTTCTACTAGGAATTGCAGGTGGAAGTGAATGGTCACAAGCAGCAGGTCTCTAGGGTTTTGGAGATGGGAAGAGCCATGACAGATGGCAAGCCTGTCCCATCTCAGAGAGTAAAGGAAAAGTGCCAGGAACTGAGCAAAAGCTGGCAGGAGCTGGAGGAAGCATGTGAGGAAAGAATCAAGCAGCTACAGCAATCTGTTGCCTTCCATCAGGTATATTTCACTATATATTGATTTCACTCAGTTTGCAAGCCATGTACCTTAAGTGCACAAGGTGCCAAAGGTCTATAGGATTTGAATGAACTCTGTGTGTCTGCTGCAACTGAGGACCAGTTCGCAAATGTGGGGTCACCACTGTTGTCTTTATAAAGTTCAAGAGGACATACTCCGGTTCAAATGAGTTTACAATCTAAAAAAAAATTAACAAAAGGGAGACAGTGACAGAAAAGGGAAGTGGAGGCAGGGGTAAACAGAACAGAATCTGTGTTATTAAAATCACATATTCTTAGGCTTAGTTGCAATCTGGAATGAAGATGCAGGGGTTCTGCCAGAGTGATTTCCCTGCTTCTTCCCATTCCACATCCTTCCCTCAGATTTTCTCCAGAGAGTTGTCAGAACCCCCAAACCAACACATGCTGGGTGAAAGGAGAGATTACAGAATGATCTTCTTAGCACCACGTTGAATTCCACCCTCTATTTTGCATATTTCAACAAGCTTCTCATTTTACCTACGGAATCAATTGCTTTTTAACTTGTAACAATAGTATTTTGCACAAAAAGTTTCCCTAAGGAGAAAAATAATAATAACCATTTTATTTTATTTTAAATTACAAAGTACTTAATAGATATCTTGGACCTGGAGAGTTGGGTAGCAGAGAAGTTCCCACTGGTAACCAGCAAAGAGTGTGGCAAAGATGGTGCTGCAACTCAAAAACTCATTAAGAAACATAAGGTAATTCTGTGCACAGTCTTCCTCCCCCACCACCCCTGCCCCAAAGAATGTAGCAGGTATTATTGAAGAGGTTGAATAGTTTCTTTCCTAGCCTGAGGTTACCCTTAAGGATACCTGCCCAATGGCCACACACATTGTGGAGGCTAAACTTAAAATGGCTGTGTCTTGATCAAAGGTATAGCAGGTCAATGTTATATAATATTCCAACACAGTGAATCAACTGTATGTGGTCCTTCAAAGTGCACCCCAGTCCCCAGAATCTCCCCCTCCCTCTCTCCCTTTGTCCTAGGAGAATCCTTGCTGCAGGCCTGTGTTATAGAGCCCTGCTGGACTGCCATATGTAAGATTTCTGCCCCCAGAACCAGTTCTGTAAGATTTAATCATGAAGTGATAATGCTTTCCTTAGTTGGAAAACAGCTATAATTCTTCTGGCAATAGCTTAGCCTTTCCAATAATGAGTCATCCATATATTTGGTATATTAATTGGCTCCTGCAGTTTGCCTGAAGGTGGCAAAAATTAAATACGCAGACTGTTTGCTTTTGCCAGGAATAAATCTGCTGGAAAATGTCTGGCCTCGATACCCTTGTTTTAGTCTCAATCTATTTGATGTTTGTTGAAGCATTTGTCAAATCAAATATGAACTGTATAGAAATACATAATATATAACATGTATGATGATGAATATAATATTATCAATAAAAGTTCTAGCCTCACATTGGCACCTCAGCTGTTGCTTCTCAACTTTGTATGTTTGGCCTCACCTAAGTTCTTACTTCAGCTAGAACTTTGCTTTCTGTCAGGCCCTGGAGCATGAAATCAACATCTATCAGAATTTAGTAATGGAACTAGGTGAAACTGCCAAAACGCTGCCCCTCTCTGGCTCCATCCACTATGATGAAGTTGACGCACCTCAGGAACAAGTTCAATCACAGATTCAGGAGTTGCAAAATATGGCCATAGCAAGGTAAGAAAATAACAGTCCCAGTTTCTTTGCATGGTATTTTGTTGGGCTTTGATCTTCTGCCAAACCATATGAAAATCAATAGCAAAGCTTCTGATCCCTTCAAGAGGCTTTTTAGGCAGGGATGGCCCTACCATTAGGCAGAGTGAAGCCATTGCCTCAGGCAGCAGATGCTGGGAGGCAGTAATTTCTCCTGAGCCCTGCCAACTCAGCTGTTGTCCTCTGTTGGAGATCAGAGCTATGTGTGCCACAGGCCTATCAGATACCCCTAAACTAGCCTGCTGCCTTCGGGTATGCTGGAAGATGTCATCCCATTGACACCAAGTGTTGAAGTAAGATCCAGCTGGCAGTCCAGTCAGCTTCTGGAAATGGAATGGGAGTGGGGGACATATCATAATTCATCATGGGCCACAAATATCTTGAGCTGGCCCTGGCTTTTGATCATGCTTATTATTATTTCTTAAATTTCTATACCATCCTTCATCTAAGGATCACAGGGTGGTTCACAATATAATGTTGATGAATGCATATACAGTACATATTGTTGCACACTTCCTACTTCTCAGAACATTGGACAATCCCTGAATCATTAGTACTACTCAGAGTTGGTTTCCTGTGAATGAGAGAGTATGGGAAACCTATAAAGTTTTGTTTTGTTTTGTTTTGTTTTGTTTACCAAGTGGAGACAAATAGCAAGCACTCTTAGAAGGCAGCAGATGTACTCCTCCTCCATCAAATCTCCAGAAAGAGGCATTGTTCCAGACAGAACTCCCAGAAAATATTGGTGGGATGGGTGTGGAGGGAGCGGAAGTCCCACTGTGCAAATGAAAGTCCTTGTGCTAACAGGACTTTGTTGGACAGAGGTTGCAGTGTTTGTTTATTTCAGGAAATTATACCCCATTTTTCACTACGTATCTCAAAGTAGCTTACAGAAAAGTAAAAAAAGGTACAATATAAGAAATACCAATATAATTGCATTGTGATTCATACTTCAGTCTTGGATATACAGCTCAAGTCAGTTCTCTTGAAAATTCACAGGAATCAATTTCCTTAAGTATAACTATGATATTGATATATATGCAGTTCAAGGTGGGGTTAAAGAGCATATTAACTGGCCACTGTACACATTCACCAGACCTCAGGAGAATGTATACATAATACACCCATGAAGAGAGAATTGTTCACATTTCCCAGTCAATATGCACAATCCAACAGGCCTAGGAGAAAGTGTATATCTCAGCTGAATTTAGTACATTCTCTAGCTATTATGCAAGATCCCCAAAAGGCTTTGGGGAACGTACATATCTCAACTGCATTTTGTATAGTCCCCAAGTAATTTTAGACACTGGATTTAATGGTCTTATGATTTCCCTCCAGCCCCTTTAGATGGTTCATTTATTTCACTTCCTTCAAAATGTGATCAGCCAGCACAACTGGTCACTCTGTTGAGTGGAGCCTTGGACATCTGCTGCAAAAGTCCTGCCTTGACAGCACTGCTGCTATTATCTATTTCTCTCTCCAAAAAGGGGCAAAAGGCTGGAGGAGACTCTTACATTGCATGACTTTCTAAGGGAATATGAGGATCTGGAAGACTGGATCAGTCAGCAGAAGCAGGTAGCCAGTTCCAATGGCTATGGGACCAGTTATGAACACGTCCTGGTGAGTTATATTATAAAGACAGCAAGATATATTAAAATGCACCCTGCTTAACAAAGCTTTGTTACACCAAAATATTTTAATGGAAACAACTACCAAGCTCTGATGAGCCTTCATAAAGAGGATTAGGTGTCATATCAAGAAGTGAATTAGTTTTGTTACCTTTCGCAAGCTGACAATTTAGGAATCTAGCAGGCTTAAGATGGATTGTGCAAGTGGTGAAACCATTGTGGCCGACTTGTGGTTAATCATTATGCCAAATCCTTTGTAAGATGTCAATGAAGAAATGATACGATAATTTCAGGGATGTTTTTCAAATGACAGAATAAGCCACTCAGAAAAGTACAAACAGTACGCCTGGTTGAAATAAATTTGAAGGATTATAATTAACCTGATTGATAATCCTTTCTGAAACACTCTCGGTTTTTGTTTCCCAACAAATGTTTGTAATTTGTGGGTGTGTGGTTTAACCAAAGTTGAAAAGCAGCAACTGCTGTGTTTGTATTATGTTTCACCTTTGAAAACTTCCACAGGATAACTTAAATATTTTTTAAAAAAAACATTAAAACAGGAATATTAAATAAGCATAATCTAAAGTAGCACTAAAGTAGCATAATCTAATTGACGCGGGTGGCGCTGTGGTCTAAACCACTGATCGGCTTGCCGATCGGAAGGTTGGCAGTTCAAATCCCTGTGATGGGATGAGCTCCCTTTGTTCAATCCCAGCTCCTGCCCACCTAGCAGTTCAAAAGCACGTCAAAGTGGAAGTAGATAAATAGGTACTGCTCCGGCGGGAAGGTAAATGGTGTTTCTGTACGCTGCTCTGGTTCACCAGAAGCGGCTTAGTCATGCTGGCCTCATGACCCGGAAAAACTGTCTGCGGACAAACGCCGGCTCCCTCAGCCTATAGAGCAAGATGAGCGTGCAACCCCAGAGTCGTCTGCGACTGGACCTAATGGTCAGGGGGTACCTTTACCTTTACCTTTAAAGTAGCAGTATAAAAACAATCTACCAAAATAAAAAAGACAACAGCAGCTTAAGCAATGTAGAGAGATTTTATTTTTTTTATGGGAAAATAAAAGTGATCTTTGCCTGGCACAAAAATGACATCAAGGAAGGCACTAGGAGAACCTCCCTGGGGATAGCATTCCATAATCGGGGTTCTGCAAGTGAGTTCTTTTCCCCTTTAGCCACCCCTTGTCACACCTTAGATCATGGAGGCACCTGCCAAAGTGCCTTTGTTGATAGACAGTGACATGTGGAGACAAGTGGTCCTTCAGGTATCCCATTCCCAATCTCTGAAGGGCTTTAAAAGTCAAAGGCAGTGTTCTAGTCATTATACTAGCCCAGGCACGTCCAACTCCCAAGAGACTGCAATCTACTCCCAGTATAAAACAAACAAACTGGCAGGGATCTACCCATTGTCATTGGAGGGAGGATTAGCATGCGTGAGGTGGGTGGGTGGAAGGGGAGGATTGCCCAGAGTTATTGAGCTTTTTTTAGGAGCGAGTGCCCATAAATCGCTCAACAAAAAATCCGCCACTAACCAACAGGTAAAAGCAGATGCCAAACAACTGCCCACGTGATGTGACAGAGGGACAGAGTGAGGGGGCGGGGGGTGGAGACATTCATTCCCCAGTTTTTTTAATCCCGCAATCGATAAGGATCCCGCGATCGACCGCAATCCGCCAGGATCACCCGGGGATCTACCTGTTGATTGTGGTCGACTGGTTGAACATGTCTGGACTAGCCCATTGAACTCCCATGTACTTTGAATTTACATGTGAGATCAGCAACTAACTTTATTTATTTACTTATTTATTTATTTTCAACCATTGGTATGCTCCTTAATCGCAACAGTCTCTAAGCAGTGCACAGGAGACTCAGTACAATGAAACTTCCCATCTGCTGGAAGAAGAATAAGCAGTAGTAGTAGTCTGACCTAATTGGGGCCAGTCTGACCTAAACTGGGAGGGATTTCCATAAAATTGTGGCCACAATACTAAACACACAGCTCCTGCTGGGTAGAAGTCATGCATCTGAGCCATAGGAGACTACTAACTCACCTGAAGATGTCAGCACTTGGGCAAGGATATATTGGGAGAGAGCAAGGCTGAGCTATTGCTAGATTTAATTGAATGAAAAGTCAGAGCAACACAGAATGTTTGGAACAATGTTGATAGCTAAGTGTGTGTGTGTGTGTGTGTGTGTGTGTGTGTCCCAGAACTGTGTGTATTTCTTCTGCCTGCTCACTCATTGTTTTCTCTGAAAGCATCTTTGTGGCAAATATGAAAAGCTCCAGCACCAGATGGAAGTTGCTGCCAAGAGAGTTGTTGCATCCTATCAGCTAGCAGAGGATATGGTGGATCGTGGCCATTTTGAATCCCGGGAGATTCGGAAGAAACAGAAACAGTTGCGGTAAGAGGAGATCTTCTGTCACCTTGGCTTTCTCTTCTGGCAGGGAAATAGGAAATGGCCACAGCCAGATCCTTGCTAATTAAATAATATATAAGAAAGATCTCAAAGACCAAAAGCTTTCTGAAATGATCTTCATTCTGGTTCCTTTGACACACAAAGCTGGTCCTTCTGATTTATCACTAACTTGTGAAATACTGATCAGCTGACAGTTGAGCATTCCAAAGAACTGTTTCATTGACCCTTTAGAGTTGTGTGCATAGGGGACTGACCTTGACCTCTAAGACAACAGTGGAAGGGAGTCTTCTTCCCAACACCACTTTATGACTAGGAACAGGAAGCTGTAAAGAAGGACAGAACTAGCTATAGCTGCTGGAGGCTGGACCTTTTCTAGCTAACTGTGTTACCTTGAAGAAAGGTTGCATTGTTTGGGACTTCTTCTTTAAAGGAAAAGCAAGCAATAGATACTGTACAAAACTATGCATACCAGCCCAGTTTTCATGTAACACAATGGCTTAGCACAAACAAGGAAAAATGCAAACACTCAGGACATGGGTATGGGTGAGAGGAAACCATGGCTGCTTTCTTCCTCTAGTGATTCTGCTGTTGCACTAAGCCACAGTTTGACTTAACATGTTGTTCAATCTCAGGCTCATGGTTTAAATATCTCCAGACAAACCATGAACTGTAACCAACCGGGGCTTGTCTCATGGTTCATAGTAGAAGTCGAGAACCTCCAGACCACGGGCCAATTTGGCCCATGAGGCTGTTTTTCCCCAAACCACACCCATTTATCCCACACCTGACATCATATGTGACATCATATGTGATATCAGGTGTGGGGCAAGCAGAGATGTGGCTGGATCAGCTGTGCAGTGGGAACCCATGAGGAACCCGATTATGTAGTCATTCCTTGCAAAAAGCAGGCTTGAAGTCACTGCCCATCACCTGATAGGTGATGACTTCAAGCCTACTAATCAGTGGCACTCCAAAGCACCACGCAGGTCTGTTTGCAATCCTGCATGCTGCTGTGAAGTCTCAGTGACCATCACCTGATATAATTATGATGCAAGGTGTATTTATATCATCTGATATAGTTATGAGGAGAGGAGATAAGGAGCTGGCCTATTGACAGATCTCCATCGCTGGATTACAGCATGTGTTTGTTGTGGAACTGCTAAGCCATGAGTCTGGGATCGACAATATTTTAAGTTGTCTAAAGATGCTTTCAGCATGCATAAACAACTAGAACCAGCACTGGTTCCATTTCACGTTTTTCAACCTGTTTCCCTCATCAGGAACAATTGGGATGAATTGCTGGAGATGATAAAGTTTCAAGGCGAACGACTACAAGATGCTGAGTTAATACACAAGTGTCTGCAAGACCTGATGGAAGCCCTTGTCCACACTGAGGTTATAATCATGCTGGGAAATATATGGATTGGGTATTTTGTTTCTGCCCATCTACTGTGTCCTTTGAGGGCCACATTAGGTGTGAAGAGAAGAGTGTTATGCATATGCATTAGCATAATCTATCCCGGCTTTCCCATACTTGGCACCCTATATGGGTAACTGTCACAGGAGTGTGCTAGTCAGAAATCACACAGTTCAAAAATGGAGTTAACTCTTTATTAGCAAAAACACAACCTCCACAGATGTGGACGAGCGTCAGGCCTAGTGAGCAGAGCAGATCATGCCTGGTGGTCTTCCTCCATGAAAATCAGTTTGCCAAGACTGAAAGTCCCCATCTCTTCATGGCCGTCTAAGTCCCCTCTTCTCCAGGGCTTTTTCCAAGCAATTGGAGACTGTGCCTGCATGCAGCCAACCTTTCCACCCTTTTCATGCCTCCTTGTTCTGGGAAACAAGCAGGGAGGGGACAGCAGGAGGGAGAGGCACCTCTGACTCTTAAGCAGCCTGACTCATCTCTGCCTCTTGGCCTCCCTCATCCCACCCTCCTGCTGCTTCAGCTTCTGCCTCTGATTCTGAGCTACTCTCTGCCACAGACTCTCCCAGCTCACTAAGCCCTGTTACCTCTTCAGCTTCTGACACCTCCTCTTCCCAGTCTTCTCCCTCTGACCACGCATTGGTGTCCCACCACCATTACCCGGGCTCTGAGCTTTCTTCCCTTGATAGTTCCCCAGCTGGTTTCTCCCTCTGCGTCCAACCAGGCCATGACAGTAACAGCAACAAAATGTAAAATTACAGTATGATATAGATAGATAGATGATAGATGATGACAGATGATGATGATAATGATAGCTAGATAGCTAGATAGGCCATAAACATGTAAAAGCAAAACAGAAAAACAGCAGTCGATAAACTAAATATAAATAAGCTATTTATTCACACACTTGCTCCATGCACATCTCAAGCTTGGTAATTGGTTTGCTTGGATGAAGGTGCTGAACTCTCCCCTCCCTAACCTTGTTCAGACTGGCTCAATTCCAGCAATAGGGCTGGGCTGGGGAACAAAGTGTTTTATGCAATGGGGTGCTGTGAGGCAAGGAGGGAAGAGTTTAGCTCTCCTCATCAGTGTGCTTCCCTTTATGGGGGAAAAACAGGCACACAACCCAGCCTCCAACCTCCAAACTATATGTGAATGGGAACAATATGTGCATAAGTACACCTGGCTGTTCTGACACATATACTGTGGCTTAGCTTTACATTTCCCTATACCATTTGGGACCAGGATGCCTGTAAGATTATCTCATCCCTTACATACCAAACTGGTTGATGTACACTGCATGAGGGGGCAGGGGCGAAGGAAGGCGTCGTGACACCCAGGGTGGGTATCGCTACATAGGACGCATGTGCGGCATCACTAAGTATGACACATGCGCCATACGTAGCAACGCCGCACATGCGCTGTATAGCGGTTTGCTGCCTGCGCTTCTCCAGCGCCGTACGGACGGTGCCAGGATCCCTCTGTCGCCACCACAGTTGCATGTGAAGGATCCTCCATTCGCAGCTGCAGCCACGAGCAGAGGATCCTGTCGCTGTCCGTACGGCACTGGAGCGGCGCCAGCAGCAAACCACTATACAGTGCATGTGCGGCAGCGCTACGTACTGCGCATGCATGCGACGGCGCACATACGCTGTACTTGGCGGTTTGCTGCCGGCGCCGGGATCAAGATGCTTCAAGATGCTTCATAGGAAGTGATTTGTGAATGAAAAAACAATAATATATTTACACTTTGTTTCAAATAATCAACCCATTAACAGCAAGCTTCCCCATACTATTTCACTAGGAGAAGTCCAAGGCCATCCCTGATGACATTGCTAGAGACCTGGGTGGTGTACAGTCCCAGCTACGCAAACTTGCAACCCTCGAGCATGAACTGTCTGGGAATGAGCAACAGGTAAGATACATAGCAGTTCGCAGATGGCAATTGGAAGCCAAAGCCCATTCTGGCATCTCATAATTTGCTGATTATCTTGTAAGATGGTGCATTCCAAAACAATAACTAGACATTTGTAAAAATAAATAAATAAATTGATTGTCTTCCCATTTGCATGACAAAACTACTGCTTTTTTATTTTGATCAGACCTGCCACCATTGAGTTTATTGAATTTCTTGTTGTGAAACTAGAATAAAAACACTTCTTTGGGGGGGGGGGTTACCCACTTCTCCACAATATGATTTCATAGTTGCGTTATTAGGTTAGGTTTTTCAAGAAGGCTGAGTATGAGACTCTCTGGTGCCCTCCCTTCCTGTGCATGTGCTATGGCATCCTCCTTATTCTTTTTTTGCAGCTGCAAGAACTGATTGATGCTGCAGATGGCGTGCTTTGCCGGTGCTCCGAAAGTCAAATGCAGGAGATACAAGAAAAGCAGCAGGCAGTGGTAGAGAACTGGGAGTCCTTGAGGTGCAAAGTGGAATATTGCAGGGAGCAGTTGGAACAAGCCTGCAGACTGTACCACTTTCAAACACAGGTGAGCATTTCAGTGTGGTAGAAATTGAAGTCAATCTTTCATCAGACTCTTTCCACACTTCTCAATTACACACACAAAAACTAATTTCACAGAGTTAATAGGTGGGTGTATTAATATATCTAATGCAGTACAGTGGTACCTCGGGTTACAGACGCTTCAGGTTGCAGACTCCGCTAACCCAGAAATAGTACCTCAGGTTAAGAACTTTGCTTCAGGATGAGAACAGAAATCGTGCGGCGGCCTCGTGGCGACAGCGGGAGGCCCCATTAGCTAAAGTGGTACCTCAGGTTAAGAACAGTTGCAGGTTAAGAACGGACCTCCAGAACGAATTAAGTTCTTAACCCGAGGTACCACTGTAATCTGCTTTAGGAGACATGTAAGGGTTGCTTAGGGGACAGAGAAGATCATGAGGCCTATACATGCTTATAGCAATGATGCTCAATGCTTTTTTTCTGGGGGTATTCAAGGATATGCAGTACGGCACTTTTTTTTCAAATGCTAAAAGTGTGGCACTTATTTTTTTTTAAAAAAAAATATTTTATTAAGGATTTTCTTGTTTTACAGAAGTGTAGTGCCACGTATTTTTTTTTCATGTAACATTTTTACAAATCCGTTTCATTTGTCAACACAAGAAATACAAGACAAACTAGAAGACACCCAAATGCCCTGGTTAACACAACACCAACTACATGCCCTCTTAAACAACCCAACAGTAAAATCAGCAGCAACTAGGCCCCTGACAACCTTCGAAAACCTCCTCCTAACAACAAAGGGAAACGGTAAAGGGACGGTATCCGCAATATACAAAATACTACTCCAAAATCCCGCAAATCCCCTAGACGCAATCAAAAAACAATGGGAGAATGACATAGGCTATGAGATTAACCCCACTCAATGGACCAGAATTTGGTCTAAACCCCCCTTTAAATCCATATCAACGAAAAGAAAAGAACTCACACTGAAACTCACCTACAGGTGGTACCTAACACCAAGGAAACTAGCGCTAATACACCCAGGAACCTCACCAAAATGCTGGAGAGGGTGCACCTCCACAGGCACATACCTCCACATGTGGTGGGAGTGTCCCAAAATCCAACTATTCTGGACAACAGCCATACAAGAAATATGTAAAATAACTAAGCAAGTAATAGACATCACCCCAGAATTGGCCCTACTAAACATCTTCCAAGACAACAATGCCCATTTACACCACAAAGAACTCATAACCCACCTGCTCTCAGCAGCCAGAAACACCATAACCAGACACTGGAGAGACCTGTCAGGAGTAAGCATGGACCAATGGTACCAAATAGTATGGGAAACAGCCCTACTAGAAAAAATTAACTAATAAACTGAAACTGACACGGGGACAAACAGAAGAAGACGCCTTCACCCCGGTATGGCTCCCCTTTATCACATACACAGCCCAACAGGACAATGACAATAATCCACCAACAGCATACAAATCAATAAGTGTGGCACTTATTGTAACAACTTCCTGGTGAGTACCACCACTTTTTCCTTTAAAATACCCCCACCCATCTTCCCTCCCTCCACCACCCCTTTTTTTTTCTTCTCCCCCTAATGTCTCAACAAATGAAACGGATTTGTAAAAATGTTACATGGAAAAAATACGAGACATTACACTTACTTCTGTAAAACAAGAAAATCTTAAATAAATCAGTCAATCACTGGTGGTGCTCTATAGCAAAGGAAATGCACTGTTTGGCCTCTGAGAACAACATGCAAGTGTTAGAAAGGCAGTCAAAGGTTGCACACCAGTGGCAATCAGTAGAGAACACACATTCATATGTATACAGAGAAAGAGACGGATGGACAAACAATTTTCATGGAGCAAAAGTCATCCCCTAGAAACTTTAAGTGGATCAGAAAAGAAAATTGGATGATTTATTCCCACAATTGCAAACAGAAAATCCCAGAATATCACTGTAAAAATACAGAGAGGCACTTCTTGCATATTGTTTACCAAGGTGTGTGTTCTATGGAACAGCACGTCATGACATTAACATGGGTGTTAATCCATCTGTAAGAAGTATAGGGACACCCTTTCCTAGTTCTGGCTTCAAAGAAACTGCAAGAGCATACTTTGAGCAAAACAGAGTGACCACAAAAGTTCCATGGAAATAAAGGGATGTCTGTTCCCAGCAGCAGGCTATGAAACTCTCATCAGTGCCACAAGCAGCCACAGGTGGCTTATTCTAGCTGTCATTTTCATTTCCCATGCATTTATTCAACATTGCCAATCCAAGCTATAGTGGTTAAATCGTACTTGGGAGTAGACCCATTGAAATCAATGGACTTCAGATACTCCCATTGTTTTCTGTGGGTCTGAGTATGGCACAGGTGGTTGCAATCCATAATCCTTGACCTTCATCTTTTATTTTTGTCTTGGCTTTCAGGCACGAGACTATTCCTCCTGGGCATCAGAAATGATGAGAGAAATGATGATGGAGGACAAAATTCGAGACATATCTACTAGTGATCTGAAGCTGACTCAGCACCAGCAGCTGTTGGCAGAGATTGAGGCCCGTGATGACATGTATGAACGGGTGCTACAGCTAGGACAAGAACTGCTGCTGGAACAGAAAATGCCAACGAAAGACGTACGTAGGCATAATGTGGACTCATCATCAACACACATTGCTCACCAGTGTTTCTAGAAGTTGCCTTCCTACCCAGTAATCCCTTTTGTGTATGTGCTGCAATTAAACAGCAGTGAAGATATAATCATGATGACTGAATGTTCCTCAGAGGGAAAATGGGTTACTGAAACATATCCAGATCCAGGTTTGTGAAAACAGACAGTTGTTTCCTTTTTATCAAAATCTTGAGCCCTAGTAGCATAGCCAAGTCTGACACATAACAAGCATCACTCACACTGTTTTGTGGATTATCATGAACATTTTCTGTTGTTTTCTTATATCAGATCCAAGGCACATTGCAGGCACTGTTGGAAGAAAAGGACAACGTGTACCGCAAGTGGGCAGAGAAGAAGGCATGGCTGGAGAAGATCCACCTTCTGCAGATGTTTTACAGGGACTGTGAGCACCTAGAAAATATCTCAAACTCACAAGAGGTAGGTAAACGGTGGCAGTATGATGAGATGCGAAGAAGAGCTGGATGGGGCAAGCCATGTCATCTCCCTTGTATATACATACACACACATGCTTGTGGTGGCAATGTTGGACATAAAACAGCAGAATCTCGTGGTATCTGAAAGTCTTAACAAATTAGTCACACGGTGTATAATTATGGAATCCACTCCATCAATAAGTAGGGATGGTCACTAACTTGGATGACTTTAAAAGAAGATAAGGCTATCAATGGCTGGTATCCACAATGGCTATTACTTACCTCAGAGGTAAAGAACCTCTTCTGGCTGGAGGGTCAGATCTCCACACCCCTGGCAGGTGGGCAGGGCTACTCATCTCTCAATCATCACTTGCCCCAAATAGCCTAGTGGGCCAAAAGGGAGGCCTAGTTGACCAAGCTTGGCCCACAGGCCGGAAGTTCCCCACCCCTAGTGCACCTCCACTGACCAAGGCACCATGAGCACCAATAATAATCAATGCCTAGTCATCATCATCATTTTATTTGTATGCCAACTTTCCATAGTTGAAACTATGCTCAAGGCGGCTTACAACATGACAAGATTTACATAATTACAAACATAACAGAAGTCATAAACAATAAATAAAACACATCAAAAAGTACACAACCAAATGGAAACAATTTCCATGTAAATCATAAGATCTAAAACTAAAGATACAATAATAATATCAATAACAGCAACAAGCTCTCTCAACTCCCCGTAAACAATACTCCAGCCCAAGAATCTGTTCAACAGCCTCAGCTTTTGTAGCTGGAGTCAGTCAGCACTCCACTCTCCCAGCCCAGATGGGGAAGGGCCAGCAAGGCAGGGTGCAGGTCTTCCAGGGCTCACAGCCAAGATGGTCTCATTTAAAACAGCACAGATAGAAATTAAAAACAATTTAAAAGAGGAGCCCTCTCTGCTGAGCAGCAACCGCAGTCCTTGTGAAGCCTGGCAAGCCCCGCCCCAAGCCAGGTGGAGAGAGGCAAGGGCAGGGCCCTTCAGGCCCTCAGCAGGCAGTCCTCCTGGGCAGCAGGGGTCTTGAGGGCCCCGTTGCCTTTAGCATAAAGCTTTGGGGCATTTATGCCTCAGGAAACTTAACACAACTACAACTCTGGAAATGTTGAATCTGACAGGCAGCAGTTGCCTCACCCAGTCTAGCACCATCCCTAGAAGGAATGGGTCAAGGCTCCAATTCCTAAGCATAATAACTTATGTTGCACCTATGCATACACTGAAATCAAGTCCTTGTCCCTGAGACAGTGGAGCCACTGGAACCTCAGAGGATTAAGCTTCAGATGAAGCTGCCTAGGGAATCCTGTTGATTCCAGCTCACATAATCTGTAGTGGAAGTGGCCCAGCAGTGGCTGCAGGGCTCTGCCAGTGAAAGAATAGGAAATCGCCCATGTTTCACCAGATGCCTCTGGTTGGGCTGCATGAGCCCCACTGTTCCTTGCCTTCTCTCAGCCCTTAGAAAGTTATGCGGAGCCTGCAGCTCTCTAAATGTTTTTGGAGTGCAGTTCCCTCAACCCCAGCCAGCATGGTCAGAGATAATACACCTTGTAGTCCAGCAACTTCTGGAGGACCACATTTTCCCAAACCCTGCCTTAGCAGAAACAGCATCCCAGTGATGGTTAAGGGCAGACTGTCTCTAGCGAATGGGGGAGAGAAAATTGATTCAGTTTGCATTTAGAGGCAAATGTATCAAATTCAGACTTTCACAAACAATATGAGAACCAAAACACAGCTGTCCTTTGAAATTTGCACTTATCCAAATGTTTCAATGAAGTTCTCCAACCAAACAATGTTTACAAAAATACATATATTAAGAGAAGGCGTGCATAAAAATAGATATATTAATGGTGTCACACTAATCGGCATTTACTGATCAGGCTTAGCCAAGAACTTACCTTCAAATGCAGAGTGTTTATTAGATAAAATGTACCTTTTTATGATTCACAGTGGGTGGTGACTTTGAAACCTACTACATCTGTACGTAAAAGTTTTCACTGGGTTCAAAGTGAAGTTTTCCCCTCAGGCAAAACATCTGAGGAATTTCGGAGGAAGCCAAAACAGTTCTGACAAAACGAGAAACATTTCTTAGAGAAACGTTTGCACATTCCAGACTTATAAATGTGGAACGTTTTGTGGAAAGTTCCTAAACAGTTACGTACTAAGGATGTAATAGTGCATTTGTTCACCAATGCCATGTTTTTTCCGCATTCTCATCTATTTATTCTGTTGCTAATGTATTTAACATACTCATGCCATTGATGCCATGTTAATACAACTCACCATGTTGGACCTTTGCTGCAAAATGCAATGAACACATGGTGTATCACTTATAACCCTACTTTTCCATTAGCACTACCTCTGCCTAGGGAATGATGAGGAGTTTATAGAACTTGGATGCTAAAGAGGACTCACCAGATTCAGTTTGGATCATGACCCAGATTGGTCTGGTTAGTCTAGTCTTATCGTGAGGGTCTCATTACAAGATGGTTTGATAGCTGCAACACTGTCTCTGTCAGGTTTATTATTTTATTTTCATTTTACAAACCTGAACTTTTGAATTGGATTGGAACCCCCCATGATACTAATGCTATTATTTGCTACATTATGTAGAGAACCTTAATCTAGTCATTAGACTTGCTGAGTTGTGCTTCTCATCTCTCTCGTGGGGACCTTGCCACCCTGAGATTATTGTTTTAAAGAGCCTCAGGGCCCTCTGCCTGGATTAGGATAACCCAGTTAGATGAGGATTAACCTTTTCCTTCCTGACAAGAATCCCCGCAAACTGCTACTTACTTTGGGAAGGAAAAGTAAAAGGTTAAGGAACCCCTGACCATTAGGTCCAGGCGTGACCGACTCTGGGGTTGCAGCGCTCATCTCGCTTCATTGGCTGAGGGAGCCGGCGTACAGTTTCCGGGTCATGTGGCCAACATGACTAAGCCGCTTTTGGCGAACCAGAGCAGCGCACGGAAACACCGTTTACCTTCCCGCCGGAGCAGTGCCTATTTATCTACTTGCACTTTGACGTGCTTTCGAACTGCTAGGTTGGCAGGAGCAGGGACCGAGCAACGGGAGCTCACACCATTGCGGGGATTCGAACCGCTGACCTTCTGATCGGCAAGTCCTAGGGCCACCCTTCTTTGGGAAGGAAGCAGCTATTTAAACTGATAGCAGTGGTTAGCTACATCACAAAGTGAAGATAACACGCTCCAGGACTGGTGAAAGGAACTGATGAGGGGTAATGAGAAGGTATGAGGCCCTAGCCTTGCTCTCACACTGCTCTCCATTGAGACTTCACTAGGACTGCATTCTCAGGATGCTAGACATTTGCCAAGTAAAAAAAATGTTCTTGCACAACTGAAATTGGGGGAAGGGGAACCAGTCCTGGTTATATGACCTTGACTCCCCCCACCCCGTCCTGCCCCCACCCCACATTAGAAAGACCAAGTTGCATTTAAATATTTGCATTTTCTCACTGCATCCACAAAGGCTTCAGGTGGAACTTCCTAGTTACTTTTAGCAGAAAGGTTGATAGTTTTGGTTGGCTCAAGTGATCCTCTTTTTGAAAAACATACTTACTCGGCCGTGTGCAATTTGTCATTCTCTGTATTTTTGGTAGGGGGTGTTGATGGTGTCACAAACACAGTCACATGAATGTGAATAGGGTGTTTTTTTAAAAAATAGTCACTGTAGATACAAGCAGAGCCCAAGCTGTTCATCATTTTGCACGTGGGCCGTGCTGTGCATACCTTGATACAGAGGCTACCCCTGCTGTGGTGTATAGTGAAAAGCATTCAGCAGTATTCTGAACGAGAACTTTTCCCCATTCGTTCCCTGTGCCAGTGTGACGGCATTGACTGTGTGCCAGCATCTTAGGTTACATCCAAGTTACTTAAGCCTTCGAAGGATTTCAGCAAGGTTTAGCCTAGGATTGCTTAGTTCTAAAGTAAATAAGAGCACATATGGAGGAAATTAGGCAAACATCTATCTTTTTTATTACTGACTTTCTGGTGTGCCATTACTTGGAACGGTTGTAGGAAATTCTTCTACGACCTGTTAAACAGAGATCTTGCTATTCTGAGTGCAGATAGGCAGTGACTGAGAGAGGGAGAGGAATACAGCTCTCTTGCTTTTAACAACAGCAGAGCTGTTACGATCTGCTGTTCTCAAGGCAATGGAAGTGCTGGTGAGCTAGGCGCTTAATCCGTTTATCTGGAGAAATTGTAATAAGGTCAGCATCCATCTTTGGCTAGCATTTCTGGTTTGACTTCTGCCTCATCGCTACTAGTTTAGAGACTCGTTCTCGTTCATCTCTCTGTCTGCTTCCTACACTCTCTTGACATGCTGCAGACAGGATAAATATTGCCAGTTGTGCTGAAGGAATACTGCTTCTCCTTCTTCATTCAGTTACAGATTCTGTATCACTTCTTTTTTTGGAGAAATATTTATTTGCTCTTCACCTCTCCTTCACACTCAAGAGAGAATGGAAATTTCCAGTGCCAACAGAAAAAGGATGAAAAGTGTGTTTTAAAATACAGAGCACAGAAGCGTCTCCAGCTTTGGTCTTCCGAATTTAGGATTAAAACTGCAGGATGTCATGCCCGGACCATCGCAGCAAGACTTCGACCACACCCATCTATATTTCAACTGTGGAAGTTATGTTGTCTTCCAGTCAAGTGACCCCATCGCTGGCCCCCAAATCAGCTGTCTGGGGCAGCTCTTTCCAGAGGATGCCACCAGCAGCAATTTTATCAGACTCAGCCTGGTATTTTCCAACTCATTCATCACCCGCAGATACCTTGCCAAGACATGACATCTCACCGTCTCACTCGCTATCTTCTGAGGTTTACAGCTCTAGGCTGGATATAGTCTTGGCACATACAGATAAGGGGAATGGTTTCGGGAAAGACAACAGTTGTGTTAATCCTCCTGGCATCAAATCGGCGTGCCCTGCACTTCACAGAGATCCTCAGTACAATGGTTACAGTAGTGGTGGTGCCCAGTCATCGCTCATCTCCAGCAAGCAGTGCTCAGGATGTGACTGGAGTGCTTGTCATTCTTCTCCTGATCACACTGGTTCCATGCAGTTTGCAGTACCTTTCCCACCCGCTGCTGCTTCCAGAGCTCTACCATGTTGGACATCACGTCTGGATGTTTCTCTGTGTGCAATTCCATCTCAGAGCAAAAAGCTACACACAGCTCTGACACCTTGTAGTTCAGAGCCGCCAGTACGGCATGGTTACAGCCCGTGCAAAGCTCAGCTTCCAGATCTCCATGCTTCAGTAAAGCTTTATATTTCAACTTGCAGTATAGCAGTAAAGCCATTTAGGACTGCTTCTCAAGCGAGCAGCCATGGTTATTCCAGCCTTTTTTTACCTTGTCGAAAAAACATGTCATCAGCATCTTCCAGTCTTGCAACAGATCCTCAGATGACCCATCAAGCCATCCCCTCAAGAAGCTCTGCAGATCTTCAGATTACACAGCTTCATGTCACCTCCACGGCTAAGTGCCCTGGTCTTCCCCAGCAAACAGTTTCCAGAGAGATATGGTTATCTCCAACTACAGTGTCTAAAGGAGATCATCCTGTTGGCAAAAGGACTGTTGCAAATGCACATTTAGATCCTGATTTGGTTGTCTTTCAGAACCGTCATTCAACCAGCAAAGAGTTTGGGAGGACCTCCAGCGCTAGGATAATTCCAGATTGCCATAAGGTTTCCAAAATAACCCTTATACTTGCCACCCCTTGGACATCCTTCCCTATTCAAGTGATAAAGGAATTCAGGAAAAGCCCAGCTCCTTCGGTCTTCATCAGAGCATCAGGTTCAAACACAGGTGTTCCAGCGTTCCAGACAGATTATATTGGCTCTGGCTTCTCACTGTCAATAAACCCTGTTTGCTGTCCTGAATTCCAACCTTTGCAACAATATGATGCGAATTCACAGTCAAAACCTTCCAAGGAGCCAAACACTATAAGGAATGTGGATCAAGATACACTTGTGACAAACATGCAGGCACGTACAGCATCCCGCAGAACTGGTGAGAGTGCATGGTGTCCATCTATCTCTGTAAAAATTGCTTCCTTTGGAGCTGGGCGGAGAGTGGTGAAGATTTCCATTCCATTTTAGAAACCTATGAAAACAAGCATAACCGTGATTTTTTATGTTTAATTTGAATTTAGTATCTGTTCAACTGTTGTTCTTTGTTGCTGTTGCTTTTTTCTGGTAGTGGTGAATAAGGCCGCCCAATATAATTCTGTTTTGTTTTCCTAAAGTGGAGTTATTTGTTTCTTCCTATGAACAGCGAGACTGTGGGGGCAGATTCATTCCTTTCTTTAGATAGGTTTGTCTGTGTTCCTAATTTTAGATGCTAACTTGTCAATTGCTGCTTGAATTTTACTTCTTCTAGCTTTCACCAGGAACAAAACAAATGTGGGTTGTAAGAACGACCCAAAAATATGAGTTTTAAGTGAAACAATTTTGTGTGTGTTTGGTTATCTCAAAACTCAGCTCATATGGCTGAATTTCCCCTGACTAAAATGTGGCTTGAAAGCTGGCTGGCTACTGACAGGCTCTCTCATCCCATCAGTTTCTGGTTCTGCCAGATTCCCATTAAATGGTATAATTGAAAAGAAGTCTGTAGGCTTTAAAAGCTAAAGTGCTTGGGAAGTTTTCTTTTTCTTTCTGTACATGCTATATTAGCCTGTCAGCCAGCTGAAGAAAGGGGTGTGTGACCTGAAAACTGGTCATTATATCATTGGTGGTGGTGGGTAATCTATATCACGCTAATGTCATTACTAGCCTGGTTGATGGGGGTTATTATGAAAATTTAAAAAGAACACCACCATTTTCTTTTGCCTGCAAGTGTCCCAACTCCTTGCATATAAGCTAGCATATTGGGAGCTGAAATTTAAAAATAGATAGCAACCCACCTATACCATTGGACTCAGAGTGGCTGCCAAAAAGGTTCAGGATTCAGCTAAAACCTGTTGAAAAGCCCCAAACCAAAAGACATTTCTACTCATCCATAGTCGATTGTGTTTGTCATTGCTTATGAAAAAGGTTGTTTTTTTTGTGTGTGTGTTTTGGGGGGGAAGGATCACCTGATTTTTCTTATGTCTTTTTTCATAATGTTTTCATAGTGAGACTAGCAGAGAGGCAAAGGGTAGAATTTAATCTTAGGTCATGATTCTGGGGCTCTGCATTCTACATCTCTATACGTAGGCTCAAGATGCAAGCATCTTGACATTGCCACCATGCCATACCTTGCAGAATATTTCATTTTCCTGGGAAAAATGTTTCAAAAATAAATGTTCTTATGATGACAGAAAAATGTGACTCGGCGTGTTTATTAAAACCTAATTCTGTTGTTGTGGTCCCTGGAATGGAGCAGGGAAAGCCCTGCTCCATAGCCAGATGCAAACAGCTGTGCTACATGAATGGATGCAGGGAAAGCGGGAAGGAAGCGGAATCTCATTCACTACCCTGTCCCAATGCTCTACACATTCATATGACTTTCTGCACAGAGACCCTAAAGGCATGCAAGTTTTTATGCAGGTAGGCTTTCAGTGTATGGTCTGTACCCTGAAAAAATAGAAGGGCATAAACCCCATGCCCACAACATATGTGCATACAGTTTATACACTTGCAGGCACTGTGTGTGGAGTGTTAGGACAGGGCTGACACGCAGGACCAATACATGTGTTGAGTCACCACTCATCGTTATTTGGAAAGCGCACATGTTTATTCCAGACAAGCACATTATTATCTTACTCAGCTTGAGATAAAGTGGCATCTGAAGACCATGAAAGTGGGGGGCAGGGGGCGAGTGGGAAATCCCATTTATAATAATGTGTAAAGTGCTGCTCTGTGAATATTTGTTGCATTTCACATCAGCTGGATAGATATGGTGCAAATATTATTTCCGTATAGGAAAATGGCAACATGTTATGCAGTCTTTAATCATAGGTACATGCTGATGTGGATATGTTGTAGAAGCAAATTTTAGTGTTTTATGGAAATGCTTTATTCTGTAGTTTAATTTTATTTTATGTTTTAATGCTTATATTTTAAAGCTTATTTAACTGATTTTTATGTCAGCAAACTGCTTAGAAGCCTATTTGGGGACTAAGCTGTATAATAATAGTAATAAAAACACACATAATTACATTTTAAAAATGCATCTAACAATATCAATATGTGCCTTATTCCACCCTCAATCTGATATAATACTAGATCTGGTGTACAGCTCCTGAGTCTCAGTGAAGTCAGCAGGACTGGATTCCAAGCATGCACAGGATCTAGCTGAATCCGTTCCTGTTATTGAGGACAACTTAGTAAATACATTTTTCTGCATGTCATCAACACTAGCTAGATTTATTACTGCAGACTTGCACAACCTGTGGTCTGTATCAAGCCGAATGCAGCCCACCAAGCATGCATGGCTGGCTGCCACGGATTCAATAGATCCCTTGTTTACATTGCATGCTGTTAGGGAGTGCAAAAAGCAGACGATATCAAGAGGAGCATAATATATTGCTGATGGACTGCGTTCAACTTGCCAGGCCACAAGCTGTATAAAACTGAGCTACTGCTAATATAGCTCATCTTGTTTTGACGCAATTGTGGTCAAGCAGAAGCCATGCAATGTTTAGTAACAACAGAGATTTGACAGCATTCAGTGTGACATTTAAAACTCCACAGACGTATAAAGCTGGTAGCGGTTTAGTTTTGCTTAACTAGACCAGCAGTCCATCTGCAATTGACTTTTCCGCATACAACTGGAGTTTTAGATGTAGAACTACAAAACATCAGGCTCCAAAGGACACTTTCATACTGCCATACTTTTGGGTCTATCACTCATACCTCCAGACAGATGCTGTTATGCATCCTTTGAGTCATACGAGTTCAACTTCATGTCCTATCACAAAAGAAAGCAGGTAGACTTTGATAAATGGCAGCAGCTAAATAGCATTTTCAAACAACAAATCCACTACTGTAACTTCCAGGCATCCAAATTTCCCTGAGCAAGCACTGCAGCTAGAATGGCCTCACTGAGTGATTGATTTGACTGATAGTGCAATAAATATCCACAATCTCAATTTTATTTTTAAAATATGCTTTCAGCTTTGTTAATGAATACAGCCTGATAGCTTCTCACTCCTCAACATTCCTTATCCCTTGAAGACATTTTAGCCAAAAGACAGAATGTAGTACAATGACACCTTACCATCTTACAACCCTTTTACCGCCTACTGCTATTCCACTGCAGGTGTGATTTGAAGAATTATGCCTTTCCATTAATATGCATCTCCATGCCAGCGTTCCACTGAGTGATGAGAGACATTTCTTGTTCCTCATTTTAAATAGTCTCAGAAAAGATAGGTTGTGGGGGTTTTTCAAGGAGTACCCAGATGTTCCTACTCTTTCAATGGATCGGACAAACTATGTATGTTCTTTAGAAAATATATAATCTGAGGTTACTGGAATCTTTTGAACACCTAGCCTTTGGTGACACACATTCAGGGAAGTAACAAGATATGTCTCAATAACTCCTTGATCAAATATAACAATCTTAACCAAAAGTGATTTTCATTATTCACAGACATATTTGAAAAGCAGTGACTTTGGGAGCACAGTAGATGAGGTGGAGCAGCAGATCAAGAAACACGAGGCTTTTGAGAAGCTTCTGGCCTCTCAGGTTGAAAAGGTAAACACTTATACGATCCTGACCTTAAAGGAAGGTGTATTTAGGTTATAGGCAAATGTCCAGTTTGGTTCTTAAGAGTTGGTTAAGAATTTAAGAACTGGTTAAGATAATTGGAATAATTTTTGTGCTAAGTGAAATCAATCAGAATCATGGCTACAAGAGATGATTCACACCACCATTTGGGGGATCTGTTTTTTTCAGTGTCTTTGGAAGTTCTTTGTGAGACAAAACATCTGCTAAATTTTGAGGGAAGACAAAATAATTTCAACAGCTATAGCCCTAGGAATGGGAAGAGTAATAAGGGTGTTTTTCAGCTGGAGCTCAGCTCCGACACCTCTCGGGTAGGCGCCATTGCTATTCTAAGAGAACAAGGGAGAAGATAATGGCGACCTCCAGAACTTATTTTTCTTGAAAAATAGCACTGGTATAATACATGGTTTTTACTGGCACAGCAGCCAGGATGGCTAAAGAGAATCAGCAGTTTCAAATATCCAGCATTTCTTATTCCCTCCAATTTCATTAGGTTGAACTTGCAGTTCTAAGGATCTCTTTTGCACCTATATTTCCTTCCAGTAGAAAAAATTAATACTTTGTGAACAGAACAGGAACCCGTGATTGATTATGTATATCACATGAACACACAGCTTTGATTTTAGGCTTGTTTCCTTCTCAGGAATTGTCTCTTCAGGAACAATCAAGAAGGCTGCAGCAGGACAGTGAACTGGAAAGAAAACAGATCGATCTCAAGCTCAATGCCATGTTAGAGAGAAGAAGATGCATCAAAGATCTCTCTCAAAGTAGGCAAGAAAAACTGCAGATAGCCCTTCTGCTGGCTCTCTTCTACCAAAATCTGTCAGAGGTGAGAATGATGCTATTGCCAAGTTTATGTTTTGTAATTCCCAAGTACCATAAAGCCCAATTCTTTTAATCATGTACCCATGGTAGTGCAAAGAATGTGGTACATAATAAAGAGTATTACATTATGAGAGCCACATTTATTTATTGGGGAGGGAGGTCATCCCACAATGCTCCTGTAACATTTTGGGAGTGATAACCATATAGGGAGGGCCAATCACACAGAATGACCACCCAGCTGGGTTTGGGGGTGCCTTTTCCATTAATTAGGGGGGAGGGTGGTGCTGTGGGTTAAACCACAGAGCCTAGGACTTGCCGATCAGAAGGTTGATGGTTCGAATCCCCGCGACGGGGTGAGCTCCCGTTGCTTGGTCCCTGCTCCTGCCAACCTAGCAGTTCGAAAGCACGTCAAAAGTGCAAGTAGATAAATAGGTACTGCTCCGGCGGGAAGGTAAACGGCGTTTCCGTGCGCTGCTCTGGTTCACCAGAAGTGGCTTAGTCATGCTGGTCACATGACCCGGAAGCTGTACACCGGCTCCCTCGGCCAATAAAGTGAGATGAGCGCCACAACCCCAGAGTTGGTCACGCCTGGACCTAATAGTCAGGGGTCCCTTTACCTTTATTCCATTAATTGGATACACATCATTGGCCTTACCCAGATGGTTATGGCCCTTTGGATGAAAAGCAGGAGGCTGAACATAATTTCACAGCAATCACCCAATGGCTGCTGTATTTTCTGATAGAATGGCTTGCTATGTGGACCAGCTGTATCAGTAGTCTGAGAACTCCATAGATCAGGTATGGAAAAGCTGTGCACATCTCCAGCCCCCATGGCCAATGGTCAGGGATGATGGGAATTGTAGTCCAACTAGGGACGTAATAAGGCATTGTTTTCTGTTCCACCCTGTATTGCCTTCATGCAGCACTATTTCTGTCCAGCTGCCGTTCATCTAACACAAGAAGCTGCGTTATTTGTCTCAGTGACTAGTGTGGCAAAATTATGTAACTTAGGTAGTTTATATTATTAATTAGGTAAGTTACACTGTCAATGTGTTGTTCCACCCCGTTCATTTCACTGTAAAGGAAACACAATGCAAATGTGAAAGCAAAAAGACAACAAATACCTCTTGTATTTGCTAGATTGATTTCTGTTCTGGACATGAGACAAATAAGCAAACGCACAATTTCTCCCCCTGTTTCTATTTTCATCAGAGTTATCTGTCATCTCTAAGTCCAATAATATGTTGGGGTGTGTGTGTCACAGGTTCCCCATTCTTGCCATGGAGATATGAAGAAGTTAAAACTTGCCATTATGAAAGAATCTGTACTTTTGTTAGCACAACCAAGGATCAACTCTCACTTTAGCCTATTTTGAATATTCCCTTGGATTATCAAAACACGACTAGGGTGATCTTAGTCTTTGTTAGTCCTTCAGATGTGTTCTGATTGATAGGGAAACCACTGTGTTAAATTCATGTGGCTTAAGATACAAGGATGTCAGTGTTACATGGAAGACAATAGCAATATGTGTGAAATACTAACCACACTGATTCTTTGGTGACAGGCAGAGAGCTGGATTGATGAGCGCATGCAAAAGCTGGAGGATCCATCTTTCCAAAATCTTAGCAACCTGAATGACAAAATGAAGCTTCTGCAGAAACATCAAGTATTTGAGGCTGAGATTCTGGCTCACAAGGATCTAATTTCTACTGTTAACACGGTGAGTATTGAATGGAGGTGCTGTGATCTTTAGGTCCTGTAGGGGCCTTCTGCAACTGTCAGATCAAAAAATGGAATAGCCTTAAAATCTTTTACCGAAGAAGAAAAATATTAAAGAGCCTTGAAATGAAAGTTATTGTTATCCCCCAATGTGTAGCTCTCTTCAGGACTCTGGAGTTTGCTTGTCTCCATGTACTGAAAATGCTTGGTTACAGCCTGTATGAATAAACAGTAGTTACAGTAATTGCTGTTGAGAGAGGCCAGTTCTCTCCCTATCTGCAAAAAATAATATAAAAATAAGTACAAATTCCTGGTTCTACCTTGTCCTTGACAAGAAGCAGCAGCTATAAGGAAGCCTCTGGAAATTATTCATAAATAATAATGGCTCTCTCAACAGCAGTTTGTTTTCTTAAAAATGTGGTCACACATTTTTAACCTTGTCCACTTTCACAGAGTCATAAATCTATATGGAACTGCAATAGTTGTGTCGTCCAACCTGTTTCCTGTTGCTGCAGGAAACCTGCTATTACAGGCCCACATCCCTGATAGTTTGGCCCTGTGTCTCCCTGGTGTTGAGCTTTTCTTAGAAACATATGGAAATATTGTGTTTCATCTTTTTCTTCTTATTTAATTATTTCCTAATTACATGAAGCAAGGAGAAGCCTTATTGTGCCAGAATCACCCGAAATCAGGGGAAATCCGTCGTAAGACTCGTTTGCTTCAAGAACGGTGGGAGACACTGAAATGTGCTGTTGCTGCTCGTGGAAAGATGCTGGAAGACATTAGGGATTTCCTGGAATTTCTGCAGAAAGTGGACCATGTAGAGGCTTGGATCAGAGACAAGGTCAGTGAATTTTACTGGCTAGTTGCAAACTAGTCATTATGTGACTCTTCTGTAGACTATTATTACCATTTTCATACGTTTATAGCTAACAAGTTTTCTGTAGTTGCAAAGTCTACAGAAGAGTCACATAGTTTTATTTATTTTTGAACATTTCTCTGCAGTGTTCCCACAGCAAATGCATAAAGTATGTTTAGTATGCAGATCAAACATGCACATGCATTTTTAAACACATTCTGGCCTGTTTCACACATAACCTAAACCATGTTTTATGTAACCTAGCTGTCTAACCCAGCAGACTAATGGTTTGTTTTCTGCCAACAAACCATGATTGAAGCCATTGTTTGTTGTTGGCTTGTTTTAACCATGGTTTGGTGTTGCATCTGATCCCAACAACCTTGCTTAATCATGGTTTCTTTGGCTACCTCACAGTAGATCATCATCAAGGCATGAGTGAAGAGAAAATGGAAAACAAGCCAGACTTTGGAAGAACCAGCCATGGCTTTTTTGCTCATCCATGAAACAACTCATGGTTTGTTAAACAGACCATGGCATGGGTTTAGTATTAGGAGTGGATATACAATGTTTTGTGACAGGGCTCTTCTCCCAGTAATTTGGCCTTTCCTGCAATATAAAATTGTGTTTGTGATATTTCAAAAGTGCAAAATGCACACATTTGAACATTCAGAATGATGGTCATCATGAAGATATGGGAAATCTCGTTAACAAATCAAAAAGTATCCGTTTTGAAGTGGTCTCCATTTTCCTTCTCTAAAGAGCTGTCATGTGAATTTTCTGATGGATATGGAGCTTTTTGCCAGCTACTTACAGGAGCATGCTGGAAATTCATTTGTGTTATGGAAAATGGTACCTCTTCCTATAAGTACAGCGCATGCATGGAAATCCTTAGGCACAAAGCTTTAATCACAGATAACTGTGACTTAGACTTCTATTGTTTTGGCTTCATAAACCCAATGCCTTTTGAGACAGTGGGGATTCAGTTGTCCTCCTTTGTATTAGCGCCTGCATCAAACATCAGGTTCTGTTAATACCTTTACCAGAGCAGAATGTAACACAGCAGACGTGATGTTACCTGATACTGTAAAAAGCATATTGCCACTCTCAGAATGGGAATGACTTATAGGGGACAGAGTGGGAAAATATCCAGGTGATAGGTGATGGATGTCATCTGTTGATACCCTGGGCCTGCATTGTGTGTGAGATATTAATGGAATGCCAATTTTACTGTTTTTCTTTTCCCAGGAAGTCATGATTAATATTGGTGATGTGGGGAATGACTATGAACACTGTCTTCAGCTGATGAAAAAGCTGAATGAGTTCCGAGGAGCTTCAGGGGTAAGAGATACATTTCCAGATTCACCTTTCACAGCTGGAAAAAATCTAACTTTTCAGCGAGCTGTTCAGACCTATTTGGCTGCTGCAGGTGTGAGTTAATACAATGCTAGATTGGTCGGTGTAGCTCTTATGTCTACCTGTTTTAGGTTGAATCCACCTTATTTGCCATAAAGATCATTTGGCATAGGTCAGTTTCTCTTACAACATCAGTCAGCTATCCTGTAACGGGAAGCAACCTACAAAGTTATGGGCCTAGCATATGTTTGCTAAAATGTTAAACTGAATGTAAACTTTATGTGAAAATCCGACCACATATTTTCTACAAGAAAATGAAAATGTGATTCTAAGCATCCAGCCAGACACTCATGTTTAGTTGTATGGTGGAACACTGAGCATTTGACTGGAATTTTGGCATTAAGTTGCAGTCCCGTTACATTGAGCATTTGGGGCTAACAAGGAATTAAACCCTTTCCTGCTCTGCAGGAAACTGTATGACCACCAAGAGTTCAAAGTGAGATATATGCCCAAACCAGGCAAATGTGGACTTTCTAGCTTTGTTTGATACTTATGGGAAGTCCTACCATTTGTGCAGCAAAACTACTTGTTACACCAACATTACAACAGTATGTCTCACAGCAAAGGCATAAAGTATGTATGACATTACAACCATGTACCTGTATTTTTAAAAATAATCACATACATGAATCTGGGGGCCCTGGCCAGATCAGGCTTCCAAGATGCATGCAGTCTGAATGCTTACAGATGTCAGGATATCACCCACACTTCATGTTTGCCAAGAGAAACGCTGGTCATAACAAAGTTAGAGATGTCCTGTAACTTGAAGTTCAGCCTCTGATGAGCCAAGACCATGTTATGTGTTATACACATCAGATTTAGCAGTCAAGTTAACCATGGCAAAACTCTTTCTTATTTGTAAATATTGTATACCGTTCCTTTATACATTTAATTGCTTGAATATAATATAATTAATGTAATATAATGTGGGCCTGGCAAGATCAGCTTTCAAAACAATACAAGCCATTAGGAAAATATAGTAACAGTTTGAGCAAAGGCAGCATGACATGACAGCTGCTTGTGTCATCTTTCTCTGCCGTGACCTCTCAGTTTCTTCATCTCTGGTGCTGAGTCATCACGACCGAGTTGACTTATAGCTCCCCGGGGCTTTGCTAACTTTGGCACTGAACTGAGTTGAGCACTTGTGGCCAGTTGCTGTGTGGTGATAGTGGCCCGTTAGCTGCCACTTTCAGTTTTCTATGTGTGGCCATCTTTCAGTCATAAACAGAGTTCACAACTGCAGTGCATGGCATCAATTTTGACAGAAACAGAAAGTTTGGAAAGAGCCTCAGTTTTCTAGCAAGCGGGGTTTGGGAACAAATGGAACAATCTGAAGCTGGATTATGTTTGCTGGGTCTTCCCTTCTTTTCATCTTCACTTAGAGTTCTTCCTGTTACCCAAGCATTTTTGTACTATGGGCCTCTTGCTTCCAATGGCAGAAGGAAAATCTGTATTGTGTCTATAACAACCCTTAGAAAGCTGGGATCTTTACAAACTTAAGTTTCCTTCTACAGTGCTTCCCTCTTCCCCAAAAATATTGGAGTGAAAATGCATCTGGCAGTTCTGGGCAGTATGCCAGAACTGTCCCATTTCAACTGCAGGAAATCAGCAGAGCTAGACCAGGCAAGGCTAAACATTTCTTGGTCCCTTATGCCTTCAAGAGAAACCTGTTGGCTATAGCAGAACAATAAAATCCATGACACTCCGTGATAAAATAATGCAGAGATGAGGATGGAGATCATTTTTGCTTTATGTCATAATTAGAACAAGGCTACCGAACTTTTATTTATTTATTTATTTATTTATTCATTCATGAATGAATGAATGAATGAATGAATGACTCACCTTTTACATGCATCTCATAGTGACTTGCCAGAGTTAAAAAGAATGTTCAATACAGTACAAGGGAAAAACAACTAAATATAACTTTTAAAACTATACAAAATTAACACTTAAGGCAAAGACCTTTTCATCCAGCTGGAAAAGCTTATCAAAACAAAAATGGCTCCCAATAGCTTCTGGAAAGTACCGTAGTAGGTTCTGCATAGTAAGGTGGTTCTCAGCTTGGATTCTGTTGCTGAGGTCCACTTCACATATCAGAGTTTTTCTATATGTGTAGATGCAGAGTATTAATGGGCATATGAGACATCTTCCTGAAACACAATACAAGTGAAGTCTGCAAGGTCAAATGTGGCTGCCATCCCTCTACACCATATTTCCCATCTTTCCCCCCTCCTGCACTGTTGGCTGCTGTCACCACCCATTCCAATCTCCAGCTACTACTTGTTAGCCCTTAGCCTACAATAGATATTATTATTTTGCTCATTTTTAAAAAAATAATTTTTCTTAATTTTCAACACAAGTATACAATCTTATCAAAATTTTCACAAATTTAACTCTATTTGGACTTCCTTCAGCTTCACTGACAATCATCCATATTTACCTCTCAATTACGCATTTCTTTTGTTTTTATTGCCATTAGTCTTCCCTCCCACTATCTATTTCTTTTTAACAATAGATCTCAACTTTCACAGTGCTTCTTGAAACCCCACTAGCGTTGTTTGCACATCACATGTACTTTTCAGATATTCAACAAATTTTCCCCAGTCCTCGATGAACTTTTGGTCTCAAAGATATCTAATTTTCCCAGTTAGTTTGTCCAGTTCTGCATAATCTGTCAGTTTCAATCTCCATTCTTCTATCGTCGGAATTTCCTCTTGTTTCCATTTCTGGGCCAGTAGAATTCTTGCTGCAGTAACTGCGTATTGGAAGAGTTTACAGTCTTTTCTTCTTATTTCCCTTCCTGTAATCCCTAAAAGAAAGGCCTCTGGTTCCTTTACAAATGTATATTTTAACATCTTTTTCATTTCATTATAAATCATCTCCCAGAAACCCTTCACTTTCTTACAGTCCCACCACATATGATAAAACGTTCCTTCCTTTTCTTTACATTTCCAATGTAAAGAAATGTCTTTTTCTGCATAACCACTTTCTTTAATGTCTTTTTTAAACATTTCATTAACCTGAAAATAATGCAACCAATCATAGACATGTTCTCTGACTTGTTCGTATGGCTTTAGTTTCCATTTTCCTCCTTCTTTAATAATCAATTCACCATATGTAATCCATTTATCTCTCATATTTATTTTCTTTACACTCATAACCTCTAATGGAGACAGCCAGTGTGGAACTCTTGGTTCTAATAGGTTTTTATACCTATCCCATATTTCTATTAGTGAACTCTGGAATATGTGGTTCCCAAAGGCTTTATGGATTTTCTTCTTTTCACACCATAAATACGCGTGCCATCCAAATCTGTTATCAAACCCTTCTAAATCTAATAACTCCTTATTTTCTAGTTTTATCCATTCTTTCAACCAGCAAAGACCTGATGCTTCATAATATAGTTTCAAATCTGGCAGGGCGAAGCCCCCTCTTTCCTTTACATCCGTTAGTAACTTAAATTTGATTCTCGGCTTCTTGCCCTGCCAGATATACCTTGAAAACACTCTTTGCCATTCTTTGAAAATTGCTACCCCCTTTATTATGGGGATAGTCTGAAACAAAAATAACATCTTTGGAAGAACGCTCATTTTTATCGTAGAAATTCTACCCCAAAAAGATAATTTCATTCTGCCCCACACCTCCAGATCTTTTCTTATTCCATTCCAGACCGGTATATAATTGTTCTGAAACAAATCAATATTTTTAGGAGTTAACCAAATTCCTAAATATTTTACCTTTTTCACCACCTCTATCTCTGTTCTTTGTTGCGTTATTTCTTATTATTTTGCTCATTTGATACTTGCTTAGCTGTGGAGTCTAAAATGTGAGCCTACCCCAGAATGAATAGTGAATAGTGGTATGTATGTATGTATCACAGTGCATAAGGAATCAACACTTCTTTAACTGATCCCTACCCACCCCCAAGGCTCTGCTAAACCCATGATTAATGTCTCCTTGCTCCTTGTGTGAGTTTATTGTACTTACTGCAAAGCTGAAAATCTGAGTACCGCAACGGAACAGTTTGGCCTTTGAAACTATGTGCTGTTCAGAGCTGGATATTGATCATGATCCAGGAAAAGGTTCGTCACAATGTAATCTGTGTTTGATGTGTTGTAAGCAAATATTTTCATTTCCAGTGTGCATTGAAACAGACAGGAGGTGGTGGTTTCTGAAGAATGTTATTCATGGAGATGATCTGATTTGTTTTTCACTGTGAAGCGATAATAGCTATGTAGAAAAAAGTGGGCACTAACTAGTCCTCCTCTTGAAGTGGTTTTACAGGGCTCAAAACTACATGGCCTAATCTAAAATAGGGGGGGGGGGATATGTTGCCTGTCTGCTGTGCAATTTGAACTGAGTTGGTTTCTTCCGTGTTATGGAAGTGCTGCTAGATTCCTCCTTTGCACCTTTGGGCCAAAGAAGACATAACACCATTCACACATTTAACAACCACATACATGTTTTGTTTAGAGCAAATTGCAGGCATTGGGGGCCAATTGAGATCAGGGCCCCAATAGGAGACGTCAACCCCTCACTGTGATCCTTATCTGGATGACCATTCTCCCCCTCTTCCTGTGCTGTTTGCAATGGTCCCAATGGGAATTTCCATTACAAAATAAATGGCAATAATGCAGGGGGCATCAAAATAGGACTATAGCAGGGCTCAAAGGGTTAAGGCCTCCCAGCCCTCTGCTGTGATCTTGATTGCCAGTGCCCGCATCTGCTGTTTACGCTAAAACAAACCAGACACCATTCATACAGTGACTAATGATGTTATGTCTAGTTTGTCCCTTTTGTCAAGGGTCACATTCATTCAGCAATGTGAGCAGAACAGCAGAGGTTGTATTACTGAGATACTCTGGCAGAATTACATAACTTTTACTTAATAACTGTTTATATATAAGCTGGCTGTTTCTCTTCGGTGTTGGTCATGTAGGGAGTGGCAGTGGACGATGCCCACATCAAAGCCATCAATGTCCTTGCTGTGAGGCTGGAGAGGGAGAATAAGGAAGAGATGAAAACAATATACCAGCGCCGAAAGCAGCTGAATGAGAGGTGTGTGTATGTGAATCTATAATGATGTCCACATGGGGGATGAACAGGACAATCAAAACTGAACAGCTTTAGGGCCCAAGAGGAATTGGTAGTGCCACCTGCAATGATTTAAAAAGAGACAAGACTGATCTTAACATATATGTATTTTCATCATTCCTCACTATCCTAACCATACTCTCATAGAATCATGGACAGGTGGTGTTAGAACAAATGTGATGTTCAACTGGGCAAGTTCCTCTGTCCAAAGATTTCATTTTTTCCACTGGGACTGTATTGAGTTTTCAGCTTTTAGCAAAGGGAAGGGGGAGTGCAAGAAAATAAAGCTGTGGGGCAAACTACAAGATGTACGCCAAAGGAGAAGTCAACCATCATTCTTAAACCCAGGTTTATTCCATAGGATAAATGATCTTCAGTTGTCATCAGTGTCCACTGTCATACCTATTAACTCCCAAGTGATGAGGCTTCCTTTATGACAACATTTCCAAAGCTGTCTTTCACAGCACCATGCTATGCTTTGAGCACAACCCATAATGTCTTGCTAATTGAGCTTGGCAGCCAGTTAGCATGCTGATGCCAGTGGTGCCAGTACTAGGTCAGACTAGTCTCTAGGCCAGTATCTCCAAGCTTGGCAGAGAAATATGTGGTGAACAACAAAAGGCAACAAAATTATGAGTGGAGATCAATCAGCATGATATCTTCCTAGCCGGTTACAGGTAGGTAACCGTGTTGGTCTGCCGTAGTCAAAACAAAATAATAATAAAAATTCCTTCCAGTAGCACCTTAGAGACCAACTAAGTTTGTTATTGGTATCAGCTTTCGGGTGCATGCACACGAAAGCTGATACCAATAACAAACTTAGTTGGTCTCTAAGGTGCTACTGGAAGGAATTTTTTGTTTTATTATTATTTTTTTATCTTCCTAGCCATGTACTGTACTTTCTCAAGCTGTTCCTAAGACAGCTCCTTTCTGCATCTGGCAGGTTTCCAGCCATGACCTAAGATAACCCACAGAGCAACTTGGGATTCATGAATGCAACTTAAGTTTACCTTGCAGCTTGGAGAGACAAAAAAAATTCCCATAGAGAAGTTCTAATAGGCTATAACTTTGCAGAATAAAGCTGTTAAAATGTATTTTCTTATGGCTAAAATTAGAAACTTCTGTCTTAGAACAACTAAACTTAGGCCACCAAGCCACCCGTACCAATAAAAGTTATAATCATGACAACTTTCATTTAATTAATAACTCCACATGTATTCTTCAACTTTTCTCTTAACCACTTTTTACATATCTTCATTTCCAATTGTTTGAACATCTACCTAAGCAAAGCAGGGCAGTGACTGAGAAGTCTCATAAACCAAAGTGCAGGTTTTGAAAGCAGCTTCTGATTCCCATCTTTGAACAGTGTGATCTGCTCCAATAAAATGAATTTTTTGAATAATAGGTGGAACAGTTTCCATGGTGATCTCAAATCATATAGAAGGAAGTTGGAAGGAGCTCTGGAGGTCCATAGCTTGATCAGAGAAATGGACGATATCACCGAAAGAATAAGTGAAAAGGTGATTTGCTTTGTTATAAAATTTCCATTCCTATTATCCCCTTGGTGAGTTCCCTAAAGTGATTGAAATTCCAGTGACCCAAATAAACTGAGAAATGCAGGGGTAGCATTTTCTTATTGGAATACGTGGAAAAAGAGAGCTGCCAGTCCCAGCTATTGCAGTGCTTCTCTGCTTTGTGATTGGGGTTACACACGAAGTAGCAAAATAGCCTATTCTCTAGAGACATCTTGTCATAAGTAGGTTCAGTTTAAACTGAACTTGTTCTGTAAACTTTACAGTGTATATAAAATGATCCAAAATTATTATTATTGTTGTTGTTGTTATATGTTTATTTGTACCCTGCCCTTTTCTCAGAGAGACCTCAAGGCAGGTAAAAAGTGTCAACTTCTTCCTGCAATATAGCAGGCACCAATGGTGGTTTATTTCCATTGTTTATGAATAACCGGCCTTTTTTACACTGGCGTTTGCAAACCATTGATGCTAGCTTTTTATGGACACCCATGCTATGAAGTGCATATTCCATGACGTCTTATAATACTTTTTGTTTTACTGCTTTTTCTTTAAACCAGTTTGAGATTCTGAATGAAAATGGTCTAGAAATAAAAGAAGGAAAGAAGTTGAAGGTGCTTAAAAGAACTGAGCTGTGACCTTTTCTTTTCTTTTCTTTCCTTCCCCTACCCCCACCCCACAAATGTCTTGTTTCCTTAAGAGTACACTGATACAAACACTGGACTATGGGAAAGATATGGAAAGTGTAGAAAACCTAATTCGAAAACATGAAGAAATGGAGAGGGAAACTGGTGTCATTCAATCCAAGATAGAGGTAAAAAATAAATAAATAGTTAATATCCTGAAATGCAAATGGTAAATACTATATGGACACATCCATTGACATTTGTCCTGCAGACAATTTTAAGCTAATGCAGTAATCATGTCGCATCAGTTTACAATGGATCATGGTGTTGTAAAGAGGATCGGGGGGGGGGGGGGGCTAGTTTTGCCATATTATGTTCCCAGTAGTTTACTTTGTGATCTTCCATGGATGGTTTCATTACTAAGATTATTTTTCTTGTCTTTCTTTGTGTATTATATTTTGTGAACAGAAAAGTAGGGCATAAATGTCCTAAATCAAGAGGTTTTTTTAGAAGGGACCATTACACAGTGTGCTTATGCTTCTTTCAGGCTCTGGATCTAGAATCCTTTCCACTTTGCAAGAGGAATCCGTCCTCCATAACCGACAAACTGACTATGAAGCAAAAGGAAATGAAAAACAATTGGCTACGACTTCAGGGTCAGACCAAGCAAAGGTAAAAATACTTAGAACATGGCCACCTCCATCCTGTATACATTGTTATCCCAAGAATGGAGAACCTCCAGTCCAGGGGCCAAATGTGGCCCTCTAGAACTTTCGGTCTGGCCTTTGGGGCTCTCCCTAGGCCATACAGTACTTCTTACCAGTTCTGAGTTGCACTCTTGAATGTTTTTTTCCTGTCTAGAATGTGACCTTGAACTTTTCATAATGTTTCTTCTTTGGTGGTGCTTTTATTTATTTATTTATTTATTTATTTAATATCCCATATTATACCTGAAGGTCTCAGGACTGTTCACAGAGAAGAACACAATATATAAAAGAAAAATAAAAGCAATAACCCAATATAGAAACTTGCCTACTGTACAAAGGTAGAATTCTGCTCCATCCCACTGCTGGCATGTAGCCTCCACTTGGGGTGGGATCCAGGTTCCAGATTCAGGAAAAAATTGAGTACCACTCTAGCCCTGCTACCATGAGTACCATAATATGTCTACACCACAAAAGATGTTAGGGGCAGAACTTGGATGGAACGTACATGAGTTGAGTTGCATTTAGGTATGTGTACAGTGGTGCCTCGCAAGACGAAAAGAATCCGTTCTGGGAGTCTCTTCGTCTAGCGGTTTTTTCGTCTTGCGAAGCAAGCCCATTGACGGATTAGCGGATTAGCGCTATTAGCGCTATTAGCGGCTTTTAGCGGCTTTTAGCGGCTTTTAGCGGCTTTTAGCAGCTTATCAGCTTATCGGATAAGCAGATAAGCGGCTTAGCGACTTAGAAAAAGAGGGGGAAAAGGGAAAAAAAAAACCAGGAACTCGCAAGACATTTTCGTCTTGCGAAGCAAGCCCATAGCAGATTCGTTTTGCGAGGCACCTCCAAAACGGAAAACTCTTTCGTCTAGCGAGTTTTCCGTCTTGCGAGGCATTCGTCTTGCGGGGCACCACTGTAATGTGCTTTCATATTTCCTTGTTTGTGTGTGTGAATGTCGCTAAAGGAGAAAGTGTAATTCTATAGGTAACGGATGTGCAAGGCTCTCCACACATGGCAAAATATATATTTTCCTTGCTGCCTTGAGTTCAGTTTGCAAGCCTTCTATTTCCACTGAACCTGGCTCTGTTCCAGGAAAGATATGCTTAGGAATTGTTTCCATGCAAGAAGTACTGCTGGGAAATGGTACAGTTAGATCCAATCAGAACTGCTATTAGATTGTTCATTGTGTGACAGGGGTGAGAAATTGGCAGCCTCTTACCAGTTGCAGAAGTTTAATTCTGAAATGAAGGAACTCCTGGACTGGATTCAAGAGGTCAAAGGTCGAATGGAGGCTGGTGGTCTTCCTAGAAGTCTCGCTGAAGCAGAAAGTATGATCGAAGAACATCAGGAAAGAAAGGCAAGTATGAATCACATCAGCTGGCTATAGGCATCCTGATCATGGATTCCATTGCCTCATTCAGGATCAAGCTACATAGTATATTTAGCACATAGCCCGCATCTACATATTGTGCCTTTTTCTTACTCAGAAGCAAGCACAAGGAGCCATTCTGACTTGGTACTGTGGGGAGGGGAGATCACTTAAGTACTTATAACACAGCAGTTTGACTTCACCCTCAGAGGCACACTGTCTCTTGAGACAGATGAATGCCAGCAACAGTATTAAAACTTCTGTCATTTACTGCAAACTTTTCAACGACAACAAAAATATATTGACTTGGAGTGGGACCAACTCTATGCTCGGGCTGCTAGAGAATGGATCATTTGTTCTCTATATTTATTAGCTCTCACAGTTTCCTGTGCAGTTTCAGTGACAACTCAAAGACTAATGACTTTCCATATAAATATTAGTATTGGAAGGTACTCTACACAGCCTATTTTTGTCCCCAATGACCTGTAATTCTGGATAGCTGTATTTCTGCATGAACATTTGACATCAATCTACCCAACATCTTTATAGGAAGAAATTGAAGCACGAGGGGAAAGGTTCGGGGCGCTCAGCAGCTACGGTCAAACACTTGCCAACTCCAGTCATTATGCAGCCCCTGAGATCCACCATTCCCTCACTGGACTTCAACAGGCCTTGACCGAAATGATCCAGATCTGGCAAGAAAAGAATCTGAAACTGCTTCAAGCCATGGATTTGCAGGTAGGTGGACAAATGGTCTGAGACAGCCAACCAAGACCAGAGCAAGTGCTTTGAGGAAACATCTGTCAGTAGCTGTTTCTGGTTGATAGATGGAGAAAGTGGTAGCCTTAGAATTATGGACTCAAAGGGGAAGAAGGAAAGAATGCACTTAAAGAACTGGAATATGTTGCTGCTTTTGTCTTGGTTCAGTAAACTAAAAATGAATTAATGTCAGTTACTTTCTTCTTTTTCTAATCTTAGTTTTCCCCATTTCTGCATGGTTGTTGTTTTAAAGTCCACATGAAAATTCATATACATTTTTGTTTATGCTTCAGTCTAGCGGCAGCTAGACTGGTGACTGGGAGTGGCCGCCGGGACCACATAACACCGGTCCTGAGAGATCTGCATTGGCTCCCAGTACGTTTCCGAGCACAATTCAAAGTGTTGGTGCTGACCTTTAAAGCCCTAAACGGCCTCAGTCCTGTATACCTGAAGGAGCGTCTCCACCCCCATTGTTCAACTGAGATCCAGCACTGAGGGCCTTCTGGCGGTTCCCTCATTGCGAGAAGTAAGGTTACAGGGAACCAGACAGAGGGCCTTCTCGGTAGTGGCGCCCGCCCTGTGGAACGCCCTCCCTTCAGATGTGAAGGAACTAAGCAGCTATCTTCTTTTTAAAAGACATCTGAAGGCAGCCCTTTTTAGGGAAGTTTTTAATATTTAATATTTTTAACACTTGATTGGAAGCCACCCAGAGTGGCTGGGGAAACTCAGCCAGATGGGCGGCGTATAAATAATAAATTGTTGTTGTTGTTGTTGTTGTTGTTGTTATATACACATTTTTGAATGCCTTTCCTCTCAAATATAATTCACTTTTGCATACAATTTTCAGCAATGTGTACACTTTCTCCAAATGTATACATGTGCACATGTTGTTGTTGTTGTTGGAGAATGGTATTGCAAAATCCAGAAAAGTGCAAAATTGTGTTTTGATTCGTTTATTATCCAAAGTGCAAGCAAATTAAGTAGGTTTGCATTAAAATGTGAATGAGTGCAGTTCTCCCACATCCCTACACTAAACTTATATTCATCTCAAACTGAAACCATCAGTTAACTTTGATATATCCTCCTATTTCAATTTTGGGCAGTGTGTGTCTGTGTGTTTCCTTAAAATGCATAAAACAAAGATATTTTGCCAGGCTATATTTATATTTATATTATTTATATTTTGATATGGCTTGATTTATAAATGAGAATAGCTGGAACTCATCTTGGTCTAATAGTCGTGTTTATTCCCTTTCACATGGAAGCTATTTTCTCTGTTCATAGATATGTAGAAAAAGGCTTCTGTTTCTCATTGAGGAGACTATGGCACAAAGCATCCATTGAGGAGCACTCTTTCATTCATTAGTGGTTTACTTAGATAATTGACAGAGCACTTGAATTGCATGTAGAAAGTCCCTGGCATCTCCAGCTAAATGATAAGGTATCAGGAGATGTGAAAGACCTCTTCCTAAGATCCTGGAGAGCAGCTGCCAGTCAGAGTAGACATTACTGGATTCAGCAGATGTATCCTCTGGCATAAGACTACTTCCTAATTCCTGGTGCAAGGGGTGGGATGGAAATCCAGTCACCACTGGATATAGTAATGACTCTGAATCCTAGAACTATCTGCTGTGCTGCTTTTTAATATTAGCAATGACTTGGATGCTTATAAGTAATGTTAGATCTTCCACCGGTACCTATCCTAAGCATATTTTCTTGCAAGTAAGCCTCATTGTATTTTGTGCTGACTTGATTTTATTGGGAAAGAGCTCACCATCTCTCTCTCTCCCGCGCACAGACATTCTTAGGTTGTGTGGAGCAGAATGAAAGCTGGCTTAGCAGCAAAGAGGCCTTCTTAGCAAACAAAGACTTGGGGGTAAGAAAAATGAGCTGTATGTTTTCTATTTTCAACTAGAGGGAGAAGACGTTGGCACAGAGTAGAAAGTGCAAAAACCCTCCTTTAAATAAAATCACCCTTAGGAAATCTTACTTTTAGCTTTCTTTGCCAGAAGGCACACAGGATTCCTCACCTTTTGACTCCTGCTACCATTGGCTTTATTTAATAGTTTCCTATTCGTCACTCTCTCCTCTCTAACACCATCCTCCAGTCTGCCTTTTCTTTCTAATGCACATGTATTAGGACAGCCTCTGAAAACACTGATGAATTTCAAAGCCACGTAGTCAACCATAGCTTTTGATGATACCCCCATATTCTGTGCTCTTGCATTCAACAAGCAAAACTATCCTGACCCGCTGGAAAGTTTAGATCGATGGACATTTGAATCCTGAAATAAAAGCATCCCCCAGTTTAGACAGTGGACCCTAAGCTCAGTGGAAGAACAATTGCTTTGAATGCAGAAGGTGCCAAGTTCCACCCTGGGTATATCCAGTTAAATCGACTGACGCTGACTAGATGAAGTGAGGTGAACCCTTGGTCCTCCAGAAGTTGCTGAACTACAGCTCCTGTCAACTTCACCAAGCATGTCCAATGGCTGGACTGTTACAGGGTTGTTTCCTATGTTAACGATTTTTGCCATCCTCTTCAGGATTCGGTATCCAGCGTGGAGAGCCTGCATCAAAAACACATGCAGTTTGAAAAGGCCCTGGAAACCCAGCTGGAGAAGATTGACATGATGGCCTCACGTGCCCAGCAACTGAGGGACAGCCAGCATTATGACTCCGAGAACATCATGAACAAGTGCCAAGCGGTTCTCAGAAGGTAGCACCTAACCTTTTCCTCCCATGGTGTCTGTAAAATCTCTCCTAGCAAGAGTTGAGAATCTCAGGCTCAGGGGAACCACTGTGGCCCTCTCTCTCTGGCCCCAGACTGCACTCACCAGCCCCTTTGAGTGCTTCTGCTCAGTGGGAGTGTGGCCTTGAATTGTGCTGATGCTTCTTGCCTACCAGGATGGGTGATGGAAAGATGTGTGTGTTGGGGTATGTTCTGACTTTTGAGTGGAAAGTGTGTTACATCTGTTGCTCTGCTCATGTTTGCCTCTCGTGCCCCCTGCTATTTGCACGTGTCCCCGGAAGGTTCCCCATGGGGGAATATGGCTGTTTGTCTGAAAAAGGCTGTACGCCCCAAACAGAGACCCATCTTTTAAACAATTTCTTGATTACCTACCACTCATCCTATGGTATTCCAGTTCTTCAGAAGTTCTTTCAGATAAAGGTGCACTTACTCAGCTACCAGCGCCCCACTTTGGGAAATGTACATAATATTTACAGATGTTCATAGCGCTAGGAATATCTGGGAATATGTGCTTCAGATTTGCTCATTTTGGGATGCTACTCTGTTAGTGACCTTCCTGCCTCCTTGCCAGCCCTGCTCAGTTCTGTGGTTCTTGGATTCTAGTGAGATTATCTGTCCCAAAAGTTAAGCATATATTTTGAACTCGTTTTGGAAGTAGATTGTGAGAAGGTTCAGTTAACCACCCGTGCCATCTTATCACCAACAATGTTTCTTCTTCTTAGAAAGGAGAGGCTTCTGGAAGTTGCTTTAGCTCGCAGACGTCTGCTGGAGCAGTCGTGGCTACTACAAAAATTTCTACGGGATTCCTTTGAGGTATAATCTATTTTATTTGCCGAGACTAACTTAAGCCATGATGTGAGATCCAATTAGCATTGTTTGATATGAAGTAATATGTGTGGAAGCTGGGAGAAAGAAAATGGAGCGAGTCATGGAACACCTTGGAGTGAGAATGGCACCTCATGGGCTCTGCAAACATGAACTGTATTTCTAAAGCCTTTCTACAGGTGTGGGTGATACTCTGTGAAGTGTAGATAACAAGTGAGATAATTCACCCCTTATGGAAACATACAAATGCATTGCATACAAATGATGCCAGGATCAGTCCCTTGCATCTCCAGAGGGTTTGATCTTGGAGAGACCACTGTCTGAAACTCCAGAGAGCCACTACCAGAATGAATGCCTGAATGGAGATCTGTCCATGAGAGATGGGGCCTTGTTACTGATTGGGAACCTGCTTGTGTTGACAGAGCCCTTTCTCTGACAGTTGTACGTGTGGGAGCTCCTTCCAGGCATTCGGTGTATATGTAGATGGAGAAGGCTGGAGCCTGCCATCAACCAATTCCACACATTAATTAGTTACAATACCTGAGGAAAGCAGATAGAGGAATAGTTCTGAAAGAACTCTGGGGGATCTCTTAACTGTATGTCATCCTGGGTATTAATGCTGGAGTGTGACCTACAACATTTTCTTTGTGAGTCTCCTTTTCCTAAGGGTGCTTCCAGGCAACTTGTTACTGAGCAGTCACTCTGATTGGTTTGCAAGGAAGCCAGATGACGTTGTGTCCAAAGCCAGTGTCATCCCACATCTTCCACTCTACTGCATTCTCCCATCACTTTCCTTATCACAAAAAAATCTGCTGTTTGGGGGAAGCTCACTCGTTATGCAAGAGCTCCAAATCAGCTTCTGCTGTGCAACCTGAATTTGTGGTCTGTGACTGAGCCCCACCCAGTAAATACCATCAGCCTGGAAGTGCCCAAAGTGGGAAGCCTGATGGAGGAAGAAAAGACACTGCCAGCCTTGTTTGCTTGTTCACTTCCTTGTTGTTTCTCCCCCAAGGTGGCTGCCTGGATGAATGAAAAAAACAGCATTGCTCTGGATGAGAGCTGGAGAGACCCAAGCAACCTTCAAGCCAAACTTCAAAAGCAGCAGACTTTCCAGGCGGAGATTGTGGCCAACAGAAGCCACCTAGATAGTATCAAAGCTGTAAGTGTGAAGAGGGGCTGCCAGAGAAGTCTGGTTCAGCAAAGGAATGCTTGGCCATCAGAAATAAAATTACTTGAGCTTAATTATGAGTCCCAAGGAAGATGAGATTGCTTGAAACTGTTGATACTTAAGGATGTAGTTCAGAAAGATGTTGCCCAATTCAGAAAGACGAGCCAACAAGAGAAAAGACTTTGATTTTCTTTGTTTGCAGGAAGGAGAGAAAATGATCCAGGAGGGTCATTGTGCCTCTGATGCCATCCAGTCCAGGCTGCAGGAAATAGATGAGCTTTGGGATGAGCTGCTGCAAAACTGCCATGAAAAGAGAAGGAAGATGCAGGATGCCTACAAGGTGAAGCAAAACACGGGGGGGGGGAGTGACAATAGAGGAAGGGTGGTGTAGCTGTGGACTTCCAGATATTCCTGGACTACAACCCTCGACATCTCTGACCCTTGGCCATGCTGACAAGGTTGATGGGAGGTGCAGTTCATTGCCACCTGGAGGACCACACATTCCTCACCTTTGCTTGATTGACAGGTTGCCAATTTAAAAGTCAAGGTTAGCCAAAGGAAGGATTTGCCACCAGCGGTATAAATAATGTGAACATAATTATGAATCACAAGGAAGATAGGGTCGCTTGAAGGTATATTGAATAATTTGGTTCAGAAAGGTGTTCTCAGGTTCAGAAGGATGAGCCATCAGAAGACGGCTTTGATTTTCTTTATTTGCTAGGAGGAGAGACGAAAGAATTACTTAACAAATGTGTGGTGTCTATGCTTGCACTCATAAAAGGGCTCTGACGAATCCTCATTTGGTCTCTCCCCCCCCCCCCCCGGCGCTTCTAAATGTCTGTTTACATCTGGGTTCTTTCCTCTGGATTCAGGCCTTACGTTTCCTACGCACTGTGGATGATGTGGAGAAATGGCTGGAAGATCTAGAAAGCGAGATGAAAGCCCCAGAAGGCAGCAACAATTTACTGGTTCTGAATGATCTCCTAAAGAAGCAGGAGGAATTGGAAGAAAGCTTTATCAGCTATAGAGACCAGGTGCAAGGCCTTATCAATGCAGTGCAAGAATTTCAACAAGAGAAGCATTTTCTGGCAGATGAGATAGAAGAGAGGGTTGACCATGTGGTGCACAGGTGCTTGAATAGTTTTTCCTTTTTCCTTTCCTTCTCTCTGTGTTCCTTCTCCTTTCTATTGTCACTTTTTTCTGTTGTCACCCTCCTCTTTCCATCTTTTTATTATTATTGCATTCCTTGTCTTGGCACTCGTCTTGGTTTATTATCCCATAATCTTCCTTGTACGTCTCCTTCTGGCAACTCCTGCAGCCAAGTTGGTGCCAAACGTATTGCTCAGCTTTCCTTTGGACCACATCAGCAAAGCTGGGGGGCGGGTGGTCTTGTCACCTGGGCAGCCCAGGACCTCCATACACACTGCCCAGTCTTGTCCCCCAGGGAGGTCACTTCAGTGCTGCTAACACAGTGGCTTGGCTTCACCCCTGGAGGCACACTCCATTGTCTCGTGAGATAGACGGATACCAACAACCTTCCTTAATACTGAAGTGGAGGCTTCATTTTGACTCTCCAGGTACAAAAGCCTTAGGGAGCCACTCCAAGAGAGGCGGGGGGGTTTGGAGGCCAGCAGACTTCAGTACCAATTCGTCCAGGATGTCAGTGAGGAGTTGACCTGGATTCATGAGAAACTTTCCCTGGCATCCTCCAGAGACTACGGCCAATCCCTTACAACTGTTCAGCGCTTACAAGAGAAGCACCAGGTAAGGTTCTATAGTAAGGGCAGGGAATATTGGAAATAGAGAGAATGGAGTTTCTCCGTCACTGTTCCTTAACCATATCTTTTTGCTAAAGTATCACTGCCAAGCATGTTTGCCGCCTCCCCCCCCCATCCCCCATGTGCTTCAGCAAGGTGCATGAACACTTCTATTTCGATATAAAAGAGACAAGAAATGAATAGCTCCTTCTGCTGGAGGGAGGGCAAAATTCCTCTACTTCATTCTTTGAGCATTTTGGAATCTCTTAAGAGTGTTGGTGGATGCATGGTTTTGACCTTACCTTATATAAAAGAGAAAACATCTTCATTTTCAATATATACTTTATTTTGTTGTATCTATCAGAATTTAGAAAATGAGATTAGCAGCCACAACGCCTTAACTAAAGCGGTGATCAGCACTGGGCAGAAGCTGGTGAAGGGAGGCCACTCTGCCTCACGGGATATTATGGAACAGGTGAAAGAACTGGAAGTTTCCCTGGACAACCTGAAGGGTGAGGCTCAGGAGAGAAGAAAGAGACTCATGCAATCTTACGAAGCTCAGCATTTCCTCACTGAGGTAAGATAGGGCTGGGATCTCATGTTCAGGTTTGATACCTTTTAAAGGATCGAAAGTTTTCTGATAGCTTGGTTGATAAATTATTAGAGCTTGAAGCATAATTAAAACATGGAAGCCATTACCTTGCTAGATTTTACTGTTCTGCCTGTTCTAATAATTTGTATTTTATTTTATTGTTGGTTGGTTGCTTGAAACAGGGTAAGTCGATATGAAATTCTTGTAAGGAAATGCCCTCGTTTGCCATTTCCCTGACTTAAATCAACTCCATGTTTCTAGTAGTCATTGGATAGATGGGATATGTGTCCCAATATCATACCTGTCCTTTCTCCTCCTCCTTCCCAAGTTTCAGACAAGCAATTTAAATCGGGGCTGCGGCCTGGGATGAGAGTCGGTGTAACCTCCTATCTCCCAGCAGCAGATTTAATCCAAATCCATTGTTTTCATAGTTGCTTTATATTGCTTTTCAATGTTTTTATGTTGCTGTACACTGCCCTGATGTTTTACAGTGGTACCTCAGTTTACGAACTTAATCCATTCCGGAAGTATGTTCTTAAACTAAGGTTACCAGATTTTTTTCAATGAATCCAGGGACACTTATTGTTCGCTACGTACATGTGAATGCTGAAAAAGCTGTAAATCCGGGAACTGTCCCCAGGAAACGGGGACGTCTGGTAACCTTATCTTAAACTGAAACTGTTCTTAAACCAAGGAGTGCTTTCCCTAATGAGGCCTCCCACCGCCAGTGCCCTTCCACCATTCAGATTTCGTTCTTAGACCGAGGTAAAGTTCACAAACCGGGACACTACTTCCGGTTTTGCGGAGTTCATAAACCAAATTGTTCGAAAACAGGACTGTTCTTAAACCGAGGTACCACTGTATATAAATTCTTTTATCAGTCAATCAATCAGCCTATTGACACTCCACGGCCTTTAATGAAAGAAAAAGACATTGGGAGAGCCAGTGATGGATATCTCATTTCAGAGAACAGAGATTTCTAACAGAATTCTCAGCACCCTAACCAGACTATAATCCCAAGGATTCTTTGGGAAACGCCATGTGGAATAAATCTAATATAATTTAGTATTTAGCAGATACCCCTCTGCCTCTTTAGGCTATAGCCTTGCATTCAAACTAGGCATGCCTAAATGTGTCATTAGAAACTGCATCAGGGTTTTAAAAATGCTTTAATAGGCCACGGGCGAGATTTTTATCAGGACTTTAGTACACAGGGAGAAGTAGTTTTAACTTTTCCTCCCCAGCTGCAGTCGCAATGAAAATTGTCCAAGTTCTGCAAATGGCACTGATGGGAGCTTTTTTCCTAAAGCTGATAAAAGTGCTGGGGGGGGTTGTCAGTGGTGCAGCAGGGGAGCAAGCAGTTAAATCCTATTTCCCAAAGTGCTATGATTCTGCTGAAAATTGCCCCATGTCTGGTATTATTAACACAGGGCTCATCCACGGCTTGTCCCTTGCTCTAGAAAGCATGGGTCCAAGAGGTTTTCTGCTAGTCCTGTGCTTTAAAGGCATGTGTCCAAATGGTTTTCCATTTGCCCTGCTGCTTTCCCTGAGAAAACTACTCTTTACCACTGAATTGGAGCAAACGTCTTTCCATGGAAAAACCTTTTGACCTTTGCTGCAATTCAGCAGTAAAGAGCAGTTTTCCTGGGGGAAAGTGACGGGACAAGCGGAAGTATGCACAAGCCCATAGTTTCTAATGATGCATTTAATGCCACATCTCATTTAGTCCTTAGTGATTTATGTCACTGTTAAATATAGATTTGTTTTGCTGGGTTGTAGGCCGGGGCCTGTTTCTCATTCAAGTTTGGTCACCATTGCATTTCTTTTAAGCTTTTGGAAGTGGAATCCTGGGTGGCAGAGAGAGGACTGCTCCTGGAAACCCCTGATTATGGGAGGAATGAAGAATCGACTCAGGCACTGCTCCGAAAAGTGGAGGCTGCCAAGCTAGACCTGGAAGGATTCAAACCCAGAATGGAGAAGCTGAGGGAAACAGGAATGCGCCTCTCAACAAGCGACAACCCAGAGAGGTAGGCGAGTCGAACTGGTTACCGATCTTCTTCACACACATAAATGCATACTGACTATGTGAATGACGTTTAAGGCTGTCTCTCTTTGCAAATTGCGAAACTATAGAAGCGGGCTAGCAGCTCATTAAACTGAGCCGGCTCTTTGTTCTGGGTGGTAGATCTCAAATGAGCCATGGAATTCTCCCTCCCACAACAGATATGCACATTTGTTTGCATGTGCTGGTCAGCTGTTCCTATTTAACTGAATGGAAGCTGCTGTGCGGAGAGCATTTCTGTGCATAAATCAGAATGCACACACAAGCAGCTTTGAATCACAGTGCATGAATCTTTTTATACCAGTTATATGACTATTATTATAGTGCCTGTGTTCCCTGTATTCCTTTTAAAAGACCCATAACTTGATTTTTTTCTCTCTCTCTCCCCCTCTTCATAAAACACAGCAACACTGCATTAGACAATTGTTCTATCTCAGTTGTCTTAAAATGCACAGACAATGGCTTTTAATAATAATTAATTAATTAATTAATTAATTAATTTTATGGCATATGACCATCTTTTGTAGATTATTAATTCATGCAATACAGTCCATGCTGTCTCTTCTGTATCATTGCTCTCCAAACAGTTCTTTGGGGACTTTTTATTCTTCAATAAGTTGTTTTTTCAATATCCCGTGTTAATGATCATACTCTAGCAACCTTTTAAGGGAGGTTGGGGCGCATCCCTCATTTCATATTGCCTGAACTCACCAATAAATTTATTTTGGTTTGCAAAATACTACTTTTGACCTGTGTTGAATGAGTTAGATAGCCCATTTCCCATGAGCAGGATGCCATCACAGAAACAGAAAAGGGGCCTTTCTTCGTTGATATACACTGGTCTTTCGGCATACATAAATTACAAAGGATTTCAACCAAAATGAAAGCACCTGCACTCATTCTGCAAATCAATACTCTGCCTGGGAGCTGGGCATTTATGCTACTGGTACAGACAATGCATGTTTCACCTTGATGTATTACTAAGCTTCAGATCAAGACTGATACTTTCACTGGTAGTGACAGGGGCTGTGGTGGTGAAAGGTGCAGGATACAGTAATTGTGACGTGAATCAGTACAGATTTCCCCCCCTCTAAGGCTGTTAACTTTTCCCCCCTAACAGCTCCACTATCCTTCCCAAGCTCCAGGGTGTTCTCGAAGAGTATCTCTCTCTCCTGCAGAGAGCAGAGAGCCAGATAAAAGCGCTGCAGGAGCAATATCAACTGCATCAGTTTGAGAGGGAGACCCAGCTGGTGGACGCCTGGCTTTCGAAAAAGCAGAGCACGGCTGAATCAGATAACTACGGTCAGGATTTGGAGGATGTTAAGGTAAAACAGATTTTATCTCTTGCCAAGCAGGAAGACCTTGGCCATTTTATAGCTGCAGACATCACTGTGTCATTGAAATACATTTTAGAGACTGACATAGCTCCATAGAGAGCTCTGGATGGCATATGCTGGTCACTTTCAAAAACTGCCCTGCCATTTCTTTTCAGAAGTAAGTCCTATTGACTGCAGTGGGACTTGCTCCTTGGTAAGTGGAGTTAGGGTTGCAGCCTGTGAGCAGTAACATTTAACATTTATGAAAAGTAATGGAATAGCCAAGCTTTCAGCTGTCATCAAACTCTTATGTAGGTGCCAAAAAGAAATCCCCCTTACCTCCATGCAGCTGGACCAGAAAGATTTGTTTATTAAATATTAATAATAAAATTTTATTTATATCCTGCCCTCCCTAGCCAAAGCCAGGCTCAGAGCGGCTAACAGCAATAAAAGTAAAACAGTTTACATAAAATCACAATCAATTGATTGAAATGCATTCTAAAACCAATTCATTCTAAAATCAATTCAAAATCAAATTAATGGCAACCATTGGCTAGAGTTCTGTGAGGATTACCAAAGGAGTGGGTCAGACTGTGCCTTGGCCAAAGGCCTGGTGGAACAGCTCTGTCTTGCAGGCCCTGCGGAAAGATGTCAAGTCCCGCAGGGCCCTAGTCTCTTGTGACAGAGCGTTCCACCAGATAGGGGCTACGGCCCTGGCTCTGGTTGAGGCCAGCCTAACCTCCCTGTAGCCCGGGATCTCCAAGATGTTTTTATTTGAAGACCGTAAGGTCCTCTGTGGGACATACCTGGAGAGGCGGTCCCGTAGGTTTAAAGTTTGTTTGCTTGTTCTTAAATCAAGTGACTTTCCAAACTCCAGTTTACCACTTCTTTGATATTATACCAATAGTATTGTGCTTTTGTAGGTATTAGAGGTTCTGAAAAAGCTAGAAATATAATTTATCTCCCTATCCTACAGATTTTGGAGAAAAAGTTTGAAGATTTTATAAAGGAAGTAAGATCTCTAGGACGTGCCAAGGTTCTTCTGATAAATGACTTAGCATCTCAGCTCAAAGGAGCGTGTCACAGCCAAATAAGTGATATCCAGAAAAAGACTCAACAGGTCAATGACACATGGGAGAGATTGCAGCAGGCCATCCAGATAAGGGCGGAGGTGAGGTCCTAAACTTTCTGGTGTCTTGACTGATTCGTTACGACACTGCTGTTATTGAAGTGCATTCATACTCTATGAGCCTATTCAGACATACAATTTGCTGTGATGAGTTAATCATCATAATCCAATACCCTGGGCTTTTTGTGACAGTACTTGCCAATATGGAGTACTGTCACCTCTTTTTCTTTTTTTTCCTTTTTGCTGCCCATGTCAGCCGTTTTGTGCTGGCACCAATGAGTACCAGCACCTCATTTTTTTATTCAGAAGCTCAAAAAAGAAAAGCACTGCCAATACCCACAAATCACATGGAGAAGCCCGCCCACTGTGCATGTTTATAATTCCTGTAGTCATTTCAACTACCAATAGGGCTGCCAGTTTCAATCAATAATGCATATCACTGAAGAGTAGATACAACTGATTCCTCCATGTGGTCCTCTACAACAAGATGGATCTGCTTAGCAAACCAACCTAACTTCTGAATCTCTGAGCCAGTTCCATGACCTTTAATTTCTTTTTTAAAAAAAAAAAAAAAAACCGATGCAGGGGCATGGTTTTACATAGGATCTAATATCTAGAGTAAGAGACGTGGGTGGTGCTGTGGGTTAAACCACAAAGCCTAGGACTTGCCTATCAGAAGGTCGGCGGTTCGAATCTCCACAATGGAGTGAGCTCCCGTTGCTCAGTCCCTGCTCCTGCCAACCTAGCAGTTTGAAAGCACGTCAAAGTGCAAGTAGATAAATAGGTACCGCTCCGGCGGGAAGGTAAACGACATTCTGGTTTGCCAGAAGCGACTTAGTCATGCTGGCCACATGACCCGGAAGCTGTACACCGGCTCACTTGGCCAGTAAAACAAGATGAGCGCCGCAACCCCAGAGTCAGTCACGACTGGACCTCATGGTCAGGGGTCCCTTTACCTTTACCTAATATCTAGAGTGACATTTAAGATTGTACCATGCATAGCATTCTAGCTGCACAAGTCAGTTTTCCTGTTTTCATGTCTGCTGCAATACTGTGACCGTAAGGCTGGCATTGCTAACATATCTTTCCCTTCATCAGAATCTCAGAGCTGCTCATGAGGTTCACCAATATGACCGTGATGTGGATGACCTAAAGGGTTGGATGCAGGAGAAAGAGGCGGTTGTGGATAGAGATGATTATGGCTATGACCTGCCAGGTGTGCAGACCCTCCTCAGCCAACATGAGGGACTCGAGGTAAGTGGAATGGACCACCTTGAAAAAACGACATCAAGGATAGCCAATATGGTGGCCTCCAGATGTTGTTGGAGTCCCATCAGCTCTCTCAAATCCCAGCCATTGTGGCCAGTGATCAGGCACGGTGGGACAACATCTGGAGAGCACCACATTGGCTACCCCTGAGCTGGCTGCATGATGAATGAAATCAAAAGATCCTGCATTTTCCTTTGCAGAGGTTCCAGCTCTTGTACTCTTGTTGTTCGTTCCCTTCCAGAAATAAGTCCTTATTTCACTTTTACAGAAAACACTTCACTACTATGGATGGACAAAAGCAGTTTCTATTTGGTCCATGTCAGTTTTCTTTGTTGGTTCATAAGTTTGTTCTGTCCCATTTCTGCATTATTCTTTGGGGGACAGTTGTTAAACTGCATGAAGATTTGGATTTTGTGTGCATGTTTTAGTTTGAAGTACACATTTTTGTGCACAATCTGGCTTTTTTAAAAATAAAAAATCATTTTAACCCCACTCCTAAAGTTGTATTTAATGACTAGCTGGGATGGAAACTATTCGGATAGCCTAATGGAATGGGCTGCTGGGAGACACTGCAGGGAAGGCCACAGGCAGATGGTCTCACTACAGAGGTGATTGAATAGCCTCACTTCCCTTCTCTGCTCTTAATCAACGACCTGATACTCTGTAGCTTTTTTGGGCTGAGAGCTGTTTTTCAAAATTTGAAGAAGTAGAAAAAAGCAAATGAGAACTGCTCTTTGATCTGTAAATTAGTATGAGAACTGCAAATCAGGCTAGTTTGTTTCAAAAATGTGGACTGAACAAAATCCTTGAACACATTAACTACACGTTCAGGCTGGTCTCTGAGCTTACGGGCCACCTAAATTTAGAGTTGCAGGCCCACATCTGCCTAGAATTCATGCAATTCCCCTTAAGCCAAGTTAATTGGGGGCGATATTTGTGAGACAAAAAGGTAATTTGCACATTTCCACCAACTTTTTTTATTTTTAGAATTCAGAACTTCTCTAGGTTCACTCCACTTTATAAAGAATTCATATGCAGTTATGAAATAAATAAATAAATAAATAAATAAGAGAAACCATATCCTGCAGACTTCAGTTAACTTCCCTTGCTGTGTTCCAGAGGGAATTAGCCGTCATTGCAAAAGAGCTGGAAAGGATCAGGGGGGAGGCCTGGCGTCTTGGCCGCCTATACCCTCAGCCCAGGAGCAACATGATGAAAAGACTAGCAGAGGCAGATGAGTGCTGGGAGCTACTGGACAAGAAGTGTCTGGAGAGAAAGCAGAAGCTGCAGCAGGCAGAACATGTTCAGATCTACTTCAATGACTGCAGAGAACTAATGTACGTACAAGCTGAACAAATGCACAGTATGAAGATCCCTGGATGTGTTAAAGCAATAAAGGTGGAACATTGGCACCGTAAAATCAGTTTATGTCAATGGGACCAATATGCGATTGTAACAGAGCAGTTTGTGTGTGTACTTAATTTAAAATATACATGCTGTTTTTCCAGCAACAAAATAGAGTCGATGGGAAGGCCAGGGGTGGCATGGGGGGTTTCCAGGTTTTTCCAAAGCTTTTTGGGGGGGGAATAGGGGGGGAGTGTGTGGAATATTCAAACTATATTGAACTGTTTGGTTTTTTTCAAAAAAAAAAATTAAACAGCTTTGTGGGAAAAGAGAAAAAAAGGGGGGACTGGGTCCCCCCCCCCAATTTTTCTGGGTTTATTCCAGACCTTCCCATATGAAATTGTTAGAAACAACATAGATAACCGTTTCAACAATAAAAAATGCAATCCATCAGAAAAACAAAGACAAACAAATAAATAACATGTAAGGTCCCTGCAGCCTGGATGCAGGCAAATGCTGTCCCCATCTTTAAAAAAGGGGGGGAGAGAAGACCCAGGTAACTACCAGTCAGTCAGTTTGACACTGATACCAGGAAAGGTGCTAGAACATTTTAGCACCATTCCGAGCTCTGAGAATTGTTTGGATGCACTTTAAGTACAATAGAAAGCTATTGTGTGTGCACTAATGTTGTGAATGAAAAAACTTCCACCTGCCCTTTGAATGAGTGGAATCCCTTCCACTTTTATTCGTGGCGAAAATATTGGTGCTCAGAGCCTCCCTTTTGGTTAACTCCTTTAGGGCCTGGTCCAAGGAAATGCAAGCCCTGATTATATCTGAGGAACTGGCCAATGATCTTCTTGGTGCCGAGCTGCTTATTAAACGCCATGAGGAACACAAGCGTGATATAGAGATGCGATGGCTGAAATACGAAGACTTGGAACAAGCCGGAAACAACCTATTGAAGGCTGGGCACTTTATGTCCATAGAGGTAAGCCAGTGTGGTGGTTAAGAGCGGTAGTCTCGTAATCTGGGGAACCCGGTTCGCTTCTCCGCTCCTCCACATGCAGCTGCTGGGTGACCTTGGGCTAGTCACACTTCTTTGAAGTCTCTCAGCCCCACTCACCTCACAGAGTGTTTGTTGTGGGGGAGGAAGGGAAAGGAGAATGTTAGCTGCTTTGAGACTCCTTAGGGTAGTGATAAAGCGGGATATTGAATCCAAACTCTTCTTCTTCTTCTTCTTCTTCTTCATGGGTTAGATATTATTGAATGAACTGACTGAGAAGAAATTAGTTAGGAACAGCAACTCGGGATACTGAAAAGGGCCAAGTTACACATACAGTAGTACCTCGGGTTAAGTACTTAATTCGTTCCAGAGGTCCGTTCTTAACCTGAAACTGTTCTTAACCTGAAGCACCACTTTAGCTAATGGGGCCTCCTGCTGCTGCCGCGCCGCCAGAGCACGATTTCTGTTCTCATCCTGAAGCAAAGTTCTTAACCTGAAGCACTATTTCTGGGTTAGCGGAGTCTGTAACCTGAAGCGTATGTAACCTGAGGTACCACTGTAATGTGGCCCATCTCTCAAATGGTTTGAGCAGGCTGCATGATCAAAAACCCTATCCCATAGTCTTGTCTCCGGAATGAATTCTCCCTCTCATCCAGGAGCCCATGTTACCCAGACCAGCAAAGTTGCTATGCCAGGTACCTTCAAACCACCCCTTCCATCAAGGGGAAATATTTTGTCCTCAACCTCCTGCTGTGCCTCCCAAACACAGCTGAGACATAACTAGATGTTTTAAACAGCATAGCTAACAACTGTGTCCAGTTTGGGTTTTTTACAAATGCAGTACTAAGTGCAGGAATACCGATTTTCATCAGGACCTCAGGGCTTCCATCCTCAACCACAAATGTGATTAAAAAATACCCTCCATGCTGCAATTAGCCTGGAAGGAGACTCTCTTTAGCACTAATTTGCTTCAGGACTACCTCAAAGAGATTTTTTAAACGTAGTTTGCCAATGAGATCTAAAATTACTACAGCAAATCTTGCTCTTGTGCTTTCTACATGATGTGGATGTATGTACTTTGGAGTTGGCAGCCTCAGCCACACAACATGGAAGAGCCAACTTCAAGTTTATTCTCAGCAACAGCAGCTCCCAGAGTGAACTTGAACACATATCACTATCTGCAAGCATTCCCTTCTGTTTGGGGTTATTGCAAGGAGGATAAAATATGGATGTGGGGGGTAAGGTTCTCTTGACTTAGGCGTGACTTCAAAAAGAAATAAAAACTAAATTAGTAAATCTCCGATCTTATGATCTAAAAGCATAAGCTGTGTTGAGCAGAGCAGAAGTGCAACCTGATATGGAGCAAACAGGTCGGATTTAAGGGCCTTGGGGGCTTCCTCAGACATGTGGTCCTTTTTCAGACTATTAGGAAAGGGGGGAGAGGAGAGAGCTTCATTTGAAAAGCACCCCACGGTCTTGATATCTATGTAACTTCATACACTGACCTTTACAATGATACTCGACTTGCCTTGTGTATAATTTGTAAGGAGATCTGCAGATCATGGGGGTAAGAACATCTTCAGAATTTGTTAAAAGATCCTGTTGCTCTTATGGACGTCACTTTACATACTTTGAGAAACCCCACTGTGTTTCTGTTTCTGTTTCGAAAATAAAAATAAATGCTACTCGCAGAGCAGGAGAACAGATGGGCTTGTCTTGTCCAACCAGCAAACCTGAAAGTGCATGGCAGGCCTAGGAGAAAGCATTCTTTGTAAAGAGGATAGCTTGGGCAGCTTGTGTGCCTAAGGTTTTTTTTTTACTGCATGCAGTGGTGTGTGTTCCAGGTACATGCAGTTTCACTGAAAAAATTGCTATGTTTGAAATTTGTCTGGATGAGTAAAGGTGCCCAAAGTCTGTTTTACAGACTTTGTAAAGCAAGGGTGGCTCTCCAGGTGTTGTAGGGATATAACTCCCATCATTCTTGCTCCTCTTGAATCCATTTTCATTTTTAATAGCGTAATCCTGCTAATAAGAACAATGGCAACACTCAAGCAGACATTTTAACTGGAACCTTTGCGGTGGTGTTTTTTGACAATACAGATGTTTTATCTTTCCAATATCTACTGATATTTGGTTGATTCATTTGTTTAAATTTATCATTTTTTATAAGTAACTTTCTGTGGTTTTGCAAAATACAAAACCATACTTTCCAAATGGACACAAGGGGAGGTCATATATTCAGTCCACCTTGTGAATGCCAAATAAAAATGTTCAGTTCCTTTATCTTCCTCCATCCTTCCTTCAATTTAAATCTTGGGAATTGTGAATTGTTCCCTGTTTAGGGAAGTTTTAAATATTTGATATTTTACTGTGTTTTTAATATCCTGTTATAAGCCACTCAGAGTGGCTGGGGGGGGCTGGCCAGATGGGGAGGGTATAAGTAATATATTGTTGTTGTTGTTGTTGTTGTTGTTGTTGTTGTTGTTAATTACTACTATTACTGCAGATTGAAGAGAAGCTCTCAGAACTGTTGGAGCTAATGAGAATGGTGCGGGAATGCTGGGACATGAAGAAGGATTTGTACGAGGAAAACTGGGAGATCCAGTTACTGAGAAGAGAGCTGGACCTAGCTGAAGCTTGGATGACAACCAAGGAGGGTTTTCTGTCAGATCCTAGCTATGGGGTGAGTTAGGTTAACATAAACTTAAATGCTGACATGCTTTTCTGGATACACAGCCTGCTTAGCATAGCACAAGGCAATTGCTAGGCTAATTCCCAGCACAGGGGGGGGGGTCTACTCCAGCTCCCTGTGCAAATGTTTCTGCTCCCTACAAATGCTAAAAAGAAAAAGTGCCGTGTGTGTGTGTGTGTACACGCGCATGCATATTGCACTGTGCGGTCACCATGTCCTCTGCTGGCATGTGGTCCATGGTCAAGACTGAATGTGACCCATAGACCACAAACGGTTTGCCACCCCTGTCCTACAGCAGGAAAAACACCTTTGGAATCAGTGGCGGAGCTTCATGGGGGGGCAGAGAACGGGTGTGGGCGGGGCTGGTGTGTGTCCCAGGGCGTGGCGCCCAGCGCGGGCAGAGGAGCAGCCATGATGGCACCCCACAGGAATCGTGCTGCCGGGGGCGGTGCACTCCCCCTGCACTCCTCTTCCTCTGCCAGTGTTTGGAATATATCATGGCACAGGGCTTCAGCTTATGAGTATGTTGCACAATACTCATTGCAACAGATCTGTTGCATAATACTTAGTACAACGGAAACTGTGATTGTAGACAATGACTGACTCTTCCGGCCACATGGCATGAGCAAATGCCCAAATATTATTGCCTCCAAAATGTTCAAGATCAAGATGCAGCCCCTTTAATGAGGAAACTTAAAATGTCACACGAGCCTCGTCAATTTCAAATGAAGCTTTATTCCCTCGACCAACTTTGAACAATTTCAGCCTCTTCCGTTTCCCATCATTGCCAACACTTCTCTCGTGGTATTTCTGTATCAAATGGTCGCCTCTGTTGATTTGCTCCCATCCCCAGCATTCAGTCTCTGATGTGGAGAACCTCTTGAAGAAACATCAAGATTTTGAAAAAATTCTAAAGGCCCAAGAGGAGAAATTTGCGCAGCTGAACAGAAAGACAAAGGTAATGTAACAGAAGCTGGTGAATGCTTCCTGGGGCAGGCCAGGTTGCACAAAGGCAAATGATATCAATACCTCTCATTATCTTTCCCAATAAAGAGTGGGACCCTGTGGTTTCGCAGCTGAGTTTCTTGTTAAGATGGATAGCCCTAGATATTCTCTGCCTTTCCCCAGGTGTATATAACAGCCAAGGAAGGTCAGGGCAGAAAAGGGTGAATTGAAAGAGAAAACATGGTGAGGAAATGCAGCTGCTGCCAAACACCTTGCTGGGATTTTCCTGCTTTCTCTTTTGTAGTTTCCCAAATAAAATATAGGTACACAAAAGCGTATATTGGAGGAAAGTGTATTTAAAAGTACGTTTAGTGAAAGCATACCAAAAGGTGTTATATGAGGGGGAAATTGCTTACAAATGTGATAATATATTAGGAGAAGGGCATGCAGACAAATTATACTGTGAACATTATTTTTTTAAAAGGTGCAAACTAATGTGGCAATGGAGCAAATGAGAAACCAAAATTGACAGATTTATGTAACACACCCATATACCTGCCCAAATTATAGCCTGATCTTGCTGGTTTCACCTCAAATTTAGTAGTATCTGTGGCAGGTATGTCCATGGCTCACAACTACTTGTTTTTTTACTTCATTTTCATTCAGGTACACTTTTTGTTTCTTTCAGAGGGAACTGAAACTACTGAAACAAATTGATGCTAAGGAGAGTGGGCAACGAGAGAAAGGGAAAGTGATCAAGGTTCCCTCTCTAAGAAGAAGACATTCAGACAGGAGAACATCTCACACGAAACATCTTGATCCGAAGCGAACTCAACCATTGCCATCTATTTCTTCGACAGACACATTAAAGATTCCCCTAGAATGTGGTGTGTCTCCTACGCAAAAGTCCAAAGAGAATTTGCACAAATGTGGCCTTGGAGAAGATCTAATGTTGACCGACTCCAACAATGTCAGTTCTCCTCCTTCACCAGTGTCGCTTAGCCTACAAAATTCAGATTTAGGAACTCAGACTTCTTTGGTGTCCTCGTTACCCTCTAACCTAAAAATCCAGCCAACCGACGGTGATTTGGTGGTACCACACGCTAGTGATTTCAAACCATCAAATATGAAAAACACAAACGATGGCACTCTCTCTGATGTAGAAACCAAAAAAGTGAGGACTGTGCCCACAAGTGAATCATTTGACATTTATCCAACTTTGCCATCCTTGGATTTACCTCCTCAGAGATCAGAAACTGCTTTTCAGGTAGGTTGCCATTTATCTGCGCCCACGGCAACCCCTACACTAAATGAAAGCTACATAAATCTATTTCTTTTTTCTATGTTAGAAATTAAAGGGTTAGGGGGGATACTGGACACACCAAATACTCACTGGCAGCTGATAACTCTGCAATACGTGAAGTGGCCCTTAACTATGGGATATTAATTAGTGCTATAATCAAGCATTCTTCCAACCAATTTAAGATCTCTGAAATTGCCTTGTGGATTCCAGGTTCCTGCAAATCAGCAGAGCATGGAGGGTTTCCTAGAAAAGAGGGATCAGATTCTTCCAGGAAGAAAACAGGTAACCACAAGTTAAACTGCCAAGGGAAAGATGAGATAATATATAAACAGAACAGGCTCACTAAAGGCAAAGCATGTTAGCCTAATCTTCTTTCCCATTTTGAGGTGATTGTAACAGGGATTCTTGGGTGGGGTGGAGGGAATCAAGAAAACTCTTGATATAATGCCTGTGGAATTACCCTTGCTAATCCCCATACACCTATCCCTTCCTGAGATTTCCCCTCCTTGCTCATTTTTTCTTATTCCATGGGCAGAAGGATTTTGCATCAGGACTTTTTCTCTCCTCCCCAACAGTCCCTAAATCTTCTCCAGAAGGTTGGGAGAAACCCCAGAACAGATGTTGGGGGCACGCAGAGCGGGGAGGGGAGTCCAATTGTGCAATCAAAAATCATTCTGCTGGTGCGATTGTTTAGTTGAATACTGCTCCACCCATCTTTTACCCAACCTTTCCACATCCCATCTTCCCCCCTTTGCCTACATCCTAAGTAGCCTCATCGCATTAGATTCACATCACATTGATTGGTTCACATGACATTGATACAGCTAGTTCCAAAAAAATCCCATTGATTTTGTTTCATTCTCTTACTTACCCTTTTCACGCTGATGCATTTTAAAGCTCAGAGAGGATTAAAATACTTCAGATTTTTAACACATTTGGAAATCTCACCTTTGCCCATGTTAATTACTATATGTTTAATAATTTGTGGAGAAGCTTGGCCCTTACAACCAGGAAAGGGAATCTGCAGCCTTCCAGATGTTGGATTCCAACTTCCATCAGGCCTAGTCAGCACGTCCAATAGTTAAGAACGATGGAGGATGGAGTCCAACAACATCTGGAAGGCCACAGGTTCCGCCATCCCTGCCTTACAAGACTCTCTCCCTGAACTGTATAGCTCAGCTATTGCAAAGCGTATCCTACTATCCAGCTGCATGGTTGAGGCTAAAAACAAAACACTGTACAATACATTAGATGAATGTAATCAGAGTAAAAGCAAACCATGAAGTGATGAATAACCCCCAGTGATTCAGTAATAAGCAGCACAGTTGATGTTTAGAGGTAATAGGTGTTTTATGACTTAGTTTTATGACTTTTGTAGCCAATGTCCAGAGCTTGGAACAGATATTACGTTAAACTTGGAAGACAAAAACTTGACATCTACAGGGATGAAAAGGAAGCATTCCAGGTAATTTGTGTTTCCATATTTCAGTTCTTATTAAAGACTGTGTTATTATTAGTAGTATTTGGTATTTTATGCACTACATACATGTCAAAATGTCTTCTAATTCACACACACACAAATGCTGAAAACCCACATTCCTGGCAAAGAAATATTGAGCAATAGAAATCTGCCTTGAAGGTGAGGTAGTCTTCATCTTTGGTATATTAGCTGTACACAGTTGTAGATGAATATATCCTAGGGCAGCAAGATTCAGAAATCTGTCCCTTTAAAAATAGGAGCTGGGTCGTGACCCCAACAATGTTCAGTATTGTAAGTGATGATCCATGGTACAGACAGACAGACAGAGCCAGTAAGGTTATGATACTTGGTCATTTGTTAGTGCAGAGAAACATGATATTGGCATATAACCCTACAGTAATGGCTTTCAAACTTTCTGCTGTTAATGTTCCCTTCCATATCAGTTTATATGGCAATACACTCCTTTCTGCTAAAGTAGGTTCTGTGGCATATTCAGGATTAGTCCACCTGAAGCTTTAGCCATGCCTCACTGTCTCTCCACATATATGAAGAACAAGCCCTGGGAGGTACCAGATGCTCCCCTGCACATCACAAAGGAACACTGAGGGCTTATTGACACTTCCTCTTGCCCCTCTGCTTTCCCTCAGGGAAAACTGCTCTTTAGTGCTCCATAGGACCTAATGTCAATGTGGGTTTCTCCATATTTGTGTTTGCCCCTATTTAGAGTTAAAGAGCAGGTTTTCCTAGGAAAGGAACAGAACAAGGGGAAACCCACTCAGACCCATGCCAAGAAAGCATGGGTCAAGCAGGAAATCACTTGGACCATGCTTTCTAGGTACAGGACAAGGGGAAGTGTGGATAAACCCTCATAGTGAATGATGAGCAGTTTTTCAAGGAAACTTTTCCTGCATTATTGACACCCCAGCTATACAGGATGAGTAAGTGTTTAAACCAGAAAAAATAGGATTGAAAGTCTTTGGTTATCATCTCTTCTTCTGCCTTGCCAGAATACAACTCCAATTTCATCACTTAGTATTGCTGGAGCCAAGTGTGAGAAGTTGACGGAGTATTCTAGGAAAGAACACGCCTTCAGCCTAAGGTACATCAAGTCGGTGATGCAAAGATCCAAGTTTGGGGCAAGTACTCGTTGGTGAGAGAACCCCAGAAAATCACAAAACATGTGGCAAAGTAAAGCAAGGAAATATAGGCTGTTAGACTTTTAAAATCTCCCCTTCTAAGTTCCTCCCAAAGTTCCCCATTTCTCCTAGCAAAGAAAAAGACCACATGTTTGGTACGTTAAAAATTGTTTACTTACAAATTCTCCAAAGGTCAAATTCATTAGCTTTTCCATACATCATTCAGGAAAAGTTGCACAGGCAGTAAAACTTGACTTAAGAACTTTCATCACTGTAACTGTTATTGATTCCTCTTCTCTCAAGGTGAGAGGGAGTGACCTCGCTAAGCCTGACAGGACAGTTAGCTCCTTCATGTTTGTTAAATGAGGTTGGTTATCCCACACATCACACACCCAATCTAAAACATGCATCTCTGTGTCTAGACTCATTTGAATGTCGTTTCCTTTATCCCAACGAAACTACAGAAATTAGTGATCTTTTTGTATCATTACATATTAGTCGTCCTTTTTGTTGTCTGTATCCTTAACTTTATCTCAAAAGAAAAACCCAACTGAAAACAAAAGAAGAGAATTCTGGGTTTTCCTATACATAACTTATTGGGAAAGGCTACCCCAGAACTCAGTCCTTCTTTAATCTGTGACTTACAGGTTGAGTGATGGATCAGAGTACTACTTCGCAGCACCTTCTCAGAAGCTAATGGAAGACTGGGTGCAAGCATTATGGACTACATTAGGTAAGGCTGTTTGATTCATTTTATGCAGCATTTTCCTATTTCTGCCCATGTGACATTCCCACAAGATGCCTCAACAGAGGTGCATAATTAGACAAGCAAAAGACACACATACTGAAGTACCCCAGATACAGCATAGAAAGCTGCCTTATACCAAATCAAACCATTGGTCTATCCAGCTCAAAGAGCAGAAGCTTTACTGACTGAAGATAAGAAGAACAACAGTTTGGATTTGATATCCTGCTTTTATCACTACCCTAAGGAGTCTCAAAGCGGCTAACATTCTCCTTTCCCTTCCTCCCCCACAACAAACACTCTGTGAGGTGAGTGAGGCTGAGAAACTTCAGAGAAGTGCGACTAGCCCAAGGTCACCCAGCAGCTGCATGTGGAGGAGCGGAGACGCGAACCCGGTTCACCAGATTACGAGACTCTTAATCACTACACCACACTGGATAAGGGCTGTAGCTCAGGAGCAATATTGTGTTTAAAAACTAATCCTTCTTATTAATTGTCTTTCATCCATATTATGTATTTTTTACTTGGGTTCTACAAGGCCGCCATAACAGCCTGCGTTCTCTGCGGAATGAACTTCTAGCCACTACAAATGCAACGAGGCCTCAGATAAAACCTTGGATCCCTGCAGCTGGGAGTTCTGCCAACAAGGAGATTACCAAAAGTCTGCTTCTCAGGTACACACTGATTTTGTATATGTCGGGTCAAATGTTACTTATCCGTTATCTTTGTAAAGACTGCAGTAACCTAAGTAACATAGATTGTCTTTTACGGCATAGATATGCCTCTGCATCTTATAAACACTTCTATTAGAAATGAAGCCAATACGTAGGGGTCATCCAGACTTCATTTTGTGCCACATTTCTGGGCCCAGGTCCATGCTTTAAAGTGCCACATTTCAGCACTCCCCCCCCCAGTACTTTCACTGCAAAAGTCCACTCTCTTCCACTGAATCAGAGCAAACGGCAATCTGCTGAAAATCTGAATTGCTGTTTGTTCTGATTCTTGTTTTCACAGGGAAAGCACTGGGGCAAAAACAAAACAAAACAGACAGCGCTTTAAAGCGCAGACCTGTGCCTAGAAAACGCGGGACAAAAGATAAGTATGGACGGGCTTGTTGCTGGAAATCATGTGGTGGAAATTATTAGGATCAGAAATGCCAGTGTCTTAAAACCAGCACTTACTTCTGCCAAATATCTCACTGAAATCTCTACCCATTCTTTCTCTGGATCAGGCCATCCCCTGCATGACACCTCCACAGGACTTCCGACAAAATGATTGATGGTTCTTTGTTTTGTTTCTTGCCCTTAATATATTTACAGTTAAGGGTGTGATATACTGTAATTAATTTAAACTTGTATTTGTTATCTAAGTTTTCAGCAGAGGAAAGCTAATATCTGTTTAATACTGTTTGTTGATAGGAGAACACCTTCCTTCAAAGTTGCAAAAGAAAAAAAACCTGTTGGAAATCCCCAGGAATCAGGAGAATTGACACAGGAATTTAGTATAATCTTTGCTCAGGATTCTGAAGATTCTGGTAATACTGGAACATTTTTTCTTTTATTAAAAATATAAAAATACACCTAAGAGGGGGAAACTACATAATATAGAAATGAAAACATGCTGTGTAATGTTGTTGTTGTTGTTGTTGTATGTTTCTTTGTTTGTTTGTTTGTTTGTTTGTTTGTTTATATATTTTTCCCTGACAGGAACTCAGGGCAGCTAACATATAAAAATACACCATATTCTTCTGCCATATAGTATAATCCAGTTTACTAATCTAATATTTTAATGATATTTTGGCCATTGACCATAGCAATATGCAAAATTCTTACCAGTCAAGTGCACAGATTAATTGCTTTCTTCATGGTACATACGTAAATTTGATACAGACCTCCTCTTGCTTCCATAAACAGAATTAAAAGCATTATTATTAATCTATTATCAGTTCTCATCTCTTCTTTCATTATGAAAACATTCAAGGTGGTGGAGAGTAATAGAGGTGTGGGATAAATGATTCATTCAATTAGGAGATGAGAACTGTACTTTATCTAGGTCAGGCCTCCCCAATTTATAACCCACTTTGGTGAACAGAGCTCATCAGACGCATACTGTAGCCTGCTAGAGCAGACCTTTCCAAACTGTGTGTCGCAACATTCGTGAGTCATCTGCAGGGTATAAGTGTATTGCATGAACGCTCCCCGTGCTCCTTGCGGGACTGGAAAAGGGTTAGTTTAACCTCTGGTTTGCTAGTAAAACTGAGTTACTGTCTTGTGAAATGATGCATGTCTAAAAAGTGTGTCATCAACATGAAAAGTTTGGAAAGCTCTGTGCTAGAGGCTTGATAACCTTCCAGCAGGCCCAAGTCAACAGATTTTTTCAAGTCCTTATTTGTGACTTGAATAAATCAATAGTGATCTATAAATATTTCTAGAGTTTTGATGGTAGCTTTACTCAGCCAGAGGACCATTAAAGGTAAAGGATCCCTGACCGTTAAGTCCAGTCACGAACGACTCTGAGGTTGCGGTGCTTATCTCACTTTACTGGCCGAGGGAGCCAACATTTGCCCACAGTTTTTCCATGTCACGTGGCCAGCATGACTAAGCCGCTTCTGGCGAAACCAGAGCAGTGCATGGAAACGCCGTTTACCTTCCCGCCGGAGCTGTACCTATTTATCTACTTGCACTTTGACTTGCTTTCAAACTGCTAGGTTGACAGGAGCTGGGACCGAGCAACAGGAGCTCACCCCGTCACGGGGATTCGAACCACTGACCTTCCAATCGGCAAGCCCTAGGCTCAGTGGTTTAGACCACAGCACCACCCGCGTCCTACAGGACCATTAAAGATGTGCTAATAACTCATTTCAGATGCTTCTTCCGTGCACTCCGTGGAGTCTGATCCAGTAACACTGTTGATGTCCAGTCTATCAGAGCACCCTCAAAGCTATCATAAAGCACAGCCTTATCCTAATGGAGGAAAGACAGGAACTCTGGATCAAGGAGTACAAGGTAAAGTTTAACTGCAGTTAGGCAAAAGGGGGCAATTTTCTGGGTAACTTGAGATACAATTTTACAATTCATAAACATCAGCTTGAAGGGGCGGTTGCACTCATTTTGTGCATATGTTAATTTCAATTTAACACATTTAAACACACATCCACCCTCCATCTCTGTTTTATCCCTGAGGAGGTGTGGAATGTATCAACTAAGAAAATGATATAGTCCATGGGAAATGTTGGTTAAAATGTGAGATTATAAATTAGGAGGAATCGAGTGGAAAAACAGGGTTGGCTAGGAAATATATCAAATTCTTAGGGGGTTGGAATAATGAACTGAGGAATCTGCTCCAATTACACGCCTCTGTGTGAAATTCCTCCTTGTTCTCATTACATATTTGGCCTTTCCCCAAAACTTAAATTCCTACATTGGGGATGTATGTCAAACACAGACAAATCACCCGCCAACTGAGCCTGCAAGGCATTCTGTAAAGCAGCTCTGTAAAATGCTGTGTCAGTTCCAAAACAACCACTCCTAAATCACCAGAATAGGAGCCAAGTTGATTTAGCAGATGCTGTAGTATAAGGCCTGATAGCCCCTTAGTTTTTTTACCATTATAAATTCTGCTTCTGCTCCTTGAGTAGTGGCAACCCAGGGAGATCAGACATAGAATTTGGCGCAGGGTGTCACATTGATGGGTGGTTATTTTTCCAGGAGTGCATCATGACAGCTTTTTAGTGTGATGGGGAAAGGTAATAGCTCAGTCGTATTTTTGCACTGGTAAGGAGCCCAGGTTCGGTCCCTAGCATAGTCAGGTAAGCCTGAGAAAAAATCCCTTGTCTGAAACCATGGAGAGCTACTGTCAGTCTCTGTAGGCAACATGGAGATGGCTATTGGCTCAGTTAGAATACAAGGATCCTGAGCAGCACGAGATTTTTAAGATCTCAGGTAGAAGAATTTCCCTTTTCCATTAGGAGGCCTTTTTGGTTGCACCATTGCCTAATAAAGGGTAGTTCCCCAGCAATATATAATAAGGCCATCTCTGCAGTTGCACCCTGGTTTGAAATATGCTTCCTCCTGAGGTTAGGCAGGTGCTGACAATGGTTAGTTTTTCAGGAGCCAAAGCTGAACCAAAAACTGAAGTAACCAAGAGCCTAGACACTCTGCAGAACCCAGGGAGAACAGAGCCAGAGATTGATGTCACAAAGCAGAAGAAAAAGAAAGAGAAGAATGTCTTCAAAAAGCTTTTTAGCAAGAAATAAGAGCAGCAAATGGAAGCGAGTGCTGCAGTTCTGTGGATGTGCTGGGTTCTTCTTTTGACTACACCCTATTGCCTTCACTAAGTAAATAAAACAACAAAACAGTGCCACTGTCAATAATTCAGCACCAATATATTTTAGACTGTAAACCGTATGGATTGAAAAGCCATAAAAGTGACTGTAGACTGGCTGCTCTCAGCATACTTATTTTTTTAGAGGGAAGTACTGCTAGAAAGTACTTAAGCCTCCTTCACATATTAAGCATGTGAAAGGGTCTTTGCGACTACAAAGAGCCTCTCCCCACTGCTGGCCCATCCCCTTACATTAGGCTGTCACCATCAATGGGTTGTGCATTAAAAATGCACTATAGTAAGAGAAAAGGATGAAACTGTTTGCGTTCCTTCATTTTAATGTTTAGAAACTGCTTTCCAGAGAGAACTCGGTTTTAGATAATACATAGAATACCAAATTTTATACTGATGTTTCTCTAGTTTTAAACTAATGGAAAACAATTTTTCATATACCGTACCTCTTTAAATAAAACTGACCCCACACGAAGATTTACTGTTGCAACTGTTTTATTATGAAGTTATAGTCACCACATAGTAGCTGCATTTATTTTTTGTTCTTCCTGAGATACTCTTAAAGCAAAAATAATAAATTCCTGAGTTCCTTCCTAGTACACTACAGCTACTTCTATTCATTTTGCCTTTATTAAATGTGGCCATGCTTTATTTAAAACACACCAAAATGTTTAACTTTGACTGCTTTAGAACAAAATTGGTCATACTTTGTCTCTCAAGTCCCTGTTCTTTATATTTCAAATTTCTTGACAAGATGATGAAAATATACCATTTCTGAGTGGTCTTGCTTTTATATGAGAGATGCAAATACTTTTGAACCAGATTCTGAAACAGTATAAATCATATTACCCCAAATAATTTCTGAAGAGTGGATATAATTTGCTCCAGCTGAAGATCTGGTTTTTAATACTTAATGTTCTGTGGAGACAAAATTCTTCTGACACTATTTAAGGCTCTGACATGCCTACCCTCAGGTTTATGGTAACATCTTCCAGAGCATTCATAAGCAACGGAAACCAGCTTTTTACAGGGTATGTTCAATTTACAGCAAACAAGGTGAAGGCTTCCATTTTAACTATACAACATAACTGTTTGCCATTGCATCCCCCAGAAGGTTTTGCATGCAAAGATACAATCACCAACTGTGCACTGCTTGTGTGTAAGAGGTTGCCTCACCAAAGAACCAGGCATGTGGAATCAGGGCACCTGACATCACAATTCATATAGAGGCTTTGCTGATCTCTGCCAGTCCAAATAGCAATATTATAGTGCCAATCTATTTTTAAAAATACTACCATTGGTAGAATCAGCTGCCTCAAAGCACCAAAAGAGCAACATTTATTCATTGAGTCAGATTAGCAGTTCATCTATCTAGCCTAACACTGTGAATGCTGACCACAGCATGTCTCAGACCCATTTTCTGAGCGTATCAGGTAGGTGCTATTCCCAGCCCTAGAGTAAGGTTACCAGACGTCCCCGGATTTACACATCAGTCCCCATACAAAATCCACTGAAGTTGAAAAGTGTCCCCGGATTCATTGAAAAAAATCTGGTAACCTTACCCTCAATAAATCTCCAATTAACTCCCTCCTGAATCACTTCTATTGTGGCAAATTTAGCTATAGATTTGGGTTTAAAAGGATCAAATACAAGCAAAAGCCATCATGTTGTGGATTGAGTTTGTTGAATTTAACTAGCAGATCTGACTAAACACGGAGGCAATACAAGCAAACAAGGCAATATTGCAAATAATTATAATGGGTTTCATTAAGTTATAATACTAAATTATTTTAGCAATGGTGGTTTTTATTCACAGCTGAAATGCATCAGTCCTCTTTAGAATAGGAAATGGAAACAATAGTGATCAGCAAAGGAACAGCAAGAATATCTGTATGGTATGATGTAATTGCTCATAGTGGAATTGATGCAAGAAAGCTCCACTCTTCACAGTTTCCATTGGTACTCCTTCATTTCCATTAGAGTTGCAGAGGGTCACCATTCAAAGTATTATAAACAAATCCCTGTGACCTCTGAAATTAACGTATCAACAATGTCACTCCTTGCAATACAATCTCAGCTACTTACTGACTTGGTAACTTTAACTGAGTGTCGTCCAGCCCCATCAGAATCACCTCCTGAAGCTCTTCCTGCTATGTTCCTCGCATTGTTCACAAGCTACAAACCAGGTATGTGACCTTGAACATGGATGGCTCAAAAAATAGGAATATTAATAAATAAAGAAGCCATCTGTTCAAACTAGGCAGGGTGGGAACTACACTCGTTAGTGTTCACTGCAAACTGTATGGTATGACTATGCCTTAGCATAACCTCCAACAATGTAAGTGTTGGGGGCTAATTGGTGCCCTGCTCAGGGTGACAGAATTTCTTTCTAGCCTGAGACCAAATGTTTTTCTTCTTCTGTATAGCACGCTGGATGGCCTGGAGGATGTGGTCTTCGCTACAGAGGATGTTATAGGTGCACAGGTTTAGTAGTTTGTCGAAGTCCTCCTCACTGTAGGTTAAATGGATTGTTTTGTAAGGCGAGTCTTTACCCAAGTTTACTTCACATCCCCTCATTTCAGAAGGAGTGCGTTTCACTCCTGAAAGAAAGAAACAAAATAATACCACTGGTAAGCAAACCTTACTTCATTCAGAGTTCTGTACTGCATTTTGGTTGGAAGTGTCAGCGTTTGCTAAACTGGAAACAACCAACAGCAACAAAACGATTCCACATTACTCCACCTATTCCATGCTCTCCTTGTTATGCACGACCCATTTTGCTGAGCAGTAAGAAATTCCAAAAGTACTATAGGGTTTTCTTTTCTTTTGGGCAAGACAACATTGCACTTTTAGGGTATTTTTCCAATACTCATTTCTGCAAATCCAAGCAGCATCCCCTTGAAACTTTCATTCAACCAGCTAAAAGTCCCAAGAAAAGTTTCTCCTGTGATAGCAACAATGCATCTTTGCAAATTCTTTTGTTGTTGTTGTTTGCATCTGTGTGCTCTTCCAAGCATGCATTCATATGCTCACTTTACCCTAGCACATCCCTTTTTGTACATACTACTTGGCTGGGGAACTGCTGTGCAAAATTCAGAGAATGGAATTTTGAAGGATGGCTGTGTTTGGGTTCGCATATTGTTTCAGAAAATGCAGATTACATAAACTGGCCTTTAGGAGCACACTGAATCAACTCCCCACCCCAGCCATAGGGGCAGAGGTAGAAGCCAGCGGCATTCTTTTCCCAGGCCTCTGAAAAGGGTGAAAATGTCCATAGTGAATAAATAGTGTGTGGTTTCTGCAAACAATTTTGTAAATGACACCTATAGAATCTCACCATGGCTGGGGCAAGCTTTGGAGGTAATTGCAGAGCATTCCCTCCCTTTTTGAATTTCGTCCAATCTTATGCAGTATGAAGCCCTACTATATTTTGCTATTGGCAAGCCTCCTGCTTGTACAGTTTTACAGCTGCCATGTGAGCCTGTAGCTCAGAAATGTGTTACTGTCTGGGATTCATGTTTGCTTGTCTCCAATTAACAGTTTGGGGCCAAGGTGGAAGACTGCAAATCTTGGCTCCAGCATTCTTTCCATATACTCTCATTGGCCTTTTATTGGAAGGAAAGTGGAATCTTACGTTAGGTCCAACCCATTCCCACATTTACAATTTGGAGTGATGGATTCACTACACACAAATTTCAAATTATGGCTATTTAAAAACAGATTGCTTACTTGCTTCTTGTGTTATTTAGCTGCTTGGGAAAGTTGGAAGACACAGCCAGAGTCTATTATGTGTAAACAATAGCTGGCCTAGCACTTCTGTAATAAACCTCCTGCCACAAAACCTATTGGATAACTCAGGGGTCAAAGTTTGATTCTTCCCCACCCTTTCAGCTATTCCACAACCCAACTAACTAAATGCCACCACTGCTCCCAATTCTGGGACATATTCGCATAGAACATAGTAAGATGCATATAAATTATGCCAGATATATATTGGGAATGCCAATTTACTACACAGCAAGATACAAAAAAAATCAATCAAGCCATTCCTACTTCTCACCCAGGGTGTACACACTCCCCTTCCACCTCTCATCTGGATGGGGTGGGGTGGGGACAGGTTTTTAGTTATTTCAGAGACCTGTGTTCAGTGAGTGGGTGGGTGGGTGTATAAATCAGCAAACCTCTCTCTTTCCTCTCTGTGTTGCTGGCAGGGGAAAGTGGGTGTATGGAAAAAATCCTGGTGGGTGCCAGTTTTCCCCAGAACTCCCTCCAAGTGATGCTATGTCAACATGCACCAACATTTCAAGGGGGGGGGGGGAATGGCAGGCACCAGCGAGGATTCCTAGTGATAGAAGCATCAAATGGATTAAACAAAAAAATTAAATGGGGGGGGAAAAGACTAAGAAGTTCAGACTAGAGATTGCTATTAAAAACGCATTAGGCAATGGACGCTGAATTTACCTGGTGCCTTGTACTCCTTGAAGGAGGCACATACTAGAGGGAAATAAATCAGAATTGGCGCTTGTGGGTTATCTTCATCTGAGAACACATAGCACTCTCTGGGATTCTTCCAGTCTTCTTCGGTTAGGTCAACTTTTGGAAAAGGAATACTTTGCTCTTCACAGTATTTGGCTGTCAAACGTATTTGCTGGAGAAGACACAAATCAACACTTTCTGTTTATCAGAATTTAAGTCAATAGTACGGCACGCTGAATTAACCCATGATTGGCCACCTAAAGAGGGCTGAAATGTGGGGTGTGAATACAAAACACATACCTGTGAGACAAAATACAGGCTACTGTTCTATTCTCTAAGATGCTTTGACAGCAATTGTTATAGAAAAATGATATTATTATGATTACTTTATTTATATCACACCCATCTCATAAATTTAAAATTAAAAGTGAAAAGAAGTTTTTAATGTTTGAAGTTTTATTCTGTTTTTAGTGTTCTGTTGGAAGCCACCCAGAGTGCCTGGGGAAACCCAGCCAGATGGGTGGGGTACAAATATTATTATTATTATTATTATTATTATTATTATTATTATTACCAAATGTGTCCAATAGGCTTTATGTGTGTGTATTACTTCTGTTAATGAGAGAGAGAACACCCAATAACAACAGCCTTTTAAATCCCAGCCCGGTGACTTTTTTACAGGGACCACACAATTCTTTTCAGAGCCAGTAGAAAAGGCACCCCCACTGTGGTGCTTGATTCTTGAATAGCAAGGTGGATTCAGAGATGGAGTGAGTATACCAAACCCACACCACTATAACTCCCTGCATTAGCAAGGAAGGGACTCCACTAACTTGTCCTTATAAACCGCTTACATACATACCTGCATCATGTTCCAAAAGCTGATTTTATGACTCTCATTAAATCTACTTCCACCTCTCTTAGGTGTCATGTTTGCTTCAGCAAGCCCCGCCCCCCAGTTTGTATGTGGGATATTCAGATCCAGAGTCAGCATGGCAGCTTCCCTTATAAGCACTGAAACTGCTTTAAAGTAGATCCGATAATTTGTCTACCCTGCCTAATACTCTGACTGACAACAGTTCTCTGGAGTTCCCATTACCCCTTTAGGTAAAGGTAAAGGGACCCCTGACCATTAGGTCCAGTCGTGACCGACTCTGGGGTTGTAGCGCTCATCTCGCTTTATTGGCCGAGGGAGCCGGCATTTGTCTGCAGACAGCTTCTGGGTCATGTGGCCAGCATGACTGAGCCACTTCTGGTGAACCAGAGCAGCGCACGGAAACGCCGTTTACCTTCCCACCGGAGCGGTACCTATTTATCTACTTGCACTTTGATGTGCTTTCGAACTGCTAGGTTGGCAGGAGCAGGGACCGAGCAACGGGAGCTCACCCCGTCGCAGGGATTTGAACTGCCAACCTTCTGATCGGCAAGTCCTAGGCTCTGTGGTTTAACCTGATCCTTAACCAGAAACGCCAAGGATGGAACTTGCTGAACTATTGTTCCTCTCCACAACCGTCTCAAAGCTTCCTGGGATGCCACCTTGCTGCAGACACTGGGATGGAAAAGCCATATAGAATTCATTTCTTCTTACCTTGAAGGGTGAACTAACGTCATAATTCACTATGATGATGACATCCACATTCCTCTCTGGCTTAAGGAGTGGTGGAATACTGGTGTTAACAAAAAAGCCGATATCTATTAAGCACAGTGATTTGTCCACTGGTGTCAGCTTGTTAGGAGAAGCATCAAACACAGTATCTGAAAAAAACAAGGTTTAAGGTTTCTTATCAGCATGACCATGAGAAAGATGATTATGTCAAAGTAACATGGTAGCAGGTATTAACATCCATCACTGGTAAGATTTGCATTGTCTTTTCATAATAATTCACCTTGCTTCTACTGGGTAAACCCAGCAAACTGAGCAGGAGTTGCACAAGAGCACTCCCCTTGCTATAAAATGAAAATTACATAGAACCGTGGTTCCCAAACTCATGGACCAGTTGAAAATTGCTGAGGGTCTTGATGAATTTTCTGCTGGCTGTAGAAAACTGAGCTAGTTGTGAAGGGCCAAAACCTTTTAGGGAACCGTAGTTATTAGTTACCTCGCCATTCAAGAAATTCTTTCTGTTGCAAATAGTCTTTATGAAAGTCAAGACTTTGTAGGAAGTTGTGAGTTTCCCCTTTTAAAGGACGATCAGTTAGAATATCATTAAAGATTTCACCAAGTTTTCCAGGCCCACAAGTTGGAGGCTTATAGATGGAGAAATATCCTTCATGTTCTTCACCTGAAATAAAATATTGAGGAAGTTAATTTCTGGAAGCTTTCCCTTCCCTTTCCAGAACATAACACTTCAGGTATTTTTCCACACAACCATGTTCCATTGATAAAGGCATCATCCAACTGGCACACTCTTGGAAAATGAAAACAAAAGCCAATCACTGATGCTTGTAAGTGGGATTCACAACCAAAAGTTGCAGTGTATCCTCATCCCCCTGATAGGGGTACTCCTGTTCAGGGTTCCTACCAGCAAGGCTATACTATAACCTCCGCTCTCAGTTTGATGGTTTTCTCTTCAAACTCGCAGAGCCTTATTCAATTAAATTGTTGTGCTAGCAGAAGCCAGCAGATGATCCTTGTGCTGACAGAACCTTAGCCTTTGAGCTATGTTGAATGGAAGCCATGGTCAACATGGCTCCTGGATGCCACTGTTATTGCCCTAGAAGGGAAGGGGAAGGAATTGAGGAATTGGGATGTGATGCAAGTCTGCCAAATCGAGACTTCAAAGTTTTGTGTCCTCTGTCCTATGAACCAACCTGGCTTGTGGCATCACAGAGGGTGGCCCATAGAAGCAGTCAAAAACATTTTTAAACATTAATTTTAACATTAAGTTAATTATTTATGTGACAAATTTGAGAAGGGTATAAGCACGTTGGGGGAGCTGCATGCAACCCACAACTGTGCAAGCAAGAATAAAGAGGTCAGTACTGAAGCTCTTACTCTTGGTCAGGTCTTTGGCCCATTGATCCCAAAATTCTTCTGTCGTTGAAGCAGTATACAGCCCATCCATAAGATTCACACAGAAGATGTTAGTCCAGATACCTGTAAATCCAAACACACAGAAAAATCATTGTACTAGCCCAAGTTAACCACCAGAATCAGGAGAATCAGTGTCTATATGCTCAATGAATAAGCAAATTATTTGCCTTAGCACCAAGTTATTAGTCACACTACCACAAGAGAGGCCAAATGTTGCTTTATCACTGAAACACAGGAAGTAGATTCAGATCATTACTTTTTCAACCATTTTGTCAGTCTGCTGCTCTTGAAAGTAATTTGTGAGTGGCAAAGGAAAATTAACACTGTGCATTTTTGGTTTGCAATGAAAGCATGAAAGGAATTGGTTGTTCTTTCTTCCATACATTAGTTGCCTCTATTAGCACTGCTAACAATACTTTTAAACAACAGCTGGAAGGAATGCAGTAAGAGCATAATCACACCATGACACACTCAATTACAGGAGTGTGGTGTCTTGGGAAACTGAGTTTGTTCTTTACACAGAGATAGAATCTTGTATAAGCTACATCATATATCAACAATGAGGTATAACATTATTAAAAATAATATGAGAGATATGCTTGTACACTGGCATCATTTGGTTGTCATGAAGCATTGATAACATTGAAGAAAGGAGATGTGCAAGGATGTCAAAAGGCTGATAGGTTTTCTAGTTTAGCTTATGAATAAACAGATCACCTTCCAGATAACAAATCCGGGATTCTGGGATCTTCTTCACTAGCTTTCCCATGAAGAATTCACTATCAAAATCTTCTGCACGAATGTTGACACCATATTTCTGGAACCCTACTTCATAAGGAGAGAAGTCCACCCATTCTGCAAACAAAATGGTGTACAGAAGGTTAAATGCCTCTAAACTTTATAGCTAGGTCACTAACATAAAAAGAAGCAGAAAAGAAGTAAGCAAACATCCTCAGTGGACATTCTTGGTGGAAGAACTAGCATCATCAGACAGCAAACCACTGAGTCCCATTTTTGTATCTTAATGTAAAGTCTGACTAGGGTAGTAAATGATGGTCTAAATTAAAAATAGAATAATTTACCCTGCACTGTATTTAAAGAACAAAAGGCCAACTAGCAGAGAGCAACAAAAGGTGTGCAAAGGAATCACCTAAGCTCATTCAAGCAAGATTTTGGATGACAAAACACTGACAATTTTATGCAACATCTGGAATATGGGTACAGAAAACACCACCTACAAAAAAGTCAACATGGGATACAAGGTAATTTCTTCTTATTTCACATATCATCATTTGAAATTTTGAACCATTGGTTTTCATTACAATTTTTAAAGAAGTTAACATGGAAACAGGCTCAGGTTTTCAGAGAAAGAAAGCAGATTATTCCAAATCAGGGTTAAAGCCATTGAAAAGGAATCTCCTAGAAGCCAATAGGAAGAGACGTATAAATATTATTCACACTAGGACTCTAAATACCAGTTTGATATGACTGTAAGCTTTAAACTGAAAGAAAAATGCAATCCAAACTCCCAATTACAAATTAAGGAGACTCTTGTTTAATTTGACCTTCTGAAGGTCTACTCTAAGAAATAGATTCCCCTACAAAATAGAAGCAACTCAACTGCAAAACCAAATGACATTTCTCTCTGTCTTTAAATGCTCAAAGCGTTCAGCAGCAGCATCAAGGATTCCATTCAACAACAGTGAGGTTAGCATGACAACACCTACCTCTGAAATCAAAGGTGCTGACTTTGTCTTTGACATTTACAGCTGTGTAGATAGGCAAAGGGTTCTGGCCTTGATCCAAAGCCTGCCGCTGTTCTGAGAGTTTACTGTCATTAAACTAATATCAAAGTAAATGAAAAAAACAACATTGAAGCCAATATCTCATGAGCATCCAGTATCAAAAGGATGATTATGAAACCATATTGATTCCCGCCCCACCGCGCCCCCTGCAATCTAATACTGACTTTACTCTCTGCAAGTATATATGCTGTAAGCTGCCCTGAGTGGCAGGGGAAACCCAGCCAGATGGAGAGGGTATGAATAGGTCTAGATAGTTATTAAATCTCATTGTCTGGCCATTTTTTCTGAGTGAAAGGTTAATGCTGGAATAGGAAAATGAGCTTCCCACTGCCCCCGAAAAGAAAAATCCGATCTAGAAATAGCAGGTGTGCCCATTCACCTCCTACCATATATGAATTTGTCTTCTATGGAGTCATACCATTGGTCCAAGTGTTCTCTATCCAAACTTGCAACAGCTCTCCAGGGATTTTCCAATCACCTAACTATCACCTTTCACTGGATAGGCCAAAGACTGAGTATAGCAGTTACTGCATGGAAATAATGTGATCTACCCCTGAACTATAGGTCTTCTACACACACACACACACACACACACACACACACACACACACACACACCATCACCACCACTTCTTCACTGATAAGATAGGGAAAGCTCAAATGCCCCAAGGAATACAACTTTCTCTCCCCGTTTACTTCATAGCACATGACAGTAAAGATGCTTAGTTGCTGTTATGTACCATAAGTCTTGGCCTCTTGCAGGCTCACCAAAAATTGAGCCAAGGGCATTTCACAACAATTAGATGGCCCTTGTTTGGTGCTAGCCTTTAGCAGATGAGTTTAGGGTAGCATGGGAATTGGCTTGGCTTAAAATTTCCCTCCCCACTCCAACCAAGAACATGATTTTCATGTTTAAGATGAATAGAGAAACAACCCCAGCCCGCCAATCTTTCTATGAGTTTCACTCTGTTCTTTTCTTGTAGAAATGTTTTAGGGGAACTAGTAACTAGTTTCAGAATGGTTTTCCTTGTGCACCATTTTCTTGTGTACAGTTCTTAAGATATGATGGGCGGCAGCAATCCAATGCACATTTACTGGGAGTAAGTCCCATTGAACTTAGTGATGCCTACTTCTGAGTTTATCTGTGGTTCAATCCTGTGCTGATTAAGTCAGCATAAATATAAGCACTACCTTTCAAATGCTGCTTTCAATGCTCTTTTTTTATCTGAACATTTTAGGTTCCAGTCGTGTCCGACTCTAGGGTTGCGTGCTCATCTCGCTCTAGAGGCCGGGGGCCAGCGCTGTCCGAAGACACTTCCGGGTCACGTGGCCAGCGTGATGAAGCTGCTCTGGCGAGCCAGCACCAGCGCAGCACACGGAAAGGCCGTTTACCTTCCCGCTATAAAGCGGTACCTATTTATGTACTTGCACTTTGACGTGCTTTCGAACTACTAAGTGGGCAGGAGCAGGGACCGAACGACGGGAGCTCACCCCGTCGCGGGGGTTCGAACCGCCAACCATACGATCGGCAAGTCCTAGGCACTGAGGTTTTACCCACAGCGCCACCCGCGTCCCATATCTGAACATTTTATACTTGGGTAAAAATTATTAAAGTGCTCAAACCACTACTCAGGGAGTGCTCTGTGGTGTGCAAAGTTAATAGCACTTGCAAAACCTAAAATATTGTCAAAGGGGAAAAGATGGCTCTTGCAAACAGTGTAACCTAAAGCTGTGTGAGAGTCTTTCATGGTTTTCTTTAACTGGGAAAAAAACTGCCTCCATGCGCAGGGATTTGTCAACAGGTAAGCCCTTGTGACTACAGAGATCCATCAGAGCCCCTAGTTTAGGAATAACAAAACATTTAATATACATACTTTATCATGTAAGAAAGCTTCTTGAACAAGGGCCCAGAGAGCTGTAAAAGATCGAAGGTGCCCCCTTTTAACCCTCTCAACCAGCTCCTTGTGATAATACTTCAATCGATCGATAGAAATAATATCTATTTTGCTCTTCAACATGCTGCGTTTAACTACTTTGATAGCTTCTTCCAAATTTTCATGTGACCAATCAGTATTTCTGTACAAGTCTGTCATAGTCCTAAGAAAGGGAGGAGAAAAAACAGCATTTACAGAACAAGGATGATGATGATGATGATTTTATTTACCGTATTGGCCTCACTTTGCCCCCAAATTCCGACTGTGAAAAGTTAAAGTGTGGATTATATTAACAACCTTACGGTATGCAGCCAGGAGCGCGGGGCAAACAGCGCCAGGAGCGTGGCAAAGCGCCGCCTGCCCCGTGCATCCTCTCCCCCCAGGCCGGGAAAGGAGAGAGGGGAAAGGCTGCTGGCAACGTTGCACGGCTCCCCCCCCCCCAGTATGCAGCCAGGAGCAGCAAGGAATGGACTGGCTTATATTCAGGTTTTTTTTATTTTTTTATTCCCCCCGCTCCAATTTTAAAGGTGCGGCTTATATTCAGGTGCTGCTTACATTCGGACCAAATACAGTATACCCCAGCTTTTTCCCTCCTGACAGGGATTTTTCTGCGGCCTCAAAATGTCTTCATTTCAGGGCACTGGCACTAACAGGAACTTCCTATGCCCCTGGGTGCCATGGGGACTTCCATAGTGGCAGAGGCTGATGAAGTCCAGCAAAGGGTCACTTCACCTTACCCCAGAGGTGTAGCAAGGTGGGTGCGGTGGGTGTGGTCCGCCCTGGGTGTCACCTCCGAGGGGGGTGACAAAATGCTGTGCAGAACTAAATGTCTGTGAGAGATGCTGTGGCTTTGGCACATGCAGGCTTCCCGCTGCCGAAACGATTCGCCCACCGGCTCTCCCTCAGCTGTAGGTGCCACTATGGCTGAAGGAGAATCGAAATTCAGGTTCCTTAATTTTGTATCTATTGGCCCACATCGCAAAATTTTATTGGAGTGTGAACCAAAATACACTAGTCATGGGAAATCCCACTGAGGTGTATATTTGTTCCACTGACCTTCAGAATGTAGAATGTTAAATGGATTGTGCCCAGTACAGCTGGGATTCTAATTAAATGTGACATACTTTCCTAACTCCTTACCATGTTGACCCAGAAGCAGTGGTGATATATGAAATGCAATCCAAAAGGTTGAGTTTCTGGAGTGCTAGGAGATGACCATAGAATCCTGACATGGCTCTGACTCCGCCTCCTGTTGCCATAACAGCTATCACAGGGACCTGTTAAAAATATATAAGCAATGGCATCACCAAAAATATAAGTGATGACCTCAGAAACCCGAACGATTGCATTATAAGACTCTGCTTAATGTGACCAATAATTAGATTAGAATTTCAAAATCTTGGCTTTCCAGCATCCATACAGAACAAAATACTGGTTGGAAAACAATGAAATACAGTATGGTAGTGATCTGTGAATTAAAGGTTATTTTGTTTGATCCCTAGAATAAATTATAGAATGTCCTGCTCTCTTAATCTCATTTGTCCTGTGAGGCAAATCCTGACTTTATAGAGGATGGAATGTGGAACATTGGCCAAGAACAAGGCTGGTCACGGCTAAGGTGGGATTCAGTCTCAAATCTCTCATTTTGGCTCTCACTTTGCATGTGCAAAACTGTGCTGTCAGAGCTGCTTCCAGATCCTAGCTCACAGAGGATCACGCTAGCCAGCGATCATTAAACAAAAGTCTTTATTGAGTTACAGTTTCCATTCTCAAACTGCTGCGTGCAACTCTACGTCTCATGGTTAGACCGGCGAAGCTCCGTCTGAGTCTCCGCCCCTTGTACACCAACTTAATATCCTAGCCCTGCTCCACCTTTTCCGCCTGACTGTTCTTCTCTGGGTCCCTCTGCCCCCTGGGGTCTCTTCTTTCCGGGATTCCTCTGACGCTGACCCCCCTGACTCTTCTCCCTCCTTTCGGCGGGCTTTAGGACCTGGCTCCCTGTCCGGGCTGCCTACTGTGCCACTTTCCTGTGCATTTGAACTTGGCGCGCGCGCCCAACCTTCCACCTTCCGTCTGACCGTTTCTTCGCTCCCCGATGGAGGTGTGGCCACTCCTGACTCGTGCCCTCCCCCCTGTTGTGAGCTGCCAGCGCTTGATCCCTGGCTCCCTTCCTCTTCCCTGCTCTCTGGCGGTGACGCTGGTCCCGATTTCCAACTGCTCCCTCTGAGTCCCCTCTGGCTCTATCTTCCTGGGGCGTCCCCTAGGCTCCCCCTTGCCCTGGCCACTGGTGCTCCTTTCTGTGAATCTTCTGATTCACTGGAAAGACTCGGAGATCTCGGGTCGTCGTCATCACTCATCTTTTCTTCTGCCTCCTCCCCCTCGCTCTCTGTTTCCTCCCTTGCCCTTGCCTCTGCTCCTGAACCCCTGACATGTGCTATCCTATACGAGTGCAGAGGTTATGGAACAGGGCCCCCACTGAATTTCTGGATTTATTTAAGTTGCAAAGTAGACAGTTAACGGGAATTCACACAAGACAAGAAGTTTGAGTGACATCAGAATTGGAGTTTTCAGGACCTCCCTTACAGTACATGAACCTTCACACTTCACAGGTAGTCCTATGTCAAATACAAATCCACGCAAACAACAGTCCCAAACATGTGAGTCCCCAGATAACTTCCAAACAGATCATGGGATGCTAAGACACACCTCGTCCTCAAACAGTCCTCGTCTCATATTAACAAGCTTATTCAAGGCATCAGCAACGATCTTCTTCCTTTTGCGAAGGAAGTCCTGCTCATCAGCACAAAGCTCATATCCCAAACGCACATCAAGATTCTGTGGACTGGAACAGAGTTACAGAGCCATGTCACTGTGGAGCAGATGACAGGTCATTTTTACAATAGCTGCAATTACACAAGCTTCCATCAACAACTAAGACTCATCAGTCAAATTCTGAACCAGAAAAACAAGACTCCCATTCAAGGTATGTTATTATTTATATGGAATTGCTATGTTGCCTTGGTGGCCTCCTCTTTTCACACATCAGGTATAAATATAACTTTTAAATGGGAACTCCACCTACTTTTCACATATTATTCGTAGGGCTGAAGTGTTTAATTCGTTTAAAAAAAAGATGAACTGATAAATCGGGCAGAACATTACATAGATATACATAATTTTAAATATAATTCCAAAGTCCAAATTAGGGGAATACTTTTAGTGAGTCAACAATACATGTTTGTTACAAAATACTGTGCAAGCTTTCAGGTCCTCCAGAACTCTTCATTAGGCTTTTTGGTAAACAAAATGGCAGTGGGCAAGAGGAGGAGGGAGGGAGGAGGAGGGAGGAGAAGGTTGGCTGATGAAGTCTGTGCTTAGTCACTGAAGGGAAGATAGGAGAGGAATTCACGGACATTCAAATGAAGTTCTATTAGGTGCTTTGTAGGGCTGCTGTCCGGGAAGAAGGGAGTATATAATGGTTGACGCCCCATTTTTAAAAAATATAAAATATAAAATCCAGCTGTGCTCTATAAGTTACATTGGAAACCCAGACAGAAATGAGGCCAGCAGATGTGATCCCACTCACCCACTCAGCCCCATGTGCACTCATTGTAACATGTTCAATCTTTATGTCTGTACTAAACCAGATGTATTAACAACCGTTGTCTACCTGTACAGACACGGGTCTGCACTTCTCCCTGTTTCAACAAAGAAAGCTACATATAGTGTGGGGAGAAGCAAGTCTTATGAACTTTATAATAAAGCAATTAACTGTGAGGTACAAAAGTGGGGCTTTGTTTATTTTTATCTTCTTGCGCAAATTCACCCAAACACCACCATAATGTAAACTAAAATACAACCACATACATCATTACACAGAGGAGGACTTCTTGGGAAGCAGACCAGCCACCCTCAAGGAAGCAGGGGCAGCATTAGCAGAGGGAAGGGGGGGCAGAGGGAAGATTCCCTACAAGGACTCCCGTGGGACATACTCCATTTTAAAAATGGCAACAACAAAGAAGTAGTGCTTTCTCTTTCTTTTAAGAGCTTTACCTCTGTTTAGTTTTTAAAATAAAAATCAGAAATATTGGTGCTCCTGAGCAAATATCGTTTTGTGGCAAGATGGGAGAGATATTCAGCATGCAAATGCAAGGAATCGGCTTTAATACAAGGAACAACTGGGAAGATGCAAATGCACATCACACTCAAATGATGCAGTGCAATTAAGAAATGCCACATCAACCCAAGCAAGTTCACATGACATGGCATGACATGCCATTAGCTGAACCACAGCAGTTCTACAATTGTAGAGACACCTGCTTATTAAAGAAGCAAACTGCCTCCCGTCCCTTCCTCATGTCCTCAAGGTAGCCAGGACAGAGCACTTTGGAGAAAAAGCAAGTATCTTACCAGTCAATTACCTTGAGGTACAACTCCAAAGCTCCACCCTGAAATGAAACAATATATGTAGGAAAAGAACACAACCTGACAAATAAAATGGAAAAGCCCTGATCATGCATGATAACAGATAATAATAATAATAATAATTTTTATTTATACCCCGCCCTCCCCAGCCAAGGCCGGGCTCAGAGCGGCTTACAAGCAATAATAAAAACAAGTTAAATGATTACAACTTAAAAACAAAATTAAAAATACACCATTAAAATACTGAAACATTAAAATATTAAAATGTAGCCTCATCGCAGGAGGAGAAGGAAAAGAAAAAAGAAAGAGGGAGGGAATCAAATTGGCTCCAAGCCAAAGGCCAGGAGGAACAACTCTGTCTTACAGGCCCTGCGGAAAGAAATCAGATCCTGCAGGGCCCTGGTCTCGTGAGGCAGAGCGTTCCACCAGGCCGGAGCCAGAGTTGAAAAGGCCCTGGCTCTGGTTGAAGCCAATCTAACTTCCTTAGGGCCCGGGACCACTAGGGTGTTGTTATTTATGGACCTTGAGGCTCTCCGTGGGGCATACCGGGAGAGGCGGTCCCGTAGGTACGAGGGTCCTAGACCGTGAAGGGCTTTAAAGGTCAAAAGGAGTACCTTAAATCTGATCCTGTAATTGCAAAATTAAATAAAAAATGAATCACAAATGAATCACTGCAGCTATCTGTGCTAAGGAGCTGCAATTGCCCTATGTCTGTTTATGAAAGCAATTATAAAAACAATTAAAGATGGGAGAGAAATCAAAGTTTGTTCGCATTTTAATGAGAAACTACCTAGTTTACACTTCCCAGACCAATACAAGAACCAATACAAAATAATGCATGTTTTAGGGGAAAGTATGCACACATTTGCAAATGTAGCATACAAATATCAGTAAAGAGATATGCTTGCAAAAAAGTGTGCATAGGTCAAAATGACATACAAAATTGTGTTTCTTAAAAGAGAAAATTGCACTACGTAGCTGATCAATTTTCATGCTACAGGAATGTGGAGAACTGAATTTAAGATTGGAAAAATGAGAAACTGAAATGGACAGATTCTTCTTTGCTCTGGATTCTGTGTTTTCTTGAAACTACATGGCAGCGACTTCCTTGGGGGTGGGGCGGGGAATGCAAACTTATGTAGCAGCCCTTTTTTCCTATTCTTGAAGTCCAATACCAACCACAGAAAATGATTTTCTGCATTGCTGGTCTTTCTTGAGATTGTTTTGGCAGGAATGTGAAGCCAATAAACTCACATGCTAGGGCTGTCTTCAAAGAGTCAAAACACTGGAATGTGGAATCTTTTTTGTTTCTTACTTCATTTTTGTAACTTAACTCTTCTGTCTCAATACTGTCATCAGACTGATGCATAGAAAAGCGCAGGCCAAAATACACTGCTCTGCCTACCATTCAGGAAGTTGAGTCTCCTTAGTCCCTCTTCCTACTAGGAGTAATTCTTCTCATCAGTCATGTCTAGAAGCCAGAATAAAACTTCCATTATGCTACTCTCTATCTAGAGCAGGGGTAGGCAACCTAAGGCCTGGAGGCCAGATGTGGCCCAATCGCCTTCTCAATCCGGCCCGCGGACGGTCTGGGAATCAGCGTGTTTTTACATGAGTAGAATGTGTCCTTTTAATTAAAATGCATCTCTGGGTTATTTGTGGGGCCTGCCTGGTGCTTTTACATGAGTAGAATGTGTGCTTTTATTTAAAATGCATCTCTGGGTTATTTGTGAGGCATAGGAATTCATTCATATTTTTTTCCAAAATATAGTCCGGCCCACCACATGGTCTGAGGGACGGTGGACCGGCCCATGGCTGAAAAAGGTTACTGACACCTAATCTAAAGGGAGATAGACATGCTGCCACCTGCCAGAAAACAGGGATGGAAAGCGTTCAGCTAAGCCACCCCTGGTTCCACCCACTTCTGGTACTGAAAACAAACTCCTAGGCTCAGCATGTTCTCAAAGGCAGCTTATTGTTTAATTCTAAATGAGCAAAAGTAGATACAACCACTCTGACATTTGCCCTGCCCTTGTCTAAATGAGAGTGTCACCCTACTGCAACATATCACCCTTTTTTAAAAAATGAAGATGTCTTCTTACAGTTTGGAAAGTGATGTGGAAACACATTGAAAAAGGAATAGAAAGGTTGTTTCGAAGAGCTCTTATAAAACAGAAGCAACACTTGCCTCTAGCACAGGTAGAGTTACTTTGACTTGTTGTCCCACTGGAAGCAATTTCAAAGGCAGAATTAAAGCGTGGCCTGAATCGTTCTTCTCCTCACATGAAATACTCTGGGGAAGAAAGGAAAACATACTGTATAGTTTTTACCCAAAGGTACAAGACGTAGAAACTACATTGAAAAATGAAGGTCTCAGTTAAGAAGCAGTCACTGATTTCATGTCACGTTATGTTTAACCTGCCTCTCAGCCATAAAATGGGCCTTAGAATGAGTGAAGGGAAGCTATGTGTTAATGCAGGGACCACCTTAGGGTTAGCATCCAGCCTAAAGAGAGCTGAGCAGCCATCTCTTTGAACCAGAGGCATTGTCCCGGATTTCCCTTCATACTGTCCTCTTATTGTTCACTAAAATATCCTCAACAATGGTTTTGACAAAGTCAAAAATAAGACCATTGCTGGATCATGATGAAGTGCTTTTCAATATAGCACACAACTATTACAAATGTATTTATTTGATTTAACTATCCTATTTGACTTTCATAATGGGTTGAATTACTAGATCAAGGCAGAGCACTTTATCATTCTTTGGCTACTGTGCTAATTAGGACAGGTTTGCTAGTTAGACATGCAACAAGTCTGGAGATCTCAACATCAATACATTTTGGATTTTCAGGAACTATGGATAGTATCCAACTGTACCACCAGCACAAGAATAATTACTAGGGCAATGGAACTCTTCCCCCCCCCCATCTCCTATCCCCCATGCATGACACACACACCTAAAATCTGCTCCAGAGGGTTGGGGGGACGCCCAAAACAGATTTAGGGGGCACATGGTGGGGAGGAGAGGGAGGGAATGTTCCATTGCACGAGTAGAAATTCTTGTGCTGGCAGAAATATTTATTTTCAGTACAGTAGAACCTCGTTACATATACCACCCTCCTTACAAATCCTTCGGGTTATGTGCTCCGCTAACCCGGAAGTAGATGCCCCTTGTTGCGAACTTTGCCCTGGGATGCGAGCGGAAGTCGCATACGGGTGACGTGGCAGCAGCAAGGGGTGGGGTGCCGTTAGCGAAAGCGTGCCTCATGTTACGAGCGGTTTCCGGTTACAAACAGACCGCTGGAATGGATTAAGTTCATAACCGGAGGTACCACTGCACAACATTTCAGGATTCTTTAGCCTCAGGCATATGCTCCTGTAATTGCTGAGTCCTCCTTGTACTTTTCTAATACTACCTGTGGGTACAGGATAAAGGACAGTGGCTTTTACCTGAATGTTGGCTTTCAGCACTGGCCCCCAGCTCTTTATGCAATGAAAGCAGAAGGAATCTACATCTTCGGACGTCTTCTGTGTCCCTTCATAAGACTCTCGCATGGTAAGCACAACATTTTTCTTGGCTAAAAAAATTAATACTTTAATCATAAGTTACACATTTTTGTTCACAGTTTTTAATTAACCAGTTAAACTCTGTTTAGCATAGTTCTATACAATCCTGGCACCGCTGCAAAAGGCTGCTGAACACGCCCCCTCGAAGGCACCTGGTTGGATGCCTGCCGAGGGGGCGCGGGCGCCAGCCAGGTGAGAGGAGGAGGCAGGGGGCTAATGCCCCCTGCTAGGGGCGGTGCTCGGGCTCCCGCCCACAACCACTCCCCTCTCTTCCAGGGAGGAGAGTCTTTCTATACAATCCTGATCTGCAGCGCTCGCTCTCTCTCTCTCTCTATGTATATTTTACTGTTCCTTTGCATGTGTGAGAGCAGCTAACTGCATATTTTTATGAAAATTTCATCTAAGCTTAGTGAGGCTGCATCAAAAGCCTTGCTATATTCCAGATACATTATACATAAACTATACATACTCAATATGAGTAACATCCACAAATAACGGGTTATCTTTATTTTATTTTATTTTGGTCTGCTAAACTTCATACTTTGCCTATTAAGAAAATTAAATTGGCCTGGGTTAAAATTCAAGCAAATATTCAAAATCCACCAAAAATGTAACAGTCACCACTCATGATCTGAATATTAAATTTAAAATCTCACTTTTACCTCACAACTTTAGCACTTCAGATTTGTTAGCATTTCAAATCAGCTATGAAGTAGTGCAAATTTCTCCTAATATATATGTGTTTTGTGCAATTTTGCCTAATATACACATTTCTGAAGAGCAATTTTCCCTAATAAAATGCATTTTGTATGTTATTCCAAGGAATATATGCATTTTTATTCACACTACACCCCCGCATATACATTTCTTTACATATTAAATGGGTAGAGAACCACACTGCAAAATTTGGAGAAGTGAAAATCTTGATACATTTATCATCCTATTGTATTATATACAATTTATGATGCCATAATGCATTTGTTGGTTTTTAGGGTATCATAATCTCTCTCTTTTGTAAGATACTAATATGGCTACCCCTCTGGAAATAATTGCTTACTAAGCATCCACCTCTTGTCAGTTCTCTCTTACAAATCCTCCCCCTCAAGAAACATGAGTTTAGAAACCCATATTTTAGTTCCACCTTTTATGCAGATATCTGAACCTTCAGAAAATATGAGGCAAGCATTCAACATCAAAATTTGCAGATAGAGGAGGATATTGAGGAGACAATTCATTGCATCTCTAAACTTGACCTAGTTAGGGGTGGTTTTTGTGTGTGTTTTTGCTATTTCTCTTTAGAGAAAATTATTTCTCTAAAACAATAATTTTGAAGAGAAAAGCATACATATGGCAAATTTAATGAGTCACAGCTGCAGTCTTAGAAGAGGAATTCCCTTCAGTGTGATTAATGGATTAAGAAGCTATTTAACTGACTAAAAGGCAACAGTCATTAGACAGTCGCCAATTAGGCAGCAGGTTTTTTAATATAAGTACTTAGAAATACTTTAAAGTAGTTGAATATTTATAGCTACTACTCTTCTAAGATAGCATCTGCCTTCTGCCGTATTTATCTTCTAAATAAACTTACAGTTTACATCACTTAAAATTACAATCTCAACATCAGTAAAAAAATAATACAGTCAATTAAATGTTGCAGCCCTAGTAAACAATATATATTTAATAACATATATTAGGGGTAAAACACTAGCTGGCTACGTGCCTAAGAGAGAGAGGCCAACCTTTCAAAAGCTTCTCATTCTCTTCTTTCTTCACCTTTACTTCCAAGATGGAAAGTTCACGAGCCTATGAAAACAAGGGCACAAAGTAATAATGTTGATGCCTGAATGCTTGGAGGAAAATACAAAGTATTTCTACAATCAAAGCCATCTGTTTATTTCATCCAAGCAATTTGTTTAAGTAATATGATTGCCAGTTATTTAATTGCACCATTCTTGCCATTCTCTAATTTCTCTCTCTCTCTATTTGCTAGCACTTCATAGAATCCCAAAAGGTGATATTCAGTGTTTGTCATATTCAGAAAAGATCCACTGAAATCAATGGACAAGTAATTTATGCCCACTGCTTGTCCCCCCCTAGACTTTCAGTATTTTCCAGGAGGGGTTCCAACACACGCTGGAAATGTATGCTGAAGCACTCTATTGCCCTAGCATGACAAATCCACTTTTTTATTTTAAAAGAAAATGCTTTTTGTGGTTAGGAAAGTGACAGGGGGGAAATGATTAACAGGGAGACATATGAACGTAAGGGTAAAGGTAAAGGGACCCCTGACCATTAGGTCCAGTCGTGGCCGACTCTGGGGTTGCAGCGCTCATCTCGCTTTATTGGCCGAGGGAGCTGGTGTACAGCTTCCGGGTCATGTGGCCAGCATGACTAAGCTGTTTCTGGCGAACCAGAGCAGTGCATGGAAACGCCGTTTACCTTCCCACCGGAGCAGTACCTATTTATCTACTTGCACTTTGACATGCTTTCGAACTGCTAGGTTGGCAGGAGCAGGGACCGAGCAACGGGAGCTCACCCCGTCACGGGGATTCGAACCACCGACCTTCTGATCGGCAAGTCCTAGGCTCTATGGTTTAACCCGCAGTGCCAGCCGCATCCCTCTTGACATATGAACACTATGCAGCAAATAAGGACAAATGCTCTTTATCATTTAATCTCCACATAAACAAATCAAAACAAGAGCTCAATAATGACCAGGCATAGTCTAATCTTTCTGTAAGCCTTGTGCAAGGAAATCGCAATGAATGCTCAGTAAAAAGGTCACCTGGAGGAGCCTTCACTGTGTCTACCCTGAATATGACTTCATTTATTCATCCACCCATCCCTTTAATAAAAATATTTATATACTGCTAAAAATACTTATAAAAAGTATCAGAGCAGTTTACAACAGTTCTACATAAAACCACACAATAAAAGCCATATAAATATTTTAAAATCAGAGATCAGCTTACTATTATGGAAAGATGTACTCTCAACTGCTTGCATAATCCTGAAGGAATTAGATATTACCAAGAGTGTCATCTTTCCTAAAGAGTTAGCATCTCCAACAAGATGGAATAAATAATTATGAATCAAGATAACTTTCAATACAAAGAAATCTTACCACTAAAACACCATTGGAAATCAGTTGCTCGAGAGGTCCTGAACTGGAAGATAGAGAGGAGGGGAAAGGGTGATTAAATCCAAGCCTGGTAAAGTCGTTGATATTTAATAAAGTAACATTTTGGAAATGACTGACAAAGAGCAATACAGTGGTGCCCCGCAAGACGAACACCTCGCAAGACGAAAAACTCGCAAGACGAAAGGTTTTTTCGTTTTCGAGTTGCTTCGCAAGACAAATTTCCCTATGGGCTTGCTTCGCAAGACGAAAACGTCTTGCAAGTTTGTTTCCTTTTTCGTAAAACCGTTAAAACCCAGGGTGCATTGCTGGAAGAGGTGCAGTTGCAACTTGACTTTGAGGAGCAACACATTGCACGCGGTGTGGTGGCCTTTTTGAGCTTTTTCAAGAGTTTGCTGAATTTTTGAAGCTTTTCCAAAACTTCTTTTGCAGCTGTTTGGTAAGTTAAACTTTTAAAACTTTTTTTTGGGGTTTTTGGATTTTGGGTTGGGGTGTTTAGAATTCAAGGACTTGGTGTTGGGGAGAGGTTTGCAAGAATCTGGGAGCTTGTGTGGTTTTTTTCTGCATTTTTATGATTTTCTGTGACCATTGGGCCATGTTGGTTTTTTTAAAAAAAAATTCTGGGTTTTGAATTTCTGTGTGCTGGGTGGATGGGGGAACAGCTGGGGAGGGGTTTGCAAGAATCTGGGAGCTTGTGTGTGTGTGTGTGTTTTGTGTTTTTTTTTTTGAATTTTTATGGTTTTCTGTGACCATTGGGCCATGTTGGGGTTTTTTGAAAAAAAATTCTGGGTTTTGAATTTCTGTGTGCTGGGTGGCTGGGGGAACAGCTGGGGAGGGGTTTGCAAGAATCTGGGAGCTTGTGTGGTTTTTTCTGCATTTTTATGATTTTCTGTGACCATTGGGCCATGTTGGGTTTTTTTGAAAAATTTTCTGGGTTTTGAATTTCTGTGTGCTGGGTGGCTGGGGGAACAGCTGGGGAGGGGTTTGCAAGAATCTGGGAGCTTGTGTGGGGTTGTTTTTTTTTTTTTTTTTGAATTTTTATGGTTTTCTGTGACCATTGGGCCATGTTGGTTTTTTTTGAAAAATTTTCTGGGTTTTGAATTTCTGTGTGCTGGGTGGATGGGGGACCAGTTGAGGAGGGGTTTGCAACAGTTGGGGAGGGGTTTGCAACAGTTGGGGAGGGGCTGGGGGAACAGTTGAGGTTTTTGAAGACTTTGGTGATTTTTAAAGCTTTCTCAAAACTTCTTTTGCAGCCATTTGAGGATTTTGAAGACTTTGGTGATTTGCAGCCATTTCGTAAGTTAAACTTTTTTGGGGGGTTTTGGATTTTGGGTTGGGTGTTTGGAATTCAAGGACTTGGTTCTGGGTTTGAATTGCTGATTTTTTTTTTTTTCTGAGTTTACGAAGGTAAGAGCTGTGCTGCCATGGGACCCAAGAAGACTGCTGCTGCTGCGGAGGCCGGCGAGAGGAAGAAGGAGAAGGTGACGCTGGAAATGAAGAAGGAGATCATCTGGAAGCACGACGGTGGAATGTGTGTGACAGACCTCGTCAGGGAGTACGGCAGGAACCCATCGACCATCGGGACCATCCTGAAGATGAGGGAGAAGATCCTTGTGACTGATGCAGCCAAGGGAGTCACCAGGATCGTGAAGAACCGCCCAGCTGTTCTGGAGGAGGTCGAGAAGTTGCTGCTCATCTGGTTAGAAGAGAAGCAGCGTGCAGGGGACACAGTGACTGAGGCCGTCATTTGTGAGAAGGCCAAGGCCTTGCACGCAGACCTCATGCGGGAACAGCCAGGAACCTCAGGCGAGCCAGAAGTCTTCAAGGCAAGCAGAGGCTGGTTTGACCGGTTCAAGGCAAGATCCGGAATCCACAGCGTGGTCAGGCATGGAGAGGCTGCCAGTTCTGATGTTCCTGCGGCTGAAGACTTTGCCTTGGAGTTCCTGGAGGCTGTGAAGACAGAGGGCTACGTTCCACAGTAGGTCTTCAACTGCGACGAGACCGGGCTGTTTTGGAAGAGGATGCCCAAAAGGACTTTCCTCACACAGGAGGAGGCCAAGTTGCCTGGCCACAAGCCCATGAAGGACCGTCTGACCCTGCTCTTCTGTGCCAACGCAAGCGGCGACCTGAAGATCAAGCCCCTGCTGGTGTACCACTCGGAGAACCCACGGGCCTTCAAGAAACACAAGGTCGACAAGGAGCGGCTGAGTGTCATGTGGCGATCCAACAGCAAGGCTTGGGTCACACGTGTGCTGTTTGTGGACTGGGTCAATCTTGCTTTTGGACCTGCTGTCAAACAGTACCTGCTGGACAACGACCTGCCGCTGAAGGCTTTGCTTCTGATGGACAATGCTCCTGCTCATCCTAAAGGCCTTGAGGTGGACTTGTTGGAGGAGTTCAGCTTCATCAACATCATGTTCCTGCCGCCTAACACCACGCCACTGCTCCAGCCGATGGATCAGCAGGTCATCGCCAATTTCAAAAAACTCTACACCAAGGAGCTTTTCAGGCGATGCTTCGAGGTGACTGATTACACCACCATCACCCTGCGGGAATTCTGGAAGGACCACTTCAACATCGTCACCTGCTTGAAGATGATCACCACGGCCTGGAGCAGGATCAGCCAGAGAAATTTGAATTGCGCTTGGCGCAGCCTGTGGCCGGACTGTGTGGCACCAAGTGACTCTGATGCACCAGAGTCAACAGTGGTGCAGGACATTGTTGCCTTTGGGAGGACCATGGGCCTGGAGGTCACAGAGGAGGACGTCTGCGAGCTGGTGGAGGAGCACGACCACGAGCTGACCACCCAGGAGCTGGTTGAACTGCAGTCAGAGGTTGCGCAGGAGCAGGCCTCGCTGGAAGAGGAGGAAGCAACTGAGGAACGGCCGTCCTCCAAAGAACTGAGGGACATTTGCCAGAAGTGGAAGGAGGTGCAGGCTTTGCAGAGCGGCACCACCCGAACAAGCACGTGGCACATGACCAAGCGAACACTTTTGATACGGCGGTCATGTTGCCTCTCAGGGAGCTGCTGAAAAGGCGGATGAAGCAGCAGACCATGGACAGGTTCCTCAGCAAGAAGCAAAGAGTGGAAGAGGAACCTTCTTCGAGTGGTCCCCAGAGTCTTAGAAAATGTAATGTACCCTTTTTGATTTTTAAATGTTTTCCTGTCATGTTTAGAAACTTAATTTATTGTTCCTTCAATTTTTGATATGCTCTTTAAAGTATGTGTGACTTTAAAGAGCAGTTAATAAACTATTGTTGTACCAAATTTGGCTTTGATTGGACATTTTTTTGACCATAGGAACGCATTAATTGAATTTCAATGCATTCCTATGGGAAACCGTGCTTCGCAAGACGAAAAATTCGCTAGACGAAAAAACTCGCGGAACGAATTAATTTCGTCTTGCGAGGCACCACTGTAGTTTTCAAGGTACTTAATACAGCGGTACCTCCATTTTCGAACATAATCTGAAAACCAAAAACTCAATAGCCAACAGCTAGGCCTCAGGATCTTGCACTCAGCAGAAGCTGTGTGGCATGTTCAACTTCCAAGGCGTGTTTGAAAACCAAAGCATTTACTTCTGGGTTTATGGCATTCAAAAACCGAAATGTTCGTCAACGGAGACATTCAAAAACTGAGGTACCACTGTACATGGAAGTCTGACCACATAGCTGCTGGAATCCAACCCTACAAACCAGAAATGAAATAGTCAGGCAAATCACAAAGTGCTCTTGTACTATAATATGGAGAAGTTGGGGAGAATTGCTATTTATTTAGTAACTTGCATTCTATTTTTTTATGGGGCAAATTCAAAGTAGTCGATTTAATGCAATACATAAAAAGAGCAATGGGGAGAGGCATTCCACAAATCAGGTGGAGTACTGAAAAGGCCATATTGGTTAAAGATGCTGCTATAGCAAAGGAGAATATTGGTTCATCAGAGGTGGTATCTTGACACTATATGTGACCAATTACACAAAAATGCAAGGATGTACCTTTCCTATTTTTGATGTATTGTCATGAATGATAAAGAAAGAAAGGTAGTTCATTATTCTCAATATAATATAGAACTACTACCCAAATATGGCAGCATAAACAAAACCAGAATATTAAGATTCAAATATAGACAAAACAGAAAGAAGGAATAGTGGTGGAGACATATTAAAACCACGAGATTAGCAGAAACACACTAGATAACAAAAGAAAAGTAGGAATTTCCAAAAATATACTATTTTTAGAATCCTTTTCTTGCATCTAACAAACCACTTACGTTTCTGCCAACTTGAATTCCACTTCCAGAGATTCATAAGCATGAGGACAATCTTCTTTCTGATAACACAAAAACCAATTACTAATGCTCATTTATCTACTCAGTGCAGTAATTTCAGTCATTAAGGACATAATTGACACTTGCCACTGCACTCCCAAACCCTTCAATCTGGCAAAATCTAACTAAGCACACCTGGAATCCAGGCATTGGAGGTGGGGGAAGAATTTAGACTGGGAAAACAGGGCAGATGAAAGGGATGAGGTGTCACTCTCTAGTGAAATTAGTAGCTCTGCACAGCTGTTCTGAAGCAAGGGAAAAGAACATCCACATCATATTATTTATTATTGCTAGTGTTACCTAAAGTCTTTTGGGTTCCCTCAACATTTCTGCAACTGCCTGAGAAAGAACCTCCAAATTCACTTCCATTTTTACTTGGACAAAACCCAGTTAAGTAATTCTCTAAGGAAGTGATTCTCAAGCAGTCAGCCAAGACCTGGGAGTGGGCCATGGGACACCCAAGACATTCTCACCTGTCTGCTCTGCTTGCTAGCTATTCCATGGTTTTTCAGTTCTCTGCATGTTAGTTAGTTAGTTAGTTTCGTAAATGTGTAGACAATACATTAACTTTCTGTCCTCACCTCTGGTTTTAAGGAAAATAGCTCAAGAGCTGTTGTGCCAGGCCGGACTTTTTCCAAATCAAAAAAGATAACAAAAAGTACATCATCTTTGTCAGTTAGATTGGTACTACAGACCTCCAGCTGTAATATATTCTAGGAACAGAAGAGAAGGAAGGTTAGAATTGTATAGGGATAGAGTAGAAATTCAGTTCAGGTGTCCTTTAAAACAGAATCTACCAAATTAGCACATTTCGAAACAATATTCAAACCCAAACACAACTAGAGATTGCAGGGCAGCGGCGCACGCCTAGCGGCGCGCGCAGTTTGATCCATCTTTTAGATTTAGGGGAGCTAGTCTCAAACGTTTGTTGGGGAAGACCTAGGGTTTTTTTGTGGGGGGAGTTATTTTTTCCTGTCTTCACGCTTTTTATGATGGAGGACCACTGTAGCCACCCCCAACGACACGTTCTCAAGATGGAGGGGGGAGGGAACAGCTGCAGTCGCCTGCGGTTCCTGCGCAATGCTTGCCATCTTGCCAAAGGTTGCAGGCAGCTTTACCTGCAGCAATTGCATGTTGATTGCCCTCTTAAAAGACAAAGTCCAGCAACTGGAGGAACGTGTAGCTACGCTCCAAAGAATTAGAGAGCTGGAGCTCTTCTTGGAAGCAACAGAGCACACCGTCTCCACCAAGGAGGAGACAGGGGACTCCCCTGAGAAGGACGCTAGTTCACCAACACAGGAGCCAGATATATGGAGAAACGTGACTCAAAGAAGTAGGAGGCCCAGGGTTCGCTCTGATTGTTTAGAAATACACAATCGCTTTGAGGTCCTCTCCCTAGCATGGAAGACGAAGAGCAGACTCCATTTGAGGATCTCTCCTCATTACAGTCGATCAGGTATATGAAGACGAGCAGCAAAGTCAGTCCTCAGGGAATGTGCAGGCGACCTTGGAGCGGACAGCTCACGGAAGAACCCCGGCCAAACCTAAGAGGAGGCGTGTAGTGGTGATAGGGGATTCCCTACTGAGGGGAACAGAAGCAGTGATCTGTGGGCCTGACAAGATGTCTCGGGAAGTGTGCTGTCTCCCAGGGCTAAGATCCAAGATGTAACTGAACGACTGCAAGGAATCATAAAACCCACTGACAAATACCCCTTCCTCTTGGTTCATGTGGGAACCAATGACACTGCAAGCAATAGCCTCCAGAAGATCAAAAGAGACTACGAGGCTCTGGGCAGGAAATTGAAGCAATTAAATGCACAAATTGTGATCTCATCTGTCCTCCCAGTTGAACGACGTGGCCCAGGGAGAGAGGGGAAAATAGTGGAAGTGAACAGCTGGCTTCGCAAATGGTGTAAACAGGAACGGTTTGGATTCTTAGATCACGGACTGCAGTTTCTTGAAGATGGACTTCTGGCAAGCGATGGGCTGCACCTCACAACGGTTGGGAGAAATGTTTTTGCCAAAAATCTCAGAAACCTCATCAGGAGGGCTTTAAACTGACTAATGTGGGGGAGGGAGATAGTGCTCCTGAAGGTAGGAGTCTATCAATTGATGAAGATGATCATCCAAATGTCATAGACCAAATGGAGCAAACAGCACACAGACCTAGTGGTGGGAGGAAAAATCCTTAAATAAGAGTCACGGGGAATGATTAATGGACTTCAATGTCTGTACACTAATGCGCAAAGCATGGGAAATAAACAAGATGAGCTTGAGCTCTTGGTACAGCAAACTAAATATGACATAATAGGCATCACTGAAACCTGGTGGGATAAGTCCCACGATTGGAATGTAATAATGGGGGATACAATCTATTTCAGAGAAACAGACCAGACAAGAAAGGAGGAGGAGTGGCGTTATATGTCAGGGATGTGTATACCTGTGAAGAGATCCAAGATTTAGAACCTCAAAGCCAAAGTGAGAGCATTTGGGTCAAAATTAAGGGAGAGAAGAATAACAGTGACCTCACTGTGGGAGTTTACTATAGATCCCCAAGCCAAACGGAGGACATAGATGATGCCTTCCTGGAACAGATGGCCAAGCATGCAAAAGGAAGGGAGATAGTAGTAATGGGGGACTTCAATTACCCGGATATTTGTTGGATGTCAAACTCAGCCAAGAGCATAAGGTCAAACAGATTCCTCACTGGCCTTGCAGACAACTTCATTGTCCAGAAAGTGGGAGAAGCAACAAGAGGAACAGCCATTTTAGATCTGGTCCTAACCAATGTTGATGACCTGGTTAGTGGGGTAGAAGTGGAAGGATCATTAGGCGCGAGTGATCATGCTCTTCTGAAGTTTACTATACAGCGGAAAGGAGCAGCCAAGCATACTAGGACTCAATTTCTTGACTTTAAGAAAGCTGACTTCATAAAACTTAGGGAAGTGCTGGGTGAGATCCCATGGACAGTAATACTAAAAGGAAAGGGAGTTCATGATGGCTGGGAGTTTGTTAAGAGGGAGATACTAAAAGCACAACGTCAGGCAATACCAATGAGACGGAAACATGGAAGGTGCCTAAAGAAGCCAGGGTGGCTATCTAAAGAACTTTTAACTGAGTTAAGATTAAAAAGGATGTGTACAAAAAATGGAAAAGGGGGGAAACCACCAAAGAGGAATTCAAACAAATAGCCAGCACGTGTAGACACAAAGTCAGAAAAGCTAAAGCACAGAATGAACTCAGGCTTGCTAGAGAGGTTAAAAGCAACAAAAAGGCTTTTATGGGTATGTCCGTAGCAAAAGGAAGAACAAAGAAACAGTGGGGTCACTCAGAGGAGAAGATGGTGAAATGCAAACAGGGGACACAGAAAGAGCTGAACTCCTCAATGCCTTCTTTGCCTCAGTCTTCTCCGATAAAGAAAACAATGCCCGACCTGAAGAATTTGGAGCAAATGATTCAGCAAAGGAAACACAGCCCAGAATAACTAAGGAGATAGTACAAGAATACTTGGCTAGTTTAGATGTATTCAAGTCTCCAGGGCCAGATGAACTGCATCCAAGAGTATTAAAAGAACTGGCAGATGTGATCTCAGAACCACTGGCAGTCATCTTTGAGAATTCTTGGAGAACAGGCGAAGTCCCGGCAGACTGGAGGAGGGCAAATGTTGTCCCTATTTTCAAAAAGGGGAAAAGAGAGGACCCAAATAATTACCGCCCAGTCAGTCTGACATCAATACCAGGGAAAATTCTGGAGCAGATCATTAAGCAAACAGTCTGTGAGCACCTAGAAAGGAATGCTGTGATCACCAATAGTCAGCATGGATTTCTGAAAAATAAGTCATGTCAGACTAACCTGATCTCGTTTTTTGACAGAATTACAAGCCTGGTGGATGAAGGGAACGCAGTGGATGTAGCCTACCTTGATTTCAGCAAGGCATTTGACAAGGTGCCTCATGATATTCTTGTAAAGAAGCTGGTAAAATGTGGTCTTGACTATGCTACCACTCAGTGGATTTGTAACTGGCTGACTGACCGAACCCAAAGGGTGCTCATCAATGGTTCTTCTTCATCCTGGAGAAGAGTGACTAGTGGGGTGCCACAGGGTTCTGTCTTGGGCCCGGTCTTATTCAACATCTTTATCAACGACTTGGATGATGGACTCAAGGGCATCCTGATCAAATTTGCAGATGACACCAAATTGGGAGGGGTGGCTAACACCCCAGAGGACAGGATCACACTTCAAAACGACCTTGACAGATTAGAGAACTGGGCCAAAACAAACAAGATGAATTTTAACAGGAGAAATGTAAAGTATTGCACTTGGGCAAAAAAATGAGAGGCACAAATACAAGATGGGGACACCTGGCTTGAGAGCAGTACGTGTGAAAAGGATCTAGGAGTCTTGGTTGACCACAAACTTGACATGAGCCAACAGTGTGACGCGGCAGCTAAAAAGCCAATGCAATTCTGGGCTGCATCAATAGGAGTATAGCATCTAGATCAAGGGAAGTAATAGTGCCACTGTATTCTGCTCTGGTCAGACCTCACCTGGAGTACTGTGTCCAGTTCTGGGCACCACAGTTCAAGAAGGACACTGACAAACTGGAACGTGTCCAGAGGAGGGCAACCAAAATGGTCAAAGGCCTGGAAACGATGCCTTATGAGGAACGGCTAAGGGAGCTGGGCATGTTTAGCCTGGAGAAGAGGAGGTTAAGGGGTGATATGATAGCCATGTTCAAATATATAAAAGGATGTCACATAGAGGAGGGAGAAAGGTTGTTTTCTGCTGCTCCAGAGAAGCGGACACGGAGCAATGGATCCAAACTACAAGAAAGAAGATTCCACCTAAACATTAGGAAGAATTTCCTGACAGTAAGAGCTGTTCGACAGTGGAATTTGCTGCCAAGGAGTGTGGTGGAGTCTCCTTCTTTGGAGGTCTTTAAGCAGAGGCTTGACAACCATATGTCAGGAGTGCTCTGATGGTGTTTCCTGCTTGGCAGGGGGTTGGACTCGATGGCCCTTGTGGTCTCTTCCAACTCTATGATTCTATGATTCTATGATCCTTTGAAATTTGCACTCACCTGAATTTTACCATACAGTTTGCCAACCAACCAATGTTTGCAAAAATGCATATATTAGGGGGAAGTGTGCATGAAAATGAATATCTGGTGAAGATAACGGACAAGAATGCATTATATTAGAGGAAATTGCATGCAAAAAATATGTACATTAGTAAAAGCAGCATATATAGCTGTGTTTAATGGAAGAAATTGGCACTAAAATGCTGGTGAATTTTCATGAGCATTTTTTTTAAAGAAAGTTTGCAAATTGCTGCAAAATGTGGTAAACTGAATTTAAGATTATCATTTTTCCAAAGTGAGAGAACCAAAATGGATGCACCCTTCCATCCCAAATCACACATGGCGACCCTGCCCCCCAACATCCATACATCAAGCAACATCTGAAAGTACTTATGTATGTCATATATTTACATATTTAGGGACCACTAAGGCAGCTAGTATGTTGTTTAAAAAACAAAAATTAAAATAATAATAATCTGAATTCGGTAAGAAATACAAGTGTAGATATAACAATAAGAACAGAACCAGCATTAAAAAGGAGGGAGAAATTCAATCATCATTAATGCCAAAGATATACAGAACACCAGTTTTCATTGGAAATCTAAACGCCATTAGGGAAGTCAGAAAATTCATTCCCCATGCTAGAGAGCTGCACAGTCTCGGCAGGAAAGCCAAACCTGGTACTCTCCAAATGTTTTGGACTACACCTCCCATCAGCTTGAACATTATATGGCTGTGCTTGCTGGGGCTGAAAGGAGTTGGGGTCAAAAATACCTGGAAAACACCAGGTCAATGAGCTATTTCATATGCTCACCAATCAGACTCTGCTGGTTGTGGAACCCTGAGAAGAGCCTGCCTGCATCAAAGGCCTGAGAGATCAGGTAGCATCACAGGAGGTGGTGAATTCCTGGCCCCAAACCATATAAGACTTCAAAAAGCATAAGTAATCAGGGCTTTGATTTGGTCTTGGACACAGACAGGGAGCTACTGGAACAGCATTACAGTGATATCTCAGGTTAATAACTTAATTCGTTCCGGAGGTCCGTTCTTAACCTGAAACTGTTCTTAACCTGAAGCACCACTTTAGCTAATGGGGCCTCCCGCTGCTGCTGTGCCGCAGCTATGCGATTTCTGTTCTCATCCTGAAGCAAAGTTCTTAACCTGAGGTACTATTTCTGGGTTAGCGGAGTCTGTAACCTGAAGCGTCTGTAACCCGAGGTACCACTGTAATCTGAAAAACTGGCTGCAGTCAAAACCAGCAGCAGCAACTGAAGTTTCCAAGCCCTTTTTAAAAGGAAGCCCCATGCAGCAGAAGTTTCACTATACACCAAACTGAATTTGGACTGCTGGAATACCAATATTGGCTTTAGAAAGGTATGTGCATGCGTGGTCTAAGCTAAACATCAAAGGTAAAACAATATCTCCAACATGAGCATTTCCCCCCTGTATTGCATATCAGACACACACATACACACACACACACACACACACACACACACAAACCATCCACTTCCAACTAAAAGGTATAAACTCTACCCCTTGTCTCATTTTCTGCAGCAGTGCCATTCTGACACTCTAAAACGCAACGTACCATAAGCATATAGCAAGCCTTGACTCTGCAGAATGACCGCTCCCTGCATAAAACGGGGGGTGACCTTTGCGTGGACGCGCGCAGCCCCTGGATCTGGAGTGGCTCCATCAGCATAGGCTTGGCTTCGCCTTCCCTCAGGTGGGATACCTGGAGGTCTCCGCCTACCCCAGTCAGCTGTCCAATCCCACCTGGGGGAAGTGTTGCCAAGGAGATCAGGCCAGGTAGGGGAGGGATTACCTGCCCACACAATAGAGGGAGGATCTTACCTGGGAATCCTCACTTGGCTCCAGAGCTTCTCCCACCCTACCCACCCTCAATTAATGCATTATTTTGCAGGTTAACTTTTCTTCATAGGTTTTGCAGGTTAACTTTTCTTCACAGGTATGCGGGCGCTGCTACGTTAAGGTCGCTGTCAAAGGGCCGGAAAGGAATTCCCCTGCATTGGCAGGTTTCGCCTTTCCCGTAGCAAAACGTCACAACTTTGGCGGTATCAGGCCTTGGGCGGAATCCTTTTGTCCATCTTCCTCTTTGCAGCGGCAATACCAGGGTTCCCAGTTAAAGGGGTTTCTGAAGGGAGGCTTTGACCGTACGCCGAAAGGTCGTCATTGCTCTCCCCTGCGGTGGCAGCGGCGGCGTAACGGGGGCGGCTATCTCTGCTTGAACATATGTTCTCCAGAGCCGGCCCATCCCCCACACAAACACTGGATAACCCTGATGCTCCCTAGGTCCCCAGCTGGGGACTGGGGAGGGAGAACGCCCAATGCCTGAGCCAAGGTCTACCCACATTTGAATTTAATAAAGTTGTGACCAATTTAATCCCATAGCACGTTGTCTTGAGTCGTTATTCCACATGACGGGGGGGACTGCTCGGGATCTGGGGACTCCGCCTGTCCACGCAATGCCAAACACAGAATCACCTGACATAGCTATTCTTTTGCCGCAGGCAAAGTGGCTGGTGAATATGTTGGAGAACTGCTCCACACACACAAAGCAAGATGGATCCTGCTGCATGGAGAAAAAAAGGGGGAGATCTACTGATTCACAGGAACACAGGAAGCCACCTTATATTGAATCAGAACACTGGGCCATCTATCCCTGCGCCAGCTACACTGACTGGCAGCGGCTCAGCAGGGTTCCAGCCAGGGAGTCTTTCCTTGTTCTACGGGCCGATGCTGGAGACTCAACCTGGGTCACTGAGCATGAAAGGGAGATGCTCCACCACTGAGCAACAGATCTTCTGAGAGACAGAAGAAGCGTATCCACTGCAGAATCTCTGAATGTGTACAAAAGGCTGCCACACCTAACTGTTACCAGATTCTGGGAGGATTTAAAGGGTTGGATTACAGGTATAGGCAAGCCTGGAGGTTAGCTTTAGTGGGAAAGCTTCCATATGAATTGAAAGTAATTATGGGACCAGCATGATTAGCTGGTGGGAGAGTGCTATGAATTTAGCATCTTTGATGATGACAAAACTAATCTCCACCTTCCCATTAAATGAGGGTTGAAGTAAACTGCTCTGTTGGTAGATTCAATACAAGTTGGTATGTATTATGACTTGCACATACCAGCTGAGGGCATTCTTATGACACTTGAGACCAAAGTGTCTAATGACTAGGGAGGGCGGATTTAGTTTTGTTTCAGGAAAGCTAATACTCCCGGGGGGGGGGCAGTTTAATCCCCCCTTCCTCCATTTAGGGTGGCCACTTATGCATTGTCCAAAATGTACTCAATATAGATAAGACTGAGACATTGTTAGTTCCCTAGACCAGATGAGTGGGAGATTGCCTGCTCTTGATGTGGTTACACTTCCTCTGAAGGAGCAGGCTTGTAGCTTGGGGATATTCCTGGATCCTTTGCTGTTGCTCGAGGCTCAGGTGGCCTCAGTGACCCAGAGTGCCTTCTATCAGCTTCGGCTGGTGGCCCAGCTATGCCTCTATCTGGAAGGGAAAGCCTAACTACTGCTGTCTATGCTCTGGTAACCTCAAGGTTAGATTACTGCAATGTATTATACGTAGAGCTGCCTCTGAAGATGGTTCAGAAACTTCAGCTAGTGCAGAATTCAGCGGCCAGGCTGCTCACTGGAGCAAGACAGTTTGAGCATATTACACTGATCCTGGTCCGATCGCACTGGCTACTGATTAGTTTCTGGGCCCAATTCAAAGTGCTGGTTTTGACCTATAAAGCCTTAAACGGCTCAGGACCGCAATACCTCAAGAACAGCCTCTTTCCATATAAACCTACCAAGACCCTGAGATCATCTTCATGTGCCTTTTCCTCAAGAGGTCCAACACAAGAAAGGGCCTTCTCTGCCGTGGCTCCCCATCTGTGGAATGCTCTCCCCAGGAAAATTTGCCCGGCACCTTCATTATACACCTTTAGACGTCAGGCAAAAATGTTCCTTTTTAACCAGGCCTTTGGTTGATTTGTGGGGGGTATTGGGTTGTTGTTGTTGTTTTGATTATTTACTTTGGGGTTTTATATTTTGATTTTATTCTGTGAACCACCCTGAGACCTCCAGGTATAGGGTGGTATATAAATTCAATAAATAATAATAATACCACCAAAAAAAAAAGGCAAAAGAGGACACTGACTTCCATAATTTTTGCATGTGGCAATTCATATGTATAGTTGCAAATTTATATATAATTACTATAATTTAAATTTAAAAAACAGTACATGCTACCCTAGTGTGAAAGACTTGAGAGCAGGTGAGCTGTGTGGCTACTTAGTCTGCTCCCCAGGTGTTTGCAACTTCAAGGCCCCTAATGCTCCCTTTTCTTAGTGTCCTTTATCTTTTTCTTCCTTAAAAGAAAGGACCCCTTCAAAATAGTCCTCTGTAAAGTAGAGCACATGGGCACCACTTGACCACCATTCCTGCTCGGATCCCATTAATTATCAGGCCTGCCCTCAGCCGATGATAATAGTACTTTTAAGCCCTGCATGTGAAATGTGATTTACGGTACCTTGCTTGGCCCTAAGCACAAGCTAAGCACAAAACTACCTGCACACAGGCATTTTTGTCACACAAGCACCCCTGCATTAGAGGCAACAATTTCATTTTTCCTGAACGTTCCTAAATCAGACTTGTTTGGAAAAGCCATTTATTTTATCTTATTGCAATTATGTTTTATGTCTTTATCTGCCCAGCAGGTTTTCCAAACAAGTGGTGGCATGTTGAATAGCTTACCTTACCTTGATCTCAGTTTGGATTCTAAAATAGAATGTCTCATTCCAGACTGGTTTATCAGAGTTCTTCATAGTTCGGGTTCTAAATTTCTCAGGCGATGCTGTCGGCAGATGCAAGGTCACGTAGCAATTAGATGGAAACACTGCAGCAAGGAATGGAAAAAGCTTTTTAACAGTTGTGATTGTATATTCAACTGTGTCTTAAGCCTTAGGGGCAAATATGGGGATGCCACGTCACTTTGTATGGGACAAACTGTGGGAGGGGCATCTATTTCTGAATATATTTTTGCAGTGGAGGTCTGAGCTGGAATATATAGTGATATAAGGAACAGAGAAATTTGGTGGTGGTGGTGAAGCCTCTGGCACCAACTAGATGACCTAATGTGACGTTTTAGAACATAAACCAATATTCTTGCAGTTATAACACCTAGTACTACTCTTACCGATATTGGTACATAATGCGGGTGGCGCTGTGGTCTAAACCACTGAGCCTCTTGGGCTTGCCAAACAGAAGGTTGGCGGTTTGAATCTGCATGACGCGGTGAGCTCCCATTGCTCTGTCTCAGCTCCTGCCAACCTAACAGTTCAAAAGCACACCAGTGCAAGTAGATAAATAGGTATTGCTGCGGCAGGAAGGTAAATGGTGTTTCCGTGCGCTCTGGTTTCCGTCACAGTGTTCCCTTGCACCAGAAGCGGTTTAGTCATGCTGGCCACATGACCCGGAAAGCTGTCTGTGGACAAACACCGGCTCCCTCAACCTGAAAGTGAGATGAGTGCCGCACCCCATAGTCGCCAGGGGTCCTTTGCCTTACATAATATCGCTGTTCAAATTGTTGCAGCTGAAAGCAATGTCTAGTGTTAGGAGGCCTCTTTCTCACACCTGCAGCATTGTGCAAAATGCACAGGCTACACCTGTGCAAACTGATGAACAAGACCAAAAAACTGGGTCCTTTTGACTGAACCATCACCAGTTCTGAGCAAGTGCAACAATGGGGGGGGCACTGTGCCATCAGCAGCAGAAAATATATTGAGTGTGGGGCATAGACTGGCAGAGTGCATTTCAGGGAACGGGAAATGTTACATTTCTGAAACAGAACTATATATTTCTCATTCATGATACCATCCTGAATAACCCTTGAAAAAGTATGTCCTATTTATTTTGATGGTAAATTTTCAATTAAGCATACCAAAATTACTTAAGGGGATAAACTGAATCATGATAATTAAGAAAAGTGAGCTGAGTGTGTGAAAAATTCCCTTACCTCCAGTGATGACAGGAATCCAGCATTTAGGGGTGACAGACTATTTTTTGGCAAGAGAGTCCCACTGGCAGTGCCTATGAAAGTTTGTAGGGGTGCAGGATCATACCATGGGAAAGAGGCTCTTACAAGATTGAATGTATGCATGGATGTGAATTCTGTTCCACCTAAAACACTGGGGACATGTTCAGTAATGTTTAAGAACTGGATACCAATTCTCTTAAAAAGGTAAAGGGACCCCTGACCATTAGGTCCAGTCGTGACCGACTCTGGGGTTGCGGCGCTCATCTCGCTCTATGGGCCGAGGGAGCCGGCGTTTGTCCGCAGACAGCTTCCGGGTCATGTGGCCAGCATGACTAAGTCGCTTCTGGTGAACCAGAGCAGCGCACGGAAACGCCGTTTACCTTCCCGCTGGAGCGGTTCCTATTGATCTACTTGCACTTTGACGTGCTTTCAAACTGCTAGGTTGGCAGGAGCTGGGACCAAACAACGGGAGCTCACCCCGTCACAGGGATTTGAACCGCCGACCTTCTGATCGGCAAGTCCTAGGCTCTGTGGTTTAACCCACAGCGCCACCTGTGCTCTTTCAGATCTTTTGTTATTTAATCCAATCCAAGATTCCTTATTCCTACATTGCTATTTTATCCAATAATCTTGCTGCAGAGTTGAGCCCAGTGGGGCAATGAAGGATGCACAAAACTTACATGAAATTCCTGAGGGGATGATATTGGCTTTTATAATTCTGACAGACACCATGGAAACTGGAAACAGTTGTTTCTGCAATGGAAGAAAAGCCAGTGAACTTCACATGAATAAAAAATTAGTAAGAATTCTGGATTTATTCCCACATGACAGAGATCACCCAAAGCCACAAACATTGCCCATCGGGCCCCGCCAAAGCTTCTGCTTCTCCCTTTCTCATCCCATTCCCATTTCCCTAACACTGCTGGACACTTCCCTTGGAAACCTTAGAAACTTCTGATTAGTGAGCAGATGATGAGTAATGGTGAACAAACTTCCCTTAAAGGCAGATGTGATCTTGCCCACCACTGCAATGCAGAGCCACAAGGAGTTGTTAAGTGTTCAGGCCCAAGAGAATGCAGGCCGTAGATGAGAAGGCTAGATCAGTAGTCTGGAAGCACAGCGGTCCACTCTGTTGATCAGTCTCAGTGATATGTGACTCAGACAGAGAGAAGGAAGTATATTAGAAACATTTGGGGTATTGGAATTATTACTTTACATAACCCAAAACCGAGATGGAGGGAAGTCAACTATTATTTGTGTTAACCGATGTTTGTCTTCTGGTTTGTTTATATTTTCTGTTTTGGCTGATGTTTTTCTTTTTTTTTTCATTGGTGTGTTTTGTGTATTTTTATTTTTGTTGTTGTTGTTTGGCATAGAAAATCAATAAAAAGTTTTTTTTTAAAAAAAAGAAACGTTTGGGGTATTGGATGGGTCCTGTGGTGCCACCTGACCAAGAGTGTTCTGGGCTGTTAGAGTGTCCCAGTTGGCTCTGACTGGAGTTCCCTCCCAAAAAAACGAATAGCCCTACTTGATTAATGCAGAAACATGACAAGGGTGAGCCTAGGACACATACCTTGCTTGAAAAAAATGTGCTCTCTAGAACATTAGCCAAAATCCTTTGTATGTAACACCCAGGAATGTCTCAGCAGACAAGTCAAAGTGAAATAGTTTATCTTACTATGTCCCTTATGAATGCCTCCATGTTGTCTCTGCATGAACAGAGAGCGTGTTTGCCTGTCAATGGCTTCAAGGCTTGAGATGAGAATGGGCTAAGGGCCATTGTCAATGGCTGGCATAGTAAGGCACACACTAAGGGTGGGGACACCCCACAGGAGGCCCACTGACAAGGGGCCAGTGAAAGCCTGGACCGGGACCTACTCTTCACCATGGCAACCATGCCTCTCACTATGACAAACAAATAACAGTATTGATGCTGAGGAGGAAATGTAGCAGCTACTGCCTGCTTCCTCATCTGAAAAGGCCAAGCAGGTGTAACAGTGATGAGGAACAGCAGGTGGCAACAATGAGAGTGAGGAGATAGTCTCACAGAGAGAAGGGAGTATTGAGGTGTTTTGGCCAAGCTTCCCCACCACCAAAAGAACATGCAGCAAGCAAGCACTGACTGGGAGCCCTGTGAATGTGACATGGGTTCCACTGAAGCTGCTAATCAGAGGAGGGGACTAGAGGCCATTACAGCTGGGCTCATAATCATCCTGACCTAGGATTGTAAAAGAGGCTAGTGGACCAATGTGGTACCAACAGAGAAGTATAAAGACTGCCAGAGTTGAGAGCCCATGTGGTGTGGGGGTTAACATGTCAGACTAGGACCTGGGAGACTCAGGCTGCCATCAGCCATGAAGCGTATGGTGTGACCTTGGGTGAGGAACCATTTCTCAATCTGGGCAAGAGTCCTTTCCAGGGCCGGATTTAGATTTGATGAGGCTCTAAGCTACTGAAGGTAATGGGGCCCTTTATATGTCCAGCTGTCTTTTGTCAACAACAAATCATTGCTGTTTTTTGTGTTGAATATACACTATATGGAAGTGAAAGCTGGACCATAAAGAAGGCTGATCACCAAAGAATTGGTGCTTTTGAATTACGGTGCTGGAGGAAACTCTTGAGAGTCCCATGGACTGTAAGAAGATCAAACCTATCCATTCTGAAGGAAATCAGCCCTAAGTGCTCACTGGAAGGACAGATCCTGAAGCTGAGGCTCCAATACTTTGGCCACCTCATGAGAAGAGAAGACTCCCTGGAAAAGACCCTGATGTTGGGAAAGATGGAGGGCACAAGGAGAAGGGGACGACAGAGGACGAGATGGTTGGATAGTGTTCTCGAAGCTACCAGCATGAGGCAGTGGAAGACAGAAGTGACTGGCGTGCTTTGGTCCATGGGGTCACGAAGAGTCGGACACGACTAAACGGCTAAACAACAACAACAACATACGCTATATGGTAGTTTACGGACCTAATAGATATAGCCTACAGGATGGTGGACTAGATGGGCTACTGGCCAGATCCAGCAGGATTATTCTTATGTTCTTATCCAGACAGCCTGGTTCCAGACTGTCTGTGACCTTCATACCTTCTGACATCAACCTGCCCACACACATCTTCCAAATAAACAGTTTGTGCAATACAAAGATGACCGACAGTCTGACCAGTGTTTCTGGATGAGATTTCATTAAAAAGAAATTATGGATTGTGGCTCTGCTGCATGGCTTCATTTACATGTATTTGCAGTTGTGTAATTACAAACACATTACTTTAAGAGGTGGTGGGTGGGTGAGAGAAAAGCATACTCTAAGAACAATCTGTTTGTGTTCCTTCTTTAAGTTCAATCATGTCCATGGGCAAAAAGTGCTGCAATATCTTCTTCAGGATAAAGTTGAAAGAGAGTTGGAGTTATGCAAGAAATCCCTAGATTTCATTGGCATTCATAATGGTGAAACTCAGATATTGGATCTAGGCAGAGCTATTTTTTCAGCAGGAACTCACCAGGACTTAGTTCCAACACCTCTCAGGTGGGCATCATTGTCACTCTAAGAGAATGATGGAGGTGTTTGTGGTGAGTTTCAGCACAAATAGGCAACTAGGTTTGCTGGCTTGGGACAGGGTTTCTAGTGGGGGGGTGTCCCTTCCTGATACAATTCAGGAACTTTGGAGTGGCCCTGATCCAACTTGAGACAATTCAGAACTGAGGTGACCCAAGCCATATCAGTGGCCATTTACAGCAAAATCATGGGTTGAACTGAAGGCTCCTCCACACTTTCTTTTGTCCAGCTGCGTTCGCCCAGGGAAAACCACTCACTAGCGCTCAGTTAGAGCAAAATTGCAATTCAAATTCTCTGGATTGACTTTTGCTCTGATTTAGCACTAAAGAGTGGGTTTTCGCTGGGAAAGGAGTGGGGCAAAGGGACAACTGCTCAGACACATGCTTTCTAGACACAGGACAAACAGAAGTGTAAGACAAGCCCTGAATCAGTCTAATTCAGTTCAGGATCCAGAATTTAGCCGAAGTGGAATTTAGCCAGTCCCAGTTTCTAGAGCAGGGATAGGAAGAAGGTAGGCCAAGATCTACTGGGCGGTCTCTTGGTGGTTTATAGTAGTTTGACAATGGTTTTTGACTCCCAATTCTTTTACAACAGCAACAATAAAGAACTTTCCACCTAAATTTTGCTGCTGCAATGAAGCTTTCTTTCTAATCCAGAGTGGATTTTTGGGGGGTGGAAGGAATGTGAACTCGATTCACATTGATAGGCTCAAAATCTGCTCAGAGGCACCCTGCACTCTGATTCTAACTGTATGTCTTATGAATCTGACTCTCTGGTTGGTAGAAAGAAAAACAAAGTAGATCCCTCACTCTATGTTGGTGCTGGGTTGGCAGGGCCTGAATGCCTAGCTTTAGATCTTGAGTTGATTCCTTGCAAACACCTAAACAATTGAATGGAATAGTTCACCTTGTCTTTAACTGAAATACCCTTTGACCTCCCAATTTTTCTTCATACAGAAATTTCTCTAGCTTTCCTATGACAGTATCCTGTTTCAGAACCCCAGGACAATCCAATGAGAGTCAAAGGGAAGCACTTCTTCCAACAACACACATTTAGGCTATGGAATCTGCTGCCACAAAACATAGTTCTGATTCATTTTTTTAAAAAAATCAGCATTCCATTCTTTTATTTGAAATGGTTCCCAGCTATTCAAATTATGAACGCTGGAGTCAAAATGGCAACATTTAAGTCTTCATCTTATTGTTTTGAAATTTATCCAAAAGTTGAGTTACATTTTAAGAGCCCTTCAGCATTTCAAAGTCAAGATTTTGATGTAAATTCCAAAATTCAGACAAAAGCAGAATTATTGGAAACACAAAGCACAAAAAGGCTCGATCTGATGGGAAAGAGGCTTACTTGTGACGTCTTGAAGTTAGACAGATATATACATAGTGCTTATATAAGGCTTTACAGCAGGGTCTGGTTCTTAGTCTGAAGAATTTCAGTTGATCACACCACACTAGTTACTTGCCCTCATTTAATCACCATTTATAACTCTAATGAGCTGCTCCAGGCAATTATGTTATTACTTTGCACAGTCATCTACATGCTTCTATTTCTTGCATATTTTCATTTGCATATACTCTGCTGCTACCCTCACTTCCTTATACATGCTGTCTGTTGAGCAATCTTAGGAAACCTCATTTCAAGTTCCCTCTTAGCAAACATGGCACATCTTTCCACATTCTGAAGCTCTCAAGATTTCTCTTCCCAGACTTGTGTCTTATTTCTTGCCTCCAATAATTAATAGCATACTGGTGAGTTCTTATGAGCTGATTATTAACTGATCTCTAGTCTACTTCACCGCCTTCTTCATCCAGAATTCTGGTTATTGGACTTTACTCTTATTACTATTGGTAATATTACAGCTGCTGTCTGATTTCCTATGTCTGATCATTGGTCTTTTGACCCCAGCCTTATCCACTCTGTCAAGCAGCAATTCTTCAGAGCCTCCTGCAGAAGACTTTCACATCACCTGCTACCTAACTGTTTAATTGGCAATGCCAGTAACTGAACCTGGGACCTTTTACATACAAATCATGCATCCCACCACTGGGCAACTGGGCAACTTCCTTACACACTAAAAAGGCAAAGTTGCATTTTAATACTGTAAACAGCACTAAGAACCAGTAGGATGTGCAGAATCCAATTAAAAATGTTGAGTCTCTTTTGGCAAAGTTAAAGCCTATTAATGCCCATTGATTTTAATGTTTAAAACCAACCTCATTTTTAAAATGTCTACCATTTGCATCAATATACCTTAAAAATATTTAGTGCCTCAGCTAAGCAGTGCTCTTTATTCATTATGACTGTTTTTCTAGACTTGAATGACAGTCAGCACAACTAGATTATTCTGCTTAGTTTTAGGGTTCTGGAGGAGTTGAACCAGCAGGGGCAATAAGTACTGGTACTGAAGGGCTCCAAGTTCATTTTTAAACATGAACACCCTTCCTCCCCCACCCCCAATATGCTATAGAAGTTTTTCCACTATGGAAGGCTACTTTTTGAAGCTTCAGGTTGCTCCCATTTACCAATGTATTTTTTTAGTCTCTGGCACAGATCTCTGAAACAGGAAATGAGACAACTTGGCAGTTAAGAAAAAACCCCAAATTACTAATCCTTTCTTCTGGCTGCAGGTACTTTCGCTAATATTCATGAATGAGCAAATTCTTTTTGAAGGACCAAGATTTTAAAACTGAAAAAGTCAGGTTCCAGATATAAAGATATCTATACTAAAAGAGCAGCTACGCTGATGATGCAAGAGAGGATTGCCATTGTCTAATAAACACATTTTATTCTGCTTCTGATAACTAGGGGCTAGTTTGAATACATAGCAAATTGATGAGTAGAATCTTGTTATAGACTATTTTGTGGAGCAGCCATTTTTTTGTTAACTGCATTTATATCCCAACTTTTCCTCCAAAAGCTCAGGATGGTGCACATGGTTCTTTACACCCCTCTGTCCTCTTTTAATCCACACAACACCCCTGTGAGATGGGTTAGTCTGGGAGCCAATGACCGGCCCAAGCTCACCCAGGGAGCTTCATGGCCAAGTGGGGATCGAACCCTGGTCTCCCAGGTCCTAATCTGGCACTCTACACTAGGCATCCCCAAACTCAGCCCTCCAGCTGTTTTGGGACTACAGCTCCCATCATCCCTAGCTAACAGGACCAGTGGTCAGGGATGATGGAATTGTAGTCCCAAAACAGCTGGAGGGCCGAGTTTGGGGATGCCTGCACTACACCATAGCTATTATTTAGCAATTGATCAGGAATAAGCAATTTCAACCAAGCCAGGAGCTTTCTGAACAAGCTTGGGCTTACTGCTAACAACAATTTTCATCATCGTCATGAAATGAATATTCTACAAGCCCTCAACATGGTCCATAACAACATTACATGAAGAAAGATCAAAGCAGCAGTGAGGTTGGGGGGGTGCAGACTCTGCACAGTGGTCCTGTTAGTATACCCACACAAGCCCAACCTCCCTGTCACTGCCACCCTCAACACAGATACACACACAGAGAGAGACACACACGGTAATCAGGAGCTTATATTGCTGCAGCTCCAGCACCACTCAGCAAGCTGTTCCAGATGCCCCTATCCATGCACAAGAGAGAGGAACTGGCAGCCTTGAGGGGAGAAAAATAAAATAAAATGGGGCACTCAAAAACAGGCCAGAAAGACTGAGCATGTTAAGTGGCCAAAAATGCTGGCTGACTTTGGCGAAGAAAACAGAAAGAAGCGGGGGTTGGGGTTGGAAAGAAATATCCCTGGAAGAGGCTGGTTGGCTAGCTGGCACCCTGAACAGGAGCCGGGGCTGGCAAAACATTTTGCAGCCCAAAGCAAAGGGTTAACTGGCTCCCTGTCTGCCCCTCCCCTCTACACACACAAGCCAAGGTACATAGCACCCAAGTTCTTTTGGGACCCAAGGCAGAAAATCCTACAGGTGCATCTCTCGTGAGTAAAAATGAAACAATAATTAATTATATAAGGAACTATTTGCTGCCCTTCCATGCCACCTAAACACAATTGCCTGAGCATTGCGCAAGGGCAGGCTGGTCTTGGCAGCAGGAATACCATACTACCAAGTTTGCTGAGGCACAAAGTGAGACGCCGTGTTTTAAATTAGCTGTGTTTTCTGAAAAGCCAGATAACTCTGGCAGCAAAGATGTCTAGAGGCATCATCCGTCTGCGTGTGTTATTGTTATACAATTAAGCTTTGGTAATAACAGCACTATGCAAATGTGTTTTACAGTAAGCTCTAGTCACCCCAGTTATGTTAACTCTTCAGCTATGTGTTTGCAACAACAAAATCAAAACACAAAAATACGTTTCTTTCCTTAACGTGTTTTCTTTTTTTCATGTCCTTCCCACGCCCAGTGGCTAAAAGAGGGGAGAGTGTGGCCTGCAGATGCTTTTGCTTCCCAGTTCTTCCTGTCTCCCACTGCTATCCAGTCTGCTCCTACATAGCTTCTCCTGTCAGTATTCCCTCCCTAGTACATACTCTGAATGGCTGCTGAGCCACAGCATCCTGCACCCTCTGCTCATAAAAGTACAGGGTTGATCCTCTTGCAGAGATGCTTCAGGAAACAGAGGGCGAAGTGCCCACTTCCTTTGCAAAGAGGGAAGCCTGCTTTAGTAACCGACTTTCTCAACAACAAAACCACACTTCTTTCAGTTACTGGCAAACGCAAGCTTAAGTGTCTCTGACTACTGGGCACTTGTTTCTTTGTGACAAGGCATAATGCTGAACGTGGTGTGCGTTGGGTCAAGGAGCAGTGGAGGAAAGCGTTGCTAATAAACCCTTTGGAGCAAGCAAGCATGCAATTAACTCCGTCCATGTCTCCAATGGCTTGAATCGTATATTTAAAATATATATTAAGGCACTGTTCCTACAGCAAATGACTAATGCGGGGGAAGGGCTTGGCCTGAATGCAATCCATGTCTCTTTGGACAACAACTCTGTCTGGGATATTCACAGATATTAAGGGCATCCAAATGTGTGTTCGTTTGATCAGGAAATATGCTTATGGGACCTCACCTCCTCCAGGGCCAGGCTCTGTGGATATCACTTCCGATAGCTTTACAGCAGCAGTGCTGGTCCACATGTGACTGCAGCATCCCAAGCCTGCTTTCCCCAATTCTGCCCACCCAAATCCGTTTTGCAACGTGGTTGCAAGAAATGAGCAAGCAACAAATGAACATTATAAAGTATCCATGCAGTGCATTAACATGAAACAGTTTGCCTGAAGCATTAGGGGTAGGGTGGGGGTTTTGAATTGCTGGTGGGTCTATTTGTGGGATTCAGTGCGAAGGAGAGAGCTGTTGGGCTCACCTGAAAGGGGGGAGGTGTTTAAAGGAACATCTGTACACACCCAAATAGATCATGAAGTCTTTTCTAGGTAACTACTCATTAGTGTGCTGTAGCTCCAACGCTATAAACCCAGCTGCTGTGTCTCAAAAGAAGAGAACAGGGACTCAAATGCTGACACTGCTAATAATAATAGTAATAAATAATAATAATAATAATAATAATAATAATAATAATAATAATTTATTTATACCCCACCCATCTGGCTGGGTTTCCCCAGCCACTCTGGGCAGCTCCCAACAGAATACTGAAAAAACAATATAATACCAAATATTAAAAATTTCCCTAAACTGGTCTGCCTTCAGATGTCTTCAGATAGTTGTTTATTTCCTTCACATCTGATGGGAGGGCGTTCCACAGGGTGGGCACCACTACCGAGAAGGCCCTTTGCCTGGTTCCCTGTAACCTCACTTCTTGCAGTGAGGGAACCGCCAGAAGGCCCTTGGAGCTGGACCTCAGTGTCTGGGCTGAACGATGGGGGTGGCCAGGCCTTCTAGGGCTTTAAAGAGTTGTTGCTGTTGCTGTTATTATTGCTGCAATGGCATGTCCTATTCTTTAGTTCCGTAAAGGACTCCCAACTGAGGATGCCAAGGTAACTCTGATAAGCACCTTTAATCCACATTTGCCTGATCCAGCAAGGGTGACTTATGTAAGGAAGCCTCCTTCCAACACAAACACCTTGCAACACACAGACAATGTTCCCAGTGGAAATAAGCACACGACCCAACATCCAGGCTTGTGTGCATGGCGATCCCTGTTATATTACATCGATTCCCTCATTCAGCATTGCCAATGATCAGCCCTGACATTCCCGTAACTGGATGGGAGGGGAGTTTGGAATCCAAGAGATACCCACACCAACCAGAAGGGTGCTCAGTACTGCCAGTATTCTCTGTTCAGCACATATGTTCTTGGAAGTCTTTCTATATGGTGATGACTAGCAGTACACATGTGCACATGAGGATTCAGAGCATGGGGCAGGTATGCATCAATTCAAAGAAGATTCAAAAATACTTCCTATCTCATCCACATTCTTCGTTGTCAGTGTCCTCCCTGACCTCTTCCCCAAGTGTTATCTTCTGTACCTAATGTCTGATCTGCAAAACAGCAATCAACACGCAGGCTGCTCCCGACATGTCTTGCTGCTGGTAGTTACACCATTTTCCATTTTATTAGCATCCTGGTGCACTTACTGCTAGCATTAAAATAATTTGTTTTTAGGCTAATTAAGATGGAACCGTATTACTTTTGAATTCATATCCTGATTTTCTGTTTGACTGCTTTTGCTATGTTTGCAACTTTTTCATGTTAACAGCCACCTTCAGTGTGGTTTTAACTACAGAAAGCCAGCATACAAGTAAAATGATAGTATGATGGCTGGATGGATAGGATGGGGGCGTTAATTGGGTTCTTTTTGTTTTCATTATGTATTTTGTGTTTTTATATTGTGATTTTATCTTGTGACTACTCTGAGACCTGCGGGTCTAAGGCACTATACAAATTTAATAAATAAAATAAATAAAAATATATGACCTTAGATCTAGGGTATGACTTGCCACTGCGATTACAAGATGCTGGACTAGATAGATCTTTCATCTTGATAATGAATGAAATGGTGTGCATCCAAAATGTGTCAAACTGGCAACCATAATTTCTGCTAGAATTGAGAAACTAAACTGCCAACAGAATTCCGCAAGTAGGTTCTGCACATCCCTAACATGAGCACATGTGATCCCCACTTGTATATCTTCTCTAAATGGGTAGAGAAAGACTGACGGAGAGAGAGAAATGTCAAAGCTAAATGGCCTTGAAATGCAAAAGTACAGCCAGTGACAAAAGCTTATGACATAAAATTTGGTTGTCTTTAAGGTGCCACGAGACTTTTTGTTATTTTTTTCCTGTAGCTCTTGAACTGTCAAATTGTCTTCCTTTTCATATACTTTTTAAAAACAACATGTTGTTAATAAACCCCCTGCTGCCATTGTTAATAAATCTAATAAATGTGTATTAGTTTTAAACAGTTCCTTTCATTTCAAACCAAATCCCATGCTTGTACCATTCAGAATCAAATGGTGCAGAGGCACACATTTATCTCACAGAGCAGGAACCAGTTGCTTCATTAAAACTCTCCCCGAAGCAAAACCATGCCTGCTACTACATCAGACATACATTCCAAAAGTTGTTTGAACATGGGCATTTTCAGACTATTCAGATCCAGGGAGGAGTTGGATGCACCCCCCCCACCCCACTCCCCAGATAAAACAAAATATAAAGATAAAACAAATTGTGAGAAGTTATTTTCCTTACCTTCTCGGCTGCGGTCCCCATTCTTGGGAAGTCGTAGCGCCACTGTCATCAGCAATGCTTAACAACAGGTTAACAGGCAAACTGCATTCAAAGGTGTTGCTGCTGCTCCATATATGTAGCCTCTGAACTCCGCCTACTATGGCCCTTGGGCAGGAAGGAACAGTGTATGCTGCCAGCATGCGGAATACTTGAAACACACAGACTTCAGTGCCATAAAGCCAGATGAAGTAATTTACATTTCCTGAAACACAAGTCCTTCCTCTTTCAACAAGCCCTCTAAGTCAGGGCGGTCCAACCCCCTCAGACCAAGTGGGCTGCAAGAGTCCTTCAAGACAGAACCCACAGGCCACACACTGAATTAAATTTCCATATTGTTCATGAAAGTGTTTTGCAACGTAGTTAATATTATTTAATATACACAATATGTTTAAATATATATAATTAAACAAATAATAGATTCAATATATTTATTCATTAAACAAATGGAATACACAAACTCAGGGTGGTTCCTAGATAGATAGATAGATAGATAGATAGATAGATAGATAGATAGATAGATAGATATAGATGCACTACATGAAAATGCAGGAGAACCCAAGATTGGGGTGTGTGAGAGAATCCAACCCCTGAAATCCCAAGCAGCGAGATCCGAATGCAGACAAAGTGACCCCAAATCCATGGTCACCACATCCCATCTCTCCCCACACTGTTGCAGTTTGGAATATACCCTTCTCTGTCCACCATGAGTTTCCTTTTCCTTACCTATACAGTGGTACCTCAGGTTAAGTAGTTAATTCGTTCTGGAGGTCTGTACTTAACCTGAAACTGTTCTTAACCTGAAGCACCACTTTAGCTAATGGGGCCTCCTGCTGCTGCCACGCCACCAGAGCACGATTTCTGTTCTCATCCTGAAGCAAAGTTCTTAACCTGAGGTAGTATTTCTGAGTTAGCGGAGTCTGTAACCTGAAGCGTATGTAACCTGAAGCTTATGTAACCTGAGGTACCACTGTATGTGTTTATGTGCGCTTTTGATGTGAGAGGCATTAGAGGTGGGGATCTTAAAAATCCCCCCCCCAAAAAAATCTAAAATCAGAAGCCCAAGTTTGCCCCCACCAGGCAGGTTTTTCTGCACAGCCAAGATCTACCTACCCTGATCACCTCAAACCTCTGCTGCTGCTCCCTACCTCACTGCTCCCCGTTCTCCAGCAAACCCCTTGACCCGTGCACAACAGAGACAATGAGGAGCACCCCCAACTCAAAAGCAGTGGCGGCATCACTGCTGGGTCTCTACTGCTCCGGGGACCTGAGGGCAGCTCTTGCCTAGCCCTCTGCTCCCTGGCACTGATGGTTGCAAGCCAGTGCCAGATTTAGGGCAGCACGACTAGTTTCCCCACACAGGACATGCTGAGGGACATGTGTGAAGGAGGCATGAGGGACCCAGGAGCCACTTCCTGTTTCCTAGCCTCCTTGGGACTGCCGAAAAAAATGGAGTTTGCATGTTGCATGTGGCCCAGTAATCCAGTAGGCACATCTCTATTGGATTTGAATTGGTTTCATACATGTGTTGTTATTGTTGCTTTAGATTATGTATGTGTGTGGGTGTGTGGTTTTTTAAATGGTTTTCATATATAATTGTTCTGTACACGTTTTGATTGTATTTTAAATCAGTTCATGGCTCCACCCGGCCATGAAGCTCGCTGGTGTCCTTTGGCCAGTCACTGTCACTCATTCTAACCTTCCTCAAAGTTAGACTGTTGTGAGGATAAAATGGGAAGAGCATAAATAATGTTCACTAGCTTGAACAGGAGAGGTGTGGTATAAATATAGAAATAAAGGTGCCTCATTGGAGGCAATTAAATAAATGAAGCATTGAATGTTCTTCGTTCATATACACTGCTTTACGTCATGCAAGCCTCAACAATGTTTACATAAAATATATACACCAATAGTAACAAAATAATTGAAATATCACAAAATACAAAAGATACATAATCTTTCATAACAATTAAGCTACCAGAAATATTTTGCTAAGCAATATTGCAAAATGTGTATTCATTTTCAAATTCTCTATAGCAAGCTGTATGGTGTTTTTCACATGCTGAAGTGTTCTTGCCAATGTAACAGATAAAGGCGTAATATATGTATGTGCTCCAGCAAAACTCCCAGTGAACTCTGTCACGTGGCTGGGTTGTTTCACATTTTCCTTTGGCATCTCTGCTCAACAGAAACATAACTGTTTAGAATACGTCTCTGTGTTATTCTCAGTATCACAGTAAATCGGATTATTTTACAATGATTCCCCTGGTCTGCTCTATTAATAACATGCACATGTATCGTTCCTGGAGGCTTTTTTGTCTTCACATTTGGTATATCTCCACCTTTAAAAATAATAATTCTATATGTATCTTAGCTGCCAATTACCTCAAGCCTTTTCCTGATGTGTATTAGTGAGAACATACTGGGGAGGGGAGAGCAAGCGTAGAGATCTGTCCCAACCTTGATCTATGTGTTCCATATGCACATACACACATGGGTCACATGACAGCCTGATTTGCATGGGCTATGTGATTTGCATAGCTGAGTAGCTGAAGCTGGGCAAAAAAAAGCTCCTTTTGCTTGCATTCTTCTCAGGCCCGCTTTCTCTCTCTTATCCCTGACATACACCTGAGACTGAGCAATGCCTGCATTCCATTCAGTGTAACCTCCTTCCCCATAGGCCATGTTCCATTTCCCTGAATCCCACACCGCTCTCAGTTGCCTTGGCTCACTTCCAAAATCCTCACATTATCCAGGGTGTTTGCAGAAAGACACTTAATACAGTAAGCAGTCCTGAGGTCCCATAAGTGGGTCGCTCGCAACAAGTTTTTTATTTTCTTAATTTATTAGATTTTCCCTGGAAAGGGTAAATTCAGATTATTATTACTATTGGGGGGGGGGAGTGGTGTGGGTTGCCATTCTGATAACAACCATTTTATGTGGATGCTGCAGGAAATCTTCCATGCACAAGGTGCAATGATCCCACTGGAAACGCTAGCATGGAAACACCTGCAATTATTTTTCCTTGTTAAGCTTTAAAAAAAAAAAAAGATAGGAAACCTTTTTCTTCTTCAGATATTCACTGTTCTGCAGCATGTATTGTAGTTAAGTTGGCATTTTTGGTCCTTAAATTGGACTTTGCACCTGGATTTCCATAGAGATCAGCTACTTTTCCTATGTAGTTGTGCCAATTTGCTGTCATTATTAGACATACGTAATTCTTTTGTGAAGAAGACAAGCTTTCTCTGTCTTCGGTGCTTCCTTTTGCTCCATCTTCTTGGAGCAAAGTGGACATTTTTCTGGTCCCCAGGCACTTCCACCAATGTTTCTATGTACAGTCAGTTCCCCTGCCAAACTTTCCTGGGTGCACCATTTGAATGGCAATGCCTATCAACTAGGGGCAGCCCCCTCTAATATTTAATTGGAGGGGCCGAAGGAACCTCAGCCCCTAGGAGCTGGCTCCTATGGAGAGGCTGCAGGAGCAAGGAAGGCAAAGGAAGGAAGACATTAGGAAGCCAACACGAGGAAAAAGCAAAGACTAGGATGGAAGAGAGAGGCTGTGAGACAGGGAATCATGTGACAAGGAGGAGAGGAAATCAGGAAGTAAAATGCAGAAATAGAGCAGGACTTTAATTGCAGGTCCAGTGCTATAGAAAAGCTGAACCAAGCAAGCAAGCCTGGCTACACTGCAGGGAACATTCCAGAAGGATTATTCCAAACAAGCTGTAAACAGCATTTCCAGTCCTCATTCACCATACAAGTATATCCAAATTGGCTGACTAAAAGCCACCGAAAACAAGCAACACAGGTGAATGGAAGGAGGTTCCACAGAGTCTGCTTTCTAATATATGAACTCTGTTTGTGACTGAGTCATGAAGGAAGAGCCATAGCTCAGGGGTAGAGCACCTGCTCTGCCCATGAAAGGTTCTTGGTTCAAGCCCTGGCACCTTCAGCTGAGAAAGCAGAGCCCTGTCTGAAACCCTGGAGAGATGCTACAACCCAATACAGACAGTACTGAGCTAGATGAAGCAATGGTCTGACTCAGTATAAGGCAGCTTCCTATGTGCCTCTGAGGGTATTGCTCAAGATGAAGATAGGGGAAGGTGCAGTGGTAATACAGGTTCCTAGCCACATCTGTCACTAGTTTCCTTCCTGGAATAGCACCAACTTTTATAACAACCTGAATTCTAATTAGTAAAGCTCTTAGGTCTGCAGTTAAGGTCTATATTTCATAGTGCAATCTAGGTGAGAATTGTCATCATGTGCTCATTAAGGAATGTTCTTCCTCAGAAAATGCCAAACATAAAAAGCGCCATTATATCCTTATAACAATTTACATCAACGGAAATATAGTCATACTCAGTGTGGACGCACTGAACTCGATGGACTTAAGTCAACTATATGCACTGATTTCAACAGGTCTACCTGGGTATGATTTAGTCAGATACAACTCAGTATGTGTAGTGCTGTGCGTTTATTCCTATACTAACTGCAAATTATACACAATCCTATGTAACTGAACTTTAACTGTCCTCACACCAATCCAAAAAAGGAGAGGATACTTGGAGTGAAAGTGCTTAACTTCCCCCCCCCCCAAAAAAAATTCTGTTGTACACTCCAAATGGCTTACTATTTATACCCCCTTTCCCCTAGTTGGCTTCTTACTCAGTACAGTATGTATTTGGGAGGGAAACTCATGAGTGAAACAGGGTGGAGGAGGGAAATTTGGAGCAGAGAAGTCAACAAGTTAAACACAGAGGGGAGGAGGAGAGAGAGCTGCTGCTTTTCTGTTCCCAGGACCAACCAAGTAATTTTTTGCAGGATATGTCAATTACCCAAGGCCAGCTAATTTATTTTGGGCCTGGAGCAGAAAATCTCATGAGCAGCTCTTCCCTGCATTCTTGACCGTCAAAATACAATAAAAAACAACAACCTAAACATCTGTCTCCTGAGAAATCTCTATGTGGGACAAGAAGCTACAGTTAGAACTGGATATGGAACAACTTTGGGAAAAATTGGGAAAGGAGTACGACAAGGCTGTGTTTTGTCTCCCTGCTTATTTAACTTATATGCAGAATTCATCATGCAAAAGGCTGGGCTGGATGAATCCCTAGCTGGAATTAAGATTGCCGGAAGAAATATCAACAACCTCAGATATGCAGATGACACAACCTTGATGGCAGAAAGTGAGAAGGAATTAAAGAACCTTTTAATGAGAGTGAAAGAGGAGAGGGCAAAATATGGTCTGAAGCTCAACATCAAAAAAACGAAGATCATGGCCACTGGTCCCATCACCTCCTGACAAATAGAAGGGGAAGAAATGGAGGCAGTAAGAGATTTTACTTTCTTGGGCTCCATGATCACTGCAGATGGTGACAGCAGCCACGAAGTTAAAAGACGCCTGCTTCTTGGGAGAAGGGCAGTGACAGGCCTAGACAGCATCTTGAGAAGTAGAGACATCACCTTGCCAACAAAGGTTCGTATAGTTAAAGCTATGGTTTTCCCAGTAGTGATGTATGGAAGTGAGAGCTGGACCATAAAGAAGGCTGATCGCCAAAGAATTGATGCTTTTGAATTATGGTGCTGGAGGAGACTCTTGAGAGTCCCATGGACTGCAAGAAGATCAAACCTCTCCATTCTGAAGGAAATCAGCCCTAAGTGCTCACTGGAAGGACAGATCCTGAAGCTGAGGCTCCAGTACTTTGGCCACCTCATGAGAAGAGAAGACTCCCTGGAGAAGACCCTGATGTTGGGAAAGATGGAGGGCACAAGGAGAAGGGGGGTGACAGAGGACGAGATGGTTGGATAGTGTTTTCGAGGTTACCAGCATGAGTTTGACCAAACTGCGGGAGGCAGTGGAGGACAGAGGTGCCTGGCATTCTCTGGTCCATGGGGTCATGAAGAGTCGGACACAACTAGACTAAACAACAACAAACATCTAACAATTTGCTGCCTTCTCAATAAACTCCACATTAGCTCGTTGAGGTAACCACTTCACTTTGCCTAATCTACTTGCTCCTCATTGCCCTACCTTGGCCATAGGGAGGCAACCAGGGGTTCAGTATTCATTTGATTCTGCTGCTTGGACTCCAAATCCTATCACACAAATAGCCTCCTTCAAAATCTCAGCTTTATTTTTCAGTTTCATAACTGCAGATGGAAAAAGGAAATGAGAGTGAACGTTCCTGCATGGAGTCTGAACTTTGGCACAAAATTTGGTTTCCTAAGAATCATGGCTTTCCCCCCTCAGAAAAGTAAAATACTTCCAAGTCCCACTGATTTCAAACAAGGAGTTAAGCACATGCCTCACTATCTCCAGCTAAGGACTTTAGTTGGATTGTTATGGTTTACTACACTCAAGCACTTGCCATGTGGGTTTCAAGAAAGGTCTGAAAGCATGCCAACAATGTCTGCTGAAATCTCACCCAAGATGGGCTTGAAAAGGGTTTCCTGCAGAAAGGGAAGATTGCCCATTCTCCCCACAGGGCTGTACCATATCTTGTCTGTTGCCAGGGCTGTTGCCCAGCCTTACCAATTTCACTCTTGTAATTTGAGCAAGAAGGTTATGAACATACAGAACGGATCACAGCACAGAATATGTGGCATCTTTGCATATCAAACCTTGTTTTTTGTGGAGATTCAACCTCCTCTTTTCCTCTGAAAATGCTCTCCCTCCATGCTCTTTTTCCAGATTCTTGTAGGAAGTGCTGACCTTTGAAGTACAGTGTGCAAAGAGGATTCCAAGGGCCTGTGCTGGAGCAGAACTATCTAGATCCCTAGGGATTTGTTAGGATCCCCTTTTGAATATTTAGTATCAAAAATAGAAATCTAGGTTGCATCTCAGCAGGATATAAAACATTTGGTGATGATTACGTAAAAAATAAAACCAAATGAAATGACTCCTGAAGAAGATCCTAGGAACTGCTGTTTTAAATGTGCATTTAATGCTTTCTTTTGAAATGTTAATATTTGCTATGTTAAATGTGCCTTCTGTACTTGACCTCCTTTGTAATGTTCTATTTTGAAGTCTTTAAGATAATATTGTAGTTTCCTGTTAATTATGACGCTTTGAATGTATTTGACTTTCTTCAGCAACATTTTATTCTGGATTGTTTTGTTTGATGTTTTAATGTAGGTTGTAATCCGCTTTGAGATTTTTTTCTTAAAAATATAAAGCGGCATAGAAATAAAACGAATAATAGTAATAATAATTGTGATAATAATACATGAGGTTACTGGCATCAGCAGCATAGCGTAGTTTACAATGAATTACCTATAAACTACCGGTAAACCCGATAAAACAGCCGCAAAAATACGCGAGACATTTAGTCAGCTGTTGTAGCGGGAATGCTCAATCTTTATTCATGTTTCTTGGATTATGGAATATGATACAACAGGTTCCTTAAGAACATACTATAATCCAGCAATTATCCTAGTATGCTGTCAAAAGATGGTTAACCTTAATTATCACCAGGAAAAAGCCAGGATTAGCTTAGATATTATACAGACACCCTGATTCTAAACACTGTTCAAAGAAATGAGAGAAGGGGCTCAATTTTCTCATACTGCTTTGAGAATGAAGACATAAATGCCTGTCAGAGCAATACAGTGGTACCTCGGGTTACATACGCTTCAGGTTACAGACTCTGCTAACCCAGAAATAGTGCTTCAGGTTAAGAACTTTGCTTCAGGATGAGAACAGAAATCGTGCTCCAGCGGTACGGCCCATTAGCTAAAGTGGTGCTTCAGGTTAAGAACAGTTTCAGGTTAAGAACGGACCTCCGGAACAAATTAAGTACTTAACGCGAGGTACCCCTGTATATACAAATGCCCAGGCAAGTGAGTATAGAACTGCAGCCTGTAACACTCGGTTCTCTCCATGATAAGAAAAAGCATCATGTTACTTTCTGGGGGGAAATACTTCAGTTGTCATTAAGAAGGCAAATTATCTGAACTGCCAAGCTAATGTTACCCAAAACTAGTGAGCTTCCAAGTGCAGATGAGGCTGGGATCTGGACAGCTGCATGTTCTGGGAGTTATGCAGTTTATCACACATTTGTTTTATTTGCGAACTTGAATCAGATCACCGTATTGGGATTTCGTGTTTGCAGAATTTGTGTTATTTTGTGGCAGAATCTGAGTTTATTTTAACATAGGGGATGCCTGACCCTGCCAGCAGTTCCTGTACTAATTTTTAAATTGTCATTCCTGGAGACATACACTTGTTTTCTCCACAGACTCCTAAAGCTATCACTTTTATTTGACTTTGTTTATTCATTATTAAACTAACTGGCTGGCGCTTTTTGTGCCAACTGCCTTTCTCCTTTATCTGCTTTCAAATTAAATCTCGTGCTTCATCTTACCATTGTGAAAAATCATCAAAACCAGAACAAGATGATGTCAGAAACAAACAGAAAAGAAAACACATTACTGGGACAAGAAAAACAAATAACCATAATCTTCAAAAGCAGTTCAGCCAGTCATAGGGCTGCCATACGTCCGGATTTTCCCTGACATTACTGGGATTTCAAAGGCGGAATTGGCATCCAGGGGGAATTTCTGAAAGGTGACGCTTTGTCCTGGATCTTAGGCAAGTCAATAAAAAAACTGTACGTTTTATGGGTCTTCCTTATGGGTCTGTCCTGGTTTTTACTTTTCGAGATATGGCAACCCTAGTCATGTTTTGAGAAGAGTAAGTGTTCAAACACGTATGACAGACGTACTAATGACTTATAGCTCCCTATCTGATGGCTCAACTAGTATGGAAATATCTCCTGTATTAGAGTTGTCAGCTTATAGCCAGAAGGGATTGGCAAATATTTATGAATGCATGGAAGCTGTTGATGCAATTACAGGCAAGACAGCCTAGTATTCCTTTCACTAATTATTGGAACTGGAAGCATCTGGCATATCAGCAGTACTGTATTAAAAAAAAATGGGTCAAAGGTATTAT